CAGAGCAGAGTACGTAGAGCAGAGGCCAGGACTCTGGCGGTTGTGCCAAGGCGCGAAAGCTCCCCTTGCAGACGGATCAGTTTCCGTGTAAGTCTAGACTAAGGCCAGCAGGGCAGTCTAGCACGGGGGCTAGCATCTAGTGTAAAGGTTAGGTAGTTATAGGCCAGCATACGCTGGAGCTGCGTGCGGGTTGCCAGGCATGTTTCCTCATCCTAGGGGTATGCGTTGGCAACAACTTGGTCGTCAATTTAACCAGTGTCAGGTGAGATGGCCGCGAGATGGCGATCGCATTCCTATCCCTTCGCTCGATCTAGGACATGTGGGAGAGGGGAAATGGCAGTGCTACTAAGTTAGTTCAACTGGCCTATACTACACTATATAGGTAGGGGATTTCGTAGTGTATGTATTGTACATAGGGTAGTTTGTAGTAAGAGCTTGTTAGAGCTGGGGTCGTCGTGGTGAATTACCGCAATTGGGTTCGGTATGTGATTGTTGGACCGTTTATATGTCCACAAGCGACTTACCTAGTTCGCTTTCGGCCCTACCGGTGTAACAGAGAGCCAGGCATTTGGAATAGACGAGCGGTAAGCGCTTTTGCTCCATGGGCGAGATGGGGGGGAGGGGAGGGGAAGATAGAGGGGAAGCAGGGGATGGGATGGGAATGGGAATAATGATGAGAAAAAAAAATAATAGGAAAAAAAAAAAGGGCATTTCCTGGGCAATCGAATTCCCACGTAGGAGAAAACCCTCCTGCTTGCATATGAATATGGATATGGATACTTACATTCGTATATAGGTATGCTGCGTATATGTATGGATACGAATATATCTTATACATACATGTGTATATACCTAGAGGTATAACGTAGGAATAGGTAGCTACAGAATTAAGACTAAAGAAAGGTATTATAGATCATGCCTAGGTAGGGATGTATATACATACATACCCTAACCCTCAAGGTTTAAATCCAACGGCACGGCACGGCCGAGCATTTTTATGGGCAGTCGATCATACAGTACAGCGCTTGGCACCGAAAGGTAACCCAAAGTCAGCCGCGGTAGCACCTTGGGTTCATACCTGACTCGTGAATGATAGATCTCCGCGGACTGACAGCCAGATAAACGATGGTACGTAGGTATTTACATTAGGTACGCATTAGAGTCGATCTTAACGCACACGTTTTATATATGTGACGAATCTCATTGACGGTAGTGATGATGAGTAAGGACAAGTTGAGTGTTGGTTCCCCCATTTTGCTGGGCCCTGGCAAGATAAGACGAGGATCCTTCAGTGCCTAGTGCGCTGGAGATGGACACTAGACCGGGCCGTCGGCCTGCTAAATCCTTTAGTCCTATTCGATCAGTTGTAGGGAACGGGTAGGGGACGGGAGTATTTAGACGCTAAAGAAAGGATAAAAAGAGGACGCCAACGTGGTGCGAGCTTGGTGCGCATAGGGACCCCAGCGTTATGGGACAGGCTGACAGGGCGGGAAATAGTGGAGAGAAAAGAAACGAGACGAGACGAGACGAGGCCGATCAAATCGTAGGTGGGTTCAAAAATTCGACAGCAGATATTTCTTGGGGCCTGATCTCCACCTGTTTGCCAATCACGGATCGTGACCTCAAGATGTCCGGGGCTGGTTCGGGATGCAATGCGATGCTACAGTCGAGGAGGAAAGTACATAACCTTAGGAAAGGTAGGTGAAGCAATTTAAGGTAGTGTAGGAATGTAGGTACGAGTATATGTGTACGAATATATGTGGTATATCCAAATATCCAATAGAACTCTAGAGTCTAGGTTAAGAGAGTATTCGTGTAGTTACATAGTAAGTCGATATTCTTTTCTGCTTTAGCCCGCATGTGATAACGACCTCTCGCAGCCGGGTAACGGTAACAGTGACAAAATATATTATTCATCCAAGAGGGTTGATTTACGAGAAGCGAGAAACAACCCGAAAAAAAAAACATGACAGACGACAGAACCCCAGAATGTGGCACTCGGCAGACAAGGCCCGAGATAGCATGGTGACATGGACGCAACGGTGGGATGCTTAGGGGTGCTCGGGGAGCCGATCTGGAGCCCCGTGCTCAAAAGGTGACCCTTGACTATCCGCGACTTCGAAGGAGGGAGGGTGATCCAGCCCCCAGGTTCTTCTCACGTCAATGAGTAAGTTAGGGTTCCAAAAGGTCGGGCAGCCTCGAAGTAGCGCTGCCAATAGCAATAAGCCGATGCCATTAACGCCGACGACCAGATATTAATGCGTCAAAAAGAGAGGGGAGAAGGGGTGAGAACCCGCGTATGATGGCACACTGCATGGATATGTAGGCATGTAGGCATGATATGTAGTATGCATGCGGGGTTCAAGCGAACCAAGGGAGGGATCCTTTCTTTTTCTTTACTATTATTAAGTAGGACTTCTCTACATACATGGATCGATCTGGTAAGCCGAATCTAAAGGTAAGGATGAGAGAGGGACATGGGCTACGGACTTGAACGAAGGAATACTAAGAAAATATGTAAAGAGTGAAGAACCGAAATCTCGAGATATGAATGCAACGTAACGTCACGGTATTTCTTCCGCTGCCCTGGTCTTTGCATGTCTATAGCAAGGAACTGAGTCAATGAAGATTTTATATTTATATTTATATTTATATTTATTTTATTTTTTAAACAAAAAATATTTCTATCTACAATGGTCCCGTCGTATGCGTTTAACACAATGTAGAAGAAAGCCAGAAAGGAAAGTCTATCCTATACTCTCAGGCTTCCAAGTGGTTGACGCCCAATGTATAATATAAAAAGGATATCTAATCATATATAATCATATTTAAACCAATAATATAATTGTCTAGAATTTAAATAGACCCGCTGCATCTTGCAGCTCTACCGTCCAGTATAAATAAGCAGTGAGACAGACCATCGAGAACATGCATTCAAGAATATATTATATATTATACCTCTATACACTATACACCTCTATACAACCTCTACACATAAACACTTATGCTTTAATATAAGTCAGCGCTTAGAGAGCAATGTTGAAATATCGTTAAGAGGGTATTGCTATCCTGTTAATATTAACCTAGTTACCTGTTACTATTCTTATGTATTATGTATTATACTATACCATTGGCACAATGGGGGATTCATGTTTACGCACATCATCTGCAGCCACGAGTCATGTTTACTTAGCTGTCGTTCGATCAGTCGTCACTTGTTCCATACCGGCGGGGCGAGAGACGCAGAGCTGGTACGATTGTTGTATAATTTCTCGGGTTCATGTCAGGAATAGGTAAGTAAGTGTAGGGAGTAGGACAAATAAAAAAGGGCACCTTAAACTTGAAAGGGATAAGGTTCAACTACATACATCATCAGCCCCGAATATACGGCATCCAATCACCCCGCAGCAGCTTTTTCTCTTGCCGCGCCCTCGGCACTTATAGTCTTTATCGACAATACCTTAGGTACCTAACCTACCTACCTCCTATGTATGTACTACATAGGTATGTAACCTAGTGCATATAAATGTTTGTCTATTCTGTACCATCTATAAAGTATTATACCTAATTTTTTTTCTCTGCTTTTATTTAAACTTAGCCTTAAACTGTCGCATAGTGACGCTTAGCAAGTGTCACGATTCCAAAGCCGTCTAGGCCTACGTCCGTACATGAATTTTACAAGCCTAACCCGTGTAATTTACCTTACGTATCTTAGGTATGTACGGTACATAATCATGGTACAATACCTCAAATGTTTAAGCTGGCCTACCCTTGTCCTGACCGTTCAAAACTTCCGATGCATACCTTCCTGGGGTCGCTAGGTCGTAGCACATTAGCATGGGTTAGCCGCCCTGCCGCCATGCCAACTAGTCCTTTATAGGTATCACAGTGCTAAAGACACAACTTATTTGTATTTTCTCTTCAGTGGGATGTACTTGCATGTACGGACTAAACTCTCCCACGCAAATATGCCTAGTAGGTACGAATTTAGGTAGGTGCAATACAATCTACCGTTCTAACTTACCATTCTACACTTTTATATGCTGGTCTACCTTTTACATACACTAGATCTTAACCTCCTCCCACAGTCCACGGTTGCCCGCCCCCCACTATCACTTTCTCCCCACCACCCCCCAAAGCTGGACAAACAGGGGCGAGCTATGTATGTACAAGCTGCACATACATAGCACCTGGATAGTGTAGGTACTCTGACATTCTAACACTGTAATGGGAAATTGTACGATACCGGTGTACCTGTTAAAGACCCTTGCCTCTCCAATCGGCTGGTGGCGCTTCTACTTTAATAAGGTTTGCGCCTCTCTTAATCCCCCCAGTTGATCACAGCAGGTGTCCCTTAAGAGCTTGAGCGGGACTGTCTTACATAGTTTTATTTTATTTTATTTTCTCCAACCACGTTTCTCCATATTCGACGGTCAAAAAAAAATGATACCTACCTACCTAACCTAATCATCCCACCTTATTTCTACCGCATAGTAAACAAACTTTGACAGCAATAAACCGTCCGATCTACGTAGCTAACTTTCTCGCCCCGCGAAGGTCTTGCCTCGTTCCCATTGGAAAGGTAAACTAAAAGCTGTGGGTTTCCCGCTAGGTCCCACCGCCGAGATACCCTTGATCGCATGAACCTAAGCAAGCTTAGCTAGCATCTTTACCGCTGCTGCTCCCTGTACATTTACCTACCTATATAGCGCTCACGTCCTTTTTAGAGGACAAACACTCCACCCTCTATACCTTTTTCGAGCCACGGCGTAATTCCACCTTTAAGCTTACCATTACCATTTCACCTCGACCCTAGCCGACTACTCAACCACCCTCCTTTCATCCCACCATACAATCTTACAGACCTTACGTCCGCAGCTTCATAGGCGTAAGAGCACTACCGAAGTCGATAGAGAGAGAGAGGGAGAGAGAGAGAGCGTTGCGTAGAGCTTGAGGATAATTTGTGCAGTAGCTAAGGGGGAGCAAGAGATCGGGACAACATGAGTTCAGGATATCCGGCTCCGCCTGTTCACCACTCGCAGGCTTATGCGCCCGAGATGTCAGGCCCTTCCGCACACCATCCGGGCTACGCCCAACTTCCTCCCCCATTGTCTTATAGTTATCAGCAAGATCCCATAACCAACCCTCACCGTGCAAACATGCCTCCGCCGCGAACGAATATGGCCCCGCCCAACATGCCTGGTCCCAGAGATCGTGCTGGTGAGCTTGGTACGACAGAGAACGGCGTCAACAGTTCTGGTCCTAATCCACTTTCTTCCAAGCCTGGACCTGAAGAAAAAGACAAACCGGCTCCCCAGCCAATTGAGGGCACCGACGCGACTAGGAAATATAGGTAATCTCGACTCTCAACGATAGCCTTTAGAGCTTATTAATTATAGGGCTTTTGGGAGCTAATGAGTGATGATATATAGACTTGAGGTGGTCCAGCAACCTCTGAGAGCGAGAATGTGCGGTTTTGGTGACAAGGTGGGCGCGTTTTGCCTTCACCGTTTGTCTGTGCCAATTAGACGCTAATATCAACCAGGACCGACGGCCTATTACTCCCCCGCCCTGCATCAGACTAGTAGTGATGGACAAGACTACGGGCAAAGAAGTAGATTGCAAGTGTGTGGAAGCGCGGCCTTGCCATTCTTTATATTAGAAACTAACCTTGGGCCAGCGAGGTTGAACATCAACATTATGTATTACACGTGGATCTCTGGTCCGAAAATGGAGACAAGGAGGTCAACCTTGTCAAGCATTCTCAGCAGTCGCCTTCGATTTCATCTACGCAAGCTTCATCTTTCCGAGAAGTGATCGAGGGAAGCCAGGCGGGAGGTTATGGATATCAGTCTATTGTGCCGTCGAACCGCGAATACGCACAGCAAACTAGCCCTGCTTACCCTCACGCAATGCCTCCTTATCAACCAGACCCGTATAACCAAGGTAGAAAGACCCCCCGTTTATGCTCATCTGATTTTTTTCGTGTCTTACACATTGTTTAGGATACGGTTACCCCCCTCAAGCCCAACCGTATGGCTATCCCGGTGGCGGTTACAGAAATGACATGGTACCAGGTGTGCCTCAGTTGCCTTCGCAGCCCATGTTCGGACCCCGGTTCTCCCAGGATATGTCGGGACATCAGATGACGCACAACCGTCTGATGGGACCTCAATCACCAAATGGCATGTACACGAGAAATCTCATCGGTAGCCTCGCTGCAAGCGCTTCACGTCTCACCGATCCCACAGATAAGATTGGAATCTGGTTTATTTTACAGGATTTAAGTGTCCGGACAGAAGGGTGGTTTAGGTAAGTCGCCAAGCGCAAGCCACTTACCGCACGCTTACATGATATGCAGATTACGATTTTCCTTCATCAACCTACGACGGCCAGATGCGATAACTAATGGCGGCAGCGATGCCGAACTCCTAAATAGAGGCAGGGCTCCAGTCCTTGCGCAGGTCTTCAGCGAGAAGTTCCAAGTATATTCGGCAAAGAAATTTCCAGGTGTCTGCGAAAGCACTGCTCTCAGCAAGTGCTTCGCCGTGCAGGGTGTTAAGATCCCGATCAGAAAGGACGGCCAGGACGGAAAAGGGAGCAAAGGCCGAGGATCGGACGACGAGGATGATAACTAAGATAAATTACCTTTTATTCTTTTCTCTCTCTCTCTCGGGTACGGGCGGTGTCGGCTCCCTTTGATGAGAATTACGGGCATGACATTGCCCGGTGACATCAAGTTCAGAACAGGAAAAGCTACCTCGCCACGGCGTGCTCATCACGGCACGTGCGCTCATATCATTTTACAAAACAGGTATGTGGCGGAATGGATCTTGGATTACAAGGTGCAGAATAGAGAGGCCCATTTGATGCCGGCAAAAGACGAGGTTCAGGCGACTAAAGGGGCAAGTTGAAAATCAGCCAGCTGGGCCCTAGCATTACCTACCTGAGGTTAACAGTTACCCAAGGTTTTTTACGTTTTACGTTTGCAAAACCGATGGTTTGGTTCTGCAATATACCCGCCATAGTACAGGTCAGATATGAAAGCGATGAATTAGAAAATATGTATGCGTCATGGGTTGCTTGGGAATACCTTACTTCTGCCTCTTGCTATTTGTGACCTACATGATAACGAAGGTAGCTAAGGTATAGCGAATTAGTCTTGGTCATTCGTATCTTAGGTATTCATAAGTCCGATGAGTAGGTCTGCTAAAGACCGCATTGGTAGTAATATTCACATGCAGGATATACATATCCAATGAGGTTACGTAGTATGTCGCGTAGTATGCCGCGTGGATATATTGACAGCCCCGACAATTTGGTATGCTACAGAAATGTGGTGTAACTTTATCTTTAAATTCTTGGGATGGCATGACAGGTGTGTGTGTGCGTGTGCGTATGCGCCACCTAACCGTTTTTTGGCTTTTGGCTTTTGGCTGTTTTGGACAGAACAAACGGATAAGATAAGGTAACGTTCGATGAGATAAGACCGAGAGGAAATGTCCCGACTTTTTATTTTTTATTTTTATTTTTTTTTACAACTTTCTTTCCCTTGATCTATGATATGATTCAGAATGAAACGTGGAACGGAAGTACTATGTAACCCAACCGATATTGGACCAATATTAATCCATTAATCGGATATGCAGATGGAAAATCGTCTGATGATGGTTGTCGGTGGAGAGTATACGGACAAGGTTCGATTGATAGGTAGGTAGGTATGTATAGGGATTCCCGTGTATTGCATATACCTATTGAATATATAAACACTTAATGGAAATGCCCTATACTATATATTTACCTGCTTTCTCGTGCTATTAACGAGATCTCGTCCTAAGACAACAGGATTGTCCTGGTGTTTTATTATTCCTCGTGCATCCACGTTGCTACCTATCGCTTTCATTAAAGATGATGATATCGATAGATTGATAGGGTAATGCGCCAACCAATCAACCAACCGCATAGGTATGTAACTCGCTCAGATCATATACTACATATCATATGGGGAAGGGGGCAAACGGGAACCCGTATCCCCGGTAAGGCGAGACGGCTTAGGCATCTTATATGTAGTGTAGATTCGAGCTAGCAGATTAGCAGATCTTGCCAGACGCCTCATCGAGAGCCCGTCTGATCTGATAGGTAGGGAATAGGTAACAACTTCCTTGATATTACATACGTTTAGGAAGCAGGTGCTTAACCTAAATATATGTACGTTACCTAATGTTAGCTAAGATAATGCGAGTTAGGTTTAGGAATACAGGTAATGGATTGTATAATATAATACATAAGGCAAGTACCTTACCTGTAGCTCGGTGCTAAATCCCGACTATTCTGCTATTACAGAAGCCAAGAGGTCAAGACGGCAACGGGCGGCACCACCGCTAGCTAGTATTAGGGTGTAATGCCTAATAAGACCTCTGTATCTTAGGGACTTGCGTGCTTCGCTAGCAGATTGCCCGCTGGATCACCCGCCGTTTTTATTACGTCTTAGTTACCTCATCCGGTTTTTGGGCGGTGGGGACCTGGCGAAACTCTGCTTTGGCATTCGGGCGGCGCGAGTTATGGAGTACCGAGTGATGTAACGATTTTTTTTTTCATTGTCTCGGTGGTGCCTTTCGGCTTGTGACTAATAACTTATCTTTGTAAGGGTCTTTCTTTTTTTTTTTTTTGTCCAACCAGTATAAGTGGGAAATATTTTTTTTTAGTCTTGTGATTGAAAAGTAGGCACGTCCGAATGTAGGTATGTATTAGTTATAAGGTATAATATTTTACCTCTTATAGTGCTGTGCTCGTGATACTGTAACAGGAACCTTACATGTTTTTGGTAATTTTGTAGGTCCAAGTTAATCGCACAAATTTGTACAACCGAGGCGATCGTCTGTTGCCCAGCCAGATTGCGCAATTCCCTAAGGGCGAGTTAGCCATTTATCAACTTGGTCGCTTCTCTTTGTTCTGAGGCCTCGTCTTCATTATTGTTGCATTTGCTCTCGAGGGTTCAAGCTACCCAACTATTACAATACTCCTACATACATACATATACTATCTTCGTAACCTTTATACCTACTCCCCCACGCTCTGAGACTCTAAGAAAATGACGGGGCAAATGACTTCGACCGGCCGAGGCGGCGCTGGCAACATCGCCGACGTCTCCAAATCCCCTAAAATCCAGCCGGCTGACCTCGAGACTCCGACTCTAAAAACATCCGTCATTACTACCGGTCGTGGTGGCTCCGGTAACATGGCGCCGAATAAGGATCCCGTCGAGACGCGAGCACGCCAGGATGTCGGACCGTAAGTTTAGCAAGCACCTTTATTCTGCCCCCGCCGAGGGGTCAATTTAGGCGACGAAGAAATTCGTAGACAGACGGAAAACTACCTAAACTAACACGGTCAATTATCTAGTATCGAGCGACGACCAAGCCAAGGCGCAACCCACGTCGGGCGCGGAGGAGCAGCCAACGTTGTGAGACTAAACAGCGAGGAGCAGCTCGATGGCTCAGCTACTACCGGCGCGGAGGATCACCACGGCGGCGGCAAGAGCCATGCCAATGGAGGAGCTAATGGGCTGGCGGCTAAGGCTAAGGAGTTCTTCAAGAAGGTTTAGGCTGCCTTGAGAAGAAAGGGGAAGAAGAAAAGGGGATCTCGAAAGGAAAACCCCCGAGATACCTAGCATTGTTAGAGACGAGCAAGTCGATGGGATCGGGTTACAGGCCGAGGGGTAGGCATGTTCAAGTTGTGTGTGTGTGTGTGTGTGTGTGTGTGTGTGTTCTGTTCTGTTCTGTTTTATTTTGCTTTGCTTTCTTATTCCGTTATACCGCCACGATGGTGTCGGTCTGGGCGAGCATGGAGTTGTGGGCTGTCTTTTACGTCACGGGATAAAATGAGGAGGAGGGATAGTGGGCTACGAGACGAAAATGGAAAAGGGTTATGGTATTGAGAAAGGTACCTAAGGCATAATAATTACGAGTTCTTCATACGGAACACTGTATCCTACGATGGGTTACACCATGACAATATTTCGTTAGGTATTATCGTGCTTGATATAATATAATCTACCTTTCTGGAATATTAAATGACTTGGAGCCTCATTATAGATAGGTAGGTATACATCGAGTGAAAATAGCTTTGCAGATTCGAGAAGAGAGGAATTGGGGGGAAGGGGGGGAAGGGGGTTGTTGACCTGAAGTTAATACTATACTCTACCAGGTCACCATTTATTACGATTCACCCGAAAAGTGCTTGACGGTGTCGATACTGTATTAAATCGAGTCGAAGTTAGAATATGGTATTGGAGAAGTAGGTATTTGCAGCATTATAACTCCGGAATGAAACCCGTTCCGACCGCGGAATCCTTCATGAGTCACGATGGGATGGGATTCGTGATGCCGGGGGGTAGCGCCGATAAATATCAAAGGGCCGGCGATCGCCTCGATATGAGCCGGCGAGTCCTGCACCGGTTCTATTAGTACTACCTACCTACCTACTTAAACTCTTTCCCCCGCTTACACTCCAACTCGCTTTCTTAGCTCCTCTATCAATACAGTATCCAAAACAGGTACAGAACAAGTAGAGAGTTAGAAAGGGAAAACCCGGCAAGATGTCTGTAGAGTCGTCTGTGGCCGTGGCCGTAACCGTGTACACGCAGCCTCCGGAAGACCTAATCAGCCTCTTACAAACGCACCACCGCCCACATGCACTACCGCTCCTCCGACGCCTGCGTTTCACGCGCTTCCCGGGGGGCATCACGGAGCACGCACGCATCCTAGTCGCCTCCTCAGCACCGGGCCTAGAGCTCCGCGCCCACACCCAAGACACCCCCTTCGCAGCCGCATACCTCGACCTCTCGCGCGGCCCCGAGACCGAGATCTGGCTATACGCATCGCTGGAGCGACGTCCCGGCACCCCCCTCGCGTCCGGCGCCGAGGAGTTAGCGACAGCAGCAGAGTGCGCGTACCAGATCCTGCGCCAGGTCAAGACCCTCCGCGAGGCCTTCTACGCCCCGGGCACGGAACACGCCGCGGTGCAGAGGCGGGAGGGGCTGGATCTGCGGCCGGGTAGGGTCCTCGCGGGGACGCTGAGCGAGGCTACGAGGCTGGCGCTGCTGAATCGCGGGGTCGTGTTTGGTTACGTGTCCGTGTTCGACAAGTGGATGTTTAGCCTGGGCGGGCTGCCCGAGGTGCCGAGTCCGCTTGCGGAGGGGATGGAGTGGAGGCCGGTTAGGAGGGAGGATATCCCGCTTATGTTGTCGCGGACTAATATCGCGCGGAAGGAGTATGTTTCCCCCTTTCTTTTTTACTTTTACTGCCACCTATGGTTGTTGAAGTTTCGAATTGGGGAGGTTAATGACAGAGATATGTATGTATCTACAGGAGAACTATCGTGCTACTGCCCAGTATGGCCGTCTACCGAAGCGACGGCACGCCTATCGCATGGGTCCTGCTAGGGCCCGATTCTTCGCTGAGTAACCTGCACTGCGAGGAGGAGTGGCGCGGCAAAGGCTTTGCTAAGGCGGCGGCTGTTAAGATTCTGCGCGAGCGCTTGAGGGAGTACGATGATGATGAGCATTGCTGGGCGGATGTCGCCCCGGATAACCCCAAGAGCCAAAGGGTTTGCAAGAGTTTGGGCGGAAAGGTGGCATGGTCAGTCTCATGGTAGGTGAAACCTTGACGCTAATTTATTTTCTTTTATGAAGCATAACGTTCTAACAGCAATTAGGAGCGGAATAGACCTGGACAGAAGCTTCCCGGGTCAGTAGGTGGCTTTTCTCTCTCTTTCTCTCTCTCTCTCTCTATATATATTTAGAGCATCTAGATTCTCTGTCTCTGTCTCATGAGATTTCCGGAGAACTTCGTTACCTACTAGTCAATCGCTGGATTTCCTGTAGATAGAACTTTAGATCTTCCGGGTTCACCAACGGTGTGATACCGTGACCAAGATTGGCAATCCAGCCCTTCTTGCCGCCTCCAAAACCTTTAACCATTTCCTCTACTGTTTCAGATATGGCTGCTTTTGTCCCGTACAACACTCCCGGGTCCGCATTCCCCTGGAAGACGATCCGCCTGTTTCCCCGGATCTTGACGGCCTCAGCTGGGTCGATCTGCCAATCCAAACCTACAACGTCGTAGCCCAGATCGCAAACCGAGTCTAGCGCAAAATTGGCTCCCTTAGGGAAAACGATCATGGGCACACGCTCTAAGCCTAGCTCTGCCAGCCTCTTCGGTAAATTCTCCGAGATATAAGCTAGGTAAGGCTCACTGAACTTCTTAAATGTCGAGGGCGAGAGCTCCCCTGCCCACGAGTCGAAGACTTGGACCAATTGGGCGCCTGCTTTGACTTGCAGCGCCAGATATTCCACACAGACCTCTGATATCTTCTGAAGTAAAGCCTTAGACTCCTCGGGGTGTCGATAGATCCACTTCTTGCTCTCGATGAACAGCTTCGTACCACCTCCTTCGACCATGTAGCAAAAGAGAGTCCAGGGAGCACCGCAGAAGCCAATTAACGGCACACGGCCTTTTAACTTCTTCCTTGTCAAGGTTATCGCCTTATATACGTAATCCAGCTCAGCCGCGACATCCACGTTCTTGTTGAGCACCTTGGAGTATTGACCATCGTCGGGCGACCTCAACGGATCCGGGAAGTGTGGACCCTTCTTATCTACCATCTCAACGGTCATTCCCAGGGCCTGCGGTACGACGAGGATGTCGGAGAATATAATTGAGGCGTCTAGTAGGCCGGCGAACCGTTCAATGGGTTGCAGAGTCAGGGTTGAGGCGACCTCGGGGTCTCGGCAACATTCGAAGAAGTCACGTTTGCCCTTGGCTTCGTGGTATTCGGGTAGATACCGACCAGCTGATGAGGCCATCAGCAATTGGACGTATTTATGTTCGGGCTGACTATGTGTATATACCTTGACGCATGATCCATATTGGCGCGCGTTCTACATCCTCGCCTGCGTTAAGTAACAACTCGGATTAGTATGTATGCTTTAGTAGAATAGTGGTGAAGATTGGATAATACACACACACCTCTTGCTGTCCTTAGGATTAGATCGTTGGTTAATGGAGCAAAATCGTGAGACATGATTACCTGTGACGAGTGCGCTTAAAGTACAACTGAAAAAAAAAAAAAGGAAAAAAGGAAAGAAATATGTCTTGGGGGAAATCTTGAGGCAATGTGAAGGTTGCCCCGTTCCTCCCCGTCTCGTTTAACCCCACGGTTTGTTAGTTCCAATGGTGGGATGTGCCCCTGTAAGTGTCTTATGTAAGGAGTACACTATACAATACATCATCGGCAGATCGGGTACAGAATGCTCGTAGTGGAGACGAGAAGCTAGAGTTGAACCAATAAGATTCTTTCTATTGTTTTCCAAGCTCCAACTTTCGACCTCAGACCTCAATTCTCTCACAAGCTTTCACAATTTGATGCTCATATAGCCTCATTGACGCCTAATCGCGCCGACCGGGTGCAGCATAGCCGTTGGCGGAAATATCAAATTTACCCAGGATTGAAGGGAGGATTTGTACGTCTTATCCTCCTCTACCTCTCCTCCGCTCATGTTTCCCGCCTTGGCTTCGCGATGTCGTCGAGCTGCCAACCGTCACATACGTCCGCAAAGCGATAGCATCTGGATCCCGGAGGCCCTCCTCGCCGCCGCATTCGATCGCTACTGTACGAAGTCAAGGGAAATCGCTCGTTATGGCTCCTCCGTTCCCGGCCCGATGGAGAATCGAAGACGTATGGGAAAAAGACACATGGTAGAATTGAACCCAGGTCACTTGCGCTCTGCTTCGCCGCTATGGGGGCTCGAAAATTTGGCGGACCTGACACAATGGCGTTGGGAACCGCCATCACCACCTCGTACGCGACTTCGACAGCACCGAGACGAGAGCGCACAGGAATGGACTTTGGCACGATCTATGTTGAACTGGTTTGCGAACAAATCGTCACCAAAAATTACCTGGGATGCTCAGACTCCACTGATACAAGTCATCGATATCGGGCTAAGTCTCCTCTTTCGGGATTTAGAATCTGAGGCAACAACGGCGGAAAGACCAAACTTTACGGAGTTCTGCCGTAGTTGGAAAGATTTCCTTGCCGATAGCTTCTACTCTGGTGATGTTGTCTGCGCTGTCTTAGATGGCATCCAACAGGGGATTGATACATCACGAGCAAGCACCGGACAACCTTTGGAATGGGCCGTCGACCGAATTAAGCTAGATCTACTCCATGCGACTATTGCAGGTCTTTCTAGCAACCAAGTACAAGAGCATACCGCTCTAGACGGCTTGTTTTGGTGCGACTTATTACAAAGAATTTCAGAGTTGAGGATTAATAGCGTACGCCTTTTCGTAAAAGCTATGGATTGTATACCGGAAGATTACTTAAACGACGTATCAACAGGTGTGCTAGCAAATTTACGTGTCTTCTTCCTTGCCTCGGCCTATAGCAAGAGTCGTTCGAATATAATCCGGCAAACTAATAAGATCGCCGAACCTTTGAGGAGACTTGACCTGGCCAACCATCTCCATATGTTAGAAAGCGGTACCCAGTATGTGTTGATGCATAGAAAATCGACAGACGTATATTTCCCTCGCATGCGTCTGGGATGGCTACAACTCTTAGCCCGGTTACCAAGCGTAGACGACCGTTACCTTGTACGGACGATGTGTACTCTTGAAGCCGGCAAAGACACGAAACCTCTTTCGAGCAGAGAGATTTGCGAAATGTATTTGGCTAGGTGGTGTCGTTCTTCGCTTAAGGATCACGCAAAGCTGTACCTTACATTGCAACAAAATAAAAATGACTTGAAGTGCTACGGTTACTTTGGCATGGCACTGTGGGAAACAGGCCAATTTGGTCTTGCGAAAGGCCTTTGCGAGTTCCTCAGTCAACTCGGCCGAGAGCAAGATATTATGAACTTCGCGAAAGGAATGCGAATCTTTATCAAGAGCCCGGCGAGACCCCTAGCTAATATTGCTATTGGGATGGGCAATCCAGCCCTAGCCATAGAAATCTTATGTCTCTATAGAGAAAGCAAATTGGAAGGGAAAAGAAAGGCCGACGCTACAAATTTCTGGGACACTAACGTATCTACCGAGACCTTGAAAGCTCTGATAGGAAGTCACTCATCCTGGCATCACAGAGTTCTAAGTGCTGTGCGGGTAAAGCGGCTCCTGGAAGAACAAAGGCGAAGGGAAAGACGCATTAAGTTCATTAGCAGGCGTAAGTTCCTGAAAGAAGCCAAGGCAGTAACGAAAACAGCAATGGCATTTAATATCTCACAGAGCATCTCGCCTAGGCAATCTTTTACTTTTATTTCAAAGTGTATCACCTACTTCCAAAGTAGGGGGACAATACCGCCGATAGCCTTGCGGGCACTACTCCACAATATCACAAGGGACCTTGCAGAAGGGAATCCGGGTAGGATTACCCGGTTGCGGTGGTTTCTGTCGTTAGTATATAAGCATCTCGGCCACGCTAAGATGATGGAGATTGGATTGGCTCTGAAGCAGTGGAGAGGATATAACGCCCGGAATCGCGGTAAAAATATCGGATGGTAACAATATCGGATGAGGCGCCGGCCGAAGCTAGGGTGGCTCATAAAAAAGTAATAAAAAAAAACTAAAAAACTAAACGATATCCAAATATGATATACTGAATCATGGCTTTTGGATATTATGTGCGTGGTGTATTGATACACGCCGGGGTATGTGATCAGCATATATATGTATGGTCAGTGTATACCAATATACCAATATTCCAATATACCAATATACCAACCTACCTACCTACCTACCTACATGGAGGAAAAATAGAAATTCAGTACTCGTGCGACAAGCAGAATGTCGTACGAACTACGTAATATATTGCAGTATGGACTGATTCTGCCTGGGCTCGCTTGTTCAAACGTGAGGAAAGGAGGGTGGTGATTGGTATCTACGACGGCTTAAAGTTTCTGTTAGAAAGAGTTGAGCTTGTTATTACATTACTATCGGTTACACGGCAGCCAGGATGCCTTGAGCAACACAGGCATCAACGGACTTGGGCGTCAGCCTCTTACCACAGTACTATGAGGTAGATAGACTATGAGGTAGATACCCTGAACGCCGGGTTGGGCTGGTAACCAATATTCTCGATATGGTAAGGGGCTGAGAAGGTTATAAGAGTGGGAATGGGTATGGGTATGGGTATACATGCATAGGGCCGTAAGGCTTACACTATGTTCAATAGTTATATACCAGGTACCTAGGTAGGTAGGTATAGATAAACCTGTTCGGCCCTTCTCACCTAATAAATGCAATTGCCTTCTATTACTAAGTATGTAGATACTAGGTAGGTATGTAGATGTCGTTCGAGGACCAGTCGGCGGCGCCGAGCGAAGCTGAAATAATTCAACGCATAGTAGTTAATATGCAACAGACCAGATGCATAACGGGAATGGGAGCGACATAAGGGGTCTTCTACATACATAGTAAAAGGACGTCGATCGAGGTTCTCGATTGGCAGCCATAAACGGTTAGCCTTTACTTTTGTATAAAGGGTTGTTCCCTGATGGTTCCTTGAGCCCTTTCTCCGCTTATTCGGGGTACGTTACCCGAGTCGCTGGGTGAGCCACTGCATAGGTATTTAGGTACCCACTACCTAATTGATGTCCGTCTAGTGTTAGGCAGGTCCCTATGTGTTTAAGCAACTAAGGTAGGTGCTAGAGAATACAAGCGTATTGTTACTTCTGCGTAAACGCACATAGATACGGTACCTACCTACCTCTACCTACATGTAGGTATCTACCTCTACCTATCTACATGTACCAAGCCCCGTGTCTCAATGCTTCGGTGTATGAAAACTACCTCTCAACCACGTGCGTACAATAAGAAGCAGGCGCAAGAGAAGAATAACCCCACCGCTCGCGCGCCTATCTTTAGTTGCATATTCTCTGTAATTTTCTCCCTTTAATATATCTGCCCATTCTCATATCGTTCGCCTATTAGCCATGGCGGAGTAGACAGCCCTGTCCTTTTCTACCTCCCTCTTACATAACATTCTCCCTCATTCCGACCCCCCCGGACTCGCTTGATACCCCTACGGCTATTCGTGGGCAGTTCCGTCATGCATCATCTGCTGCAGCGGCGACGGAGGGACCTATAACGCTCCCGTTTCGATTCATGGACGTTGATTGTATGCAAGGGAGCCCAAGATATCGGTATATTACCACCCCCCTTCAATGTGCAAATGTGCAGAATCCGCCTAGCTTGTCCCAATAGAAAAGATGTGGGTGCAGACGCCGACAACTGACCAGGTTCTGTTCTAATTCCATATAATAGACCTTTGCTCGCCACACCTAATAGACGACTTTATTTACGTCCGTACTTTTGTCGTATTGTATCGAGAAGAATCCTACGAATGCCCACCGAGCCCGAGAACCAAATAAATTGATCTCGGCGCCCAATTAATCGATACCAAAATCTCCGGCATTCTGGGTGAGATCTGACATGAAATCTGGGGGGTTAGATGGACCTATGAGATCGAGCCGACGATCCACAGGGCGGCGTCGGCGCATTAACACGGCTAGAGTACTTCTTCACAATCCCGCGCCAACTCCGGCCGCTTTCCCACTATAATACCGCTCTTCAACCATGGAACAGACCGACCACGTGGCCGGCTTAGATCCGGACTCACGCGCCGCCTGGCAGGCGAAGCCTATTCGCCGGCGCAACCGCATGATTAATAGGTGAGATATACCCTCTATTCCTATATTCCTATATTCCCGACGCGAATACAAAAAGAAAAGAAAAGAAAAAGGGAAAGCGATTCGGACATACGTATTATTTATCTCTAACATCTCCTATCTCCTTACGTCCTCTTTGCCAAGACGAAGTATAGATGCTAATTTGCGAGCACGGAGTATCCTAGAAACAAAACTTGGTTTCCCGGCATGTCCCTTTAAACTTAGCCGGGAGACCAATGTTTTGTTTCTTGCGCTCCGTCTATAAAAGTTGCTTAGAATGTCGAAGAAGAAAGTTGAAATGCTCCAAGACGAGCCCGTCCTGCACAAATTGCATCAAGGCTTCTCGAGAGTGTCTATACATAGGACCGCGACTGGACGAAGCTAGCCAAATGCGCCTCGCCGAAATCAAGGAGAAACAAGGAACTCTTGAACGAGAACTCGAGCGTGATGTTGCAAAGTCTACAACGTCCAAGAATACGCTACAACAGCGCAGTCTAGCCGACGATATTGTAGGTGAAGATGACGAAGAGCGCGATCTGGAGGCTACACCACTTGCAGCTTTAGATGTAACATACGAGGACGATGTTGACGGGGCGGGTGATATGATAGACCTAGGGATCCAGATCGGGAAAATGCGCATCACTGAAAGAATAGGTGGTCTCTCGCGACCCAGGATATCTGAAGAGGTATGTGGCGCATGCGATACACAAGAGTAAGATACTTACAATGTGAATTTCAGATATCGGCCGGCATCTCAGGTTCACAGCCCCCAGGCCCGCAACCCCCGCAGCATGGAGGGCAGGCTCCCGGCATCGATGACCTACCCGAGTTCCTGCGGCCAGGGGACCAGTATATAGTACCCACTTCCGGCTTCTTCTTCGGCCAACTGGGGGAGCCACCGTCAATCCTCCAATTCCTACCGTTTAGGGCCGCCGCAGATCAGTTAATGAAGCAGTACTTCACTTCTGTTCACCCAATTGCTCCTTGTGCCCATAGGCCGACGTTAGAGGCTACTTACACGACTTTCTGGGAGGAAATAAACGCAGGATATGAACCCCGGCCTTCGATGCAAGCTGTCATTTTTGGTGCTATGTTTAGCGGAGCTATCAGTGTAGACGAGAACACCCCTGAGCTCGTTGGATATCCCAGAGCTAGCTGGGTCTCTAGCCTAAAGATGGGCACCGAAACTGCCTTGAGCAAAGCAAACTTTCTACGAACTACCAAGGTAGAAACGATGCAAGCGTTTATTATGTATATGGTACGTTTATTTACCCCGAACTAAACCATGTAGGTGACTAATTTCGCGATAGCTTCCTCTTTGCAGAGGTGAAGTGTCACGGGCCCATTCAGTACTCGTTGGCGCCGCAGTACGGATGGCCGAATGCATGGGCTTACATCGCGATGGAGAAGCATATGGCCTTACGCCGCTCGAAACGCATGTTCGGCGTCTAATCTGGCACCAATTATGCTTCCTCGATATTCGGACTTGCGAGGCCCAAGGACCGAAGCCAGTGATCAGGCGAGACGACTACGATACGAAATTGCCTCTTAACTGCAATGACGAGGAACTTACACATGCTATAAGACCTCCGGAACCGTCGGACGCGTGGACTAATAATACTCTCGCCCTGATACGCTTCGAAATCAACGAAATGATGCGCATCATATGGATCGACAGGCGGAGACTTGAAACTCACCGGACTACGTTAACAGCCGTTCTCACTAAGATCGAAAACTTCCGCCGACGAATGTCAGAAAAATATGATCGCCTTCTGGATGTTACGCAGCCGATCCAGAGGTATGCGAAATGCGTCATGTATCTGTTGACATATCGCTTGCACGTCATGATCCTACACCCTTACCACTCAAACGCCGCCAACCCAATGCCGCCACGGCTGAATCAACTTCTTATCACATCTGGGATCATGATTGTCGAGCTCGCAATACAACTCGAGACAAATTCTAATTTTAAGGATTGGGCGTGGTATCTTGGTGCATATTTCCAATATCAGATCGCGCTGCTATTGGCGACTGAAGTTTATTATCGGCCGCAGTCTCGCGACGCTGATCGGATATGGTCTTGCTTAGACTACGTTTTTGGCATGGACCGCAGGCTTCCACCCGAAGCCAAGGCCGTGCAGCTCCTTTCCGAGATACAGGGTAAGACTGCAGTATATATGCGCATGCGCAAGATGCGTGGGCCCACAAGCCTCTCACGGGCCGTTCCTGGGCAAAATGTTGTCGCGGGAACTTCACGGCCATCGCCACCTGTGCAGGGCCACCTACAGCAACCGCCTCAGGGAATAGCTCCGGATATACCCAAGGTTGAACCGGGGTATACCCCACCGATGCCGGCTGGTCCTCCGATGTCACAGCCGCAGATGGTGTTTGCCGGTGTTTCTGACGGACAGGCACTATGGAGCTTACCGCCGAATCACGCAAGCCCGGGGAGCGATAGCTCGAGCCTAGAACAGGGGTGTCAACGGATCCCTACGCCTGGGAATCGGGGACCGGGGATGGCTCAGAACGGTAGTATCATGGATAATATTGATTGGGTATGTCTCTTACGACCTTGTTTATGTGGCTCTTCGAATTCTTGGCAACTATACTAACTCAAGGTTTAGGACACGATTAACTCTCTGTTTCCTAACGATCCACAAACGGGCGGGTTAAGCATACAGGGATTTCACGACCCGAATTTCAGCGTTGCGGGTTGGAGCACTTGACAGGATAGGACACGATGGGATGGGATATGACGGGCCGGTATCAGGAGGTTCTATTTATTTTGAACTTTGAACTTTCTCTACTTCAACTTAGACGATTATATGAAGCAATTCGTAGTGAGAGGGAGCTAGGGTTACTGTATTTTTCTTTCCTTTTTATTTGTATATCGGGTTGGGAGTACAACGAATACTTACGAGACACGGATTGGAGATATACCATTATTGATAGAGCTTTGCACTCGCTTTTTGGGAATATTTAAAAATACAAGACATATCTTCTATCCTCCAACTACGATAGTTACTCTCAGTACGAAGTCTATATTCCAAGAACTCCTACCTAGTTTCTCACCCCGTCTAGTTAACCGCAACTCGGGCCTAGATAACTAACCAACCTAATACGAATCATCACAATAAAAATACCACGAATGCATTAAACTTGGAAGTAATAGTCGTAGTCGTAAATTCTCTTCTGATATAAATACATATTTCATTATCATTCGAAGAAGCGAAGACAGTAAGTACCACCTAAAGTAGTAGGAAAACAATCCGTAATAAGAGGAGAAAAGCACCATTCGGGGTCATGACTCGTTAACAACCATTCTATCTTTCTGCGCGCCCCCAATCCGAACCGAAAGGGTGGGTGGGATATTGGATAAGAAAAAAAAAACAAACCCAAAAAGTCTCATTCATGCAGATAGGTATTGAGCGGAAAAAAAGCATAATGCCCCAAATTCATTCATGCAGGCAACGCCGGACCAGGTATCACCGCCATCCCCTTTACCAAAAAAAAAAAAAAGGAGAAAAAAAAAAAGAAGCCCGTTTTTTTGTAAATCCGTGGAAAAGACAAAAAATCGTGACAAAAGTTTGAGAAGAAATCTTAAATCTTTAAGATGCGTGACGGACCCCCTTCTCATTAAAAGCGTATACCCAGTTGGCCTAGGCCCTCCGTTTATGATTATTACTATTAATTTTGTTATGAGCCCGCGTTGCTGCTGCTGCTGTTGTTGTTGTTCTGCGTATCCGCGAGGAAGGCGTCATTCTCTAGATGCCACCTTCGAGGTACTCGGCCTCTTGCGGGGGAGTTGGCATGGGGAGGGGAGCGTCTTGCATCTGAAGGCTGACGGTGCTAGGAGCAGCTGCTGAGGGTGTGGCGCCTCGCGATAGCGCTGTGTCGGATGTGGGTGTGACTATGCGGATGGTGGCGTGACGCGGGGGCTTGGCGACGAGCACCTGTGCAGGGCAGATGACGACCTCCTCGTCCCCAACGCCGTTATCGTCGCCCTTTTTAACTACGAGCGGGAAGAGTACCGTGCGGACGATGGCACGCTGGACTTCGTATTGGTCATTAGGGACCGAGTCTCCTGATCGTTCGTTCATGAGCGCCGCGTTGAAAGCGACGGTGCGTACTAGGTCGCCGTTGGCATCGTACTCAGGTTGTAATGGCGGTAGCATCATATATTCGGCCCGCTGAGTACGCATCTCGATTGAAAGGTCGACAGCTTCGCGCATGACACGGCGGAGCTGCGATTGTATTTGTGCCTCCAGGTTGGACGGAGGCGGGAGGATCATGCATAGGGTTTGGAAGATGGCCTGTACGACGGCCTCGGTGTCCTGGTTACGCTGATCACCAAAGGCTGGCCTCTTAGACAGTAGCGTCAATGTTACGGCGCGCCACTGGCGGACAGCATGCGGCGGTCCAACTTCTAATAGAAGCTTCTCTAGGGACTTCAGCTTCTGCCGGTGTTCCCGGTCCATGCCGAACAGGTAACGAGTAAAGACGAACTCCCAAATCATGTTCATAGTCATGGACATGAATATGTCGCGACGCCTCACTCGGTCGCTGAGGTATTCGTCAACGTCGGAGCCGTCTAAGACTGCGTTGTCTAATCGGTCGATAATCTTTTCATCGTTGATTTCGCTCGTCAATCGACAAGCACGCATGTCAGAAAATTTGGAGAAGCGAAGGACCCATTGCTGCACGTGTTGGCACAATTGTTGGCAGCGATGGTCAAAGTGATCTTCATCTTTGAGACGAAGGAAGTCTGCGTCGGGAGGTTTGTGGGCAAGTATTTGTCGTTGCATTTCCCTAACCTGCTCTTTGGTAACCTCGAGTTGAGCACGTAGCTCTTGGATCTCGCTGTCTTTTTCTTGTATTGTCCTATCGTAATTATCTTGAGCTAGTCGCAAGTTTTCGAGTTCTTTGGCTGCCGATGCGTGCTGAGATTCGAGGCGTTTGTACTTCTCATTGTGCTGATCGGCAAGGACGTTATTGGCGCTGTGAAGACCTTCATTAACCTCAGTTAATCGATTGACTTCCTTGTGTAGCCAGTCAAGTGAGGCCTTGAGACTTTCGATTTCGGCATCGCGCTCGGTGATGGCGGATGCAGTTCGATGGGTTATGCTTTGTTCGACGTGGGCCTTTTCGTCGGCAAGCGCGCGATTTTCGGCCACTAATTGCTCGACTCTCGATTCGAGTTCTAGAACCTGTATGCTTTGTCGGCGACGCATGCTCTGTGGTCGGGTTGGAGACCGTGGGGATCCAATGCGGCCCTCGCCGTAGCCATCCTGCATATGGGGGTTAGCAAATAGAGTAGTGGTCATGCTCGAATGATGTGTTTCTGTGTATAATATAATGTAGTTAATGTAATAAGGGAAGATGGATATTGGATAATGGATAATAAATACAATGGATAATAAATGAATAAATATAATATATAATTATTATGTACTCACGTATACGTCCGTCATGTCCTTGGCTCGGACACGGCCCTCATTAGCCACGGGTATGGGTTTGGTGGGTTTGGTCTGCTGAAGTTGTTGTTGGGTCTGGGTCTGGTGGATATTTTCTCTCGAGCCCTTGTTGTTATTGGAGAGGTTGGAGCTCAAAGATCTCAGGTCACCGCTCATTCGTTTACCCGTGCGTCGGAGTGCAAGGGGTGGGGTGTTGGAACCTGATCGAAAATTACGGCCGCCTGGACTTTCAGGCCGAAATGGCAGCGGTTCTGGTGTCTTTAACCGTGAAATGCTCGTATTGGATGCAGACCGCCTTGGTTGATTTTCCGTCCGCGCTGTTGATCCTGATCCTCCTCGACTTATAGTTTCTGATACGCTTCTTTGCCCGACATCTTGACATTTAACATCTTGGGATTTCGACAAGCGCGTTTTCCTAACATCTATAGTATCTCGAGTATCTTGAGTATCTCGTACCTCATCTTGACTGCGAGCAATTGGTGTGCTTAAATCTGGCGCCTCGCTTCCCAATCCTAGCTTTTTGCTTCTTTTTTCATTCGGTTGGGGAGTGCGAATTACACTGCTTTTGTCTTCTAAGCCTGCAGTTTTTTGGGGCGTCTTTTCTGGCCAATCGCGCAAATGCACACCGCTGTCGCGTACGCTTAATTCGGCCACCGAACTACGCCGCATCGGATTTGGTGAATCTGTTACAAATCCGCTGTCCCTATTCACCTGTGTAATAATCGACGTCTCGTTTGTAATCCCGTCGCCTCGATTCCGTCCTTCATTTTGTACTTCTTCACCCGTCTCTTCCTTTACTGGAGGAAGGACGCGGGGTGAATTGCGTCCGGAATTCCCGTAGTCTTGAATTAAAGGCCTTGAACTTGGTGACTTTAGTAATACTTCGTCGATTTTGCGCTCCGCTGTTGGTTCCGAAGGTTCACTGGTGTGCTCCGATGTGTCTAGATCGTCTAGCCTTTTTATGATTTCAGTAGTAGGTGGCTCTCTCGACGCTGGGCCTTCACGACTAGCGCTGCGAGGTTCCGGTAAGCTCTGTTGTACTTCTCTTCCTACTACTGGGCTCTCAATTTCCGAGGAAACGCCTCCATATGTCGGGAGATTTCCTGATGGCTCTATCTCCTTAAGATCAGAAGATGGTGCCTCTTTTTGCTCATCTGCCACTGTGCTCGGCCCAGTCTCTTGATCGCTTGCATTAACCTCTGCATGCTTATCCTCCAATACCTTGGGCTCAGAGATTTCTGAAACTACACGGTTATCAAGTATGCCTTGAGTGTCTGGCGTTTTCATGTTGGCATACTTCTCAGTTAAATGTGCAGCCTCTCCAGTCGAGGACGCTGCAGGCATAATATCCGGAACCGCAGAGTCTGCATCCTTATGCATATTCGTCGCCTTTTTAGACGAATGAAAAGATTCCATAAGGATAGCTGCAATCTTACGTGCTGGTGTGGTCGTATCTTGAACGGGGTTTGGCTGCCGAGCCTCAGGCTGAGCTGCAAGAGGGGTTTCTTCTTCTATATGCCCGGGATTTAATTGAGTTAACTGCGATTCTGCGGGCGAGGTAGAAATATTCTCATCCATTGCTACCAGTGGTGCATTGACTACGAATTTTCCAGTTGTGTCTTCTGGAGTGTCGTCATGAGGTTGAATCTCAATTGAAGGTTGTCCTTCAAAATATGAAGTGGCAATCTCTCGTCGTGGTATGAGCGCCGGGAGTAAACCAGAAGTGCTAATTTGCTTGATACCACCATTTTCTTCGACGTCATGGGAGTTTTCGGCCTTTGTAATTAACTGAGATTCAAGATAAGAGACTGCAATCTCTCGGCTAGGAGTGATGTCATGCGAAACGAGATTGTTATCACTGGTTTCTGCCATGTATGATCCTGCAGGTGGTAACAGCCCGCGGGCCTCGTAGCCTGAGCTCTCGGTATTTCGAGCAAGTTTGAATTGGCTTGGAAGGAGTTCAGATACTGTAGGGTCACCGCTGGACAAATAAGTTCTAATCCTCTTGCCTGGCTGCGGTGACTGATCGAATGGGCGCTCATGTTCTATATGACTGCTTAGCTGGGCCGGCGAAAGGTCAACATTGACCGTGTGTGCGGCAACCGTTGACGGAGTCCGAGGAGGGGTGACAGGCCCCGGTAACTCGACGTGGTCTAAATTGTCTTGTCTGGTTTCGCTAAGAGGCCCTTTGCCAGGATGGCGCTCCGATACGGGCGACGGCAGTCGAGTGATTTCCGGAACTTCTACGCTGTTCTCGTCGGGGTGACTGATATTGATGTTTTCAGCATTTTGATCTTGGTCTTTCGGCTTGGGGGGGATTCCTTCTTCGACGTCCTTTGCTTTAGAACCTTGCCCTTCGACTTCTGAGATATTTTCTGGAGTCAGTCTTCTCGGGGCGTTCTCTTCTGCTACTGTATCCGGAGAAGCGTTTGCCAGTACATCTTCTATGGACTCTAGAGGAGTAGAAGTGCCCGACGCTTTGCGGCGTGTCTCGTCTTGTGGGGGATTATTTGGGGATTTTAGCCACTCACCCTCATTTACCGTTGTCCTTTCCAGTCCCTGAGCCGCGGGCTCCCCTGTGATGATGTCGCTTGAATTATGACCTGTATTCGGCTTTTGACTTACAGGCGTCTGGGTTCCCGAGCCTGTTTCTAATCCGGTTTGGGCATTCATTCTTTTCTTTTTCTTGTCCCTTTTCGACTTCTTGCGGCTAATGGGGGAAGGCTGAGGTTCCGGTTCTTTTGGCGCAGAAGGGTCGAAATCGAGTTGTTCATTGATAGGCAATTCTTGCTGCTCGGTGGCGCTTATCTCAGGTGTCTTGATGGGCTCCGGAATTTTATCCGACTCCATAGGCAACTGCTCTTCGCCTGTTAAAGGTTCCGTGCTGGCTGTCGTCTCATCTTGCTTTTCGATATCTGGCAAACTTTGCGACTGCGGGTCGGAATTCGGGATTCCAGTGCTTGGTTCAGGAGTATTGAGTATCAGAGCTTCTTTTCCTTTCTCGAGATCTTCGACAGGGATATCGGGCAAAGCTTCCTTTGATTCTTGTACGTCGCGTGCGCCCTCGCCTATAGCATTGGGAGTTCCATCCAAACGTGTATCCTTGGTTATATTTTCCACTTCAGAAGTTATCAGACCCGGCTCGGAGCTGGGAGCTAAGCCATCTTGGTCGGTAGCCGCACCTATTTCTTCACCAATTTTTTCAGCAAGATCTCCGACCTGCCCTTGGATAGGTTGGATCGAGGATTCAGCCTCTACTGTTGGCAACTGTAAGCCCTCTTCCTGAAGACTCGTCGATGTGGTATTCGTGATAGGGGCATTTTGCACTTCCCAATTTGGATTTACTGGCTCCGGGGGTGGTTCTGAGGGGCCTGGCACTGTTTTAGGCACTGCTGGCTCATCCTTGACCTTCAAGTCAGGTTCGGGCTGAAACAGCTCGGCGGCTAGAGCGGCTAATTTTTTCATCTTTCGCCTTTCCTTCTTGGACATTTTGCTACCAGAAGATTGAGAGGGATCTTCTCTGGATTTCTCTTCCCCCCTCGGGGCTGTTGTATGTTCTACCTTAGGCGAAGCGTCGAGTTGTTCCTGGCTCTCTTGTATGGGAGACTCTTCGGGAAAGATTGGCTGTGCTTGTGATTCTAGAGGGGCCGTAGCGCTAGACTCAGGCTCCTGGCTGACCTGGCTTGCTTTCTTCTTCTTTTTCTTGGATTTTTTACTTGTAGCCACCTCAGGCAAGGCGTCTTCGGGTACAGCATCTGTGGCGACTGTGGACGTATCATCAACGATTAGCTGACTATCGAGGTGTTGGGATTGTTCTATTGGTTCTGATGAGGGCACGGTTCTTGGTGTAGGTTCCGCTTCAAGTTGACTGGCTTCCTTCTCCCCTGACTTGGACTCTGATTTTGTAGGCACTTCGGGGAGATCTGTATTTTCGTTGTCTTTCGAGGCCGTCGTAGGCTCTTGTATACTCAGGAGACTTTTGAATGAGTCGGTAAGCCCCCCAAAGAAACCCCAGCTCGCCCGGTGCTCAGCACGTTGGTCCACAGGCTGCTCTCTTGACTGCTTTGGTAACTCCTTTTGAGGTTGAGTCTCAACTAGCTGCGTGCTTTCTGTTGCGAGTTCTGGATCGGTATGATTAACTCTCTTCTTATTGCTTTTCTTAGACTTCTTTGTCAGCGTAGACTCAGTTTCATCTAAGATGACGGGGAGCTCCTGGACCGGGTTTACGGAACTTCCTAGCTGTGTAGGTTCTTCTGTTTGAGCTAGCAACTCCGGCTCTGAGCGTTGCGTAGACTCTTCAGGCTGTACCGGGTCTTGCTGTGCAGGTGCTTCTACCTCCGAAAGACTATGTGGCGCAGAAACCAATTGCTCGGACTCGCCTCGTTGAGCAAGCTCTTCTAGCTTGGGTAGTTCTTCCTGGTTTAACGGTTCCTCCGTAGCTATTGGCTCCTCTAATTGTGCAGGCCCTTGTTTTGGCGAATCTTGGGTTTGCATAGGTTCTCCTGATACTACGGCCTTTAGTTGGGTAGATTCTGCTGGTTGTAAATTTTCTGACTCAGGGAACTCCTTAAGCTGTACTACTTCAGCCGGAGTTTCGGAAGCGATAGGATCTAGGATCTCATGCTTTTCGTCTGACTGGACTGGTCCCTGGGACACCGGCTCCCCTCGCGAAGGAGTTGAGGAAACAAGATTGATCTGCTCTTCCGGCACCTGGCTAACGGTCTCTGGCTGGACGACTTCCGACTGGGCGGTATCTTCGGTGTTGGGCTCCTCGGAGGTAGGGATAGTGGCAATATTTTCGGCAGGGGTTTGGTCTGATGGAGGAATGTCAGACTCTGATAACGTGCCCCTTTCAACCTGCTCCTCGACAATCTGGGGTGGTGCCACTGTAGGAATATTCTCGGTAGAAAGTCTATTATCCTGTGTATTTACAATCGGAGCCTCCTCGATACTGGTGGACTCAACTGGTGCTTCGGGCAAGCCGGTCGAGGGACTCTCTTCAATGGGAACCGTATCTTCAATGCTCGTAAGAGGTACATCGGGTGGTACATCGGTTGATATGACTTCCATAGGCGACTCTAGCTGCTGGGGGATGGAATCCGGTTCCGGTTCGGCTAGAATCTCGGCCTCAAGTTCGGGCTCCTGGGTGCTTGGCTCCTTCTCCTCATCGTCTTTTTGGCTAGATGTTAGAACTGCGGCGTCCTGATCTGCTAAATTTTCTGGAACGGAGAGCTTTTCTGCATTGACCGGCTCGATCGCGGACGTACTAGCTGCTAGATCGCTATTGAGTTGAGCTGATTCTTGTTGTGAAATTGCCTCATCTTGTCGTAGACTTGCGCGCTTCTTTTTCTTGTTCTTTTTGCCTTTCTTAGCAGGAGCCGCCTCCTCAACCTTTTCGTCCTTTAAGTTCTCGAGTGTTAAGTTTTCAGTCTCTGCAATTTCACTTATGCCTGGTTGAGCTGCAGACTCAAATTCTGCTTGATTTTGTTCTTGTGACTGTACATCATGTGAACGACCAACATCCTTGACTTCTGTCTCTTTACTTTCAATAGGGCCAGGATCAATAATGTCTGCACCTTCGGGACTTTGCTGGGGGATAGATCTGCCAACATCCGTCCATTCGTTATCGTCTGTTGTATCCATAGACACTTGACTCCGTTCGACTTGGGCGGCATTCTCCTCGTGGGAATTGCCTCCCTTGGCTTTCTTTTCTTTCTTATCCTTCCTGGGAGAGACAGGTTCATCCAATTTTCCTTCCGTCGAGGTTTCTGTAGGAGCTGGGACTTGAATCTCGCTTTGTTCGTCTGTTGATAGCACCACTGGACTTTCCTTGGCCGCCTGCTCTGGAATTTGCTCGGATAGGTTGTCATCTAGAAGGGTTAGTTTATTTTCTTCACCTTCCTTATCCTCCTTAGAGACGCTCTCGGAGCCCCTAGGCTCCAGCTCTACAATTTCCTTAGCATTGGCTACGGTAGACTGATTGTTTGTGGGAGATCTAGAATCATCTTGTTGGACTATCGTAATTGCGGTTTCGGTAGGCTCGTCCACTCTGTCCGAGGGCGGGAGAGAAAGCTCTTCGCTAATTATAGGTATAGCGCTCTTCGTAGGATTTATTACTTCGTCGGCGGTTGCTGGAATACTTGGGGCGGAATCGGTAGTTTCTTGGCTTGGTATAGATGTCATATCGTCTTGGAAGATTGACTGGCTTCCTCGCTTTTTCCCTTCTTTGATTTTCTTTGGCCTGGGCGTGACCACTTTCCCCAGGCTTTCGTCGTCGCGTACAGGCTCAGCCACGGGTTCTTCCTCTAGCATAGCGTTTTCAGTTAGATCATTGGTTTGTCGAGTTTTCTCCTGGTCCTGGACATTTGTAACTTCTCCACTTGGGGCGATCTCAGGCCTGATTATCAACATATCGTCACCTGCCTTGTCTGTTTGAACTCCTGGTTCCTGCTCGGAGTCTTGAGAATGGACGGTTGTACCCGTAACATCCGATGCTCGTGGCTCAGTCTCTTTCGTTGTAGAAGGAGAGATATCTAATGTGCCAGTCGCGGTCTTGCTCGTTCCGGGGGTAGGTAAATCGGATAGGCCAGGCGGGGCTTGCTCAGTCAGGTGTGGCTCCGTCTTAATCTCTTGAACCAAGGGTGGATCCAAAGGCATCACATCTTGCGGTTGACTGCTCTCGGGAGTAGGGGATTGCGGCTGTTCGGTCGGAGGTTCTATTGGTAAGGGGGGCGATTCGGGTTCTCGTTCCTGTACTTGGCTAATTTCCTTCTCCTTTCCCTTGTCCTGATTTATAGGGCTCTGTGGGTCATCTTGATGCGGCTGAGACACCGACTCCACTGGTTCAGCTATCACGGGAGGTTCTGACGCGACTTCACCTATATTAGTTTGATCTTGCGATATAGTCGATGGTATTTCGACGAGGTCTGAGGAAGGGGCCTCCGTACTTGACTCGGTCATCGGCACCACTGCTCCTATTGTAGAATCGAGCGCGTCTTGATCTTCGCTCTCACCCTCTTCCACAATGGTTGGCAGTATTTCTATAGTGCTTTGAGTCTTGTCCTCGGTTACTGGGTTGGACTCAGCCTGTGAATCGCTGAGGATGGCATGCTCTGTAAGAGGGTTCGACAGATTATCCTCGGAACTAGTAGGCATGGCTCGAGTTGGCTCGCCGACTTGAGAGGTTGCTAAAACGCTGTCATTTGTCAAACTTTCTGAAGGCTGTTCAATTTTATCCTGCGGCTCGAGGACTGCCGTAGGGCTGGCTTCAGTAGGGGGAGTATCTTGAGCAGGCAGAATTGGTATGACTTGGGATTCATCCTGGGTAGAAGGCTTATGGACAGCGTCCGCCTCAATAGGTAAATTGGCATTCGCATTTTCTTGCGCCGCTAGTGCGATTTCACTTGAGGGTTGTTCAACACTATCGCGCTCGTGCTTTGATGCATCCTTTGCTAGTAGATTGTTTTGGGCTTCCATTGAATCTTCTGCATCTTCTTGGGGGGCTTGCACTTGGGTACCTGCAGCAACGTCGAAATCTTTCAGGTCTGGCCCGTCTCGTATGTCGTCAAGGGTATTTGATTGAGTCTTAGCCTCAATATGCTGGATAAGCTGATCTAATGGGTCTATCGGCTGGCCCTGAGATGGTTCTTGCTGAGCCTTCGACGCATCACCAAAACTGTCCGATACCTCCTGAGAATGGACCTCGGATTCCGGTAAGTAATCCGGTGGGGGCGGTACGTTGATAGAGGCCCAGTCGGGGTTGAAGGTTGTGTCAGGTGCAGGGGTCTCACCGACCGGTTCTACCGAAGTCTCCATAGGTTCCTGTTCGAGTGGTCCAGGGAATTGGGTGCTCTGGGGCTTTTCTTGGTCCTTCTCAGATCCTTCAATGCTAGGTGGATTCGGATCTAGACCGAAATTCTCTCCGGTTTGCATAGTATCCTCAGACACAACACCTGGCTCGGTTGATATCTCTGGTAAGATAACAGATGCTGGTGTTTCCTCAGTATCAGTAGGGATATTTTCAGGTTTCTCGTCCGTTTCTAGTTGCTTAGTCGTCGGCGACACGTCAGTATCTTCTTTCGCTTGAACTACTTCGGTGTCGTCGCTAATCCTATCAATGGCACGTTGAGTAGGTGAAGTTACTTCCTTGTCCGCATCACCCCGCGCATCCAGAATTTCCGGTGTTTCCTGGGGAATATCGTTAGTGACAGTCTCGACTTGGATAGGACCACGCTTTTCTTCGTCCTCGTCTTCCTTGCCAGGGGTAGACTTGGACTCGGGAGCTTGATTTTCCACCTGAGTGACAGCCGTCACGTCAACTTCGTTAACTTCGGGAGCGGGAAAGTGGGGGGGTGGTTTGCTATCAGCGTCTGTCTCCACGATCGTGGGCTCCCCCACAGATTTCTTAGATTCCTCAGATTCTAGTTCTCCACTCAATGTAGGTGCATCGACTACATCGACGGTATCCACTTGGCTTTCCTCCCTCTTCTTTTGGGATTCTTTGCTCGAACTATCTGGTTCAGACGAAACAATATCCGCAATTGGCTCAGCTTGTTCTATAACTTGCTCCTGCACATCCTCTACGGTTGATTGAGGTACAGAGGACTGCTCCTCCGCGATTGACGCATCCAATTCATTATCGAGGTCTTGGGACGGCATTTCGGGAACATCGCTGACGACTCGAGGCTCGCTAACATCAGCTTCAAAGGGCGTTGGTTCGGCCGCCGGTTCCGGATTGGGGCTAGCTATTACAGAAGTGTCAACTACTTCTGACGCATCTTGACTCATTTCCTTGCTTTCCCCCTTCTCGCTGCCGGGTTTCTCTGGTGATTGAGTCATTTCCGGTGCCTCTTCATTGACCACTTCGTTAGAAAGACTCGGTAGTTGGGCGTTATCGATTTCCGGGGTTAAACTTGGTGCTTCCTCCGCTGCTTGGATTGGTACGGCTGATTTGTCTTGCTTGTCCTCTGGACTCTCGCTCCAATCGGGCTTAGAAAACGGAACATCGGTCGGATCGGTTGACGCAGGTCCTTGCCGGTCCCAAGTATCTTCACCGCCAAGTATATCGCGCTTCAGTGGTGATTCATCCACTTTAGTGTCCTTTAGTGATGCCGAGCCGCTTGATTCCTGTTCGACCGAGCGCTGCAGATTAGTTTCAGTCAACGTGGGCTGCTCATCATGTTGTTCTCCGTCCACAATGGAAACTTCAGGCTTTATAGAATCCTCAAGCGATTGAGTCTCTTCTAAAACTGATTTCGATGCCAATTGCGGCTGCTCAGCTTGCCCAAGAACAGGGACCGTAGACTGAAGATCGTCGTGGCTATCAACCGCGAGGTTGCTCAATATTGGCCCCACTGGCTGGTTCGGAGAAGGCATTTCTCGTGATGTCTTCTCGTCATCCCGACTGACTTCGCTGTGCTTTGTAGGTTCTTCTTGGAGCACTTGTTCGCTAATCGATTCACTTTCGGAGAATAGATTTGGCTGCTGTTCAGTTTGTATCGGGCTAGCTAGTGCTTCTACGAAGCCTTCCACCGGAGTATCGGGTTGCTGGTCCTCGACTCGCACTATTGAAAGAGACGGTGATTTAGAAAGAGGCTGGCCCTCTTCTTCCGTGGCCGGCATTTGTTCATCAATAACTTGGTCCTCCAGCTTAGGTACTGTTGTTTGTGTCTTGTTCTCCTCCTTCTCGGACGTCTCTATGGTAGGAATTTCCTCGGGCGAGTCTAATTGGCCATCACGCAGTTTTGGTGAAGTAGCTTCTGGTTGATCTTGACTAGAGATTTGCGGGTCAACAGGAGGTATATGGGGACTCTCTACGCTGGTCTCCTGTGTCAACCCCTCGGCTTCTTTAGTTGGCTCTTCAACAGAGGTGGCAGGTTCGGCTTGTTCATTCTCCAATAGTGGCCGCTGTATATCCTCATTTTCCTCATCTTTCTCGGAGGCACCAGGAGAAAGCTCTGGGATTGTCTCAAGTTGTTCCGGCTTCTCTAGCTTGGCATTGGGCAGGGCTGGTTCTTGTTCAGAGGCTGACCCTACTCCAATAATGGTAGGAATCTCGTTTTCGATACGATCTTCTCCAGCGCTCGGCTCAGTTTCCACCGTACTTGCTTCGCCGCTTGGAAGTACTGGTTCAGGAGTTGCTATTGGCTCAGTAGAGGATATCTCTGGTTCAGGAGCAGTAGGCTTCTCAACAGCGACCATATCCAATGAGATAAGAGCTGACTCTAACGCTGGCTCTGGCTCTGCGTGTAGCTTAATCGTAGGACTGTTTGCTTCAACCTCAGGTACCTTAGACTCAGGTAGGGCTGGCTCTTCAGAATTAAAAGTGAGTTCTTCATCAGTGGCCGGTTTCTTTTCGGCCAAAGGCAATTGCTCGGGCGTCAGTGTTTCGATCGATTCATTATCCTCTACATCTTCTTCCGAGGCCCTTAGTGCATCTTTTGTAGCAACATAAGCCGGTACAGAATCAGCCTGTCCGGTAGGCAAAGTTCGCTCGTATGTAATGCCACTGAGAATTTCATCTTGGAACGGAGTAACTTTTGTAGTAGTCGAGCCCGCCATTGATTCTTGGATCTCGCCTAATCCCCTTTCCTGTATTTTATCGTCGTCTTGAGCATTGTCTAGCGAACCACTAGATTCTAGAGGTCCATGATCACCCGCGTTACTCAGAGCGGTATCGAAGGTATCGGTCGAATCTGGCGTTTTACTTCCGGGAAAGAAGTCCGAAACGGGGAGAAGCTCGTACGGTGTTTCTACGGAAACAGTAGCCTCATTGGCCTGGCTTGAGCTACGGTCATCGGATGTGATCCTAATTTCTGGTTCTCCCATGATAGGCATCGCTGCTTCCGTTGAAGCAACACTATCCTCCAAGTTACCTTTGAGAAGGACCTGGGCTGAGTCACCTTGATCTCCGATTTTAGGGGCCACTAAGAAAGTTGGTGAGCTGAAAGGATTATGAGAATCATCCTCAACAAGCTTCAAGTCTGACTCTTCAGGGAGAGGTGACAAGTGAGAACCATCCGTTCTATTATTTCGGTGGAATGAAGCTTCGCTAGGTAGCTGTTTGAAGGCACCTTCATGAAGTTGGATGGTTTTCTCAGCTGCATGCGAGGTTTCCGGTTTTTCTGTTGATATCCCCACTGGCGATGACAATGGCCCGGAAAAGATATTATCGCGGAAGGGGTGGTCTCGATCGGGGGATTCTAGAATTAGGTGAGCCGATGAAGGCGAGCCTCGCTCGCGAAGTTCAGACCCCGAAGGCGAAGATTCTCTCTCGGGAGAGCTCGATAAGTCGATCGATCCCCGTAGGGCCCTCTGAAGAAGAAGTAAGGGTTTGAAGTCCCGAGAGGCTTCCCAGGATGCCGGACGGGAACGATTCTTAGATTCGCTTCCGAATTCTACAGTAGCAGTGATTGGTGACACTGACGGTGAAGATGATTTTCCATTGCTCGGTGTATGCCTATGCCCCGGACGGAAGAATTGGATGGGTATCGCGCTTTGACTAGGTGTTTTTGGCCTTGTCGGTGTTTCGAGGGTGCTGCGACGACGAGTATGAGTAGGTGCCTCGCGCGAATGTCGTTCATGCTCAGGTGTCTCAGGACGGCTTTCTGGTAGAGGTGGAAAGTCATCACTAAGCTTAGGGAGAGGAGATTCAGAGCGACTTGGAGGTAAGGGTAACAGGTCACCGTGTTTAGGATCTATGGCAGGTCGAATTTGCCGCGGGACAATCTCGGGGTCGATAGTCTCTGCTTCTCGCGATAAAGTTGATTGTCTCTGGGGAGTGAAGAGAACAATTTGGGGTTCCTCATCCAAAGGAGCATTGGTGGCATTTGACTGGGGCTCTTGGGACATGATGGCATCGCCCGTCGAGCCGACAACTGCGCCAAGGATGCCGGCATTACCTAAAAAAGGATCATTCTTGCCCTCATCCAATTTGCGTAGAGGTTCCTTTTCTTCTGCTATCCCTATTGAAGATCTTAAGCGGCCGAAGAAACCTGTATTTCCACTGCTCTTTTTATCTATATCCGCTTTAGAGCCTTTGCGGTCCTTTTTATTAGCACTACTCGGAGTGGAAGTCACAACTTTAGCTTGGTCCGCCTTGTCATCCCTGATCTGGGTACCAGTCGGTTGGTTATCGTCGGAACAAGCTTGGTTCGGAACTATAGAGTCAGTATCACGATCTAAGATCTCAGATCGGTCCTTTCCCTTATCGGTTGGCCCTCCTTCAGTAAAATTGTTCTTGTTTTCAGGCAAATCAGCAGGAACGCTTCTTCTTTTCTTGCTCTTCTTCCGGGAATCATCGATACTCCCGTCAGAGGCCGGCGCTGCCCTTGACGGCGTCGACAGCGGATCAGGATAGGAATCCCGTTTCGATCTCTTGGAACTTCCCACGGAGGCTTCAGATGGAGCTACCGACTGGGGCGTTGAGGGCCGATCTTCATATGGAATCGAACTACGCGTAGATTTCTTCGATTTCCTCAGTATATCTAACTCCCCTTCTGTAGCGGCTGGAATTTCGCTATGTATATCACTGACGGATTCGGTCATCTCCTTCGGGCTATCATAAAGATCTTCAGCAGGAAGCGCTACGCGCGATAAGGAGTCGTGAACACTGGGGTCTTGCGTGGACTTATTCTTTGACTCGTTGAACGAATCCCAGTCTTCGAGAGTAGCCTCCGAGATTGGTACAGACCTAGGTGGTGAATCATATACCCTATTATCTCGCCTCGACTTCTTTTTGCTCTTTTTTGGCGTATCCCACTCCTCTTCGGTGTCGACAATACTATCCGCGGTATCAATTATTCCGTAAGAGCTTGCCGTTGAAAGTTCTGATGGCAAGACCGTCCTTGAAAAAGACCCACCCGAGTCTCGCCTAGCCCTCCGGCTACTCTTTCTTGAACTACCAGATTCGTCGTCAGGAGTAAAAAAGACATCCGCCCCAATAGGCCCCATCGGTCCGTTCTTCGAAGGCTCGGGCTTCGGTGTGGGTATTGAAGGCGAGTTATATCTCTCCAAATCACGCTTAGATCCTTTGTCGTTCTCATCTAGACGATCTGATGTGTCAATCTGCACGGTATTGACATTTTGTACATCCTGAGAACCACCCACTGGAGCTACGGCCTTGGGGTTCTCTATAATGCCAGGTTGTCTCGGATCCTCTTGGACAACGACAGCCTTTTTCAACTTCTTTGACCTTTTCTTAGGTGAGATGTCTTCCTCTTCAGCGATGAATTCTGCCTCTAGATCTTGCTCGTTTCGGGGCTTATTGTCGATTGGTGCATCATCCAACGATTGAGCTCTTGCTGCTTTCTCGTGTTTCTTTCTCTCCTTTTTGCTGTACTTATTCGAGAGCACATCCCAGTCGTCCTCTGTGACAGATCTCGAGAGCTCTGCAGCCCTACTGTCATCGACCATAGCATGGGGCTCTTCGGCGCCATCTCGTTCAGGGGCCTTGTCCCGCTTGTGCTGCTCTGCTCTGTTGGGTTCGGAAAGAATTCGTGGTTTATCGGACGAGATATCCCTCCCGTCAGATGGCGTCTCGACTTCCCCAATAACGAAACCATGTTCCCGGCCACCCTGCGAAGCGGTAGTCCTCGGACCGTCAACTGTTCCCAAGTCGGCCACTGATTCCACGAACGGTGCTTGGTACACGCTAAAGTCGTTCGACCCAGGCGGTGAATCGCGTTTATGAAAATTCGCATCATCGATAACGATATTGGGGTCAAACCCATTGCCTTCAAGGGCGGCGGCTACATTTGCTGTAAAAACCGGGTCTTCCGCAAATGAACCCGGCATCTGGGCGCCCTTTAGGTTGGAGGGTTTGGGACCAGGGATAGGTGGGCTATCATATGCGCTTTTGAATGGGACCGAAGCTCTACGATTTGCGGGTTCGTCTCCGTTCCTCGAAGCTTTCTTAGGCTCGGTCGCTTCAACGACAGTAGTCTGCCCTGATGTACTCGAAGACGCTTTTCTATTGTTACCGCCGCCGAGAGTTGCTGCAATGAATCCTAATCCCCAAGGACTCTTCTTCCCGGCCCGACTTCTCGGAGGTTTAGCAGGCGTCACAATCTTAGTCCCCGAATACGGGTCATCCTCTCTCTCCGGACTCTCCACAACGTAGCGTTTTGTTTGATTCTCTCCCCAACTGACAGATTTTGCTAACAATGGCGCCGGGGCTACTTCGCTTCGAGATTCAGTAACTACGTCAGGTATGACCTTGGGGGGAGGAATGTCAATCTTCTTGACAAGCTTAGGAAGAGGTTCTCCCGCGCGTCGCTGTCCTTCCGGGATTGGTGTGGGAACAGGCGTAGGCCGCACGACATTAAGCATTGGCCGCTCTCGCTCAGCGGAAGGGTCTCTCGCCGTGAATACCGGGATCTTGGTGAGACCTTTGATATCTGGCGCTCGAAAACGAGAAAGCTCATTAGGATGTTCTAGAACATTATCAATGCGGACATCAGCATCAGGTGCATCGTAGGCGCTCTTCTTCTTCGCGTGGTCCATTCCTGGGGGCGACACAACATCCACAATCATCGGTTGCTGCTCCTGCTTCCACTTGTCCACAACCGAAGGCTCGGCATCCCGTATCTCTGCGTCCCTGATTCTGCGCGCAAGTTCTGCTTCCCGGTAATAACGGTCAGCATCTTCTTGGACAGCATCTTTTTCACGTTTTGGAGAATCATCCCGTCGCGACCTATTCCTAGAGCTAGCATCGCCACCTCGGCTACGACTACGTCCACGGCGATCTTCAGCCATCACCGCTGCAGCGGCAGCAGCAAACGCAACCCCGCTTATAGGAGCTGTCGCGTGCTCAGCAGTTTGGTATATTTCATGTGCATCACGAAGTTCCCGCTCATAAGAATCTCTCCGACTAAGTCGTTCCGGGGAAAAATTGGGTTCTCGATCTACAGTTATCACATTCGGCGTTAGGGGTCGTTTCGGGGTCGTGTAAGGAGGAGTCTGAAAAGCATCATCAGCTACTTGAAACTGAAATGGATCAATTGGACCCTCTCGCGTAGGATACTCGGGGCCATTCACAAGTTCGTAACTTCGCACATCAGAGCGATTGGCACCATCTTCGTCGCGGCATTCCTTTTCGTAAGTCTTTACATGGTCGATATTCCGCTCATCTTCTGGATCGTTTTTACGCTTGTTACGCGTCAAGTCGTGATCAGAGTTATCGTCATTGTACTCATCACGACGACGCCCCTCCTCTTCAGACTTTCGTTTTAATTCAGGCACTATCATCTCCCGGTAATGCCAATCTCTTTCAAACTCTAGACCATTTCCAGATCGCGTTTCTCGAGGTAATTCAGCGAGATCATTACGAGCCGGAGGCAGGTTATCATTATCATGACTCTTACGCTCTTCGCCCTTCCGAGCCTGGATGCCAGCGCCCGAACGCTTCGACCGGCGCTCATTATCACGATCACGCTTCTCTTCGAGCTTGTTGTGGTCATCTTTACGATCAGAGCCCGGTGCAACGACATTGTCCTCAGGCACTTTTTCAGATGGTGCATGCTCTGTGTATCCAGAGCCCGTTTCCACTGAGTCGAGAACCCTCCTAGGGACCTGCACTATTGGCCTTGGATGTTGTATGGGTACCGGTGCAGGCCGAAGCGGGGCAGACAAGTCCTGCTGGCTAGACACGACAGGACCATTATAAACATCAAAGCGTTTTGGATCAGACGTCGGAGCCGGATATACCAGTCGCAACGGGCGATGATCAGGTGCAGCTTCACTAGGGGTTATTGTGGGAGTTATTGAGGGTTCGTACGGTCGTGGAGATCCAACAACCGTAGATCGGTCAACCGTTTCAAACCCACAAGGAGCCTCAACATAACCTCGGAGCGAATTTACGGGTCCGAAGAGGTTCGGATCGACCACCGAAGATTTCCGGCGGAGAGGGGGGCCATAAACTGAAGCTTTAGATGGACGGGGTGAACGGGAAGAGCTAGGGGTACTCCGACGGGGAATAGGCTGGTTAATAGTATTAGGCAGGCTAAGTCCCGAGGAGCCATAGGCAAGGCCGGAGTCAAACTCGCTAGACGACGACTCGTCTTCAGAAGCAGATTCCCACTCCGAGTCATCTGAAGAATCATCAAGGCGGGGTTTAGAGCTTCCAACCCCCTTGTTAGAGTTCCCGCTATTTGTTCGACGAAACTGACTCAGGGCCGCCGCAGCACCAACCAATGTCGACGGCCGGCTCCTCCCAGCTGCTTTAAGGTCCTCGGCATTTTGTTGTCTAGCAATCTCGGCAAACTTTCTTCCTAATTCAAGTATTTCTTCGTCCGTCTGATCATGTCGCGGACGCGGCCTACCAGCACTGCTACTAGGAGGGCTGAATTCGCGACTCCTCTGCCGTTCGACGTACCCTTTTCCATAGGCAAGATCCGATCCTACAGATGACGAGGAAGAATTCCCAAAGCGTAGAAAACGGCTACGCTTCTTTTTTACACGATGTTGCTTCCGCCCACTGCCACCGCCACCGAAGAACGCGCCAAGCCCGAATCTCCTAGAGGGACGGGAGATATTTAACAAGGAGGAAGAAGTGGAGGATGACGATGAAAGGGGCGAAGGTGCACGTGATCGAAGGTGTATGAGTTCGTTTCGTTCTTCGGGAGGCGGTGCAGGTAGTGTTATTTGTTGATTCCGAAGTTGCTCTCTAGAATCGCGCCGTTCTTTGCGCCGGCGGCGAGAGGATTCGGGGCTCCGCCGGCGATGATGCTCTCGGGTCATCATCTTACAGGATTAGACTCGTTACGTATGGTCGAGTCCATTCAGAAAACACTCTCGAACGATTAATAACAAAGAGTGTACATTAATTAAGTTGGTATACCGTCGCGACGGGCCAAAAATAGAGTATAACGATGTTTTGTTTAGATCCCGATTACAACTGTGGGGACATATAGGAAACTATCAAGGACTGGGAAATGACTTAAAACCGAGCTGAAGGATGGTACTGTAGCAGTACTATGTACTATAAAGAGAAAGAGTTGCTTTGCTGCCAGATAGCCCCACATAAGGCGGCTAACACTCCTATGTAATTGCTGATGAAGGGGTGGCTGGGGAGGTCTTTCCTTTCCTTCGCCTCTTTCCAATTCTTGTCGCATAATAATTTAAAAAGTTGGATGGAGGCCTTCAGCTGTTTCCAGGGCGGGGATTCGGCGATAATGCTATCACGTGGGTTACACCTGAATGCCGTCCTACCACTGGCTGTTATCAACCCAATTGTAACCGTCTATCAACAAATCGATCTTGACATTAATATGGACTGCCACGTCAATATGCTGCAGGTTGGCCACTCTGCCACTCTCTTCCGCCCACACAACACTAAAGCATAAGAAAGCATTAGCATATTTACCTGCCTACCTACATACAAGCTGCAGCTAGAGTCCGTTAGCCGAGCAGCTGATTTAGGTACTTACTACCTAGGTATTCAATAAGTCCTCTTGATTCGACTATATAAATGTGTAGCACCCGATTATCAGTAGTGTATCCCGAGGAAATTCGTCTACTCATACCGAAGATGCCACATGTATTTATACCGGTGGCACGAAGGCTGTCATTGACATTTGATTTTATTGTTTCTACTCGGTATGTTTCAATCGGGCTGTACGGATCCGTACAGCTGAGACTAGACATACAGACATACAGTCCACTACATACGTGTCTTGGAAGCCTGATTATCACCGTCACCAGTATTGACGGCCACCGTGGCAAGCGGCGACATTCACATGTGTGTCTTGATAATGCCTAGAGGTAAATGCCTAAGACAGTTCGGTATCAGCCAGCTGTATCCCCGCCTTCAAATAGTAACTGTCGACGTGTACTCATCCATTGGAAGTGAGCATGGAGGCCTATTCTCGAAGAGGTCCTTGTAGAAAACACGCTATTAGTAGAAACGAGAGCCGACAGGCACGCAAGGTCGTCCGTAAAGACTACAATCGAGACGTTTTTGTAGCTGTTCCACGGATACTTATACTCAACCGAATTCAACTCACCATTAAACCAAGAGGCTTACTAGAAGGTTATTACAGAAAATAGTATGTTCCTAATCTCTAGCACATCGCAACACATAGGAAAATAGCTAGCTATTCGATTTGGTTGCTAATCTCCGCGAATGCTAACCAGTCTACCGCGATGAGGAGCGAGGAGAAGGGCTTTCATCTCTCGGATAGAGTGTATCGGCTATCATAAATGCACTTACCAACGTAGGAGTTCAACGAAGTCTTATTACTCAATACGAGCGTCAGCTCCCAAGAGTACTCTCACTTACACGTGGCTTCACCCATCATACGGCAAAGCCATTGGATTAAAATCGCACTATCTCGTTCTACTTAGTCAGTAGGCCGGCGGACTTACTAACCTAGCTGAAGCAGCATTAGAACAGAATCAATTGATTTGACTCCATACATAGCTACCTTGGCAGTCTTGAGCGATAGGTAGAGCAGCCAATCAAACCCATATAATAAATACCCTATTATGACCACGTGAAGTTCGGGTAGACTCATAGTAACATTTCTATATACTACTCTCGTATGTATATAGAAGATCTAGAATGAACAAGGATGCCTTTTTTGGCTAGACAGCTCTCCAAGTATGAATCTATTATACAGTAGGCAAAGCAGGCTATTTCGTACCTATACGTATCTAATAGAGAATTAGCTTGATTCGTCGGATTCCCGTCTTTAAGGTTGGGACTTTCAAATACCTAATCTGAATTACCCTTTAGGCCCTGAAAATCTTAAAACAGCAGAGTTCATCTCGCCAGGGTAAAACTCTCATGGGTTACTATAAGACCCTTAATCAAGCAAGATACAACAGACACAAGAAGCCAAAAGCTCCAAATTGGATCTGAGGCACGTCATCTTGTATCACAATTGCACCGAAGAACTGGGAAATTATCATTAGGTGCATTCCGAAGACCTATCCGTCTTTCTGCTGTGCAGGTGAGGCAAAACGCAGGGTTTAATTGGACGGGTTTTCCATGCGCAGTGTCCCGAGTTGTATGTATGCATGTAGGCTATTTAGCGAGTCAAATCTACCTAACATAGTACATATTCAACTTGAACATACATGCACCTTCAAAAAGAGACTAACATTAGGTTAGAATGTGGCGTACCTGTTTGCATTCTATCTAACATGACAGTTATGGGAAAACAGTTATGGGAAATGCACCATACATGCATGCAGTATTGTACCTAATTAAGGGCAACTGACCTTTTTAGCGACCCTTCAAAGAAAAATCCAACGGCGGCTGCTTGTGGGGGTCCACCGTCCCACACTACAAATTTCATGTACTGCTTGGCTATCTAAGCAAGCAATGTCGCGCAGGATGGAGAGGCAAAGGAGGAAAGGACAATCTGGAAGGAGCAAAAAAAAAAAAAAAGATTAGTCTATCAAAGACTACCAGATACGGTTACTGCATTTTATCTACAATCCTTGCACCATAGATGAAGGAACTATGGAACAACAACATTGAACACAGTTGTTTTCTTAAATTCGTCGATTGTCGATTGTATTGTCGGGTCGATCTACTTCGTACTTTTTGCCAGATAGGTAAATTCTCCTCCGATAGAGACCCAAGAGACCCAATCGCAATCGGGACAAGGCCAATTGTCCTGTCGCCGTGTTGTTATCCCTGAGACATTCCCGTCACCTTTTATTATCCGCATCTTTGAGTGTGGCTTCAGCCACCTTAGACTTTCTATCTAACATATAACCGTCTTTGCCTGTCGACAGTCTCTCAACTTGAGGACTGCGACGGAAGGGATAGTAAATCTGGCTTCTGTCGACTCCGATAACGAAGTTTCTTCCTCGTCTTTTAGCGACAACCCTGCGACCGCCCACCGTCGAAGACCATCTTCCACAGGGAGCGACCCCGTCTCTGCGCCTGGTAATAATCGCGTTCCTCCTCTGCGTCTGGGCCAACAGGCCCAGTATTTGCAGCCAACGCTGAGTCCGATACCTGGTATGTTGACGACATGCGCCTCCCGTCGATTCAAACAGCCCTATTAACGCGAATTATGTTCCAGGCACGCCCAACTTTCCCATGTCCTTAAGCAGGAGTCCCTCTCCCGTCCCCGGAGGAGGGTGGTCTTCTCCGGGCCTGAATATTAACACCAGTGGCCGATCCAGCCCAGCGAAAGCGTCATTTTCTGGGCCCAACGGCGGTGGCGTAACGTGGGAGTCTGCGAGGCTTAAGAGCCAAGGCGTTACGAGTTATCCATCCTTCTCAACACACAACCAGGGCTTCTTCACTCGACATATGCGACGCATCTCGAGTAGCCTACCATCTTTCAACACGGCGACGGATGATAGATATGCAGAGAAAGAGAAGCTTGGACGGGGCAGGTGGAAGGTTCCCCTCCTCGGAAGAATAAGAGCCGGGATTACACGAATGAGTAGGAAATGGAAGATACGTGCGGCTATAGCGTTATTCCTGCTCGCGTGCTATATACTGTTCTATATCACTCGTAAGTCTTAGCCGTAGATTTTACCTGTGTAGGTAACTAACCGCGCTTTAGCCCTGTGGTACTACTGGAGAAGAACAAGCTGGTTAGGGGGTGGGGAAAAGTTTGTCATCATACTTGCCGCAAATGTTGGCGGTGGGGTGATGGAATGGAAAGGAGCGCGGGAGTGGGCTATCGAAAGGGATAGTGTGAGGAACAAACGAAAGTACGTCTCGAGATGGGGTTACGACCTTGAAATTGTCGACATGAGCACCAAAAAACGGTATGCGCACGAATGGCGAGAAAGTTGGGAGAAGGTGGACAGTATCAGGAACAGTTTTAGGAAATATCCAAAAGCTGAATGGTAAGCAACCGATTGCGCTATGAAGTTCTGTTACGCTAACGTGTCGGAGGATTTGGTGGTTGGACCTGAATACGTTCGTCATGGAGCCCTCCTATTCGCTTCAGCATCACATTTTCAACAATCTAGAAAAGCATATCTACCGCGACATAAACGAGTTTAATCCTCTCAATATCTCTCATCCCCTTCAAGCCAACTATCTGGATCCGGAGTCATTGAGCCCAGTAGGGGATGGGAGCGTCGATTCTGTAAACCTCATACTGTCTCAGGACTGTTCGGGATTTAATCTGGGCTCCTTCTTTATCAGACGAAGCGAGTGGACCGACCGTTTACTGGATATATGGTGGGACCCGGTAGCATACGAGCAAAAGCACATGGAGTGGGAACATAAGGAACAGGACGCGTTGGAGCAATTATACACAAATCAACCTTGGATTCGAAGTCATACAGCCTTCCTTCCACAGCGAAAGATCAACAGCTTCCCGACTGGCGCGTGCTCTGACAACGGAAACGACGACCGCATCCATTATAAGCAGGAAGATCGGGACTTTGTTGTTAACATGGCAGGCTGTGAATGGGGTCGCGACTGCTGGGGAGAAATGTATAATTTCCGCGAGCTCAGCTACTATCTGAACCGCAATCCTTGGGAGAGGTTTAAAGAAGACCTCGTTGCCGTAATTTGGGAGAAAATAACGGGCCAGAAAGTCAAGTGTGCGTATAGTCTGTTCCATTTTCTACTTCCCCTTTCCCTTTCTTTACCTTGGCCACGTCATCGTACCGCTTATCTTTACCTTTTTTAACATTTCCCTTCTCAAACTCAATTCATACCCGATAGCCTTACGTAGTCAACAGTTACTAATTATCGGCATTACAGTATAGGATAACCACCCTCTGGACCCGGTATTGCCCTGATTCCAACGTGGTTCCTGGTTTGGACCGCTGGATGGCGTAATTTTATACTTCTCTTCCTTTGAACATTATATTATTTGTCCTCCGCCTACGACATCTTAACGCCTCCCTATTTGTGGCGCAATCGGCGGCTTTGCTTGTTGCGCAATATACCCATCTTGCGTTGCAACCGGAAAGGCATGCTTAGGTCTTCGGGGGTTACCTAGTTGGCTGTCGTGCCTATCCTTAACTTCTTTTAATCATGGACATGGGCCATTGGGAGAAATGGTTCAGCCAGCCTATTTTAGGGGATGAGACGACTTGGAGTATGAGGAATGGGGCTCATGTGCATCTGTATTGCTATGTAATGTATGTCATCCTTTGACGTTATATGAAAGGATTCAATGATATTGGATATTTAAGTTGCAAATTGGTTCACCTGAGATACGTGCTTGCCGATAGAAGATGTGTTTTCATGGGTGATTCATGCCACGATACTTCAGGCCAGATAGGTACCTAAGTAAGGAAAAAAGGTCCAGATGAATCAATCAATCTGATGTAGCTGCCGTTATTGATGATAATTATGGTACGTACTAAGCTTACCTGAGGTACCCAATGTATCACATGAGGTAAAAGGTAAATACATGTACATCAAAAGAGAAATAAAGTTTGCCGCACAGGAAAGCACGGATATTTACAAAACATGATAGCAAGTAGCGCTTTCCTAAATGACTTTTGAGCGGAAATCACGTCCGTACATGTCACATTCATTACCTTCCTTAGGTACCGATTCCCTCCGCTCCGTCTTCTTAAACTCTTATTATATTATTATCGCCAAAACCGCCTCATCTTCCTTGTCGGCGATCCTATAATCAACTCTTCTTCTACATCACCCCATACATACCTAACCCCGTATCTGATATTCCAAAGCATAGCCCAAGATGCCGGCCTGGGGCAAAGGTCTCATGCAGTCCGACGATGACTACGATATCGCCAACGACCTTAGCGACATGTGCGACTGCGACCTCATATACCCGACGGAAGAAGAGGGCCGATCCGCCACGATCAAAAAGTTGAACGACGGTCTGCTCTCCCAGAAGTTTGAAAAGATTCTCTCCAGCGACTTCAAGCCGGCTACCAGCCACCACAAGCGAGAGCGCATAGCTATCATCTTGGGGATGCTGGCCATGGAGCTCGGCGTTGTCATCGAAGACCGCTACTTGAGAGCGCTTCGAATCCTTCGGCCCTGGCTCCCTACGCTCGAGCAGCAGCTGCAGCTGGTTACGGCGCTCGACGAGTACAAGAATGATGGGACGCCTTGGGAGACGGGCTCGAAGGGTCTTATTGACACGAGACGAGCCAAGGAACGAGGTCCGCAGAAGTACGACCTTGGTGACGAGTTCTGGTTCAGTGGCTTGGGGTAAGTGGTAGATTTCTATTCTTGTTAGGTTCCCTGAGTGTTTAGCAACCATCACTTACATGATCCTGGATGATATATGAAAACACGAGCTAGACGGGAGATTACTGACAATACCTTCATTGACAGATTCTCTTCAGATGAGGCTCCCTCGTCAGAGATGGTCAGCAAAGTCTGTATGAATTGCGGGGACAGAGATGTCGACCTCCGCTGCGGCCGCTGCAAGATGGTTCGTTACTGCAACGCTGCCTGCCAGCGAGTTGACTGGTCAACTCACAAGAAAGTTTGCCAGCCCCGTGACAGCATCCGCAAATGCGTGAGTTATAATATCCCCCTTAAAATCATTTAGATCAAAACTGACAGCATCGGTAGCCTGTGCCTGATCTTAAGTAATATCTAGAGATCAAGTCTTCCCTTTGTTCGCCGATTCGTTTGACTATAGTTCCGTTTGAGGCGATGTTTGATAGTTTAGTCACCTTGCTGCTGATTCGAAAGCCCACATCTTTCCATTAAGGATGAGATCTCGGTAACGTCGTGAAACGCGAGATCTGCCTTGCAGGATCTCTACTACTACCTAGGTAGCGCGGGGAGTTCGATGATGCATTAACTCGCAAGGGAGATAGCCCCGGATATAAATGAATTCAATGCGCTGTGTTACTACATACCATCTCGAAATAGACGTTCGTAGTATTTTGTTTCTAGCGTTCTGTAGATCCTCTGAGGCGAACTCGGAGGAGGGCCGAAGTGCGTAGTAGTTGCTACCCGATTTAAATTTCGATATCCAACGGTATGTCCAGAGGAAGCAGGCCGTTTCAAGCAATTTGTTTCGCCATGTTGTTTCAGAAACGGGGTGAAGGCCAATCAGCAGCTGTGGCGCGTAAAGTTTAGTATGTACTATGCTGATTAGCAGAAGTTGCTCTTCATACTATTTTACTAGCAATGATACCTATCACTAGAAGTATAGTACAATACGATACGTTTAGTTAACAGACCATATGCAAGACAATAAGGGGCTGGCCGCGCTGCCAAGGATGTGGCGCCTGTACATATTTCCCCAGGTTCGATGGGTACCATGCCAATCATTGGCTGAGGAGCTTTTAAACCTGCCCGACCTGGAAATCGTCCGCCTCCACAAAGCCCGGCGGCATACCGGGGACTAGTGTACATAGCTGGTCTTTCTAAGAGACTTCCTTCCCCTGAGGCTCCATCTCCTATAGTAGTACTGTCTGATAGCTGATAGACAGACTGCCTAACCTATGTAATGTTTCTAATACAGCAAATTCGGTGGCATATCCTCCAACCAGCACCATTCTAACTCTCCGGTCTAAAGATGTGAGCCCGGGTTCCCATGCTAGCTCCATACTATGTATGTCCGCGTCTCTAGGGAAAGCCCGTTTCGCCAATTGACTGGTGGGCGGCTTAGATCCTATCACTCCGGTTGGTATTGAGTAATGTGACCCTGTTCGAGGATGTTCGAATGTTTGAGCCATCTCACATATCAGCTCTGCGCGGGTTGAACGTGACATACCAGGTAGTTGGCTGGGATCTTCTCTTCCTTGGATTCCTTAGGAAGGTTGTAAAGCTTTGATGGTGCCTGCTTATTTTATTTTATTTATGGCCGGGGGGAAAGAAACATCTAGTTATATTTTATATCCTCTCCGACCTTCCCTCGGAATTTCTCAAGTCTGTTATATTCGACTTGTTGCCGCCGAAGTTGTTACTCTATGGCCAACATCTGTGGCCAACACATTCCGGTCACGTAGATTCCATCCTTCTTCGACTCGGTCAGCCGTCGTTCCTTATGCGGCTATAACCCATTGTCCAATTTTTTGTCTCTCATTATATTTTATATCTACATCTACCTGACTCAACCCTTAGGTACTTGACCGTCCGTCAAAGTAAGTGATTCTTTGTTGCGGCTGCCCTTTGTTCTCGACTCCGCCACGTGCTTCAACTGCTTCAGCAAACAACAACAATAACAACAACGAAATATCCAACCGCGTGATTGTTCGGTCACAACACATTCATTTTCGAATCTATAACTTGATGCCTTTCAGGCTCGATCGTGTCTTTTCACATATTTAAATTCAAAGGCACTGGTTTGCAACACCGACCCCGGTTCTCTCACTATACTATCGTAACCTTGCCCGGCGCAAGTGTTTTTTTCTCCACGCATCCATTCCTTACGATTTATTCACCACGTATATCTTGGACCTACGTTCATATTCATTCTTACACGAGATATACCGCGCCAACAAGATGCTATTCACGAACCAAATTTCGCGCCTCGGTGGCGCCTTAGCCCTCGGGGCCGCAGCGACTCGAGCTGCCTACACAATCCAAGATTCGTACGACCAGACCAACTTTTTCGAGGGTTTCGAGTTCTTCAGTCTCCCTGATCCGACAAACGGATTTGTCAGGTATCAGACAGCGATCGAGGCAAATGCTCAGTCGCTTGCTGGCTTAGCCAACAATGGCGTATACCTCGGCGTCGACCACACTACCATGAACCCGATCGGTGGCCGTGGATCCGTCAGAGTTAACTCTAAGAAGACTTATAGTAACGGTCTTATTATTGCTGATATCGCCCATCAGCCAGCTTCCCAGTGTGGAACTGTAAGTATTCCTCCCTTCCCAGCACACAGTTACCCGCATTCAATCTCAAGAAAAACAGAGCGTCTAATCTTTTATATTTATAGTGGCCAGCGTTTTGGACCGTCGGTCAAGATTGGCCGTTTAACGGGGAGATTGATATCATTGAAGGGGTGAACCTCGATACAAACAGCACTTACACACTCCACACTGGTCCTGGATGTACATTCTCGCAGGGCGATTGCAATGCTCCGGGAACCGGAAACCTTGGCTGCGGAACTTCAAGCCAAGACACTCAAACTTTCGCAGACGGCTTCAACGAGATCGGCGGTGGCATCTTCGCCGTAGAGTGGACTTCCTCGGCTATTAACATATTCTTCTTCCCGCGAAACGGCGACATCCCTCAGGACATCGCAGCGGGACAGCCCGATCCTAGCACCTGGGGCAGTCCTCAGACCTCGTTCTCGGGCGAGGGTTGCGACATCCCGAGCCATTTCAAGGAGCACCAGATCGTCTTCGACACGACGCTGTGTGGCGACTGGGCTGGAAAGGTATTCGGCAGCGACCCGGTCTGCGCTTCGAAGGCTTCCTCGTGCGAGGAATACGTAGCGCAGAACCCGGACGCGTTCAAGGATTCGTACTGGCTGGTAAACTCTGTCAAAGTTTACTCGGAAGGCTCCCCGACGAAACGAGACGGTGCTGTTCGGAGACGATTTACGGCGTAAATGTCGCATATCGCACTTAGGGGGTCAGGACGGATTTTGTCGTCATGTCTTCTTTTAGGGGCGGCTTGGATGTTGGCGTCGGAAGGAGAGGAGCGGGCAGTGATACCCAGAGGTTCTAAGCACGGCGTTTTTATTCATTTACTTTGCGATGTTGTTCGGCAGGATACCGGGGGAGCAGAGGGGCGGGAGTAAGTAAAGATACCCAACAGGCTGGGTATTTCGTTCCGATGAATAGCAGGGGGGGGCTGACATTGGAATTTTTTTGTCTTCTCTTCTTCGACCTGTATATATTCTTCACCATTTATTCTCCTCTCTGACGCCTCGGCGTGCGGTGGATTATGGGCATGCGCACATAGCAGATGGACTTAGCGTTCAGGAATTCATGAAGCATTGACTTTTGAGATTCTTACTCTATATTTAAATCTTAGAGCTCCCTGTACTCCCGAAAAGTGAATGGTGCGAGTAAGTCTTGTTAGAGGGATTAGATGGTGAGGTAAGCTGTGTGTGGTGTATAGTTAGGGCTACGAAAAGGAGAACATCTATCGAGTTGGGCTTTCAAACTACCTAGGTATAATTTTGGTAGTAGGTAGCGTTATGCTACGGAGCTTAAATCGAGATGTGAATAATACCTAGCAAATCTCTACATGGGAGGATGGGATTTCAAAAGTTATAAGTGCCGAAGTTGTAAGCTCCTTTGATGTATTTGCGACAATGTATCAACATAAACTACATGTCCAAAAAATTGCGGTTCTGTAGAATACGCATGCCTCTTCGCTATTTATAGAAGAGCATGTCGTTAGAAGTACTGTTTTCACGTATGTGATAGACGAAAGGGCCTTCAGTTTCCCTCTCTCCTGGGATGAGGAAGATGTGGTTGATAATACCATTTATTTATTGCAAATGCAATTCCCTGTTTTTAGATCTATAGTATATAGTATATACGTTGCCGTTATATCAATACTTCGTTCCCTCCCCCCAAGATCCTAGCTCTAAATCGTTCTTATAAACTCCATTCCCTCCCACGCCGTAGTCTAGACCCAGAACGAAAACTCGGAGACAAAAAAAAAAAAAAAAAAAAAAAGGTAGATGATTGTTATCCAATAGAAACCGTATCCTCTTCTCAAGACATATGAGTTAGTGTCGTTATTTCGCTTCACATTTACCATGCGCTTTCCAGAAGCGCCTGCATCAAGACATATCCCAGTACTGGTAGAAGGCGTTTCGGACTCCCCGATTGGCAAAGGCTCGGTTGCTCGTTGAAGAAGACAATAATAGAATGGGACCTCGTGGTTCAAGGTTCCGAAAGGATAAAGATGAAGTGATTGGATGACTTCTGGTGGCGACAAAGAAGTATGTATGAGCCCTGATTATCCTTCTATATCCTGACTCGGGTCGGGTGTGACAGTGTCGTCGGCAGAATCAGGCCAGTAAAGATAGCCCGCCCACATTAGATATTGGGAGCCGAATCGTGTAAAACTTGTATAGGCATACCAAAGGGCCATGCGAACGTGTGCTTCGGGTTCTTGCATCTAACAATGCGGCGGCATCCAAATGGCGGTGGGAGGTGTCTAAGGTCACCTTTCGTCTTGTTCGAGAATAGATTCAACTAGGATAAAGTATTCTCCTGCGAGATCTAGATGTAGACGATTATAAAAAGGAGCGGTGCATCTTCTCAGGTGTGTAACTGAATTCGTATCGCATTTGTAACTTGTTAGCGATGCGAGTGTTGTGAGTGATGTGCTTCTTCCATTATCCAGCTCCCAAGCCCAGGAATAAGAAGGCAAAGAAGCAAGCGAGTTTGAGGAGGGCAGTCGGCGGTAACGTGGTCCACGATATTGCGTACGAAGCAGCGGACAACGCACTCTATCAGGAACCTGCGGGAATAGGAACGACGACGGCGATGTATCATCCGTACTTCAATTACTTCCCATACGGCATGGAGCAGTATTTTAAAGACGAACCCTACTACGTAACGCGTGGCGCGTGGGCCTCGCATGGAGAGGCGCTGAACGGCACTCTGGGCGCGACGAAGGAGATCGGGGAGAAGATAGAGGAGCTGAAGGGCGTCGTCTCCGGCGGAGTCGCGGTGGCCCGAGCCTTGGCCGGAAGCACCCAAGGCGCTCTCGAGGGGGCCCGTGATGATATTAACAACACCCACGCAGCTATCCAGGGCGCGAATAACGCGCTTAGACAGACCCATGATGCGATCACCAAGCACTACGGCGAGCACAGCACCAAGCAGGACAAATGCGTCGCCGAGATCAGCAAAGTTCGATCGATGCTAGAAGAGGACGCGAAGAATAAAGAACAGGCGCGCCAGCGACAGCAGAACATGCAGGAGGCGTGGAACTACTACCGATGGTTTCGACAGGCGGAACGGGAGGCTGAACAACAGAAATCGTCGTCGTCTAAGAGTAGTAGTAGCAGTAGCAGTAGCAGCAATGAACGACAGACACCCCCCGACGACGCGTACGTGCCTGAGGGACAGGGACGAGGACGAGGACGAGTGCCTCCCGACCACGGGAAGCTCAAGCGGTCAGTTTTGGAATGTCTGGACCAGATTCTCGGTGAGGCGGGCTCGCACGCTGCTGACCGCCCCGAGCGAAACCGCCAGAACCAGAACCACACTCACTTCCATGCCTACGCCCCGACATCATCTCCACCGCCGTGGGGTGGTGCCCAGCACTATGATGCAGCAGACCCTCGCGGCTGGCAACAATGTCAGGCTTCTTCCCCTTTTCCGGGCCGAGACGATGTTTACTACTACTACTACGACGGCAGCAGCAGTAGTAGTAGTAGCAGTGCTCGCGGTGGTCCGGGGAAGAGAAATGGGATGTGGAACGGTCGTGGCCCCAATTGTTACTGAGTACCTAACCTGACCTAAGATACATTACATTACATACATGGAGTCCAACCTCTTCCCCCTGATACTATGTAGGTACATATGGTAGTAGTCATTTTCAAAATATGAAGTTGGAATTTTCACGTGTTATCATGGGATTGTGATTCTACATAGCACCATTGCTCAGGATCTACCCTACATACATAGGTAGGTTCTGGAATCCCCAGGTCCCTGTAAATCATACTGAAGCCACAAGTTCGAAGTACATACATATGTAGAAACGGACCTCTCTCCTTTTATCTCGGGGTGGTGGCGAGACTAGTGGGGAAGGCTCATTTTAGTCTTCTAATGCGCGATCAAGTCTGCTAGTGTAGTTGTTTGATTTAGTGTAGGTGGAGTTGGAAAACGGGTCGAGATTCGTGGCAATGGCAGATGAATGGATAAAGAGTCAAAGGGTTAAATAGAAAACCAAGATTGTGTTTACGGAGGTTTTTTAGAAATACCGCCTAGAGATAAGGTAATTAAGCATTATGGAGAAAAGGAACAGAAAATAGATATCTTGGTTCTTGGTCAGTTCGTAGTACCTAATCGGTGATCAATACGGAATAAATATGCTTAAAGTGTGTCGCGCGGCAGAATTGTGTACCTATGCCATGCGGGTGTTTGTAATTTCGGGAAATGAAGGAAGAATACGTTGATGTTGAATCTACATACCTACACGTAGACCAATGAGAAACACTCGAGATACGATTATTCTCCTACCTGAGCGCGATTTATTACTCACCGTGTTTGCCTACCGACATTGGCAACGAGTATGTAATGTAAGGTAGTTTATAATGTATGACGAGGCAAACAACAAGATGGACGCAGAATAATCAATCAGAACATACATACGAAGTATACATACACTATGTAATAGACTCATGATACAACACTATCTTGCATATGGTACAGATTGTAATAGACTAGTACGATTGGCTAGATAAACTAGGAAGATCCCTAAAGGCCGTTTTTGCTCTAGCGTCGATGATCTAATTCTATAAAGGGAAATGCAAGCGGCAACGCTAGACCATCGGTTCCTGGCTAATGCATGATTTTATTTCCACTTTTTGTTCTCTCGTCTTTCGTCTTTCCTGCAGGAACAACAATGAAAAAGTAACCCTACCGAGCTACTGTAGGAACACGCTGCACGCGCTGCTTGCCAAGCTGTCCGTCTGTACCTATTATTCTACCAGTCAGCCAGTCAGAGAGTTGCTCTCAAATACAATTACCCAAGTACCTCGGGTAGTTTTCTTTGATCTTTCTTATCGACTTCCAAACTAGGTACATACCAACTACCAACTACCAACTAACAGAGGCGTGGCAGGCGTGGCAGGCATGGTCGTGCCATTAATCCGCGTGGCCATATTGTTTGGCCGCCATGCAACAATAAAATAGCCCCCTTTGAAGTTAACCCTTTGTCGCAATCAAGGCTGTTTGTTAGCTTGTCCGTGTTACCCCGGCAAGGGACCGTGGTCGATAACCCCCTTGTTTCTTCCCGGAAGACGTTTGTCGATCCACATTAATCGGTAGGTAGTATGGCTTAATTCGTCCTAGCTCTCTAGCCCGCCCTTGTCTCTGAGGTATTATTGGAAGAAATTGGGCAGAATTGACCTTGCCTTTGCAGCTCTGTATTGTACATACGTAGTAGTAAAAATTTCCACCCCATGTTCCAATAAAAACGGGCATGTCGCCAGCATCCACATCCACCGCCCGTTTTCCCTTCTTCTGTTCCTCTCCCCTTTTAAGGTCCCCTCAGCTTCAAGCACCGACTTCGTTTCATTCCCTTTCGTAACTGCGAACCCAATTTGCATTTTTGCAACCCACGCTCCTTAAATAAATATCTCATCAGTTACGCGGTTACAGTCACTCCCTTCGACAACAACAAATACCTAACGTCTTAACGAAGTACAATTACAATTCCGATCGTCACACACAGATCAGCAATATCATATCGTGATATCCACGCTCCCTTCGGATCCAGTGATTTACAAGTTACAAGTAGCTATTTGTTTAGCTTGGACAATTGGAACATTTCCGCTCCGGCGATCTTGAGGAGGATATTCTAAAAAAAGATACCCGATTTTTGTTTTCGATCAACAACATTCAAGATGCGTGCTTCATCATTCCTCGCAGTGGCTGCTAGCGTCGCGTCCGCCGTCGCTGACACCACCACCGCCACATCTTACCTGACGGCGACAGTCACAATCACCAAGTGCAGCCCTGACAACACTGCCTGCCCGCTGTACACGCCCTCTACCAGCTCTGTTCCGACGACGTCATCTTCGATCTCGACGCCTCCTGCTTATCCCACCAGCTCCGTCGCGTTGAACACCACTACCAGCAGCAGCTCTTCTACCTCTTCATCTTCATCCTTTTCATCCTCTTCATCTATCATCTCTTCCACTTGGTACCCCATCTCCAACTCTACCACGCATGTTGGACCTACCGCCTACCCCAACGCTACTTCTAGCTACGCGATCCCCACTACGTACGCTACTTTGACTTCGGTGGTCCCCACAACGCCGGCTGTCACGCCGTCGGCCTCCGCGTCCGCGATCCCCACCGGTGCTGCTGGCCTGGTGTCTGTTCACTCGGGTCTGCTGATGGGTGTTGTGGCTATGGGTGCCGCGCTCCTGATCTAAGCGGAAGGATAGAGATGGCCGAGGAATTACCAGATGTGGCAATTAATTACCTTTGGCAAACCTGAGTTCTAGCTCTCGCAAAGGGTAGAGAGAGCACTCGGCTCAAAATATTCGGACGATATTTTTTCTTCACTTCTGTCCAATCACATTATTAATTCTCCGGGGAAGGACGTTTGGCGCATTTCGGAGGCGAATATATCGGTTTAGGAAAAAGCTGGCCGGGTTTGGCCGAATACCCCTAGGCGTGACAGCGCTTTCTCTATGTCTATAATTGCAGGATTTGTGTTGCGAGCGAGCGAGTGAGCGTGGTGCGGTGCGGTACTTGCAGAGGAGAGCATGCGGAGGAGTTGGATGGGTTCTTCATGTTGTATATTCAACCAAGGCATCGTGTTGGTTATACGGAGCCGACTCGACCAATGACAAATATTTTCCGTTGCCAATACTTTTTTGGTGTTTCTTTGTGAATTCTGTAGTCTTTTTGATGTAATCCTCTCAAGCCTTTTATTAGAGATAGTGATTTGGGGTGAGTGGCCGGGTTCTGTACGAATTGCTGTAATTCTTATTCGAAGCTACCTATATCAGCAGTGTATACTGCGTTAATACTGTAATTATAGTATGACTTGAGCTATATATGCAATAGCTAAGGCAAACTACCTATGTTTCCACCAATTTCAACTTCTACTACCGTAACTCGGAAATTGAACGAGATAGCTCGATGGCAAGGCCGATTTCGCTCGGATCTACGCGTATAAGACGGTTGCAATAATTAACACCCAGGGGGGATGTGACAGCTACCTTTCCCCACACCGGTGAAAGATTTTGCTGCGGTTGTTATAACGCGTATCTTATTGACTACCTACCTACCTCTTTACGGGAATCTTGACCTCGTGTGCCTCATCCCGCAACCCGGTTTGGAGATGACAGGCTTCGGAAATGCTCCGGAGGCCGGGCCAACATAATCCATCCCTCCACCATGATGAAACCGGTAATCCTTGTCCAGCCACGAGGTTGGAGGGTTGGACAGACCGGGCTGGAGGGTTGGGTGGTAGCACGGATGATGATATGAACCTCCTGTACGGAATATGTCATGCTTAGGCAGGTAGGTAGGTAGGTACGTTTAAAATTGCTTTTGCTCACGTCAGGAACAGGGAAATCGGACATATTATAGGCAGGTAGTGTGATATTATTTTGATGTAAACACAGAATTTGGTAAAAGGGGATGAAAGGGATTATTATTATTAAAGAATAATAATAAAACTCGCGCACTCCAAGCCACTGCTTCCTTTACACATACATATTATTCCCTCAGCATGAATAAATACCTGTTGAGAAGAGTTAATACAGGTACCTCTTATAGATGCCCATCCAACCAAACCATTAAGAACTCCCGCTCTAGATCTGTTGTTTCCTCCGTTTCCATGCCGAATATACATGTATAAACAAAAGCCTTAACTAGGTAGTATCTTAACTGTGAAATGCACTACACTCGTTTCTCTCGCATCTATCACATAGGCTTTTTGTCGAATCGCAGTCGTGCGGACACCCTCGATCCCGATGGTCGCACCACTTTTGCGCGAGTTCTACCACCCTTGGTCCCCGATGATGATGGCTCGTCCCAAGCGGTGGTGATATGTCGTGGACAGCACGGATCCATCTGTGGTCGGAAGAGGGGACCGTGTGGCTGTATGTAAGCTCTAGCTCTGGTTCTGGGACCCGGAGAACAGAGCTACCACGGTCGAGTCCATGACGCACGGCATCCATTGCGGCGGCTGCGGGTGGGTTTTAGGTATATAAGCAGATCGACTTATCAGACGAACGGGCCGTTTATTGGTTTTATCGCCGCGCGGCCCTCTCTTCTCTTCTCTCTTCTTCTCTCTCTGTTTCTCTTGTAGCACGAGCACCTGATCCAAAGGTTAGTTTTAGTTTGTGAGCTGTCATATTGAGGGATCTCTAAAGATAGGTAGGTAAGCCACTAACGAGAGAGGGAAAAATAATAATACCTAGGTAATAATAATTTACCAATGCTAAAATCCCTGTAACTCTTACGGTCCCGGGAACAAGAAGAAAATAAATTAGGTAGATGCAGTTTGCTAGCCGAGCTGTGTCTCTTCTCTAATGTACGTCTTACGCACATACATTAGGTATAGGTATAGGTATATATATTAAGTAGTAAAAGGGCAATCGAGCGGGAATAACCTGCGTTGGTGCGCTACGAGAGGATTCCCGTGGCCCTTTTTATAAGCAGCCAGGCAAACCAACCCAGACCAGACTTATCTCGCCTACCCAGGCAGGGTTTTATTTTTATTTTTTCAAGCCATGCTGAGGGCAATCCGGGCAATCCTCCTCTTCGGGGAACACCCTTATAGATCAGCCCGGCCTACGGGGGGTGGGTTTGGTTTTCTTTTCTTTTCTTTCTTTTCCTTTCTTTCTTTAGAAATAATATGTCAGACTCCCTTATCCGAGGGGTTGTCTCGACCAGAACTCAACTCTTCCTGGTTGAGTGGCATCTCGTCATTTCGTGCCCGGTACCAAATGTTGCCATGGGCCGTTTATTAGGTTAGGTACCTAACGTAACTTGGTATTCATCACGTCCAAGCGGGATGTAGTTCCCCTTCATCGTCAGCCTCCTCAATCATGGTCGAAGCAACGTCGTGTTTCATGTCTATACCTATATCCGGGTCGACGACCAAGATCTCGGGTATCCGATCAGAAATGTGACTTTTAATTTCCACCCTCCTCCTTTCCAGTTCGGCTTTGGCTTTCAGCCTTCTGTCTCTAAGAGGACGTGTACAATACCAGGGAAGAAGTCGGCAGTTGGGGGAGAAATTTAGGAAAACCAGACCGGTAAGCTTGGGGCCTGTCGTTATCGTTTTTACCTTTCGGGGGTTTTTAGACCCAAGGACTTGGATCTGCAACACATCCAGCACATCATGGGCGCCGAAATGCGGCGCATGGCCGGAACGAAATACCCGTTTGGAAAAAGAACGAAAAATGGCAACCCTTGGCCGTCCCAACATTTGGTCTACCTACACTACACTAGGTATTCAACCATGTCATGGCCATGCTGGTCATTAACGCGGGTTATTTTATCAATTAGCCCTGCAGCCCAAGCAAGGCTCGGCCCCTGTCGACGGTAGCATCTGTCATGACGAACGACGTACATAGTACGGCGAAGGGGCTCTAGTGGCCGGCTGGGCGGCTCCTTCGATGCATCTCTACCAGGGTCTCCGTCTTCCACCACGGGTATATTGTAAGCTCTAATGCTGGCCTATTGCTTTCTTCGGCCACTCAGCAGGACGGTATGCTGTGCTAAGCGAACACAGCTGAAATTGGGTACGGTAGCGTGTGTATTATGGTACCGCGTGCGCACTATCACGCACATCATGCACATATTAGCTGTTACGTGCAGCGAGCTATCTATCAAGCCCCTGCCTGTACTTCTTCGTACGCGAGCTACCTACCAGGCTACCTATGCCTAACCTATGAGGTACGTAGGTGACTACCTAAGGTGACACAAGGAACTCTGCAGCGGAACATCATCGACGCTTGCCTCATCGCCACTGAGATCACGGTGGGGCCGACGGCCGCCGACTGCTCAACATCCTACCCGAGCGGTCGGGACGTCAAATATGTCTTTTAGCGTCGGGCTCAAACGCCATTGGGCAGCAGGGTGACATGGGGATTTCTCCAACTGGCGTCTCTCGGGAAGCCGGGGAGTAAAATAAAATAGGTACATACCTACGGAACAGTTGGTGAGTTACGTTTCGGCATAAGAGATTATCAAGTACATGACAACTTTTTTACATAGTCGTACACCGCTCATTACGGTGTTACTAGAATAGGTAGAAAACTTGTAGGTTAGGTAGTCATCAGACTAGTGAGCCGTGATCAGGATTTGGGCTTTCAATAATCCGTATTCCTGCCGTGTTATCATCACAGATGACAGATAGGTATATTTGAATCAGTTTATGATTTGTGACAAGAGGGGTTGAGCTTGATCTATTACCTATAGGTATGTATGTCTGTGCAATACTTGATTTGTCCAAAACGGGGTAGGTATTCTGAAGTCAGACGACATAACTTGGGGAACGGGATTACCTAGCAATCATTCACTGCGCTCTGGTTTGAAAGGGAGTTGATCTGCGAGCAACCTCGTAGCCTGTGTCACATAGGACAAAAGTGTAGGCATATCACTACCTATCAGCCTATGTACGTGGGCGGAGGCTCAAGCCACGGCTATAGTTCAACGCAGTAGCCAATAGTATATTCCTCATACATACTGACATACCAGACATAGTAGCCTTGTAGGCTTGCTCGCTGCAACCCACCGGATGTACGTATGCGCAGGGATCCCTTGCTGCAGATACCCAGACGACTTTAGGTATTGCTTGCGAGTTTAGGTACCCAAGCTGCCAAGGTATACATATCATCAAGTATACTTCTGACTGATCCCGTTTCCGTTATTTTTCTGCAATGGACCTTCTCCCACGGAACCGGTACCGCGGGTAGACCGAGCCACCTCCTTCGGAGTGAGCGAATTATGCAAAAATATTATATATATTTTTTCCTTCTCTCTTCTCCTTCAAAGCAAGAAGGCTTAACACTCAATTTGGGATAGATACATGTATGCGTCCCCTGTTGGAATATAAACTAAGTCCTCTGTCTCGTATTGTTGTAGAATCTAGTGTTATACATATATCCTCGTAGGACACCATTAACAGCTAGGATGACAAGTAAAAAAGAACAGGATGGGTTATTAGACAGCAAGACAGCAAGACAGTAACCATGGATGTGATACTCGTATGAGTACGACGAGGAGTGACCGGTGAAAGAGCACGATATGTCAGCAACGACACCGGTCTGGGATTCGTGGTACCTACTTATCACCAAGTTTCTTTATATAAGATGACTCTTAGTTTGCGCTGGATAGGGATACATACCTATTCCTTCCGTGGTACGGACCGAGGCTGGGATCTCCCTCGTCCGGGTAGGGGCTGAAGAGTTGGTTACGCATGCACTACTTCGTATGATAATATATAATATTATATTTAACTGAGTGTTTACTAGTCTATTTATTAGTTGCTATTCCGCGGTGGAAGCATAGAAATTGGACGGTAAAAGTCCGAGTCGGTTATAGGTAATGTTTAATAACCACCACATTCCACTTCCATTAAACGGCACCTATAATTCTGACCTCTGGGTTTAAAGAGGGGCTAGAACAAGACAGAATACTGATACAGTAATATTGTAATAGCATTCCTATGCTACACGAGTATGCCGCTCCCCTCTGTATTTGGAAGCCGTATGAGATAGTAATATGAAGGATATGCCTTTCCGAATATTCTACTTTATAAGGGGCCAATCGGGGATGCACCTTAGGTAATTTAATTCGTAGCTGCACATATGCAGTTAAACCTTAAATCTTATTCAATTATGCTATAAGTCATATTCAGGTACTATTATTGTACAAGCGTCCAATCAAAACTTACCTGAGCTGCTAAGGTCTTGCGCCAACGGCTTTTAGCCTTTAGGTAGCCTTTAGCGGTCTCGTGCCGGCAGGTTGGTACGAAGTAAAGCACGGGTGAAACGTTCTAAACCTCCTAAACCTCCTAAACGTACTATCGATTAGGCCGTCTATCGTTATCTGATCCAGGGGATTCCTTCCTGCCTTCTCGCATTCTTCCGACCCTCGAACCAGGAGCATCTCATTTCCATTTCCATTTCCATTTCCATTTCCATTTTCCAACCTCCAAAGACTTATAAGTTTAATTTCTCTCTTTCTCCTTCATCCTTCTTCTCATATCGGCTTATTCCTCTCCAAAACTCTCCAAAACTTGATAATATCATTTGCGACACGATGGCAGACACGAAGGCCGCGACAACATACTCGACCGACCCCGCTCTATATATCTACACCTCTCTTACGGCCGGGTCCTCTCACATCGTGACGGCTACTTCGCGATTGGAGACTATCCTAAGAGCTAACAAGGTGCCATTCAAAGCTCTAGATATCGCTATTGACGATAAGGCACGCATGTTATGGGGTCGAAGGGCTGGCAAGGATGCATCTGGACGACAACGCAAGCTTCCTGGTCTGGTACAGATGGGCATGGTTCTAGGCGTAAGTCCATTACGAATAGTTATAAACTAATATAAACTTGTTGAATGTTAAATGTGCCGCTAACGAAGTGGTCGCGTAGGATCTAGTAGAGATTGAGGAGTGGAACGAGTACGGCGAACTAAAGCAAAATGTCACCATCTACTACGACGACTTCACCATCCCGCCCAAGAGCCAGGCGCCTCCACCACCTGCCCCTAAAGTTAAGAAGCCAGCCGCGGCATCAACCCCTACCACTGCAGCGGGCGCTTCCGCACCACCACCGCCTGCAGCACCTCCGCTACCCGAGAATGACAAGCCGAAAGCAGCAGCAGCAGCGTCATCGACAAGCAAATCCGGAGTAGTAGCCAAAGCAGCTAGCGCCGCCGAGCCCGTCCGTAGTATTGCTGAGGAGGCCGCGGCGAAAGCGAAGCAGGTGCATCTGGATAGCTTGCGAGCTAAGGTCTACGGGAAGAAAGATAAGGACGCTAAGGAGGGCGAGGATGTTAAGGAGTCGGATGACAAAGACACCAAGGAGAACAAGGAGGAGGCTAAGGAGAAACCCCAGGAGGAGCCCAAGGCAACTAAGGAGTTGGAGAGCAAGACTGCTGAGCAATCAGAAACCGAGGATATCAAGAAACCCGATACCACGGATGTGAAGGACGTCAAGAATGTCAAGGATGCCGAGGACACGAAGAAGACGGATAGCAAAGAGACCAAGGAGACCAAGAAAGTAGAAAGCAAGGATGCTAAGAAACCCGAGAGCAAAGACACCAAGAAACCCGACACCAAGGATGTCAAGAAAGTAGAAAAGAAGGACATTAAGAAGCCAGATACCAGAGAGGTCAAAAAGCCAGAAACTAAAGTTGTTAAGAAGGCGGACACCAAGGACGTTAAGAAATCCACTGCCACCGCCAGCACCAGCTCTAGTGCTAGGAAGGCCACCACTACACCTACTACCACTACGGCCTCGTCTAGGGCTAAAGCGGCCGCCGCGGTGTCCAAGCCTAAAGTAACGACAACGACTTCCAAAGCAACTCCCTCGAAAGCAGCCCCTTCGAAAGCAACTCCTTCAAGAACAATTCCTCCGAGAGCAACTCCCTCAAAAGTTACTCCTGCTAAGACAACCCCTAAAATAGTCCCGATTAAGCCTAAGACTACGACTACAACATCTAGAACTACATCTACACTACCTAAGCCTAAGGCTGCGATGTCCACCCGCTCAGCAGCCGAAAAGCTAAGCAAGCTGAAGATATCGGACAAAGATAAGGAAATACCGATAGGTGAGGCGGCCCTGCGGTCGCCGACGGCGGCGTCATGGCGTGAGACTACCCCGACGGAAGAGGACGTACTGCGCCCGATGCTGCAGAGCCCGACAACTGGGTCGTGGAGGGCAGATGGCACCGGCGCGACTCCTAACATAACCGAACTTCTCCACGGTGCCGTCGTGGAGGAGGTGCCTCCCGAGGAAATCGCCGAGATCGAGAAGGCAGAGGCGATTCCCGAGGCGACGAGCTCGGAGGAGGTAGATAGTGAAGATGAGGAGGACGACAATGACGATGAAGATGAGAAGAAGGAGGGCGAGGACGAAGAGGAAGAGGAAGACGATGATGAAGAAGAGGGAGAAGAAGAAGAGGACCACGACGACGATAAGGAGGAGGAGGAAGAAGGCAAGGGGAAGGGAAAAGTTGAAACTGACAAATAATCAATTAACTTTATAGTATTCAATCCGTCGACGATGCCGTCGAATTTTCACTTAATACTGCTTTTCAGCCAGCAGACAATAGGGGCGGGGGGCGCTAATTAGATACCAAATTTGCGAAGAGAAGACAAAATAAATATAAAGACTATCGATTACCTTAATCTGCGAAAACCTTGGTAGCAGTATACAGTATTATTGCATGGAAGACGGGAACACGTTTTTTTTCTTGTTCGACGAATAACGTGTTATTATAATAGTTATTACAATAGTTAATAGTTAATATTTAATAGTTAATAGTAGATTATATATATATATATCTTTTGTATTACTTAGGTTAGGTAGGTAGGTATATAGTATATACCCTTCCAAATATATTATACTACTCCTACCATTTCTCTCTCTCTCTATACCTATATACCTATATACCACCCTCCCTCACAATTTTTCGACGGCACCCAGAATATCCATTTAGTAAAGGCCCTCGTCATCGCTCGCCGTCCCGTGGTTAAACTTCGCTGTTGGTGAAGCCTGTTGTTGTGCTTTACCCTTCCCCTTAGTCGTACTCCCGCTCCCGCTTCTCCTCCTCCCATTCGTCAGGCTGTTCCCACCGTACCCGCTTCCCGCCTCGTTCTCGCTCCCCTCGTCGCTGGCGTTGGCGAGGGCCTTCCCTTTCCCCTTGCTGTTGGTGCTGCTGGTGCTGGTGGGTGTCGTCGGTTTGCCTTTGCCCTTGTTGCTCGAGATCGACCGGGACTTCGGCCTGCGGAACGCCGGCGTCGATGGAGCCTCGGCTATTTCTGGCTGGGGCGGCGGTGAGGCCGGTCGTTGTTGTTGCTTCTGAGGTTTGGAGTCTTGGTTTTCGAAGGTGGCGCGGACTTGCTCGTAGTGGGCGAGCTCGCCGGCGCTGACGCTGGGGATTAGTTCCCGATTCGCGTCGAGGAAGTCTTGCTCTGTGACCATGACAGCGACGTCTTCGGGCATGGCGTGGTGGTCGAAGAAGTTAGCTGTGGAGATTGGACTGTGTCCTTCTTTCTCCCGCTCCGCGTTGATAGCCCGAATCTTGGTGTCTACTAGAGACGCCTGTCGCGTAACCGCCTTAAGCATGGCGTCGCTGCATAATGCGTAGAAATCGGCACCTGTATAAGTGAAGGGCAGGTGCTCTGCAACAGCCGGTAACGAGACGGACGGGTGGAGTGTAAATCTGTAGGCGAGGTTAGCATATGCGTATTATGAGTTGTTCCCCTTTGCAAGGCTAAGATAATTGGATTAGAGACGTACTTTCTTGTTAGGGCTTCCATAATTGTGATCTGCTTTTCGTGCGTGTCGGACACGCCAAGGTAGAGCATCTTGTCAAATCTACCGGGACGTAGCAACGCTTGATCGAGTAGATCGGGTCGATTTGTAGCGCCAATAACGAAGACGCCGCCTCCTTCGTCATCTCCCCCGGACATGCCATCGAGTTCTGCTAAAAGCTGGGAGACGATACGATCCATGACACCTCCGCTGTCACCCTGGTTTCCTCGTTTCGGAGCAACCGAATCAAGTTCGTCGAAGAAGACAACACAGGGTCTCGCATCTCGGGCTCGCTGGAAGACGCGGCGGACATTGGCTTCGGACTCTCCAATATACATGTTTAGCAGCTCGGGACCCTTCACGCTGAAGAAATTCAAGCTGTACTCTGTGGCAATTGCCTTTGCTAACAACGTCTTACCCGTACCGGGTGGGCCGTAGAACAAGATGCCGGAACGCTTCTTCATTCCTTTAGCAAATAACTCTGGTCTCTCCAACGGGAGTTGGATGGTCTCCATGACCGCTTCCTTGACATTGCTGAGACCACCAACATCATCCCAGGTGACATTCGGAATCTTCGGTGCGCCAATTGCGTCTGCGAAATTCTTCCGTGCCGCGTCCACAGCAATTTCGAAGTCAGCCTTCGTGAGACACCTCGCAGACGAACCTCCTGCCACTTGTACATCGCGAACAGTGACAATCGAATTGTTGTTCGAGACCTTCGTCGACAGTTTCTCTAGACGTGAGTCACGCGCGACTATCGCACGCTCAACCACATCAACTAGATCACCAGCAACTAGAGCTGCAGTTTTAATAGCGACTCCACTTAGCTCAACTTCAGGAGCTAAAGATACCCCTCGGTTTTGTATTATGGATTGTAAAATGCTTTCACGTTCGCCTTCGTCGGGAGCGCTCATTTCGAGCTCGTGGGTAAAGAGTCCTCTAATTCCGTCCGGCACCTTGTCTACTTCGGTTGTCGTCGCAATCAATACTCTAGTGTCACTGAGAACTTCCTTCATTGCAGCTACCATCCTGTCGGCCGTGAGGGCTTCGATGTGTCGAATAAGCAGAGCACAGCATTCCGGTCCGCAACTCATGGCACGATCTGCTCGCGCCTTCAGGAGGCCTTCAGTTTTGACATCGCTCCCCCCAGCTCCACTCTCATTGACCACGTCATAAGAATCGATAGTGAATGTATGTAGACCGATGTCTGCACAAGCATTGGTAGCCAAAGTGGCCTTGCCTATGTTGCGTTGGTTTGACACGAGAAGAACAGCAACCGGGGGCATTTTAAGATGAACAGCTCGTTTACTCGTAGCAGCCGCCAGTAACTCTCTCAATCGTCGTCTTAGGGGCGGGGTAAACCTCGTCTGAGGCTGTACCACCGAAGACAGGGCACCGGATATAGGCCGAGGAGCTTCTTCGACGCCTAAATAGTAAGGCCAATTACTATCTTTCGTGCCTGGTAGACAACTAGTAGTACCGCCAGATTGGGCAATCTGAGTTGAAGAGCTGTCGACACAAGCTACACCACCCCAAATATCCTCTTCTTCCTCTTCGTCGACGGGTTCCGTCTTCTGACGTTCTATATGAGCGATTTTGAACCAAGCGACGGCGTCCGGTTTTGACGTAGCTACCGCGCCGGACCTGCTTGAAGCCGTAAGAGCTACGACATCGTCAAGAACAAGACCATCTCCGGTATTTGTTGATTCCCGGAGGGTACGTCCGAGTTGCGTGTCAATTGGAATCCCAACTAAATCACCAGTTTTGACTACGCGAATACTTCGCGCGAAGTGATCCTTGAGCCCGCCGAATATAGCCGTCTGAAGAGCTTTCTCGGAAGAGACGGGAGTCCGTATCTGCTGAAGAGTGACATCGCGAGCGTAGGGGGGGCGGGTCGATCCGGTGATTTTTGCCTGGCCTGGCCTCGGAGGCTGAGCTATTCTTTTCAACGGAGATAGGCGAACGTAAGGCGCACCCTCTAGGTTTGCGAGCAAGAGGGGCGACATATACGCACTAGGTCCAGTATGCGTTGGAACTTTGGAGTCAAAGAACGATGGCCTTCGATCATTTACATCGTGCTTTGAGCTTGGGATTCTAGTCATGGGCCTGTGGGAATAACCCTCTGGGAGCCCATAAATCTTAGCTGGTCGCCATATTGACTCTTCCTCCCCTGGTTGTCCGAAGCTGCCTAGGCCGAACAAACCGATTCCGTTTGCGGGAGGTTCCTCTGAGGCCTCGAGTCGGACCCAGTCCCCGGAGAAACAGCCTATCCTAGTTAAAGAGATGATATCTACGTATACCCTTGCCTCTTCATCGTCTTCGGCTGTTGGTTTAGGGTGAAGTAATTCTGATGGTATTTGGCTCATCAAGCCGTGGGCCTTGAACAGGCGACCTTTGGGACGATCTTGGCGAGCGGTTGTAGCGGTAAAACTAGAAAAGACCGAGGGAGTATTCACGCCGTTACCAATCCTTCCTCGTCCAAGTGTCAATGGTGTTCCTGGCTGCATGGTAGAGACGCCGCTAGCGTTGGTGGATGGCAGCGATGGAGCTTGAAGAGAAATGATGTCGTCAAGTGAATCGTCGGAGAGTTCATCTTCATTCTCAGGTTCTGAAATTTCCGTGTCGACATCTGTTATAATATCCGACGTCTCGCTCGGACCATCCGCCTTATCTCGTTCTTCGGTAGCAGAATAAAACTGGTCGGTTGCTGTGTCCTCGCCATCCTGATCCACGGTATTTAAAGCTTGGGGTGAGGTAATGGCGCCTCGAGCTTGCTTCGATTGAGTGTGACCCCTCGTCAAAATGATCTTGGTGGTTGGTGCTAAGATGCCTTGTGCTACGGGCTCGCAAAGTGTTACCTTGCCAGGCGTAGGAGGTACGTGTGTAATAGGATGCGGAGGCAATGGTAAAGGGAATAGGTCTCCGTTATGAACGATCTTCAAGGTGCCCAAAGCTACACGCAACGCAGCAGCGAGACGATCCGTCGATACGTTGGGTCCCGTAGCCGCTTTCTTTTCAACGGAGAGATGATCGTTAAAGAAAGTCCCTTCCCCATTCTCAAGTCTCTTCACCAAGTCACTTTCGAGGTGTACAAAAACAGTATCCAAGGGAATAGTGGCCACGTCTAAGACCAGAACTTCGATGCCGCCTCTGTTATGGCCAGAAAGCCTCGAGGGTGCAACCTGCTGCAACGTTGTCGCAAAACTTTGTAGGGCAAGGGACGAAGGGGAGAATTGGATGGTAGAATCGGCAAGGGAGCTTGATCTAGCGATGGGGACTATAGTCCAGTTTATCCGTTGGGGATTCGGAGACGGCGTCCACGGGGCAATGGCAACATGCTGGATGTTGAGAGGGTTGAGAGGGTTGAGAGGTTGGCTGCTCTCGTCTTCAACCGAATCTGTATCACCTGAAGTCTTTATTAGTTTTCGATACGGCGACACGGCTACTTGCAGAGAGCCATATGATTCAAGTATCTCGTCAAAACACTCACCGTTTTGTAAGTGAGGGAACAAATCAGCGAATAGGTTCTTGGATAATATGCCGACATCTCCTTTCATATGATTGTCCAGTACAAGCTTTGCTGGTAAAGCAGGCTTATCCTGCCTTCTTCTCCGCCTTCGCTTTCGAAGAGCACCTGGATCGCGAGTCGGAGTAGCCATAGTCGCGACGTATGGCTTTTCAAGATGTTAAAGAGCGGTACGCCGTGATGGAAATCATTAAGGCGGATCAGGGCCCCGCAAGTCGCGAGGTGTCGCGCATAGAGGAAAGTGGAATTTTAGAGGGCAATATTTACGAATAGTACCTAAGTTAAAGAGGTTGACAAATGATAAATGATAGGATGACACCTCACGGGTATATTATTGGGTATATTATTATTATTCCGTCGCGTTGTATACCTTAGGTACCCTTTTCTTCTTGTTCTTCGTTGCTTCTTCGCTTCTTCGCGTCACCCAGTTGATCTACACTACATTAGGTAGTAGGTAATTGACTTTCGGCTTTGCTTACACCTGCTATAATTTCGACCGAGGCATTGTTCATATTCGATACATGCACAGACCAATAACCAGTAAACCAATAGTACGATAAGTGAAATAAGCCTACGTTATCGTTATCGATATCAATTGATGGCTTGCAATTAAAGGTGTTGGTATTACCTGCCTTGTATCTCTGCAGGTAAGAACTTTGTACTAACTAATGTAAATAAACTTTGATTGCCTTCCAGTTTAGCACTGTTTTACCAATGTTAGTTATTCATTTATACTTTCCTTACGAAACAGGTACATTTAGGTAATTCAGTTAACTATAGGAATATGTAACTTGCACCTTCTTCACACTATGTAAAGCTGACATCAAACAGACCATAGTTAAACCATTTCACATGTTTAAGGTTTCATTCGTCTCTATATATACTTGCCATAGTCCCCTCTCTTCTTCACTTTTCACTTTCACATGTCTTTGTTGTCAAACCCGCAACGCTTAACCTACACTAGTCAGGGGGAGCATTCATCCTCTACCTTCTCTTTTATTCGACATTCACTAGTGTCCAGCCGCTCGGAATCAACTACCTAATACACTGATACATAAGCACACAAGGAATTCAGACTACAATCTGCATACTGACGTACTATGGTATTCCTTGATCTCCGGGACCTACATTGGCAAGATTCTACCCTCACAAATCCTTGTAATAGGGGGGATCGCTTTCCATTCACCGATTTACACCAGTGACACACCGACTCCCCTGGCCCTGCTTTGATATATCTTCATTTCATCGGTAGCTGACTGCCTTGGAATCCAATCCGGGTTCGACCTAGTATCTTCCCTCTAAGAAAACTATGACGCGGCTTCGCTGCTGACGCGGTATTGCAAACATTACTGGGTTACTAGATCTCATTACTAGATCACACCTATCACACCTAGATTTAGCGACGTCAATCCATTCGGTACACGATTCGTTCTTTTTGATTTGACATTATCTAAGCTGCAAAATTTTGATTCTGCCAGCTATCTTTCCGTCTAAAGAGTTTATACAAAGACTTGACAAATAACCTTCGAGGCCAGATGAATATACTTCTAATTACAGGTAGTTGAACATCGCAATGGAACTTAGTACCGATCATAATCAGGCCAGGTTGGAGCCGTCCAGCGCTGCTACTGTCCAAACAGCCGTCGAATTCGCCCAACAAGAAGAGAAGCTTTCACTTCAGACAACCCAAAATAACGAATACACAGATACGGTTGCCGTCGAGGCCCAGTTTGTGACGCCACAGGATCCGGTCATTATCACAGCCGATGGGAACCGGCTGCCTCCTGTCCCTCTTGAGCAAGCGCATAAACTTAACATATTAAAAGAAGAACTAGAGCATGGTGTTTCTAAAGATGCGATTGATCATGCCAACAACGATGACCTCCCATCGCCTCATGCTGTCTCTGGCTTAGGGTCGGCATCCTACGCCGATAATAAAGCAGCACAGAAATCATCCGAGGGTTCGTTGGGTTCGTTGGGTTCGTTACGGAGGTCCATGCCACCGACAAACACGCACCCGCTTTTCCCTCCTCTTCCCTTGTATGGACCGCCATCTCTACTTCGCGATATACAATGCTGGACCTTTCGGTTTACATCATTTTTTCTTAGCGCTGCCTTCCTAGGAGTGATTGTCCTCGGCGCCATATTTACGAACATACCTAAAGTATGTTACAAGACCTGGAAGCGTATAAACTTCCAAGACCCTTACGCTAAAAGGCCCTTTTACGAAGAGGAGATTCGGAGGCAGACTGTACGAGATAAACAGGAAAAGGCCTGGAAGAGGCGGCAATCCCAGGCTCGAAGAATTTCGGATCAAGAGGACGCCCAAGGAAACGAAGGCTACATTCCGACCGAAGGTGGGCCGGATCCCGTTATCTGCGACGTGGCATACTATGCGCGGAGGGTTGGTTTGGACATTGAGGAATTTCAAGTGCAAACCGAGGACGGATTCATTATTGACCTATGGCACGTTTATGATCCCCGCGAGTATACCAGGTTGGATGATCAGGAGCGGTCCCACCGAGGACCAGAATTATTCACGGGCGACAACAAAAAGGTATTAAGAGACACAAGCCAGAAGCGTAAGTTTCCTGTACTCCTGATGCACGGTCTGCTTCAAAGCTCTGGCGCCTATTGTGTCAACGACGATGATTCGTTAGCATTTTACCTATGCAAATCGGGCTATGATGTATGGCTAGGAAACAATCGATGCGGTTTCAATCCAAAGCATACCTTACTCGACTACTCAGATCCTCGTATGTGGTGCTGGAATATTCGGCAGATGGGGGTCTTCGATCTATCTGCGTTAGTCTCGCGAGTATTGCTTGAGACTGGATTCGAGAAGATTGGGTTGATTTGTCACTCGCAAGGCACGACAGAAACATTCGTAGCCTTAGCGAAAGAGCAGCGTCCCGAGCTGGGAGAGAAGCTCACGGTATTCTGCGCCCTTGCACCAGCAGCCTATGCCGGGCCGCTGATTGGCAAAATGTACTTCAAATTCATGCGCGTGATATCGCCGAGCCTCTTCCGAATTATGTTCGGTATCCACGCATTCATTCCTATTATGATGACCATGCATTCGATCTTACCTTCTGGCATCTACGGGAAGCTTGGATACACTGTATTCTCGTTTTTATTTGACTGGACGGATGCTCGTTGGGATCGTGGCCTAAGGGACCGCATGTTTCAGTTTGCTCCCGTTTACGTGAGCGCCGAATCGATGCGCTGGTGGTTAGGTAGGGAATGCTTTGCCAAACATAAATGCATACTCTCTACTAAGGAAGAGTGGCGGAGTGAGGAGAGCGACGATGGAACAGATGGACCTCTCGCCGAAACGGCCAGCAAGCGCCGAAGCTCTATACTACAAAACATGAATAGAGAACACCTCAAGAAACCAAAAGGCTCTACCGCGTGGTACGACGAGAAGGTGTGTCCATTTGCGCTATGGGTAGCCGGAAAAGATAATCTCGTAGATGGGAAGAAACTGCTGCGACGGTTCGAAAAAGGAAGAGAACCACATGTCAGCGTAGTTCACAGCAAAATACTGCCAGACTACGAACACCTGGATGTTATTTGGGCGATGGACGCGGCAGAACAGATTTTTGGGGAGATTCGGGAAGTTCTATGGAAGACTTGCGACGTTAGAGACAAATGCAGAATACCGAAAGGCTGCGAAGACGTCGCAGCGTGGGTACGGCCAGAAAAGGCCGAGGAAGATAATGAGGATGCTGAGCAGTCGAGTAGCGATTCGGCGTAATCCTCGATTGGAGCATGATACCCCCTTTGATTTCTACATTTGGACACGAACGTATGACGGTACGGAGACGATTATATACATCATAGCTGATGCGTATGATATGCCATATATATATTCATATTTAGACGTATATAAGACGAGATAAATAGGTCACATAGAGTACATATAATGTCTATTGTTCTCATTTTATACTAGTTATTACGTGCTATTTCGTTTACTTATACCTACATGTAATTGCTGTCCTGAATATCTTCACGTTGGTCAGCAGCCCCAGCTTCTCTTCAAGTTCCCCGCAGAGATACATTGAAGCTTGTCTCCTCTAGGATTAGTGTGCTGATTCCTCCGCATGATCTGGGGTCCCCGTGGCCAAGCCACCTGAGATAAGCATTATTTCCACGATCCGTGTGTTTATAGAGAGGTATACGCATGTATCGACTTGGGACTTAGTTTTATATAATTAGTCCTCGATATCATATTCAATATCAGAGGCGAGTAAACTGTAAAGGTTAGGTAGGTTGAAAGGTAGTATTACAACGGGGACAGGAAGATCATCTCCGGTCAGGGATCGTGAACCCCGATTAATAATATCTCTAAGCTACATAGTAATATTTATTCCCGTCCCAACAGGAGGGGCGACGGGGTTCTTAATGGATCCCAGGGGAAGCTCCACGGTTTCCCACGGCTCCTTTGTCTGACACCACTAACAAAACAACCTCGGGAGCTTTAACCGCGGGAGCTTCGCGTTCACCGATTAGCTTCGTCGACTTTCTTTTCCTAAACTCAACAACTGCTCCGGTTTCAAGTGACTTGAGCTTGAATATATATACATTATACATATTGTCATATATACATACATAACTTATATATAATTGCTATCTACTAATCCACTACGTACATACAAATATAAATCTGACAGTCTCTATTTCTGCTTATCTAGCTGCTCCTAGGGGTTCCCGTCGTATCGTCGTGTCGTCGTCATCATGGTGGTCGTCAAGTCCTTTCACCCGCCGTTACAAATCCCGGAGGTCGACCTATGGCAGCTTATATTCGAGAGGAAGGATAGGGCGTTCCCAGAGGACAAGGGTAAGTAAGTAAATAAATGTACGAGAAGGAGAAATATCTAACGCTCACCGGCTGGTAGAAATATACATCGACCCCGACACAAGACGCTCGTATACATGGGCGCAAGCCCGTAGCACGGCTCTCGAGTTCGGCAAGGGACTCAAGGCGCAATGGGGGTTCAAGAAGGGCGACGTGCTGGGGTTCTTCTCGCCGAATAGCATAGACTACCCGCCCGTCTTCTTCGGCGTGCACTGGGCCGGCGGCGCTTGCTCGACTGCTAATCCGACGTACACGGCCAAGGAGCTCGCCTTCCAGATGAAGGATTCGGGGGTCGCGGGCATCGTGACGCAGGTTCCTATGCTGCCGACCGTGCTCGAGGCCGCCAAGATCATCGGGTTGCCTGAGGACCGCATCATCCTGCTCGGCGACGCGAGGGACCCGGCGGGCAAGTTCAAGCACTTCACCGAGATACGCGGGAGCTCGGGGCTACTGGGATTATCACTACGCCCGCGAATCGATCCCAAGAAGGACACCGCGTTCCTCGTGTACAGCTCCGGGACCACGGGGCTGCCGAAGGGGGTCATGCTCACGCACTACAACATCGCTTCCAACCTCGTGCAGCTGGGGCATTGCGATGTCTTCAACGGCATCTATCACGCGGGAGGGATCGACGGGAAGGGTGATAAGCAGATCGCGGTGCTGCCTTTCTTCCACGTATACGTAAGTGATAAATACCATTACCAACAACATATCATGAGGTAGAAACAAGCCTTAGCTTAGCTCGAGATACTTACAAGTTACAACGTCAAAAGGGTCTCACATGCATAGCCCTGCAAAGCATATTCATGGGCCTCCAAGTCGTCGTCCTGCCCAAATTCGACCTCGACAAATTCTGCCGAGCAATCCAAGACTTCGGCGTGACCTTCGCCGCCATCCCCCCTCCCGTCGTCCTCGCCCTAGCCAAGCACCCCTCCGTCGCCAAATACGACCTCTCGAGCATAAAATGGCTCAACTCGGGCGCGGCCCCCCTCGGCCGCCAGCTCGTCGAGCAGGTATGGGCGCGCCTCGGCATCCCCGTCATGCAGGGCTACGGGCTGTCCGAGACGGCGCCCGCCGTGACCAAGGGCCAGATCGCCGACTGGAAGCGGTTCAACGGGTCCTGCGGGAAGCTGCTGCCCAACGTCGAGGCCAAGATCGTCGACGTGGAGACGCGCGCGGAAAGGGGCCCCGGCGAGGGCGAGGGCGAGCTCTGGTTCCGCGGCCCGAATGTCTTCCCCGGGTACTGGAACCGGCCGGAGCTGCACGAGGATACGTTTAGCGAGGACGGCTTCTTCAAGACGGGGGATATCGGGTACGTCGATAAGAAGGGGAATTTTTATATTACCGATCGGCTGAAGGAGTTGATCAAGTATAGTAAGTCTAGTCTTTTTTCCTCCTTTGTTGTATATATACGGGCAGGTCCCTTATATTATATATATAGCCCGGCTCTAGTTACTAACACCCCCCTTACCAGAGGGATTCCAAGTCGCCCCCGCGGAGCTCGAGTCCGTGCTCCTCGGGCACGACGAAGTGGCCGACGCGTGCGTCGTGCCCGCGCACGACAAGGTGCGCGAGACCGAGGTGCCGCGCGCGTACGTCGTCCTCCGCCCCAACGTCGCGCGCGACGAGGCCAAGGCCGCGGAGCTCATCGCTTGGGTCGAGGGACGCGTCGCGCAGCACAAGAGGCTGCGCGGCGGCGTGCGGTTCGTCGACGAGGTGCCCAAGAACGCTAGCGGTAAGCTGCTGCGGCGGGTGTTGAAGGAGGAGGCTAGGAAGGAGGATCAGAGGGCCGAGGGGCCCAAGTTATGATAAGGGGGAGGGGGAGGAGAGGAGAAGGGGGTGCTGGAGCGGTATATAAGGCGGCGATGCATAGTGATTAGTAGAGTAGGGTAGAAAGAGAGAGAGAGAGAGGAAGAGAAAGGTAGAAAGACGTCAAGACAAGAGCAGCATTGTAAAGCTAAGGCGTGGATGTGGAATTCTCTCTATTTAGATTTTGGAATACCCATGTTAATTTAATATAACATTTAGTTATACAGATAATAATTATACAGTTGAGCCAGCTACAAGCAAGCCCCCTTTTCCCTCTGTCTATCATCCGTGAGCAGCGTTATCTGTCTTATCTGTCGTCCAAACCAGTCTTAAATACACGCGTGACGTGTTATTTCGTAATAGTCCCGTCCGGCGTATTCTTAAAATTAGGTACTCTCTTCGAACGAACCCCCACCCCCCCTTTCTTCTTATATACCAAACCGCAGTCTTTCTCAAGACAAATCTGTCGATCGTGCATAACTTTTACCACCACCACCACCACCACCACCACCACCATCATCATCCAGCACCCCCTCTCCTCAACCCAACTTCTCACTCTCCTCCAACAGCCTCTCAACACTAAACCCGCCATCCCCCCGTCCAAACTCCTCCAACAACCTCCTCTTCCCCCCATCCTTGTCCCCCCCAGTCCCTTCCCCGCCGTAGAACCGCTGCATGAGCATAACAAGCCACTTCGCATCCTGGACGCTCGCCCCCCGCCCGTCCACCACGCTCCCGGCCATCAGCACCCCCGCCAGCCCCTCGTCGACGTAGTGCGTCACGCTCGTGTGCGGCTGCGCCCACTCCCCGCGCGCCTTGTACTCGGCCAGCTGCGTGAACAGCACCGTCGCCGTCCGCGACGGCCCGTCGAACACCCACTGCAGGAAGTGCATCTCCGCCCCCACCTCCGCGCCCCGCGGCACCGGCAGCACGAACGAAGGGTGCCGCCGCGCCGTCGCCTCGAGCGTCGCGTACGTGGCCCTGGGGATCACCGCGCAGAGCGAGTTGGGCGACGAGGCGTGCCGGAGCCGCCATATTGCCGAGAGTTCTTTCTCGGGGAGCGCGCGGGCTTTCGGCAGGTCGAGGATTTCGGAGAGCGGTTTTACGGCGGCGTTTGTGCTCCCCGTCCCAACGACGGGTGGAACTTGCGGTTGTGGCGGGGGTGGGGGTGGTTTCTGGGTGATTCCATCCTGAGCCCGTGTCTTTACCGGCGCGGGCTCATCCGCAAGCAGGGCATCGAGACCGGGAACCGAAGCGGCATCTTTCTTCCTAAGTTCCTGGATGCGGTCCTTATACGCCTCTTTCAGCTCGCTGATATCGCGCAGGCCTTCCTCGCGGGCCTTGCGGTCGAGCTTGTCGCGGTATTTCTCGGTGACGTTGCGGGCGGCCTGGGTGGTGGCTACGAAGCGCACATCGTGGACCTGGGCCCAGCGGCGCTGCTGGCCCGGAAGGCGGAAGGGTTGCCGTCGGCCGATGAGGTTGCGCAGGGCCGGGATGCGCACCGTTGCCATTGGGAAAGAATAGACGGGAAGATAAGAAGAAGAAAAGAAAAGAAAAGAACTGGGTTAGAGATGTTGTGTGCAACCCTAGCTAGGTGGTGTTCCTATTACCACACTTCACCGACTGGTGGGTTCCGAGGTTGTGCTGGTTAAGTGTAAGATAGAATAGAAAATGGAGCTAAATTTGAACTTTGGACGTAGAAATCGCGGATAGTTAAGGCATAGACTTATCGACAAGACGTGGGGCACAACTCCATCTCCAAATCAGAGTACAATAGTACCTCCTAACACATAATAGTGACCGCATGGCAGTGGAGAACAAAAAGGATCTCCATTACATATATAGTACGTTTGCTGCGAGTCGACCTATTAAAACACCTCTATTTCAATCATCCCCGGATTCTTTTCCCTCCAGCTTTACCCCGTCACATAGTACATACCTAGGTACCTAGGTAAGCAAACAAGCACGACGTACGTACAATACCTAACACATGAACGAATATAGAAATGGGAACAACTTCGTTGATATATAGATCTTAAGCTTCGATTAAACAAGATCGAATACGCAACTATATAGGCTAATGGAAACAGTATAGCTCAATCAAGCCCTGCTCGAGGGCAGGTGTCCCACTCTAACACGTCTCGTCAGTTCTCCCATCGACAGTCACGACGCGACGTCGCTTCTAGGTCTCTCTAAAGTTCTCGGTCTAGGTCTAGGTCTAACTCTAGCCTTGCCTTGCCTTCCTCTTTTACATCTTTTCTAATGCGCCCCCTCTAACTCTATCATATGGTATCTCATTAAATTTAAGCATTAACAGGCTTGAAGGTGATCTTCTCGGTGTCCTGCTTGAAAGGCACACCCAGCTCAAAGAGCTTGGTAACGGCAGCAGCGAAATCCTTAAAGAAGAGGTCATTGTCCTTGGCGTACTTCTCTACCCAAGGCTTCGTTGCCTTGTCCTGGATAAGGGCGTAGTCTGCCGGCAGCATCATGAGCGACTTGGTCTTGACATCCTCGTACTGCTTGGGGCCATCCCACTTGCGCAGCTGCCACTTCTCCTCTAGGAGTAGGCGGTAATAGTCGTTGGTCAGGACGGTGGGAGAGAAGGTCCACGGTCCGTCGTACCCACTTCGGTCGGTGTGGCAACGACCGAGGGCGTGAGCACCGGCAAGGGCGACGATCTCTTGGTCGTTGAAACCCATGCGGTAGAAGATGTCACGGAGATGAGGGGTTCCCTTGGCACCGTCGGGAAGACGTCCGTCAGGAGTACAGGCTGCGGCATCTCCGTCCTGACGGCCGGGTCGGAACGGGATGACGGGGCCTTGCATCTCCTGGATGGCAGCAATACCGCCGATGATCCAGAGATCAGAGTAACTGATCCAGGGAAACTTGGCTATACGCTACGTGTTAGCCTGTGGTCTGAATCTTGACGGATAGAAAAAAGAAGAAAAAGAACATACCCTTCACAGGCTCAAGGAAGTCCCGAGCGTGCTTCAAGCCAGCGTTTGCGCCGTGATCACCCTCAGGGGAGAATCGCATGGTAGCACCGTTGCTGCCACCGGTACCCGTCTCCTTATCGTAGGTACCGCTGGCGTGCCACGCGAGACGAACGAGGACGGGGCCGTAGCTGCCATCGTCGTACTCATCGTTCTCCTCAAGGCGGTTAGCGATCTCGTTGTACACCTTCTGGTAGTCGTCCTTGGTGGCCGAGAACACCTTGGTGCTACCCGAGTTGTTTGAGGTGTAGAAGTAGTAGCCGGCACCACCCGCAACGACGGCACCTGCCCCCAGGTAGATCAGGCTCGATGAGCTAGATGAGCCAGAGGTCTTGGGAGGCTCCGACGAGTAGAATCGTCGGCCGTGTTGTCGGAATGCTTGCCGAGAAGACGTAGCGAATGTGTTCCTAGCGGAGGTGCGCAGGGCCGCGCGGGCCATCTGGCGGGACACAGTTGCGGCCGACATCTACAACGTCGTGGGTTAGAAATACAAGGAAATATCCGATATTGGCGGGGTGATATGATGGATGTCTTACTTTGGTCTTTCCTAGTGCACAGCAGAGGAATGCAATTGAGCTCAACCGGGGGGGAGGAGAGTAAACGAAAAAAGCAAGAGAGAGTTAAGCTAACTAATATATAACGATAGTATATAACGATGAAGGAGGGACGGTGAGGGAAGATGCCAATTCTACATATGTATGTAAAGGCTTACAGGAAAAGAAATCCGAGGACGGCAGGTCCCCGTCGTTGGGAAAAGCAGCCGAAATGTTTAGTAAGAAATAATCTAAGCCGTCTTATTGGGTGGCGACCCCCCTGGCATCATTTTCTCTCGGCTTCTATTCTACTATGCAGAGTGGGCCCCTAAACGGGTACCTCTCTTTCCCTTTTCTCCCCTCTGTCTTTCGTTTCGCGCTTGCCATGGCTGGCTTATGGAACTACATTATGTACCTGTGTAGTACCTAATTGTTCTTACCTGCGGAGGAATTTTTTGTTTTGTTGATGAAGAGGGTAAACCGATGGCAACATCTGATGCCAACAACGACGTAGCGAATAGAAGGCCTAGATTCACGGGGCCACGCATGCATGCAACCTGCGCGTGCGCATGTAACATTATATCTCTCTCAAGCTTGTACGAAGTACCTAAAAACATATCATAAAAAAAGAGATTCAATTGGTTCAAGTACCAAGGCCGATAATCGAACGATTTACAACCAAAATTCCATCCATTCTCCCAGTCTCCCAGTCTCCCCGAGTTGAACCAAACTGCTAGTACCTAACATTCATTACCTTACGTACTCAGAAAGTTTTGGTCCTTCGTATGTATTTGTCAGGAACGTTAAAAAGCCTTGCACTATTTAAAACCGCTACCGCAGGCCGCGAACCGCGAACCCACACCGCTAACGCAGCCTAACCTACTAATATAGCATAGTACAATAGCATAGTATAGCATAGCACCTTGGGGGACACCCACTGGCACGGAGTACGTGTAGTCCGCTCTGCCCGCACGGCGCCGCACCCGAGGTCCACCCTGCTGCCACTACATACACTAGGTACCACATATAGTATGAGGTACCCAGCAGAAAAGGAAAAAAAAAAAAAAAAAAAAAGAGCCAGAACAGAAACATCCCAATTGCCCGAGCTTGTCCGAGCATGGTAGGTACCTAACCCAGTAGGTATCTTATTAAAGTCTTATCTCCGATTACCGGCTCGTGGTTTCGGCAGAACCGTCTCGTCTTCCGCAGAGGTTGCAAAAATGCTAGCTCGTCATCAGATATCAAATTGATCAAATATCAAATATGACTCAAACAGTATCGACAATTCTTTTAAACACTATAAACACTACATAGTAATAGAAATAGAAAAACAAATATGACATAATCATTTGCAATATCCACCTCTATCTATACCTAGGTAGGTATTTAGCAATTGAAACACTGGTGGATTAATTCTCATTTCTTAATCAATCGTAAAAACACGCGTACAAACTATTGCCTGATAGCTTCCGAGTGCCGTGAGCTCCTCGAGTAAATACTTCTGGCTGGTATACACACCAGATTCCCCTTTACCTCATCATCCCGATCCGTCCGAGACTTCATATGCCCCTATTATAACTAAACCCTCAACACGGTTGGAACTCAAGCACGATACAAATACATTGCCCCCTCCTACTCCTTGAGCGTCATTACTCACCGATGTCAGAATATTGAATGCTGACTCTCGAGGAGTCGAAACTGAGTTTATACTCGAGCTTACTGGAAAGGTGCAGTTCCTTGCGCGTTGGGCTCGGGTTCCATATAGTACTCGTAATATGCAGGGTATCTACTCTCAGCCTTTGCTCTGGTAGCATCGTCTAGAGGGGCTCTTGCGACACCGTTCTCCTTAATTGCGGGCCTATCGAGCACTGACAATGAAGCAGGACTTGACGCAATGTTAGTATTTCAATGTAGACACGACTAAAAAGAAATCACATACCCGTAGATCTCTCGGTCGATAGTAAGGAATTGTTTCATCGCTTCCGCGCCACCTCTCTCTTGGAGATAGGCAAGATAGGTCAGGAACAAGTCCTTCTTGGCTGTCGATGATATTCGGCTCTTCGCCAGCAACTCGTCAAAGATGTGCTTGACACGCTCGGCATGTTGAGATTCCATCTCTGCGTTTGTCGGTTGTTCTAGTTCGAACTCAAGCCACCGCTCCCAGAAATGGCGGCTATCGGCATACCACTGGATGTTCTTCAGGAAAACGGTCCTTGCTTCGTCGACGGATCCCTTAATCTTCCATAGCAAGAAAGCCCATCGGGTAACGAGAACGGCCTTTGTAAAAATGTTAACGTGTGGCGCATCGATTTGCGCCTTGTAGACTTGGATAGCCGCATCGAGACCGTTTTGTCGTCTCTCAAGGTTGGCCCAAGACACGATAGCCTCTACGCAGTCGGGCAGCTGCATTAATACGGCTTCGTGGATATCTCGGGCGACGCCAGTGCGACCGCAAGACTCCTCAAAGTAAGCGAACTGCAGGCGGATACCTGGCCGGCTGATAGGCACAAAGAGGGTGGCAGCTCTCATATAGATATGACGGACTTCTTCCTCTTTTCCAGGTTGCGCCGACATCCACCTGGCATAACGCAGCCAGAACTCATCGTACAGGGCACATGTGACGATACAGCGCTCGTAGAGGAATGTCGTCCTAGCAAAATCGCCCTCGCTCTCTTCGAAGTCGAGATACTTCCGCCAATTAGCTAGCTGTGGGGCTTCTAGCTCGGTAACGTGGAAATACGGCCGTTTGATTTCCGATTCGTACGTCCATCGCTTATTCGTTTCATCCTGAGTTTTCTGGAAGACCTCATAGAACATGGCGTCGATCTTAGCACGGACGTCTCGCTCGACTTCCAGTTCAGCCCGCGGTATCATACCATACGCGGCGCCCTCAGCCTCTACCTCTGCTCGAAAACGCGCGAGCGTCTCGGGTGGTACTAGCTCCTTAATAGGCCGGCTGTGGGCGAGTTGACGGAAGCGCTCGTAATATCGAGCATACTGGTGCATCGGAATATGGATAACTCGCTGCAAGATGGCAAAGATCCTATCCTGCGCTTCCTGTCTCTCTTCATACTCGATATACTTATCCCAGAAGGGATGTGCTAGAAAGTCGAGGCCGACAGAAGCTGCGGCTCGCTCGAAGAGCCTGGGGGTAAAGGTCAGCAAATACGAGAACGACAAAGGGGGTTAGGGAGTGAGGGCGGGTAGGAGGGCAAATACAGAAGAGGAGGGATTTGTGCTAGCAACTATTCCGATTCCAAATCAATCCGGTTGAGGCGCAGGGTGTAGAGTGCGACGAGGATGTTCAAGGTCAAACCAATGACATTGTAGGGAACCACGGCCTGGCAGAATCTGTGAGAAAGTATCCAACATGTTATGGATTCTGTTGGCATCTCTCACCGTCAACGACTGAGCAGTCGTGTTATTAACCGCTCCGATAGTGTTGGGGGTCGCTATGCAGCTTTTGCTCTGTTGGTGGTAAATGTTATGGGGTAGGAAACATCCGGTTTAACTTACTCTCTGACCAAATGGGGGGTGTGGGTGGTCTCCATCTTAAAAGAACAATAGGAAGCCCAAAGATCAACACAATTTGTTATACTCGCACATCCACGTTCATAGATCTAATACAAGTTAGCTTACAGTAACTATCAGCTTATCAGAGAGGGAAGTTAATACCATCTCAGCAGATTCAGGGCCAGATATGTTGAACTCGAGGTCGGCGTACTTCTTCCAGTACCCGAAAAGAAGCGGGAACTTGAGGAGGAATCGATCGTAGACATCGCGAAGAGCAGCAAGCGCCTGCGGACTGGAATTCCGGTTGAGTCCCCCTTCTTGGGCCTCGCAAGCCCGTATGAGCTTCTCCCAAGACTCGAAGTTATCGGTATCGGCTTCCTACCTTATAGTTAGTACATCAAAGAGAGCCATTGGAATGTAACAATGCTGAAATGGGTGGAAAACTCGGTTACTTACCACCTCGAGTGTCAACTTTTTTATCTCGGCATTCTCCTCATCAGAAGTGCCGAACTGATTAAAATCGGCCATCTTTGTAGAAAATAGTACGCGACCCGTTTAGCGACGCGGTGAAGGTGATAAAAGGCAAGTAGAGAGATGTGAGTTTACACGAGGCTAGGATTGAAAAGACGTGGACGGAATTGAAATCGCGATGATTTTAACAAGATAATTACAATGAAGGAATAATGCAATTCTGAAATTTCATGATCCCCCAAATGTGAAAGACGCGACAGGGAATGGGTTTGGATGACAATGAGGTTGTCGAGATCGACGAACAATGATTGATGATCGCAAGAGAAAGTTCAAATGGTACTATGTATGTAGGAAGGAAAAGCACATGCAGCTAAATGAGGCTGGGACATGAACATGGGATATCTTGCATGTGGTCTGTGCATTTACATTGACTAACTGCACTAACAGGGAATGTGTGTGGGTCTTTATCTTGTTTTGTACATTTCTCAACTTGCACTTGCCTTCATCTGCAGAGCATAGATGACTCTCGGTAGAAACAATAAGCTTGTATGTGATTCTTTCCCAACCCTAAACAAGGTCTTAACGGCGACTAGTAACTACCTATCTTTTTCTACATATGTGCAACTACCCAACCTAACCTATTGATCCTTGATCTTGTGTACCAAAAATATGTTACATGCTTAGGTAAATGCCATCTCCCTCTAAACAGGGTGGGTATTGTACCTACGTACCCGTACTACTTACTAGCTCTAGCGCTAAAATAAAATGCTGCAGAAATTTTATTCGACACAACATACATTTCCTCCTCTCTTCCGATAGTGTATGCGATTCTATTCTCAAGGCCAACCTCCTCACGCAGTTACTGTCAATGGGAGCTCCAATATCTTGAGCTCTTCGATAGCATCAGTGGCTCGGCATATGAGAAACCTCTACATAACAATCACAAGCGTGATATTCTCTACCAGAATAAGAAGTTGAATATCTTAAGACTTCAAAATATAGCTTTATTCGTAGGTAGTAGGTATATTTCCTTCATCTCTCCTAGCACTCTCCTAGGAAACTCTCAAGCAACAAGCAGGCCGGTGATGATACTCCAATAAAACATATGATAGGAAGAGGGATATCCATAATGGAAATGATCTCAATTGTTAAATCTGAGGCCTGCGTTATTCTAGCTATTTCATTCTCTACCTCGTTTACCACCCAATTAAAAAGCTTTATATTTTATATAACACCAATATATACCTATATATATACTTCCAAACAGAGTGAATTGTAATTAGAGCTTGAATTCAGTGGACGGAGAGTCCTTCTCATACGATATAACAAACAGTGTAGTCGACTAAACATCAACAGCTAGAGTTGTCCACACGCGCTCCTGTCCCATTCTGACAAACCAGAACCCGACGCTTAAGACTAATGGATATTCCTATTCTTAAAATTCGAATGCCGCTGTATCCGTATCTAAAGTCCGGCCATCCTCTCTAACGCCTTTGCCATTCCCTTATGTAGACATGGCCTATGCTATTATGATGATTACATCCCAAGAAACCAGCGCTTTGAAGAAGAAGGACACCTGGCATCGTATCCTCAAACCATCGAATATACTCTTTTCCATGATACCCTAGCCTCTCCGTATAACGTCTAATCAATCTTTTTTTTCGGTGCATCATCTGAGTTCGAGATGGCAATCTAAGCCCTCGTACGGCGCGCTAGGCTGCGAGCTCTTCGAAGACGATCTCTGCGTTCCTCGATAGATAGCATAGGCCTCTTACGCTCGTCATCACTCGATTCTGCGGACGAGGCATCACACCTGTACTGGGCGTAGATTTCTGTAGCGCGGGGACGGTTACTTCGAACGCTGACAACATTATCGCCCGGCGACGAGGACTTCTTGGCCTTGAGAGACCTTAGACTGCGCATCCCCTTATTCAATGTTCCCGAGGAGGCTACAGTCTTGGACCCTAAAGATTTGAGGTTTGTGATCGGGTTTAATAAGTGGTCTTTGATCTTACTTTTCTTGGGTTTATCGGCGGCCAAATCCTGATAGCACAGTATAATTTCATCCAGCTTGTCCAAGCCGGATAAGGACCGTGGGCTTCCCTTGCGTACGAGACCAGTCTCCCCACACTCATTAAGCTCGTTGAGCGATACGTCTCGATCAATCAGCAATTGACAATTGGGACACGTTGGTTTGCCCAAAAGTTCCGAATCCGTAATGTCCGTTGGCGAAAGGGTGACAGGAGGCGTAGACTCGGTAGAATCAGATTGATGTGATGATTGTGGATTGCTGTCTATACCTACGGATGTAGTCGACGTAGATTCTGATGCTTCATTTGTGCTTTCAGACGAGCCTAAGCAGGGCCTAGAGCACACGCAATAATTCTGGGTTGACTTGACTTCGGCTCTCCAGGTTTCGATCACCCGTAATTTTCTATTGGATAACATTTTGTTTGGAGACTCGTATAATTCGAATGCCAATATATCCTTGGAAATGCTCTGAACCTACTCTCAAGCTTCTAGACATATTATGGTAGTATGTTGAGTTCGATCGTTCGGTATAGAATAGCTCAGGCCGCAAAGGTTTCTGCCGCTCGAGTGATAGAATAATCATAGAATTAGTAGGTATGATTGAGCAATCTATTGAAGCTTCGAGGGATGTTCCAAACAATCTTGTTCTAAACAACCTTTTAGGTACCTTACATAGACTGGAGCTATCGATATAACGCCTGACTCGGACGCGGCATCCCTAACCTAAATCTTTATCTTATCTTACTTAGTGGCAGCAGCTGACCGAAACTACCTACACAATGGGCTAGGTTAATTACCTAACATATTAGGTACACTTCGATGTTATACTAATAACATGCAAATCCAAACTATATTTAGCACATCAACAATGTCACAATGTCACAACCATTTCAAATCGTCTTACAAGTAAAACAAAGCTTTTATCTCGGGTAGTCTCACAACTGAGACCTGTATATACGTGTATACTCGTCTATCTTCAATTCTTTTAACGCCGTAAAACACCATGCTGTATTAAAATTTGACAACCCAGTACCCGTCTATGTAAATGCGACACAAAATAACTAACTCGGTTTCAACGTCTCCCACCCGTTCACGTCAACCCCGTCGTCGCCGCCCAGGAGGTCGACGGTAGATTTTCGAGCCTCTGGCTGAGGCGGTTGTATACCCTGTAGTTGGGGTTGCGGGCGAGTCGGCAGGTTTGGCTTGCGTTCTATGTTTCCCAGTCCAGGTAGAGACACTCGACTTGACGTACCAACAGGATATTCGTTAGACGAAATGGGTTCTAGACGAGGTGGCATAGTCATCGTCTTGTGCATCCCGCCCGTCAAAACCCCGGATCTACTAGCTTCAAGTCTAGAAGTCAGATTAGAAACAGCGTTAGAAGTTTTACGTGGGATGGATGGCTTCGGTGTTTGCTGATCTATGAGCGAACTAAAACTACCAGTTTCGGATACTGCTGGACTGGTCGTTGGCGAAGTAGACATGAGATGAACTGGTTTCCTTGCTATAGGTGGGGGTGCTTTAGACTTATTCGACGTTTGAGATGATGATGATAACGATGATGATACTGCCTGTAATGGCTGCTGTAAACCATTAGACTTCGCTTCTCGTAATACTGATTGCGCGCCCAACGGGGTGAGCGTCTGAGAGGGCTGCACGAAGCCTGTGGAGGTCTGCCTTCTAGGCGGAGGCGGCGGCGGAGCCTCGTTTCTCTGTATCGGTGTCTGCTCGTCAAGTAAGCTGACCTGACCGAATTTAACGGGCAATGTCACTGGATCAAACGGTGGCGGTAGCTTTCTAGGCGAGGAGTTGGATGCGGCGGATGATGATAGAAGAGTAGAGTGGTTGATATGCTCATATGGCGAGCTAGAGATGCTAGAAAATGATGAGAGCCTTGAATTGGATCTGGGAATCGCAACCCAATCAGGCTCCTCGGTTGGAGAAAACGGGTTTGAGGGACGGTTAGGATTTAACATCACAGTTGAATTATCACGGTTCCCGTTGTTAGGCTTAGGTGGACCAACTGTAGACTGCGCCCTCTTGCCGTTCTCGAGCCACCATCTCTGTCGGTCTGAGCTCGCCGGAGGCAAACCTGGCTCGATAGGATCATACCCAATTAGATCTTCGTCATCTTCGTCATCTTCACTAATCAAACTTGACGCCGTGTGGCCAACTTCGGCTTTGCGGCGTTCATACAGCTCCTGGCTAATCTGTTCTCTAAGTGCTTCGTTTATGATATTCACTGTGCATTGGAACGTAGCAAATACCGGGCGGTGATCTGAGAAACGCAACGGGGCACAGTTATATGACAGTTGCCTTATATTCGTGCCTTTGCGTAAGATGCGATCTGTCCACGCCGGGATACGAGCTTTTTCGCTGTCCTAGTGTTAGCCTTATTCATAGGGCGTATGCTATAGAAACTTACGAGGTATCATATCTATCGGTATTAACGTCGAATTTATAAGTTGGCATGAAGGTAATTCTAGCCTCTGAGTAATATGGGAAAGAAAGGCCGGCAACCATTTGGAGGTTTAACTGGAGCATATTAGCAACCGTCTATTCGTTTGATGTTGTATTCTAGTCGTACCTGGTCATTCTCATAGAGGCTCTCCAGATCATTTTTCTGAATCAAATCCATGACCTTTTCATGTGATAGTCCAATACGGTAATTAAAATCACCAAGCCAGATGACCGTGTCTACAGATAAATTAGTAACAAATAGAGTACTAGGCATACTGGTTCACTTACCATGATCGTCAATACCCCTGTTTCTTTGAAATCGTAATCCATGATGAATAGTAGCGTAATCCTTATTTCTCTCGTCGTAATTGGCAAACCCGGCGGCAAGATGAGCTGTCACAAAACACAGTTGAGTATTCGCATACTCCATCCTAATGGCAACCGCGCCTTTGTTTCCTGCTATGCCAGACATGCCTGTTTTCTTAACACTTCCTTCGACATTCTTTATTTTAGGAAGCGATGATGCTTTTACGAAGATGCATAAAGCGGCACCAACCAGCTGTCCACTACGAAGTAGGACATACCTCTCGCCTCCTAGTTGTTTAGCACGGTTGTTTAGGGTCCTTTTAATAGCTCGCTCCCATAGCTGCTTTCTACGAGGATCGCTATTCATGATCTGCTGCGCGCTCAACTCAACGATCTCCTGAAACCCAGCAGCCACTATCTCAGGTTGCACCGAACCGAGTTCCCGTGGGCAAAGCCAAGGGGACAGATCCTCGTCAACACCATTAGTACGACCGTTTAGGTTAAATGTCCCAACCCACCTATAGAGAGTTAGTATTATTAGATTAGCATGTAGCTAGGATATCTCAAGACTCACATCGTAATATTCTCCGTCGATGAGTATTCGGCACTACGCTTACTGAGTTCACCAGATATATAGTCGCTAATAGGGTCGAAGAGATGAACAGGAGTTTGACCAACCAACCGCCCTAGGAGCATATCAATCGTATTCTGCCTTGCCTTATCGGCGAAGTTGTTAATATAGAGCCTCGTTGCGCTTTTCCGGACGTCCGCAAATGCACCAGCTATAGACATCTTGCCATGTCTTGTGAAGGAAGATTTGAGAGCTCCTGTTCCGGCATATATTCTAGAGAGAGCATCGCCGTTGTCAGCCCAGAGGGTAGAATGACGCATCCAGAAATCCGACGCGGCATATTCTCCACGATGATTCAAGAAGGCCTCAACAGCCATTTGTGAGATCAGCGTCTGGATTAGATTAGTCCTGTCTAAACAATCGAGGCAATTTGTCCGGAAGACTCCTTCCTGCTGAAGCACAACCACCATTCTTTGATGGCCCGCCGGCTCATTCGTATCAGCCATATCATCTGTGAGCTCAGCAAGATAATACGCGAATCCATCAGCCGAATGTTCAATATATCGGCGGATTTCCCGGGCAGCCTCATATCCCGCAGCTTTAGTTTCCATGTGGAAATCGTAGTCGGTCTCCCGTAGCAAAGCATGATCAGCAGACTGCTTTTCACCAGCATGGCTAAGTGAACAATGCTCTAAACCATAGTGAAATAGATGTGTTAGCTCGGCCTCGCCCGGCTTCGTTGCGCTGAGCAGATTAACGATATGTACGGCGCCATAAGTCTGTTCTAGATCTTCAAAATGTTTATCGAAGGCTGGCTGTGTCCCATCAGCTGAACGGGTGACCGTTATCTTCTGCTGACCAGGGATGAGCCCTGGAGTCTGCTCCCAGAACACTGGTACCGAGCCACGGACTTGCGCGTACGAAAAGAGAACGCCGGATGGGCTCCAATAAATAGTTTCCGTCTCCACGAAGTTGGCCACGTGCCCGTCATCGTCGATACCTCGACTGTTGAAGCGAGTGCCAGCTCGTTTACATGATAGGCGGGAAATAACAGTGAGAAAGGAAGGAAGACCGGACCTGCCATCCCGTAAAGGCGCTGCACTTTGGGGGATCGTCATGGTTAAACAGAATCCTCGTATAGCAGAGGTTAAAATCCTAGAAGCATCGAGAGCCTCGCGCTCGTGCGCCAGGAGCCGAGATCTAAACTGAACTAGAGGACTAATCATGAAATAGTTCCATAAGAAGGAATCATCAAAATTGTCAATGTCAAATGTGTCCGAGTCTATGGGCCTATCCTGAAGCCTGTTAGTCAGATCAAAGTCTGTACTGTAGTAGAAACTGCCATTGCTTAACAGCTTCTGCAACTCCTGATATGGGTATTCTATTTCGCCTTCTCTCCGACCGAGGTTCTGTCCATAGGGTGACATGGACTCGGATATCTCGTCTTCGTATGTATTTAGGGATACGATATTATCGTACTCGGAGCTATTGAGGCAGAAGAAATCGACACTCGCAATCTTCTCGACCGTCTCCCCGGGACGCACCGTCGCCACACGTAACGCTTGTGTGATTACACATAGGAATACGTCCTGGTTTATAGATATGAGACCTAGGGTCCCGTATATGGGCCGGGGAGTAAGAGGTCTGAAGTCGCTAAGCAGCTGCTTAGAGACGGGGGAGAATTCGACCATGCATTTAGACACGGGGCCTTCCCCGGCAGCCCGGGGTCGTGCTGACGAGACGGATGCAAGCGAGCCATTGGCGATCGCCTCGCTTGTACTAGGGCTATATCGGAAGATCAAGGCATGGGTCGATGTTCTAATGGCGATGGCTCGGTGAGGATATTCGCGGATGAGTAGCTGGCTGGACTTCTCAGCCGACGGGGCTGCAGTGAGAGTTCGAGTTACGGATGGATACTGATCCATGCTGAACTAGCAGGACAGCAGGATAGCAGGAAGATGACAGCAGCTGTTTGAAAAAGTAGCACATGCTACCTGGGCAAATTTGAGAGTCAAGTAGTTGAACGAAAAATGTACGGAGGCGGCATCTATGTATTGTATATGCTGCTTTGAAAGTTTAGGTACTGATGAAAGTTGGCCCTGTGACGTTTAGCCTTGGCTTTTCCTAGGATCAGCCCTGCGAATTGATGGATTAAATTGGTTAAATTCAATTGTGGGGAGAAGATAGTATCTTCCACTTATCTCCCTATGAAAAGAGGGTCGGTTTCGAGTGGGGGTCCCGTGTACCTAGGTACCTATCTATGTATGAGGCTGAGACTACCTAACCTAAACACCCCCCTGTACGTTAGGTACCTATAATAGGCAATACTTTACCTTGCGAAGCATATGTAAGTACATAAGGTAACGGCTGGTAACTTTGCACTTCACGTGAGATAAGCCAGCAGTACGCCCGGGCTACTAATGTACCTAAAATATATACGTAGGTACATGTATTTACAGTTGGACGTGAATGGTATGGGCCGACATGTATGTAGGTAGTATCACTTATATAGGTGTCAGGTGTTAAGAGTACTGTATTGAAGCATATACTGCGAGTTAAATAGCAGCGTGTAAATGCTGGGAAATTTTAGAACAAGCCAACTTATATTAAAGTCTACAGTAGATAGCAGGCAAAGTAAAGCCGTCGTGGGAAGAGTGATCGTTGTGAGAAGAAATATACATACGAATATCTTATCAAAATACCTAAAGGACTAGGAACTTGGTTGTGTTAATCAAGTTACCATCCCGAATATTTCAATAGCTTAAAGCAAACCACCCCATTACTAGGATTATACTACGGTGTCACGTCACTACCTACTAGGATAAAAGGGATCATTAAGAGTATTACGAGCACGTCAGATCTAAGCATGGGAAGGCCTATAAAGTCAGGGTTAAGTTTTGCTTTTTTAATTTCTGATATCGGGGCATACGCATTGCGTAGGTGCGGATCGGGGGGGATTGATTGACGAATGCAGTAAACACACGCATCAAAGCAGAAGTCCAGCCTAATTAAGTATCGCAGTCTGTTCGAGCCGAATCGTCGAAAAGCCAAGCTAGACTTTCTCTCCCTCCGGCTGGTGAATCTTAAGGCATGGATCATTTTGCAATTCCACCCGAAAGCGGACCCGTAAACTACCTAATCTTCCCGTGATACGTAAAGGACCGGCGTACAAGGTCGACTCTAGGGGATGTTGCAATGGGTGCTGGATCAAAGGAAAACGTGAGATATATCATCTCAAAAAACCACAAAAAACAAACAGGGGAAACGTGTATGAAACCGTCCACACGACCACCAACGAGCCCTCGCCGCCCCTATACAGGTAGAGGTAGTTGAAATACAGCCATAATTGTGGAAAATGTTATCGCATTGCCAAGTAGAGGGCCTACTTTAAAAGCAGCCTTTTACTGACGAATCTTGGAGTGAAAGCCGACACTCTGCTCAAATTTCACTATCGCGTCCAAAACAGACACCTTTAACGTCCTCCCCAACCGATGCTACAAATCTTCGCCAGTTTGGGTATCAACAGAACCCTGGCCCTTCGGAAAGTATTACAGAATATGCATGTTCAGTTGAGGTAAGGAGGTTTATCCATGAAAGGTAGTCTAAGACTCGGTGGGCGCGGGGGCGTCCTCCTTGGGCTTCTCAGCTTCCTCAGCGGGCTTGTCTTCCTTAGCAGCCTCTGTGGCGGCGGCACCCTCGCCCTCGGCGCTCTCTGATGAGGTCCATAGGGTCAGGTTGTCACGGAGCAGCTGCATGATGAGAGTGCTGTCGCGGTAAGACTCCTCAGACAACGAATCAAGCTCGGCGATGGCGTCGTCGAAGGCCTGCTTGGCGAGATGGCAAGCTCGGTCAGGCGAGTTGAGGATCTCATAGTAGAATACGGAGAAGTTGAGAGCAAGACCGAGACGGATAGGATGCGTCGGGGTGAGCTCAGTCTGTGCGACATCGGTAGCGCTCTAAAAAGGAGAAATGTGAGATTAGAACACTTATACAGTTTATACTTATGATATAGACTAACCTTGTAAGCCTCGTGGGCGGCAGTGGCGGCGACCTTTCGCTTCTCGCCAGACGCAAACTCGGCCAAGTAGCGGTGATAATCACCCTTCCTATGTGGGGCAAACCAAACGTTAGTATATAGCCATTATAAGACTACATCGCGATGAAAAAAAAGGCAACTAACATCTTGTGATAAAAGACCTTGGACTCGCCGGTGGCAGCGTTGGGGATCAAGCTCTCATCCAGAACATCCAAGACATCTTGGCAAACCTTCTCGAGCTCGGTCTCGATCTTGTTTCGGTAGTCGCGGATAGTGGAGACGTGCTTGTCAGAGCCCTTGGACTCCTCCTTCTGCTCGATCGACGAGATGATTCTCCAAGAGGCACGTCGGGTACCGACCACGTTCTTGTAGGCAACAGATAGAAGGTTGCGCTCGTCAACAGAGAGCTCTCCACCAAGCTTAGCAACCTCCTTCATATAGGTGACCATCTCATCATAACGCTCGGCCTGCTCGCAGAGGCGGGCTAGGAAAGTCTTGCTGTTACAACACGCTAGTTAGTGGACTCGTGTTCCCCCCCTTGGTACATAAAAAGGCGGCATCAAGTATGGGACTAGATACGGCGGGGGTATGCGGTACGAACCTTTCACGCTACAAGGTAGAAAGCAATGTTAGCATGATCATTATCCATAGAATGCCAGAGTAAGGATATAACTAAAGGCTACGCAGCAGTGCGCGGGCGCGGCGGAGGCGAATAGCAGCGTCGCCCGAAACAAGGCAGTCCTGGGGAGTGGAAAGGGGAGTAGGAGTATCGAAAACTTACCTCAGTAGTCATCTTGGGCGGTTTGAGAAGAGGATTCTGAGCCTAGAGGCGATAGAAAAAGGGGATGTAGGAATGGAGATTGGGAATGAACTGTTTGGGTGCAGGATTGAGGAAGTTGGTGAGCAGGGAAAGATGGGATTGTTTACAGGTACGTCAAAGTTGAAGGGTGTTGAAAATCGACGAGGTTTAAGGTGCGGGAGGAGAAATCAGTAGTGTAAATGCGGCCAGGGCTACCAGGTCCAAAATTGCGCCTGAGTCTCCAACTTTGGCACCTGGCTTGTGCGGGAAAGAAAGGGTACATGGGTACCTTCGTTCCACCCCCTTCTATTCTATGTAGCGGCTAGCGCCTGGTCCAGTAAAGTAAGGTTGTGCTACCGTACACCTTTCCATCATTTTCAGGGCTTGCTTGCCCCTCATTGCCGTCTTCGGCCTGGCGGCCTGGAATCTTCTCTCGATATCTTACGCCTTATCAAGTATATCAGTACTTAACTATGTACATTTATACATCAACAACAAATAGGTACATTAACAACAAATCAATGGGCAATATGTAAACAACAATATCAAGACCGCGAATGCCTGATCATAAACATTAGAAATATCAACGAACCAATGCGCTAATTTGCATTATTGTAAATTAGTATCGACGTTAAACGTTAGCAGAACCCTTAACTCTATTTTTTGTTCTCTCCCAAATCAGATTACACGATACGCAGCCTGCCTTTCCCCACTATCGTCCGCCTCAACCTTAGAATGAAATAACTGGTCCACTGTCCACCAGAAAGGTGCTCAAGAAACAAAAAGGGTATCCGTGAAATTTTGACCTAGACCTTTCGGTAACAACCTATGGAAATTATTTATTAAAAGGCATATAATAGAGAGAGAGAGAGACGCGACGAAATCGTCTCATCCTTCACCAAGATATCAGTCAACATCGGACGAGATCCTATCAATAATCCGGACGCTGACTTGCATGTCCGCTGCAGAGTTCTTGCGCGAGTCGGCAGCGGAATGAGACGAGAAACGAGAACGCGAATGTTGAATATCACAATCAGTCAGCAGCAAAGCCACCCCCAAACCATATTGTTTGTATCCCCGTTTTCTTTACATATATACAGCTCGTGATTATATTATATTGTTAATATTAGTATGAGATGTCCTAGACGAGTATATTATGTATGTCCTAAAGGTATCATACAGCACTTTACCTACGGAATAGACAAATAGAAAAGAAAAAAACATCATTCGTACCCAGGTACCCTCCAAGACCCCCCCAACGCGCAGGGTCTTATCATCGTGTGGTCCGTCGGTCCCATGCGTTGTCATCACTCTCCTGAGGCTAGTGGTGCTGGCTGAGTTGGCACCCTTTTCTTCCAGTCACGAGTCCCTCCTCTCCCACAAGAAGTCAATCCCACGCGATTAAGCGCGGTCAGTCGAAACGGCCCTGTCACGAGCCGTCAACACTCCATCTTGCAGACTTCACCGTACTATCGCCAAGACATCATGACCTTTGAACCCACTCCATCGGGTTTGCTCACCGTACTCCGTTAGTAGCCTCATAATAGGTATTACATGTGAATATCTTTCCAAGTCTGATTGTACGCATATACATAGCCCCTGGCCCGTAGATTTGTGATCATTGCCGTACTTGGTAACCCAACAACATCTTGTCAAAAGTCGCTTTAAAGATTTGGTCCCTTAAATTTCTCAATAGTGTCCGAAATAGTTTAATGATTTCTAATTATAACGTTCCACTATATCAATCCGTGTATTAAGCATTATTTCATACTACATTAGGTTACCTAAAGTAATTTAATTAGATTCTCTCTTTTTTTTTCGTGATCGCATTATCAAATTTGATTCCTTTTATTCGATCACCGTAACATATTGAACGCTAGAAATAAACCCGATCCTCATCTCGGATTAAACAAAGCGTGTTACCCATTTGTGACTCATAATTCATCACTAGTAGTGAAATTAGGATATTTGTCTCTGCCCCAATCAATAGGATCCCCCCCTGGGACGCACAAACCCAATCTCCAGAAGTAGTCTCGATGCGCAAAGAACAATTGCCACAATTTGAACCGGCTGGGAATATCCCAGAGTCCTCCGGTCCACATAGTAGCATCGCGCCCTCGTTCTTCAACTAGGGCTTGGCTAACCGTCCTAAACGGCTCCCCAACTGAACCAGCGATACACCTGGAGTCCTCATCCCCTGTACACGGTTGAATATCCGAAGGTTCGGGAGGCAAATTGGACTTGGTTATGAAAAGTTCGCCGGCGTGAGATCTATATCCCCACTCTGATAGTGGAAGCAACGGTACGGGATCATCCACATGTGTTACTCGCCGATATGTTTGTGCCTCGTATTGCTTCCCTGTACCGTCAAGATCAAAAACCGAATCAAGATATTTAACAAATCCATCGTTTCCAACCCTCGGCTCGCCAAAAGTTGTTACGACCAAGTTATCCCAACCAGAAACGACTTTAAGCTCCAACGCTGCGAGCGCTGCGACGGCGCCACCTAAGCTGTGACCGACAAGGTAAATCGGGTAGTCAGGATGTTGTTCGTGTAATGGTTCAAGTGCTGGCAGAACGACGGTCCGGGCTATTCTCCACGATGCCAGGAACCCCATGTGAACTGTGCAATTCTTGCAAGTATGTTTTGATTCTTTGGGTGGTTCAGATCCTCCTTGATCTGGCGATGGGTATGGAACATATTCCTGGGGAATCGTGCTTAGGTCTATAACGGTATTTGTTATACTATAGGTACCACGGAATGCGACGATGATTGCCCCTTGGTTCCTGCTACCCACGGTATCGCCCTCGATATCAGTTCCGCTTGGCGACGTCCCATGATCTATAGCAATATAGCCGCAGCTATCGCTCATCAAAACTCCGGTGTTCCATGTCGTGACAAGGTCTAGGGTTGGGAATTCCTTGCATCGAGACGCACAGGAAAAGGGCGGCGTGATGCCAGTGGTGCCGACGCAGTAAGTTATATCGACTAGGCGGGAGAGACGCTCGAGAGATGCGAAGAGGCCATTCGAGATGTGATCAGCAGTCGTAGCATCGCTCTGTTCTCGGAAAGGGTACTGATTCGCCAGAGGGGACCCTGCCACGATAGTGGCTATTAGATACAATAACCACAAAGAGATTAGCATCGTACTATAGGGTAGGTTTAGTAGTGATTTCGGGTGCGTAGTGTCGAGAATTTCTGCTTGAGAGATCAATATCGAGGATAGCCATGTCCTAGAGAAGACAGGCCCGTGGCCTACGATAGAGCCTACGATAGAGATGATTGAATAGGAAGATGAGTCGGCTATTAGGTATTATATAAAAGGATGAAACTCTAAAGCGCCCGATTGAAGTCGCGTTGGCGCATTAAGTATCGCGCCAATGCTACTTTTCAGCAGGATCTAGTTATGGAGACCATGTGATGTTTTAAAGTTGTTATGGTTAAAAGGTGATAACATTGACAATGTTAACAGATGAGACGAGGTTCTTCCTTTGGCTTCTTGACGATCTGGCTATTGCTGGGGTTTACCTGCCCAGATGGTTCTTAACGAGTCAAGAAATGACGAGGTAGGTGACTACTAGGGCCAATAGGAAGTAACACATGTATGTGTATTGGTACTAAGGTAGTTGGTAACGCGGGGTATACCGTTCTGGGGAATTGCTGGTAACAGGGCTTACATACCTACCTAACACCTAGGTAGGTAATAGGTGCCTACTAGATTGGGCTTCCGCTATTCCTATTCTACTCTAATACTCTTAACACCTTCGCATGCTAGATAATTAAGCATTAAGCTACACAAGTAGTGAGATTCTTGATTGAGCCTCAATTAAGCGATTAATAATAACTATCGATGAAGTGGCTTTTTATCTAGCTCTAACACCACCTGATGTAGGAATGTCCGATTAAGCAAACCTAACGTCTCGCCCATCTTGCTTGTGGATATGTAATCACCTATTCGAATCCCATGGAGAGCTCGTATGATAATTACGTGCCCTAGGCAATATCGACTTCCCATTATTTCCTATCGTTTTTTGTTACCAACGCTCATCGAGAAGGCGGTGGTGCGGGTTCGAGACTGTCGAAATCTCCTACAATCGGAGACTGCTTAGCCACACAGGTGGTTCCCGATGTGGAATTTGTGCATGCAAGGTCTGGCCTGATGAGGCCAGAGGCTTCGAATTGAGGAACACTATGCGCTGTTAGCATCTATCTTGACACTGTCATCGCGTCGGGTAGCGAGCCAATATAGAAACAATCTACGTACTTTCCAGGACATGCCGTCTCGATCAAGGTTAGGCCTGCGATACCAGTTGTCTGGTAAATGAATTCAACGTTCGAGTCATCACAGGGCCATCGGTTAGAACCGATGAGCTTCGAGGTCGAATTGCGGCTGCAGCTGGTATTGATCCCAGTTCTCGGGTCATCGAAAAGGAACGAGGTACTATTTTTACTACTGTCTGTTCTGTCCGTGTAGATGGTGAAGTTGGAGACGGTATAGTTGGCCGGGAACGTGCAGTCGGTGGCTTTAAGGCTCACAGGAATGGCGTATTTCAAGGCCTTCGAAGTGGCCGGCACGGCCAAAAGGCCTAAAAGGCCTAAAAGCGTAACAGCGTACATTTTATGATTTATAGAAGTGAATTGGATGTTGTGAAGTTATGAAGGCGTAAAATATCAAATATCTCGGGGTTGGGCCGAGTTTTGCTGTTGAGAAATCTTAGTAGACTGTTCCCGATCTTCAGAAATTCGTGGATCCAACACGCAAGTACTTCGTTTTAAGTCGAATCCTACATCAGCTTGGGGCGGCATTTCCCCTACTAGGATATCACTGCCCTGCATCTATTCACTACGTACCTGTATTTGCATTTTTCGTCCCTTCGCAACTTACCGAGAAAGCCGAGTACGAATTTAAGGTAGTACATAGGACACGGTTAGACGTGTAAGTCATGTTGCAAATCATACTCAATTAGGCGAACGATTCGCTACAGTTGTACGCTCCTCCTGCAAGATACCGCCTAGCAGTTTCCTGCGCGTATCCGCCAGGCTGGACCTGCAGGGGCTAGGGGCAAACAACATTACGGTCTTAATACATCCATTATATTCAAGCATAGATCCAACCTAATCACACAAATGTGTTTGCCAACTTGCACACTTTATAGTTGAATAGCTGAGCTAACTTAAACAAGCAAAATATTGTAAAGAGCTAGTCAACAAAAAGTGTGTTTACTGCTTAGGTAGATAACCCAAGGTATCTATACATATTGATTTATCAATACAAAGTCGCTCCCATTATCAAATCTTAAAGTAGTAGTCGTTGATTATATCTAACACTGACTATTACTACCTAATACTAAAAGATCGTATAAAGAAATAGTCTTAGGTACATATGCTAAAGAGACGATCATGACTGCGTTTAGTAACCTAACTTCATATAGTTCTGTACTAAATAAAAGATAAAATAGAAGTTAAACTTAATCTATGGCAGCTACCCCAGAGCGGACCATTACCTGCATGCATGTACAAGGTACAGATATACTTTCATGTTACGTATATGTAGGTAGTCGACCCCGCCATCCCACTTGACGCGCCTTCCTGCGGGCCTAAACTTCACTTCAACTTCAACTAATCCTTAACTAAAGCGCATATTCAAGCGTATGGGGGAAAGTGATATCATCTTCTTCCAATGTTCAACATATGATGACTTGATTCATCCGATATTATCATGGGCCTTCCCTTAAGAATGGACAACATTCACGCACCTACCGTTCCTGCGGGACCCTCGTCCCGGCCGCTAGCAAATGGAAATGCAAAGCATCTCTCATTTGCTGAACTTCAGGCCAAGAAAGACGATATGGAAGCCGAATTAAAAGCCCTGAGTGGCGTACTTGACTCGGTTAGTAGTTGACATTCAAGCCTATTATAATACCGGTCCTGATTCTATCTACAGCATGGTGTCAATATGGAAACGCCTTTGACTACAGCCGATGGGTTTCCTCGGGCGGATATTGACGTCGCGCAAAGTAGGAGCTCCCTCTAACAGAGACACTGTTGAATATGAGCTAACCTCCTCCATAGTACGCACCACTCGAGCTCGAATCATCCACCTAAAAAATGACTATAAAGACCTCCTCAATACCTTAGAGAAATACCTACATGAACATTTTGCGAGCATACAAGATGCTGATGATGTCGCGCCTGCTTCAGCAAATCGTGCCGAGATGTTAGGCGACTCGATCCCGGCAACTTTAGACGAACCCTTTGCGAAAGTGAATAGTGTCGTTGCAGGCAGCCCGGCGGAATCGGCCGGCTTGAGACCCGGAGATGAAATTCGAAATTTCGGCTACGTTAATAGGGGAAATCATGACGGCCTCAAGAAAGTTGCAGAGTGCGTCCAAGGAAATGAAGGTGTAAGTTGAACTCTACGAGAATTCGCAACGCTAAGACGGGGTTCATGTCATAAGGCTGACCTTCTATACAGCAAAGGATTCTTGTCAAGGTAACCCGCCGAATAGAATCCAACCAAAACCAAGAGCTACAACTGAATTTAACCCCACGACGGAATTGGGGAGGAAGAGGCCTATTGGGATGCCATATCCTACCGCTATAAGCAGTTTTAATAGTCCAATTATACCAAGGGGTAGCAAATTATTGGTTCTATTCTAGATGCGAACATTTCCGTATGTTGCAATAGGCCGCCTCTTTTCTCGCATCGAATCGAGGCAGCGCCAGGCGAGGCAAAGGCGTTTTTAACGGATGTATGAGACAAATAGTATTGATAATCATTGGTCTTTTCTGCCTGGATAATTGATGATGATTTAAATCTGGCTATGTATTCATACGACACAACTAGGCAGCTTTGAAGCCCGAACCAGTTTATGTAGGAGGTAATCACGCCAGCAGATATCCAACGGACATACGAGATGCTATTTAACTTTTAACTAGCCTGAACGCTGCCCAGCCTCCTTCGCAACAGGGCTGTTGACATAAAAGTCGTTGGGCTCGCAGTGTTACCAACTGGAAGACACTATCTACCTAAATATCCGGCCGGCGAGTTTGCCGCAGCTCCCTTGCTAGTTGCCTAATGTCCACGCCTAAAATCAGTCTAGGATATTGAGTACCTAAATCATTTTATTCTACTCGTTAATATAGAAGTCGAGTGCTGCCTATGGGGATGAGTCAAGGAGAAGAGGAAGACGGAATTTAAATGGTTGCCATGGAAAGTAATAGATAAGTGCTAAATTCCATGGTGGACATACCTAGTTTAAACAACGGTAGCAACGCAAATCCTATGTAGACGCTACGAGGCTGATGTATTGGAAATGTACACTTTGTACAATACTTACTGCCTTGCATTTGTAATAACTACTCTATACATACATGTATGATTCATAATAATAAAAGGCCAATCAAAACATTGAACAAGTACGTAGAAATAGGGGAAACAGGTAAAACTTCATAGCCTGGTATACGGTATATTTTAACTACAGTGGAAATACATACGTAAGGGAGATATGTCGTTCCTGACGACTTAGATTCAAGTACCTTGCAGGCAAAAGATAAAAAGATGCAACATAGTACCTACCTACCTATATAGGTACATTAAATAGCATTTTTGGTTAGACTACCTGCTTAGGTACGTGTACATACCTATTTGCTATCAATAATACATCTGGAAGGTCGTTTCCCTACCTCAAATGTGCGTCATTGTCGCCCATTCCGTTAATGCCCAGGTGATCACGTGCTGCCCCGCAACCGTGCGCCCGATTTTTTTTTCCAGAGGGAAACCCAACCTTATTAGATCTTCTTGCCAGGTCCCGCCGCCTCTCGAAACTCTCAAAAAAAACATTAGCCCGCTCATCATTTCAACGACTATTTTACGAATACCCCCCGTAATACTCTCAGCGGATCTTCTCTCAATAATATCAAGTACGTTCGCCCGCTTCTCGATATATCTTCAATAACTCGTATCGAGGTTACAAAATACCATTCTACGCTTTTTCTTCCCTTTCCATCATTTAGTCATCCCCCACTAACGCCGAGCCTAGTCTTCCCCCATCTTCTGTTTACCTCACATTGACAGAGGATTCCACAATGGCTACCGAGACGCCCACCTTCAAGCTCGTCCTTGTCGGCGATGGTGGTACTGGAAAGGTAAATACACCCATCCTCTGGATCTCACCTACTATATCCTGTCGCTTATCAGCCCTTTACCGGCATGCTAAGCTCTGTTTACTATGTGCCGCCCTGCGCATAATTTGCCCCGCCTTTTGCTTTTGATCTCGAAGACCATGCCACTGACCGTGATTATTAGACCACCTTCGTCAAGCGCCATCTGACGGGTGAATTCGAGAAGAAGTATATGGCAACCCTTGGTGTTGAGGTCCACCCCCTCGGCTTCACGACCGTAAGTCGGACTAATCCTCGCCTCGTCCTATCGCATCCGTCCTATCTAGCGCAAAATATCTAACGATGATTAGAACTTCGGCAACATCACCTTCGATGTGTGGGATACTGCTGGCCAGGAGAAGTTCGGTGGTCTCCGTGACGGTTACTACATCAATGGCCAATGCGGTATCATCATGTTCGACGTGACCTCGCGAATCACGTACAAGAATGTACCGAACTGGCACCGTAAGTAGAATAGGTCCCCGACCTCTTTTTTTCGTATTGACTCATAATTGTATCATAGGTGATCTGGTCCGTGTTTGCGAGAACATCCCTATCGTTCTGTGCGGCAACAAGGTCGACGTGAAGGAACGCAAGGTTAAAGCCAAGACTATCACCTTCCACCGAAAGAAGAACCTTCAGTACTACGATATCTCCGCCAAGTCAAACTACAACTTCGAGAAGCCCTTCCTCTGGCTGGCCCGCAAGCTCGTTGGCAACCCTCAACTAGTAAGTTCGATCGCTCCCGCAGGTATTCACGATAGCTAACCTAATTAGGAATTCGTCGCTGCTCCCGCTCTGGCACCCCCCACTGCCGTGGTCGATGAGGCACTTCTCAAGCAGTACCAGGAGGAGATGGACAGCGCTGCTCAGCAGCCCCTGCCTGGTGAGGATGAGGATGATGACTTGTAAATGAGTTACGACGAGAGGACACGATTGGTGGACTACGAGGATTATGGTAATACTTTAAGTTCGGAACGACAAGGGGGCTACTTGTGCGGGTTAATGCAGAACGGCTGCGTACGCTCTGGGTTGGGGTCGATAACCTTTCATGGCCGTTGATTTCAGATGCATGGCTGCATTTGCAGCTTTCTAGATAGCAAACCCCCCCTAAATAGACAGTTATATGAGAAGGAATTGCAGTCTACTATTACGTACATAGGTGTTTCGCCTTTTAGACGTCTGTGCAATATGAAAAATATACTGCTAATCCTGAACTATATTTAAACTTGGTCCGAAATACACGTCACATATTTATTTACCACATATATGAGATAATCATAAATCTAGACCCCTTGCGTTTATCGCACATTCGGATATATCTTGTATAAACATCCGTCTTATTTTTAGATACTGCATAAATCTAGTCATATTATGCATTGAGGTAAAACCACTCTTAGCAACTATCCCGAAGAGTGAGGAAACATCGTAAGATATTGACGATAGCAGACAATATGAAGATCCCAGAGACCTAAACGCTACATAACATCAGCAATTCACATGTCGTCCTCCAAAAAGGCTTGATTGTCAGGGATTGCCCGTATAATGCACCAATAGAATATGCAGAAACTAGTACGAACCTTAACAACTAACAACCTACGTACTATTTATGATAAGCAATGACAACTAGTATTAGAATATCTATCCGCACAGCTTGATGGTACTATTGGCATCAATTGAGACCTAATCATGACCTAACAATTTTGTTAAGATATCCAGTAAAGGGATGCCAAAGAGGTAACTATCTCTTAATAGTTGGACAGTCCAAACGGTAGGTAACTCCTTACAACATCCTATCATGTGTCAAATGTGAAGATACTAGGAGGATGCTTACTAACTCTTTTCGACACAAATAATATCTTTAGAGCTATCATTAGAGGAGATCACAATTTATAGGTACTTGAGAACTTAGAAACAATACCGACCTATATGGGGGGGGAAGAAAAGAAAAGAAAAGAAAGATGCTTGGATGAATAACAACGCAAGGAACCTAGTTATTAGTACGAAAGTATGATATAAAAAGCTAGATGGTATTAAGAACAGCGATCAAGGCTAATAGGCCAGCCATTATATCTCTGCTCCTTTGGAATTGCTCTTCTTGTAACTAATAATTATTATTAAACTTCACGTAGACCTGACAACTATAAGCTACAAGAATGGCGGTTCCCGCCAATACTACTGCCATCAAATGCCTACCTAATTTTGGGTGGAGTCGTTCATCCATAGCACTGAGTTACAAGAGGCGAGGAATAACGACATATCTTGATCGTTTTTACACGTACTTGGCGATTTTCCTTTGTAGTGCTATTCGGGTGGCATTGACATCTGCATGATAGAGGAACATAATATCTTTTAGGGTTTTGTTCTTTTGGTTACTAACATTTTATATTAGCAGCTATAGATAGGCTCTTTATGGGTAGAATGGGAGCGTTCCGAACCAACGAAGCGAGTTTGTCAACTTACTGCGAGTCAGCACTGAAATTAATACCATCACTGGGAAGCCTCGCAAGAAACTGAAATTGTACTAAAGCCTTAGCTTTGGTAAATAGGTGGAAAGTAGAGATTAATCTAGTTTAAAAGGAGTTGAGATATGAACTTGGTACGCCTTCTACCTGAGTTCATTCTATGGGTATTTTTGATGTCTAGTCATTGCCATAAACCCGACCGGGGGACTGGTTCCCAACCAGCCCAAAAGCAAAACCTAACGCCATCCCAATGTGATGCTACATGTTAGCAGGCCAAATGATATAACCGTAACCGAGTGTACCCTTTTTCTCTACCTGAGCCAATGATATTGAATGCAATAAGTTGTTAAGATAGGTACCCCATAGGCACCTTTCGACGGATTTAGAGGACCTCTTCCCGTTCAAATCCTTCCGCCTTCAAGGTAGGTCGGGGTGGGTTCCGGCTGCCCTTGTACTCGCTGACGAAGGGGTTGGGATCATCGTTCTGGTTTAAGTTTGCCAAGGTGTGGTTCACGCCTCGGTGACCTGCCTCGTCTGCTCGGATATATAAGATGAGATCTTTCATTGTTCGCTTCCCCTCTGGCATGTTCCAGTACTTCACGGCGATTTCAGGAACGACGAAATTCGGGTCGGACCATTTTGGAAGGTGGCCGTCTTCGATTTGCTTGATGGCTAGCGTATACGTGTGTACGGCTTCTTCCTCTAAGTAGCCCACTGAAAGAAAATCAGTACATAATATAATCAAACAATGAGGCGTCTTGCTTACCGAATCGATGTGTGATCTTTGGTGATATCAAGTAAGTCAAGAAAAGACCGTTAAAGTAAACCCCCTGAGCACCAAGGAGCAGGAACTTCATGAACCAGCCTAGCTAATATGTTAATAAATAAAACCAATATAATTATTTAGATGCAATGCCCACCTGGTTCGCACATCTTGATGAAAGTTAAGAGATGCATTCGCTCGTTATAGCTTTCTTCGAGGAGAGTTTCAATCCAGCCGTTGTCTCGCTTCAGTCGTCGGATGCTATGGAGATGCCTTAGCATTCCCGCAACCATTCCAGGGACACCGGCAATGGACTCGAGAAATAGGAATCGCAGCAGCCATTGGCTTTCTGTTAGGGGTTGGATCGTATCGACGGCAGTAGTCGGATTCGCCTTGTCCACTTTTTGGCTCTTCTTCATCCCCGTGAAGAAGTCCATTCCCCATCTACACGTACGCATAACCTTCCAGGCGACCCAATCCCCCCAGGTCTTGGCTGGGCGGTGAGCGGGAACGACGCTGAGCATCTCCTATAATTCAAGTTGACTAGTTAGACGCCGGTTTTATATTTCCTTTTCGAAGAAGTGGGAATATATAGATAAAAGCCATTTTTTTAAAAAATAAAAAAAATAAAAAAAATAAAAATTTCACGGTTAAAGAACCGATCATGTCCAACTCGGAATAATAACAAGGGGAATATTGAGACTAACCTCTTCAGTGTAGCCATGATGAGGCCATGCTGCTGGCGTGCGCCGGATATTTTCTGTCTCCTTTGCTGGGAAGAAATCCTTAAAGTTTGTTACGGGCGTCGTGGAAAAGGCTCGTGAGCCTCCATTATGCTGGACCGACGCGATGAGCCCAACACGGATTCCTGTTGAATACCCAAGGGTAGAAGTGTGAAGTAAAGGTGCCACAGCTCTAGATAGCCGAGTGGCTTGCTTTGGATTGCAAAGGTTGGTCTGGACCTTAGTTGATAGCATTGGTGAATAGATCTGGGATGGGACTATTACTGCAACCAATGGAAGTTTTTGGATTGGTAAAATACGATAGGATAGTTTTGGTAACTAGCCTCGTATATAACTAGACGTGTTTGACTTGATTTGGTGGCAACAAAGGAAGGAATAAGAGAGTGCCTCAGGAAGCAAGAAATACTTATACCTTTCTGACTTACAATGCTGACAGCTTAGATCAACTGTCAGATGCTTGGGCAAATACCTCAAACTGTCTCTTGTGACATTGAAAAAAACTACAATGGGGCTACAGTAAGAAATAATAGTATTCAGGTACGCTACGAAGACTATCCGGCATGTTTCCCTGGCTAGGGAACAGAAGCAAAGGCCAGACGCCGAGGCCGAGTACAGAGGCCGAAGAGGCGGATACCTTTTTTTTTTTCTGTCTCCTTTGTTAGCGTGTCCAAATTAAGGTAGCAGTTCTTACTCATGCCCATACAGCCTCATGCTTGGCAAAGATGGGATACTACATATCTAATATGATAGACACTAGCATGGTAGCAGTGAGTCGGATCCGTAGTACGAAATATTTTCATCGCTGGAAGTCTGGTTGATGCAGTCAGGTGGTCTTTGTAAGTCGGGAATTATAGGAGTTTAGCGATATGAGAAACGGGGCGTTCCGGTACATTTTCGGGCGGGAGACGGCTTCGTCTTAGCGGCTGTCGGCGACATTCAAGGGCTCCTCTATTCCTTCGGCGGGCTGCATGTACTAGAGGGCCCAAGCGTACCCCGATTCTTATCATTAAAAATTGCTTTAGCATTTATTGGACCGGCGAAAGGAAAAAACAAACCCGTGGAGATTGTAGTCACTGAGCTCCATACTTCACGTTCTAGATCTTAGAGATGCTCCCAAAATTTTCCGTTGATAATTCTTTGAAAGAGGAAAGTTTAGAAGTATATTGTTAGTTAGAGGGAACTTGGAATAGTTATGCTAACTCGGGCGGATTCTTTCTTATTTGTCAGAATGCTCTTAAAGGTCTAGCGCAAAATGTCCTTCATTTTCAAGTGACTCAGACTCAACCAAAAATACGAACATCGGAATCGAGGTACCCGCTCCTCTTTTCCTCCTTTTATGCGCGCGACGTACCAAAACGAAGCTGTAAATCTTTAGAATTACATTGGATCTTTAATTTTAGCAACGAATTCTATGTAACTGAGACCCAATTATTTTACGTTGTTGTAGATCAAAGCGAGGTCTATGCTATGCGCTTTGCAACTGATTAAAGTACTTGTGCTGTCTGCGTATACTCAACGACCGCACCCTAAAGGGTGCTGCGCTTTAATTAGGGATTGGCCCTGTAATTCGGGATTGATCCGAAGTACTTCCGAATGGGAGGGCTTCCCATATATTCTAAAAGTATTTTCAAACTTCCATCCATTTTCATAATATTTCATGATATTATGAAAATATTGTTTCCTTTTCAGGATTTAATGAAGGTGGGAATAGCCTCTTATTCGCCCTAATCCTTGTACGCTATCCCCAATTACAGGGCTAATGCCTAATTAAAGCGCAGCACCCGAAGGGGGCGGTTGTCGAGTATATGCGTAGACAGCACAAGTACCTTATTGATAAAAACAACTATCTAACGTCTAATTGCATGTGCTGGTCTATAAAGTCTGCGCCAATGAACTCGACTTAAGTTTAGCTTAGGGGTTGTGCGGGCGTAGCTATTAATCTTAGGTATGGATGTTCGAGTGCTAGACTTGTAGATTATTTGTTTGGTCCATTCTCGGTTTATACTCGTTTTTTATGTTATGACATTTTAAGATAGAAGGTTTGGGATGCCCATGTCGGGTTTCTGGGTATTTGCATCATGAGATTCAGTATAGACCCGTAGCTTAGTTCTATTAAAGAAATTAGTTCTATTAAAGAAAAAGCTATATGTATGTTGAAGGCATAATGAATGCTTACTTCACTTAGGCAAGTCAAATTGCTAGGGGAACTATTGCATGGGCACCTATATAAAACGTCTGGAATGAGGTAGATAGCAAAGGTTAGGTGGATTGCCAACCTAAATGTTTATTTCTATCCTTAATTGTAAAATGTGGCTGATCACATGCATGTAGGTAGGTTGAATTTTAAAATCTTAATATGAGGCATGTAAATAAGGTACGGAACGATCTATTTTCAGATATTGAACCTGGATGCCAACGTCATAGCATGTGTAGATAGGAATTCCTTAGCGATAACGCTGATAGGAACATGGATCTGGAAATAGATAAAGATTTGGAAGTTAAAAGAATTCAATGCCCCGCACACCCCGCGTCTAGTAGTTTTATATACCTACACTACATTTGTTTGTTGTACAGAATAGTTACAAAAGACAAAAGTTTATTATTTATTAAGTTCATAATATACCTGTGGCATAGCATGCACGTTATACTTAAAGTTAATGTAATGCATAAGATAATCAAATGTAGCAAGAGCCCTGTAAACTCTAGTCGGATAATGGTGTCAGGCACGAACGGTCACTGCGACTTGTAAGCTTTCAGTAGTCCCGTAACGCACAGCGCCGCACAAAATTTTAGGCAAAGCTAGAAATACCTCGCATTTCTATTTTATGCCCAATCCCCACCGATTCCCGTCGTCAGTCAACTTTTGCATTCTTCACCCATCCTTTCTTTCGCTCATATCTTTTTCCTCAACCCCCTTTATTACAATCGCCAGCCGACGCTTTCTTTTCTATACAAAATTCTTAGATATTCTTAGAAGTAGATCAACGTTAATCCATTCACGATGCCTCCTAAGAAGCAGTGGGGTAAGTTAATATTTCCTTATATTGTATTTACACGCGAAAAGGCGCTCCCCTTCGAAGTTGCCACATCAGCAAGTTGTATCACCACATGGCATCCGCGATGAGGCGCATTCTTATCTTCTAGATCTATGGAGAAGCAACGTCTGATAGGACTTGGTGGATCTTTACTGCATTTGTTCTTCCTCATCCATTGGACTGCCCCAACGTCTATTGATGCGACGAATGCGACGAATGCGACGAATGCGACGAATGCGCCGCTGCAACCGACGTTCTAAACTGGCCCGACTAATCTTGGCTGACCACTCTTTTACATATAGACGACGAGGAGTCGGAGTCTAGTACTCCTCCAGCCTCCCCTCCTATCGGCGCTATCCGCCGTAGCAAGTTTGATGATGAAGAGGCTGAAGATAGTGATGTAAGTCGGGATTACTGATCTGTTGGTTTGGTTGATCCTAACGTACTAATTTACTACTTTCAGGTCCTCGAATCGTGGGATGCTGCTGAAGATTCCGAGGTCGAGCGCGAGAAGGCTAAGAAGGCAGCCGAGGCCAAGGCTAAGGCTGAAGCCGAAGCTGCTGCCAACAAAAAGTCTAAGGCCCAACGTATCGCTGAGCACAAGGCTGAGCGTGCCCGCCGCATAGCTGAAGGCTTCGAGGTTTCTGAGGATGAGGACGAAGCCGAGCGACGCGAACGAATCCGCCGTACTGAAAAGGAATCCGATCTGAAGCACGCCGAGGATCTTTTTGGCGATGCTGGTATCAGTCTCAGCAACGGGCGCAAGGCTACTACTGTTGGCTCTGCCGTACCTATTGATCCCCAAGACCCTACCAAGACCGTCGATCTCAGTACTCTACCTCTTTTCAACCCCCAGACTAAGACACAATTCGAGGCTTTGCGCAATACGATGGTCCCGATTATAGCCGGGAATCACAAGAAGGCACATTACAGCTTATTCCTCCAGGAATTTGCTAAGCAACTTGCCAAGGACCTACCTAGCGACCAGATCAAAAAGGTTGCCAGCACCCTCACTACTCTGAGCAATGAGAAGATGAAGGAAGAGAAGGCAGCTGAGAAGGGCGGCAAGAAGACAAAGGCACAGAAGACCAAGACTACACTGGTGACCAGCAGGGCCAACACTGCGGACGTTGGTACCTATGAGGAGGATTTCGGCGAGTGAGTTGTCATGATTCTTTATACATGTTCCCTATAACTAACATTTTGCCTAGTGACGACTTTATGTGAAGAACGCGAAGGAGATCTAAATATCGTGGCCTTTGTCACGGTACCCTCACGATACCTTTGCATGGGCTGCCCCCTTCCACAGACGTGCCGCGGTGGACTTTCGGAGCTATATCCCCTACATGCAACACTGGGCACTTTGCATTTCTAATATACCTAGGTTGCCGAATACCAGTTGCCCCCCCTCCCCCTGACTTTGCCCTCCACTTCCCCCTACCCCTCGAGCGCACCGAGCCGAGGTTTAATTGGAGATAAACGACGATGATAATTGGTGACGATGGATGAACTAGCCTCTGGAAACTGGTGGGCGTGCAACGATCAATTCGCAGCCACGTTGGGCCTGGCCAAGTTGAGGTTATATTGACTTGGCTATGGGGGACTCTAACTTGCATTTGTATTATGCCAATGGACCGAGTCGAGTAGAGCTATGCTATGCTATGCTATGGGCTCTAGTGACGAGGCTGGTGGTTTGGTTGGTTGATCGGTTAGCCGGCTGGCTTGGAATGTTGTATGGCCTCGAGACGAGAATGCGGATACCTACCTGGTAAATGAGGCTTACGTACCTACCAATGGTTAATTCAAATTTGCGGACATTTGCACCAGCGTGATATCTTCATAGCTCCTACGTGAATATCCTAGCTTGTTATAAGCTCGCTCTTTTTAAATTAATGGTAGGGTCCTTTATACGTATATGCTACTTTTTATATTTACTTCTACTACTGCTTAAGTGGGGTATTTCCGACTCTCAAGGACGATCCAGACAAGAATGGGATCCGCGGATAAAGCCGTAAACTACTCCAGACGCCATGATAACTCCATACCCGCGTAGATAAATGATATGTATGCCCTAACCCTCCGAATATAAGTTACCTATACGCAAACCCCCATTTTCCACATACATACCTCATACGCATTCCCGTTTACCACATAATCCATTTCATAGCCGTTTTATGTACATAGGGGTATAGGGGTAAAGGAGAGAGAGAGAGAGAAAAGGAGCTATCCGGCGTCTTATATATATTTATATGACGTTTCCAGCCATGCCCATGAAGAGGGCGTGGACAGCGAGACTTAGGGTCCAGAAGCCGACCTTCTTGAGGCGGCGGACACGGCTCTGCTGGTCCTCGACGTCGCGGGCGAAGGCGGTGTACATCTCAGCGGAGGCGTCGTCCATAAGCCCGCAGTCGTAGATGGTCCAGGCGCCGTCGAAGTCGGAGACCCGCTTGACGATGCGGCAGCTGATGGGAATGTACGTGCGCTTCGCGTTGATGTATGCCACGATGGGCCGTACTAGCGCTTGGTTTACGTACGATAGGTTGGACGTGAAGACGGGGACGGTGGCCTTCACGTCGTTTAAGTGGATACGTAGATCTATGACGAGGTATCGCGGCGGTTTTTCGTCGGAAGCTGATGAGGTTAATGGGGTAGATTGTGTTTGGGGTTGGTTACTGCTAGATGAGGGGTTAACAGGTGTAGTAGTATCGTTGGTCTCGTTTGCTTCCTCGTTAGACTGTAAGTGACTTGGAGCGTTGGAAATAACCTCTTCCTGTCGGCGGGGCTTATCAAGATCAAGAATATGAATGTAGCGGTTTGACGTGACTGCTCCCTCGAGCCGATCGTAAAAATCAGACATCACCTTTGTGATGCCGTCGTCGTCATCGGCTGGGAATCTTATGTCGGCAACGATATCAACATTGCCTTCGTAAATCCATCCAAAGGGACCTTCGACTCCCCGGTTGAGATGATCAATCTTCAGTCCGTCTATCCGGATGCGGCTAATTTTTTTCCAGACATCTGGTTCCCCTAATGGATCGGATGACATGTGCTCGCGGCCAGCAGGAACGCTGTGGATCTGGCGAGGATGTATCGTGAAGAGCGAGCCATCATATGATCCAGACATATGGTTGGCGGCTAAAAAGTCGTAAAACAACCACTGTTTTCTTAACTGAGGAAGCTCGCAGGAATATATGCTCACAGGGAAAGGTCGGAACCCGCCCGGTTGGTGAATAGTGAGGAGTAAATCCTCTAGTTTGAATGAGTCGATTTCAAAATCGCCAGGATTGTGCTCATGGCGGTATGATAAGGGATCAGCAGGCTCACCGGACCACCTTACTGAGGTCCTATCCACAACTCCTCGAACGCCTTTGATCTCAACATCTTTAAGGAGGCCCCTACCATTCCACCATTTGACGAACGAGAGCGTAACATTAACCGCGTTTAACGTAAGGTCAAATTGTGTATAGTTACCGTCGTCTACTTCAACGGGAGCAGGGGTCTCCTTGTCGGTTCCCCTTTCAGCAGCAGCAACTGCGGCAGCGTTGGATGATGATCCCTTGCTGACAGAAGACTTGACTTGGCCTGGTCTTCGGGAGACGAATACATTCCTGAAGGAGATGACACCGTCCTTCCACCTAGGAACGATAGCAGACTCGAAAACCACATTGACACCAGCAGACTCGGTCAAATAATCGCCAACCCATTTTGCCAAGGTTTCTAGAATGAATTAGTGGGGTTGCAGCATCTCCGAGAGGACCATGTTCTTACCTTGGGCAAAGACTGTGTTAATAAAGAGGATACCAAGCGAGAAGAAAGTTGTTGTGCCGACCAGGATCCAGACTAGATGACCAAACAGAAACCAAGACACAAAAGCACCCCACTCATCTATATTCCACGGTCTCATGCTTCTGATAGAGAACCACTTAAAACGAACCTTTAATCGTTCCCAGAAGCCATTGGCGGCAGCTAAGAACTCCTCTTTCGTGGGTCGATGTGGTAGGTGCGGCATTGCAGGTAGATGAAAATACTTGGACATAGACGCAGACGTAGACTCCGCTTCGGGTGGACCTGCATCGGGCTTTGTGTTAGGCTTCGCATTGGAAGCGGATTGCGATGAAGGTCCATTCTTCTGCTGAGAAACCGCCGAACTCCCATGGTCGGTGCTAGACTTGGATGTTTTCGTTCTTCGATGGACCCTTACCACTCTTCTCCGAGTAGTGGTATGTATGTCTCTAACCCATGCCTGTCTTGCCAACCTGCCAATGTTCGTCGTTTGACCCGCACTCCCGAGGATAACAGAGTCCGCAGCTACCGAACATTTTACAGTGACGGCAGAAGTTGTCGAACATGGTGATGCGAGCCCGATCAAGAGTAGCCCACTAGAGGTAAAGCTGCGGCGAACATTATTGCCATAAGATTTTGGAACTCGCGGCAAAGACCATGGAGGCTTCGACAACCGCGGGGCCGCTATGGAGGAAAACGAGGTACTTTGATGCGGCCCAAGACGGTTGATTGGGTTCTGCCTCGGCGACACTTTTGAACTGAATGTGTCGACTAATTCGTAAAGCGATCGCCAGGCCTGACGCCCCTGGCCTAGGATTGAAGACCTAGCTGCTGAGGACATTGTAGAGGTTCATGATGAAGACATCATCGTAAGACTTCGAACCAGAACAAGAGATCAACCGTAAGTGACGAAACCAGCAACGCAACAGAACTGCGATCTATGAGTCTAATGAATAAAAAGAAGACAATCTTGGCCAAGGTCACCCTTCTGCTTTTGTTCTTAACGACCAACAGCTCGAGGGGCAAGACGCAAGGCACGAAGGCATAGGGTATGAAGAGGCATGAATTCCAATCCAAGAATTTGCTTGGCTTCAAGTTTGAAAAAAAGTCGTCATTAGTACATCAGTACGCTTATAACCGGACATAACGGGCTAACGGTTATAGGTAATCGATAACGCTACCTGCGATTGAATCGTACGCTAAGATAGCCGTAGCCGCTCATTCCATCCCGAAAACGCCACTGCTATACTCCACTAACCCCCCATCTAAGCTTATATCGGCTAGCCTGTTACATACATAGCAGGTACCTGGATACCTAATGCAAGGTATGCGATAAGGCCGGCCTTATCGATAAATAAAATAGCCCACCAAATATGGACCATGGTTTTTTTCTGGTGCAACACCAGAAAACCATCGCTAAAGTCCCCAAAAGTGAACTGAGATACAAACCTCGCAATCGGAGCCCATAAGCAACCTACGAACCTCAATCCCCCGCCCATCTACAAACCATCTACGAATTGCCCAGAAACAGCCATTAACATGCCCGCCCCGACAGCCCTGCTCAAGCAGGTAGACGATACCCCCCAATCCAACCTCCCTCTTCCCGAGCCAGACCAAGACGAGGATTTCACATTGGAAGGCATGAACGAGCTGCCCGAAGACGCCAACGCAATCCTCCAACCGGTACGGACAGCAGGAGAAGAAAGCATGGAGATCGATGAGGAGGACAAGCCGCACTTTGCGCCCGTAAAAAACACAGTATGTTTCGTCTAACTATCGTCGATAGTTGTTCTACCATACCATCCCATCCCATCTAACAGCACCACCACCAACCCAGGACCCCACAACAACACACATCCAAACGCGCAAAGTCGGCATCCCGCCGCACCGGTTCACGCCCCTCAAGAGCGCCTGGCCCAAGATCTACCCCCCGCTCGTCGAGCACCTGAAGCTGCAGGTGCGCATGAACGTCAAGCACAAGCGCGTCGAGCTGCGCACCTCGCGCCACACCACGGACGCCGGCGCGCTGCAGAAAGGCGAGGACTTCGTGCGCGCCTTCGCGCTCGGCTTCGACGTCGACGACGCCATCGCCCTCCTCCGCCTCGACGACCTCTACATCGAGACCTTCGAGGTCAAGGACGTCAAGACCCTTACCGGCGACCATCTGGCGCGCGCTATCGGCCGGATCGCGGGTAAGGACGGCAAGACGAAGTTCGCTATTGAGAATGCGTCGCGCACGAGAGTCGTGCTGGCTGATTCTAAGATCCATATTCTAGGAGGTAAGTTAAATAAAAGGGGGGGGATGGGGGGACTTAAACTGCTATTCTATGCCCTGCGGGTTTAAATAGTTGACTGAACCCTGCTAACACATTGGAATATAGGATTTAAGAACATCCACATAGCCCGTGAATCTATAGTCAGTCTAATATTGGGTAAGCCTCCCGGCAAGGTGTACAACAATCTACGCACCGTATCCGCGAGGATGAAGGAGAGGTTTTAATTTCGGGTGGATTTTGCATCTCATGGGACGGCGTTCTGGTCTGGAATCAAAGCAGGTTTTATTTGTACTTCGTAGATTATGAGACATGAGAAAAGTGTCTCTTAGTAGAGCCACTAAGCCTCTAAGAAATATCATAGGTATCATGAGCTAGATGTTATATTTCGTGATGGGCGTGTGTTAATCATCAAGCATGCCTCTCCTACCTTCGTCATATGATAAATACCAAGACTTGATTCCTCGTTTGCAAGGATAATAACCCCCTCTCGGTCCGGTAGTCACCTCACTTGATATGGACTTCGAGGGAATCCATATCTCCGATATCCGCCTCTCCCACTGTGGTGTCCGAATCCAAGACTTCGCCATCCCAATGAAGCTCGATAGTCTTGTCCCCCGGGATGTTCGCGAGTCGTCGATACAGCTTGGTCAGCTGAGAAGCTGTGGTGCTGGAGCGGACTGTCGCTTTCGTGGGCTGCTGATCTTTCGCCTTGAAGAGCACGCGGATCTTCTGGTCTTCCTGGGACGTTTGCGATTGCTCTGGTTCTTGTTTTTCTTCGGGCTCCTCGTCAATCAACTCCCCTAGGTCACGTAGTCGCTGTTTCTCCTTTTCTTCCAAGTACTCGTCATAGAGCTCTTGCGTCCACGCTTCGAAGAAGACCTTGTCTCGCCCGTGATATCCTTCTTGGTCCTCCTTCCAGCTCGGATATAGCGTACCATCGCGCTCCGGTTTAATGCCCAACGTCTGTAGGGTTGTGTGTGGATACACCTTGTTTCCCCTCCAGGTGAAGAACATGGTATCCAACACAGAACGTGGTATCGGGCAATGTTTAGCTACTTGCTGCTCGATCCACGTCTGGTAAACCACGGTCAATTTTTGCGATAATTTACGCCTAAACATTAACGTCTGAACGCCGGCTAGGTGAGGATGAATAAGGATCTGCACGACTGGATCATCTGCGACCCCTATCGAACCGTCGCCTCCTTTTTCTCTTGCTTCCCGTTCTTCCTTGGCTTTTTGCGCCCGTTCCATCGCGATCCTAACATAGTACTCGGAAGGATCCTCTTCCTCGCCTTCCTTTTGCTCTTTAACCACTTCGGCTTGAGAGTCGCTCTCATCGTCCAGTGTAACTACGTCCTGATCAGTCTCGAAGGTGGGATCACCGTCGTCATCGTCGTCTAAAGAGATCACGGGCGCATTAACGTTCACCGATTGGGAGCGAGTTCCATGTCTTCTTGATCCTTCGGACCCCTTCGTACTAGTAACGTATGGGCTCTCTCGCTTAGAATCGGGTGTAAAAGGTACAGAAGGAGACTTCTGCTTCTTGGTGGGTTTGTAGCCGAAGATATCGTCATCACTATCTTTACCTTCCTCTTCGTCAGGAAGCGAGATACGACGGCGTTTCTGCGGAGATCCTTGGTCGTGGGTGGGAATTTTAGTTAACGTGTCTTGTTCTGCTTTGCGCTCACGGATTAATCGGTCCTCTCGCTCTTGTTGCTCTTTAGCTGCCCTCGCAGCCTTCTCCTTTTCTGCCTTCTCTTTAGCAAGTCTCTGCTGTTCTTCAAAGAATTCGCCAGAACGGCTGAAGAGGGAGAGTCCATCATCTGCCACCTCGGTTGATTTGCGCCTAGCCGTGCGCTTGAAGGGAAGTTTCCGCTTAGCCGGAGAAGACTGCCGCAGGTCCGCCATTATGGGTAGGGAAAGACAAAGGCAGCTCGTAGCCGAAACGGAGGTTTTATTAGAATAAGCTATAAAAATAAATTAAGCTTGTGTCTGTGACACTGAAGTATCTTCGAACGCATCCCAGAAAGTTGGTAAGTACATAAAAGAGTGGTCGAGGGTCGAGCCCGTGAGAATCAATAAGATTCACAGAATAAAATCGGAATTTGGAGTTGGTACAACGCGAGATGCGGTTTCCAGGGAGATTCTTTACATACATACGCGTGTGAATTGAATGTGTCCCCACCTATATGTACATAGTACCTACTACATACATTAGGTACGTACATCTACCCCGCTTAAGCCTGCCCAGTTGGCCAGCCCTATCAAAGCGGAACTAGATTTTTGACAAGCAGGCAAGCAGACAAGCTAAAATCAAACATAGCACTTGCAGCACTGAGGTATACCTTTAGGTTAGGTAAGTACGTAACCCCATGTACCTTACATAACGTCCATTTAGGCGTCACTTTCCAAATACTAAATTCGCTTAGCATACATCCTCCTGTTTAATCTCAAATTGCGCCTCGCTACAGTCGCTATGGAGAACGGTACGAACACCCAAGGTGAGGGTAAGGACCCGTCTGGGTTTCTGTCGGACATCATCGGCAATCCAGTCACCGTCAAACTGAATTCCGGGGTTGTATACAAAGGTGAGTTGAGTTGAGTATCTCAGATGATGATATTTCTAGCAACAATACTGATATACCCGCTGTAGGCGAGTTGCAATCTGTTGACGGATACATGAACATTGCGCTGGAAAAGACTGAGGAGTACGTGAACGGCGTCAAGCGAAGGACATACGGAGATGCCTTTGTCAGAGGCAACAATGGTAACTAGATCAGGCCTCGAACTAAGATCTTCACGTATACTAATCACTGGCTCAAGTTATGTATATTTCAGCCGACTCATAATCTAAATATTTGGTTCCTTCCGGTGGGAATCATCTGGAAAGGCTTCTCATAAGGTTGCACGGGGTTTCCAACAGTACGTTAGGCACTACCTCTTCATACTGGGAACGCTATGTATCTTGCACATCCGGCCCTAAGATGGGTTACGAAACTTTACGAGAAAGGCGTTTGAATCGGATCTCGTCTGGTTTAGATAGATAGCTATAGGGGAGCCTCCGGCAGCATAATAGCTATGAATATCCATTGAAATTCACGACCTAGAGCGATGCCCTTGTTTTCTACCCGTTCGTGACATACAAATGACTCCTATAGTCGATCGGTCCAAGTGAAGAATGTGATACCATGCACCGCAATTTCGCCCTTCTCATTTCTCTCAACGTCATCACCTTGAATTGTCTCTTTGAAGAACTTGACCCAGGCTTCTCGTTTGTCTCCTTTCAGCACGGCAATCTGGCTTAAAGTGTTTAGTCGTGAGGCAAGAGCTTCCTCGTTAAGCCAGACCGTCCATTTGATAGAATCCTCCCCAAGCGGAAGACTGAATCTAGGTAACTGATCCGTGAAGGTATTTTTAATAACTTGAAGTGGGGTACCTGGTAGTTGCTGATCAAATACTTCTTTCCATTTCTTGACGTAGAACATTAGTTATACTCAGGGGTCATTGCTAGATAGGGGTTACCAACCTGATGTCTAAACCGAGGAAGTCCATCATCTAGTGACCACACGAAGTCATTTATCTTCTGCTCCCATTTTGTAGTTGCCTGCCAGTTCTTGGGCTTATTGTCTAAGTAGTCGTTTGTTAGAATTTTTTAGCCAACATCCTTATAGTTTTTACTACTTCAAAACCAACTTACAATCCTCAATGTTCCATATGGCACCGAACACAGCACCCGGTCTCAACACGCGTTGAATCTCCTTTAGAGCTTCTTGAGTGGCAAACCTTCACATATGAGCCTTGTCAGTAAGTATTAACAAATAATAAACCGACCAGATATCTCACCAGTGAAACGACTGCGGGGTTAACATTAGCTTCTGGTCAATATACACACCGGTTAAATATCAAATATAGACTTACTTGAGCCGCGATGCAAGCTTCACCCCACTCGTCCTCAATCGGCATCTTATCAGCCTTGCCATCGATCACTTCTACACCTGCTAAGTCCTTCTGGGCAAGCTTTTCCCTCATGCCGTGATGAGGCTCTATCGCTTTAACAGTGAACGACTCGGGTCGCTGAGCTAGGAGCTCTGTGAATTTGCCCGTACCGGAGGCTATCTCTACAATCTTAGAACCGAACTGCTGCGCAATATTGAGTTTCGTAAGGAAAGCATCGACGGCCTCTGGAGGGTAGGAGGGCCGGTATGCATCGTATGAGGCAGCATCTCTAAACCCTTCTTCTGCGGCTGCTGGAATGTTGCTGCTTTGGGACGCCATGATTCTAGACTGGTTATAAAGTTTCCTGGAGATGTATATATACTAGGTAATGAAGGAAAGTTGGAGTTGTTCTCAGCTTGCTTGACGGATGTACATAAATGATAAGGATGCCAACCCCCGCAATTATATCCTTGGAACTCAACCCATCCCGATGGCGTCAGTTTCGATAGTACAACAGACGGATAGCCATATGCTATCTATGGTCGGTAACCACAACTTAGTGCTACTATACACCATTACCCCGATGAAGTGTTACATTTAGTGATCTGCTAATGTAGCATTGATTGCGCATGTATCTAACAAAAGTATAAATACTTATATAGATCAGATTAACCGGGAAATAATAGTCGTAATGCATGTATATAATACTTACATATCGTGAGCTAATTACATTGAATATGCTGCTGTAAGGTACGAAGGGCGAGATATTATCTAAGGTAGTACCTAAAGGCCAACATACCCAAACTGTCCTGGTTGCCTCGCCTTGACTGCACACCTAGACGCCCTACCCGGGCCATCGGGTCGGCATGCGCAACCAGGATGTATTTATGCATACCTGTATGTATACGTATGCACATGTATGCAGCAGCTAAATTCGGATAGCGGCAACTTAAGGGGTACCAACCGGGCATGTTTTTTTACTCCCAAGGTTCATTTCCACTAGCAATTACTATGTATGTTCGATTCTCTCTTTTGATTAGGTCAGTTTTTCACAGTGACGGGATCTAGATTTGTTAGTGTAGGAAGTCCGTCCGAGCTCAGGGGGTGCTTATTGCCCTGTTAGGTAGGTAGGTAGGTACCTGGGCAAAGTACCTATGCAAGGTACTAACCTAAGCCAGGTACAATACGTAAGCCAGGATGAACTAATACGCCTCTCAAAACCAAACCTCGACACCTTTTTATTCGACGCCTTCACCTTGGCCTTAAACGCCGAGCATCCCTAAGTATAGTGTATACGCGGCCCCTTGGCTTACAATTCAGTTCCATGGCATTCCTATGCGTTGCAGTTATTTATTCATTTTAATGTGGTAGCTGTACGGTAGCAGGGTAGGTAGTTGTCAAGAATCCCATCATCTTCGCGTCTTGTCTACTTCATCTAGAACCGGGGTTGGTTGTGACAGCTGTCGTTTCTTCAATAATGTTATAACTTCCAATTACTAGATCCCTCCAGTCCTTCCTTTGCTCTATTTCCTTTGTGCGCAGACAGTTCTCTGCCTCTCAAGGCAACTATCTTCTAGATGCTCATCAAGTACCGCCGCTTTAGGCGTAACTACTTGCGCCCGCTCTTCTTCGTCCTATTCTTCCTCTTCTCTATCGACGCTATATCCCTAATACGCCACCGTCCCAATACTTACCGCGAGAACATAAACGTCGATCGTCGATCTGACTCTTCTCTCCCGAGAAATACCAGCGTATTCATCGCATCGGTACACCGCAACACCGAACCGATACTGCGATCAACATGGAACCAGGCGGTGTTGGATTTAGTCGACTTCTTCGGTCCAGAAAACGTTTACTTCTCGGCTATCGAATCAGGATCCCAAGATGAAACGAAAGAGGCGTTGATGGACTTGAAGGCGGCCCTTGATCAGAGATATGTCTCCAATACAATCAGTTTGGGGATGACGGTTTGGGAACAGTTGGAAGAAATTGACACTCGACCGCCGCCGGACGCGCGGGAGCCCGGATGGATTTGGAATGCTGCAGAAAGTCAATTCGAACTGCGTAGGATACCTTACCTTGCCAAAGTTCGAAACCAAGCAATGGAACCGCTTAAGCAGCTGCAGAGTGAAGGAAGAGAGTTTGACAAGGTTCTCTGGCTGAACGATGTTGTATTTGACGTATGCTCACATGGTCTTGTATACAAGTATTCTTGTGGTAATTAGATGGCTGACCTTGAATGACTTAGACCGAAGATATCGTCACACTGTTCAATACTCGTGACAATGACTATGCCGCTGCATGCGCTATGGATTACAAGGTAGCACCCTTATACTACGACACCTTTGCCCTACGAGACGACCTAGGCCTAAAAACCATGTCCCTTTATTGGCCTTGGTTCCAATCCCCTATTGCGAGGGCGGCGGCTGAGCGCAATGCGCCTATTCGTGTAACCTCGTGCTGGAACGGGATAGTAGTGTTCGACGCGGGACCCTTTTACGCCAACCCACCTTTACGATTCCGCGGCATTGATGATAGTCTAGCAGATCTGCATCTCGAAGGCTCGGAATGCTGTTTAATTCATGCCGACAACTACCTCACGGCTGAGAAAGGCGTATGGCTTAACCCAAATGTTCGCGTTGCCTACGACGTCAAGGCATATAACCAGGTTAAGACGGATCGATTCCCCAATCCTTTCTGGACGGTTGTAGGGGCGTGGGTTAATCGACTGAATAGCTGGCGCGTCGCCATCCAAACTCGATTGGAAACCCGAGTAGTGCAGACTAGATTAGAACAATGGAGGTCAGAAACCCCGAATGGAGGCCCTCAACGGCACGAACCGGGAGATGCGTGCCTTATCAACGAAATGCAGATAATGTGGTCAAACGGATGGATGCACTTGTAAAGTAGGTACCTAATAGACCAAAAAACCGGTATAGACAAAAAGACATATAGAAAAATGCATTGGGATATTAGACATTGGACTGAGTACTTAAGGTATATATATTCTTCTGACAAGCTAACACAGTCCCGTTTGTATTTATAATTTGGTACATTATGTAAAGCTTCGTTTTTGAAGCTCCTAAACTCTTCCACGTAGCATGCCAAGATAGATCTGCGAGCCCATATCCCCCGGCATAACTGTCGATCGCCTTGGGGGTTTTCAGCTCGTTGAACTATAATACCAATAGGCGACAATTATTACTTTAAGCGGATAAGGCGGCCTATGTATAATAACAAGGGGGGGAGGGGGGGCAGCGCTGAATCTTGTCGAGGATTATACACGATTGTCACAGTTGATCCCCCCGTCATAACGAAGGGTATCCGTTTTCTTCCGTGCTGCTCGCGCCGTCAACGCGAACCTGGCTATACTGAATGCGTACAGCCGTATATATGTAAATAAAATACCCATGAATTCAACACCAACGCCGCCGGTGATATCGTATAGCTGCAGAGCTCATTTCCAGACCTCTTGCATGCGCTCCCACAGTTTTCGTTTTTTTAAACAACTCGCTATTTATTATGCCAAATGAAATTCCTTAGGCTATCCCAGTGGTCTGACTGCTGATAGATATACGTCATGCTGCCACGAAGCGATGGTTGTAGGTCGTCGGGGTGGTAACGGAATAGATGCATTACACTAGCCCACGAGAGCGACGCAAATACGGGCCAGGCATACCGCGTTATAGACTCGGAGACGCCCTGCCGCGACACCAGCGGTAGCCCCGTACCACCCTCTGGCTTGACGGCGAGCCGCGCAAGCGCTAGCACGACGCGCGCGAACACGTATATCACAATCTGCTGGTTGACGCTGGGGATCTTGCCGGTGCGCCGCGACCGCCCGCCGAACACCACGTATCCGCCTAGCAGGCCCGCCATAAACGAGTCGTACCGCCCTGCCTTCCCGGGCGTCGGCCCGTACTGCTTCAGCAGGAAGCACACCAGCTTGTAGATGACGGCAAAGCGCGCGAGGTTCTGCGCATGCGTGCGCGTGGCGCGTATCACTAGCGAAACCTTCTCCCGAAAAGTGCCGGACCGGAATAGAAACACCATCACCAGCGCGTGCGGAAAGCGCACCTTGGCCCCGTACACGGCTCCGTTGCGGGCCCCCTTTACGACGGCGAGGATATCGTGGTATGCGGGGTTGAGAACCACTTGCTCGACTGCGGCCTTGAGGCCTTCGAGCGTTGACGCCGATGACGGTTCCATCTTGGCCACGGGGATTAGGAGAAGAAGGGGGGGGGAGGATGAGAAGTAAGCTCGGTTCGGTTTCGCGTCGCCGCAAAGCAAAAGAGGAGGAACGACGGCGACTTTTCGAGAGGCGGCGAGGTAGGTACTCGGAGATACCTCTATCGGGTCATTGGCTTGTATACCAGGTAGGTACGGCGTCTGAGTTATCGGAGAAGGGCGGATAGTTACGATGTTTTGTTAGAAGTAAAAGGAACACATTTTCGGGATGATTGGAGATGACGATGGCTGAATTGGTTTTGGCCTCGGCAAGTAGCACATGTTGCTCGGCTTAAACAAAGGGTGCCGGGACCTGCAATGCATAGTGTACGGGATTGCGCTAGTGGTGCATATCGATACGCATTGAGGTTACGTGAACGCTACCTATGACGCAGTGTAGCCAATCCTTGCTCGCGAATTGAGGCATACTAGGTACATATTGATCCAACGCAGTTGTTTTGCATGTGAAAGTTATAAACTTATAACTATGCGCGGCTTATACAGTTATGCAGCAAATGTCTATTAAACAACCAAATGCTATTAAATTGCCAACCAGGGTTCGCCTAGTCTTTTATGCGATAAAAAAGAGGCATAATGTATTTTAAATCTCATTGGCTGGGTCGTTTATATCATTATTGTATGTGTATAAGTCTTTCTATAAGTTTCTGGCTGTTGTTATAGATAGATGGAATAGATAGGTAGGTAGGTACATACTTTAGGTACTTTAAGTACTCATGCCTCTCTCTCTCCTCGGGAGATATGACCAGAAATATTCCATAAGCTTACCTAGAGCAAAAAAATATTATAAATCTACAAGCAATTCCGTATCTAAATCAAAGTTCTCGTGGTTAAATATGCTGATAAATAGATATGTAAATCTATTAGTTTACGTCCAGTGGGCATGTTGAGGCTAAGATGATTGCACACAATAACCCGATGTGCATCTTTAACGTGTGGGACGACTGGAGTCCTAAAGTGGGATCGTTAATTATTTCGCCTGACAAAAGAACAACAGAATATGTTGATCTATACTAGTAATAGTATATCTAGGACTACATAGTTGCTGACGGGTACTCAGGATAATAATAGGCACGGAGGTAAGCCTTTTAAGACTAGTAGACTTGCCATAAGTAGAATGACTGTCCTATAAGATTGAGTTGCGATTCAGTTCCTGGCAATGCCAAGCCCTGCTAAACCATTCAAGACTTAGGTGGCGTGAGATAATGCCCAGACCGTTGCCCTTGTCTACCTTGATCGTGAACGTCGTGGAATGAAGAAAAGAGAAACTCCCTAGAAACAACCGAACAGCGAGGTTAATCTTGAGGCTTACGTAGTGACAATAACTGTCCTCACTTACGTGTTAAGGCCTTCGCACGAATAGTCTAGTTCCAATATCTAAGTTTAACACTATGTTTAATAGATATTCGTAGGATGAGCCTCGTCTGGGGATACTATCTGAATTAACACTGCGGCTTAATGGGTCCCAATGCCCAATATTTCAGCCTATAGGCATTGTGAGCTTTTGCAGTGCCCCCCAAGCATGCCTATTTTTATAATATATGATCCTGTGGCATCGCGACTTGGCGGCCATTTTAGGTAATATTTTATAACCTTGCTAAGTCTCTATAGGTGAACCTTAGGTTGCACAGCCCTGTGTTTAGCTACTGCTGCAGTAGCATAGCCTATCTTTTCAGCTTGCAGATCAGTTTCTCAGTTCCCTTGGTTATACTGCAACAGCTGGCTGTCCTCCAGGGCTTTAGGGTCTGTTAAGCCCCCCTGATGGCGCCATCTTGTTTATATGGCACTGTGTCGCGGTATAGAGTCTGGATTCTTAAGATATATAATCCATCGATTCACAGTTACACAGTCATGCTAAATCTCTACCTCATCGCTTGAACTCTTTCAAACGCACAATTTCCTTGTGTTTTTTACTTGACTTTTTCTATTTCGTTTTCCGTTTAAAATTTCTTTTTTCTTTTTTCCTTCCTTATTTCATAATGCTTTATACGAATTCCTCAGTCTGCCTTTCGCAGTCTTGCATTCAAGCGTCGGCGGCCATATACTCCCACCTCGATTCCAACTTCCAGAGTATTGACCCTTGTACAAATTTCCCAAAGCGTATGTGTTGATTGGCTCCCTAACGGCTGATATATGAGAATTATTGCTGACAGTAGTGGGCAGTTGTATGTGGCGGGCTTCAGGAGCGTAATGTAATTCCAGCGTGGGAGCAGGCTTTGGGAGAGATAACTACCCTAAAGGAGACAAACCAAATTTTCATGAAAAATGTCTTGGAGGCGCCATATGATCCCTCTTGGGTATGTCTGCTCTTAGCGGTATCATTATGACTTAGGTAATTAATTGGTCTTCTAGATTTCACGTGGATCCATCGACGAGAAGAATTTCGAGAAGCTCATCACCGGCTACAATGCCTGCATGAACGAAACTGCAATTTCCGAAAGAGGTGTCCAACCACTGGTAACTTTCCTTGGGAACATTACTGAGAGTTTCCCGGTCATGCCGGGTGAGCTCAAAAATGCTAGTAGTTTCGATAGTGCAGATCACGAAGCATTCAGCAAGACCTACCTCTACTTCGTTCAGCACTCTATGTTCCCCTTCTTAACTATAGATGTCGATTCCGACCCTGAAGATGTAGTATGTATCCTCTTCTAGTTGCCGTTGAGAAAGTGTGCTAACCTGACAGGAAACTCATATCCCGATTATAGCGCCCACGGGTGCCCTTCTTCCAAGCGAGATTTACGAGAATGAAGAAACCCGTTCCCTATATCAGAAGGTGATCGCGGAAGTATTTGAGAATGTACTACCTACGAACGAGTTAAGAGCCAAAGCAGGCGAACTAGCCCAGGGCCTAGTCAGGCTCGAGCAGCAGCTTGCTTCCAACACGCCTACATCAACGGATAGTATAGTAAGTGTAGACTTCATATAGAATATTGAGAAAATAGTAGAAATCTTATGATGCTAACTAATATTAGGGCCCGATCCCGGCCACGACTTTGGATAATGCTACGCAGCTGGCTCCCGAGTTTGACTTTGCCTCGGTATTCAAGGAAATAAGCCCATCTCCCATAGACAGCATATCTTACTACTTCCCGGAATACTCTGCCTGGCTATCCCAAACTCTGGCGAATACCACCAAACCTGTCATCCAGGCTTATTTCATGTGGAAGGCGATCGTTAAGTACGAGCTAGCTATCGATGGACCTGAACTGGAACCTCTAAGGCAATTCCCGAGCATCATATCTGGAGAGGTACGGACTATCTCAGCCTACGGCCATGTGATTCTATATCGGATGTCTAATTTTATACATAGAAACCTTACATCCCTGAAAGGTGGCGAACCTGCATTACTGATGCCGACTCGAAGATGGCGTGGCTGATTAGCAAGCCATACGTGGAAGCTAAGTATACGGAGGCAATCAAGAAGACCCTTGAGGAGATGACAACAAGAATCCAAACCCGCCTCGCTAGCAATATCGACCATATCGAATGGATGACAGATGAAGTAAAGGCTATAGCAAAGCACAAGGTCCAGGTCATTACCCCAAAGCTCGGATATTCAACTCAGGTAAGTTTAAGGGATAGATTACTAGACCACCTCTGGGTATCTTAGATATGCTGACGACCGCCACAGTCGCCCAACCTCGACGATGCCCAATCACTGAATGATTACTACGCTTCTTTAGACGTCTCAGACTCTTATTTTGACAACACCGTCTCGTATTCGAAGTGGTTATCGAAGTCAACTGCTTCACTTTTCGGGAAGAAGAGAGAAAGGGGCGCCTGGCCAGCCGCAGCCGGTTCTGCTCTGACAATCAACGCTTTCTACTTACCACAAGAGAACTCCATCATCATCACCGCGGGCACGTTGCAGCAACTGCTCCTAGACCCGGAACTTCCGGCGTACATGAACTACGGGGCTCTCGGCCTGGTTATCGGACACGAGTTCACGCACTCGCTGGATAGTAACGGGCGGATGTATGACGAGCGGGGCGCATTCCGCGACTGGTGGGACGAGAAGAGCGAAGCTGCATTCGACAAGCGCGCAGAGTGTCTTGTGAAGCAATACGGGTCCAGCAACGTGACGCTGAGCGACGGCACGCAGATCCCTGTCAACGGTACGCAGACGCTGGGGGAGAACATCGCCGACACCGGGGGCATCAACACCGCGTACGACGCGTGGCTTGACAAGCGACGCGAGGACCCGGCATCCGACTTCGACATGCCCGGGCTGTCGGAGCATTTTACGCGCGAGCAGCTCTTCTACGTGTCCGCTGCCCAGTTCTTCTGTGACAAGTCGGAGGACTTCGCCAAGAAAGCGCACCTCTCCGATGTGCATTCGCCCCCTGATGTTCGCATCCAGAACATGATGGATAACTCGGATGGGTTTAGGAAGGCTTTCAACTGCCCCGTCAAGGAGCCTACGTGTGTGATTTACTAGATGGGGGGTTGTTTTTGATATAGTTTACTACTATACTTAACTCATTATAGAATTGATTTGATAGATTACGTTTCGTTCGGATCCTGTTGCTATTCTTTATAAGAATATACCTACCCCTTGGTAGATAGCCACTATAGGAAATATCCTTATCATTACTTCCGTGGTAACTAAATACTATTTTGTTCCCTTTTTATTTATTATTATATGTAGGTAGGTACCAAATCAATACAGACCTAATCCGACCCCCTATTACCTATTCCGAAAAAGGTATATAGGAACTTCATACCTAGCGCTGTTCTATGTGCTGTACATCACCCACCATTCCTTGCCGGGGCGGACGGAGTTATGGATAACTGTCGTAGTGCCCATACGGATGAACCTCTACGGCGATTGGGATTGGGTTCAGCCTGAAATCCCGCATAACTGGACTCGTGAAGACCACGGATAATACCTATGGCTAGGTCTGGGTTTGAAAGGTCCACGAGTGACCACTTAGCACCTCTCCAAAGTTTCAAGGCAACCCATACCAATACGAAGATGGCAACCTAGTAATTCCGTGTTAGATGTTGTTACCCCTATAGGTAATTTTGGATGCGTACGAGAAGATATGACGACAAAAAGGGTTCAGTATAGAACCCGTTCCACAACGCAGCCCCATCCAGTACCAGAAGGATGAGTAAACATCCGCCCAACCCTAGATAGGCCGTAACTGGTTGCCCGTTACTTATATATGGGTAGTCGTTGTCGTCCCGATCGCTGAAGCGCTGAACACGCGACACCTTTCGTTCAACAAGTTCGTTATGGTGCTTGCTGATGCTAGTAAATATATGTCAGACTCTTCCAGGGCTTCTTTGATGTAAGTTTTGTGTTTTACCAGTGATAATACCGAATAAATGCCCAGCATTCGCAGGCCCAAGCGATCAGCACTCCGACAGAGCCCATCTCGGCAAGAATATTGATGAACTAAACCGGGTAAGCAGAGTTCCAGAAACTACAAGCATCTAGGGTCTCACAGCGCCTATCCCACGATTTTTGGACCCGTTATCTCCTGTTTGGCTTTCTTGGCTCGACCCTATCTGTGACTGATCTGGGTGATTAAGTTGTAGGAACGGTACCCAAATGAAAGCGATGGCAGATACAGTCATCGCCCGGATTGGAACTCTGTAGCTGTTGGTGCGTCCAAGCCATGCGAGGATATTCAAATACCAAGGCTCGTCTGGACCACCGTCTATCTGATTAGTTAAACCGAATAGCGTTCTAGATGCTACGTAAAGGTTTGTATTGGCACATGACAACGCGGTGAATACGAGGAACGCGTTGAAGGCGCTCGCTATTTCCGCACTACCGCGAACTTTCGCCACGAGGACGAATGCCGACTGAACGGTCTCGCAGCTATCGTAATTCAGCCAACCGACCCGGGGCAGTCGACAATCGGTAGGGTCGACGCTCAGAGATACCAGGATTCCGCTCAGCGTATATGCAATACACGCGAAAACCGAGATCCATTTCGACGGAAACCTAATGGTTTCTCCAATATTACTGGCCTGGTTGCGCTTATGGGCCGAGGCAGTGGTAGGACGAGCTTCGAGCGCGGCGGCTGCTGGAACTTCGACACCAACATAAGCGAATGTTGCAGTAGATAGACATATACTAAACTAAGACTTAGTTTTTGGATGTCTACCTAGGTAATTAAGTGTAATTATATTAAACTTACTTACCACAGAGCAGGAAACCAACTTGACGCTGCGGTATCATCGAACGTGATCGGTTGCGTCCAGCCTAATGGTTTAGTAAGTGCGTACCTTCTAGCAAGTTGAATCAAGTAAACCTAACTCACTATGTTTCTCGTTGGTATCTTGGGGAGTCTTAGTAGCTAAATACTACTATTAATATGGATTCTGATCAATGTGTTGATTCGACGATATCGTACCGAATATAAGCGTTGCGATGCCGATAATGGCCAGGAAGAGTAACTTGATGATACCGGTAACGACCTCAAACCATCCGTATACCTATAGAAGGGTTTGTTAGAGAGCTTTCCCTGCCGGGTATTTCAGATAAACGTCGAAGCGCTTACATGAATTCCAAAACAATTAAGGACTATCAGTATTACGGGTACAAGTAAATATAACACTCCGACGTCGATCCCGACATATGCGTCGCTAGTCCAATAGTGAACCTCCTCAGCGGTATATGCTATTAAAGCAGCGAAGGAGACCGAGTACGTGAACCTATGATGCGTTAATAGTGATCTTGTATGACACAATTAGGTACCTAGGGTTTCCATCGCGAACCAATATGCGACTCCAACGGTAATCCCTAGCTCGAAATCTACAAACTCGCGTACGAATACCGACATGGCACCGGGGACAGGCCAGATGCAAAGTAGTTCGGTAATACATTGCGTAACTAGCCATGCTAGTATTCCGAGTAACAAGAAGGAGATGATAACGGCCAGGAAACCGCCTAGCTCCAAGATCTGTCCGCCGCGCCAGTAGAGTCCTGTCCCTAGGGTGGCATTGACGGCGATCATCTATCCTTATTAGCTACCACGTATTTGCCAGCTACTAAGGTTTCACTCACAAACACATGAATAGGGAGTAACCTCCTGTGCGTGACCCTTCCCTTCTTCGTATTAGCCCGAATTGGAGACAGCGTTTCTATACGATACGTTTGGGTATCCAGATGGCGAGTCTCATTATTACTTGGAATAATAGAAATTGCCCCAGCGTCGTTGCCAGAGTCATTTCCTAGTGAAAGATCCAAATTGTTGGACGAATCCCATGCAGTATGAGACCGGCCCCGTGTGGCCTCGGTCGCCATTTTCGGGTTTCTGGCCTGATTATTATTATTATTGTTATTCCAGTTCTAAATAACTCGATTCATTATGAGGGACTCGAGTAATATCGAGACCAAGAAATTCCCGTGGATTGGTTGCGGGCTTGCAAGGCTCTGAGGATGCTAGCTTCCGTAGCACATGTATGCACCGCCGCCACCATCCGCGCCCCCCCTTCTCCTAATCCTATTGTATTGTACTAATTGTACTACATTTCGCCTACTTTGGCGAGGCTTCCTGGGTTATCTGTTAACGCTGCTGGCTGCGCCGTAGCGCTAGTTGACCGAGCGCTGAGTTCTATCAGCTGAGGCATTTTTGTATACAATTGGGCCACCCCTTGACTGTCTTCTAATCAATTGACAATAATTGTAAGTTTTCTACGCGAGGGTTTGACTTATATCTTCTGTGATTCTCATAGGACAAACGCGACTTTCCTGGGGCTCATTGATATCTTGGCGTCAACAAGAACCATGAAGAAATATGCCAATGGTAGTTAATCATACCGGAACTATCTGACTCCTCATCATTAAAATCTGGTAAAGGGGGCTCCTTATCTAGACTTGATACGCGGTGGCTGCGTTACAGAGCTGCCATTGGTTTTCTAAAAGCTCTAAAAGCTTAGTCCCGTCATATCAATCCTTCCTAGGTACTTTGGGCGTATTAATAGATCGCCACGCATTGGGTTGCCTCATCTCACCTCGCTTCCTATCTTTCAAGTCACGGTAATCTAGCGAAATACGCCTACGAGTTCTTTCTATAAACCCCAACCTCTACTTCATACTTGAAACTGGACTGTCAGCATGTTGGTAACTCAAAATACCAGTACACGATACCTTAAGGAGGACAGCTTACTGAGACTTCTTCAACGACTTTTTCCGGGTCAGGCTGATTTCAATATTCGGGTTAGTGTCGGTCATGTCACACAGGGATTCTGTAGCATGGGCTGACTGACGTATTGTACCTAGCTGAGAGATGACCAGTGGTGCTTCACTGCACCTAGTATAGTCAGCGAGGTGAGTTCTCTTCTATAGGTATGCCTTAGGTATCCATCTAAGGCATATCACGCGGTGCCTACGAAGTTAACATAAGTTCAGAATGACATCAAGTAAGCAAATAGATGTATTATCTGACATATTCTGGGAAGTTAAGTATCTAATAGAACCAGCGGGGCGAGAGACAATTGAGTTGTCCCGATGCTGTGTCTAAGCGTGGCGCATATTGGCGGCTGTTTGGCGGTGTAATGTTGTATCGGATACCCCGTGTCCCTCGCATACAGCATTGATTACTCAATATATGTACCTCTAAAGGGTTCACGAACTGAGAACGTTATACATATATATATACTTACTTTGCCAAACATACCTATGTCGTATATCAAAGCACATATTAGTCGAACTAGCATATCGAGTTTAGGGGGACTCGATTTGCTGCTATACCATAATGTCTCATATTAACAAATGCTTTGTCGATCAAGTTGTAGCTCCCATTAAGCTCATAGAAGTTTTACCCCAAAATCAATGCGATGAAGAGCAATCTACTCGCCAGATATCTACAGCACAAGAGATTGAAGATTGTCTAAATCGGAGTAAGCCAATCGACCATTCGCATCGTCACTTGTATGTATTGATAAGGGAATAATTGGGTTATCGCTGAAATCTTCCAGGTCTATATGCCAAAGGACGTCGTGGAGTTCCTTGCAAATAACTAGGGGATTGCTGGAGCTTTTCGTTTCTAAGCACGGTATAAGCGACTCGTTCTGGGACCTGCCGTCATGTTTCTACTACCGGAACGACGATGTGGAAATAAACTCCTGTCTTCCTGTTACTGTGAATAGGATAGGCTCTTCAATTGGTAGGTATTCGACTTGACCAGCCGTTTCGATGGAAATACACAATCGCTAACTGGATACAAGAGATCTACTACACAATTCGTTATCCCGAGCTGAAACCTAATGGTGGAAATTGGGCTATTCGTCAAAGCGGTCTTTATTATCGATTTGACGCATCGACAAATCAGACCGTATCGGTCTTATTTAACCCAACGCCAAACTCGGCAGCCCATCAGAAGATAGAACATTTCTTACTTGGCACAAACTGCGGCTCGAGAAACTTTCCAACTCCGTGGATTATCCACGAAATACTGTTTTCAGTATATTTTCCAGCATGGAGAGAGTATCTCGCTTTCTTGGAGCGAAAACTGCTTCCGGAGGTGAGCTGATTGCCTATCCATAACGTACCTAACCCATGACGAAAATCCTAATCCTCTGGTGAATATAGACAAGTACTACATTTGCGACGTTTATAGACGAGCCGTTGCGCGTAGGATACGATAACCTCAGTGCTTTGGCAAGCCTCGATAACCAATTCCTCCAAGTAGCTACCCTCTTGTCTCATAGTGAAGATGTCCTCAAGGAACTTCCTTCCATATTCATCCAGGAGGGCTTGAAGAACATAGTGCCAGAGACAATAGACGCGCTTGATAATTACCGCCGTCGATCTATAGCTCATTGTCGCGTTGCGAACCTTCTACAGCAGCGAGCGCAGACCACTGCACAACTCCTGGCTAATACTTTATCGTTCCGAGACCAGATCCTTGCCAAGCAGCAGAATGGCAACATGTTGCAACTGAACAAGTCAGCTGTGTTCCTCACTACGCTGACTCTTCTTTACCTCCCAGCTTCCTTCGTGGCCGTGAGTATGATACCATCCCAACTTGTTCTACGATGTTGTGCAATCACTAATTATCACAAGACTTTCTTCGGTATGAACTTCTTTGATTTAGACTCGGACTCAAAACGGATCGTCAGTACTCCTATGATATGGATATACATAGTATCCTCTATCCTGCTAACGATCATTACCTTCTTGGTTTACTATTGGGTACTGCATCATGATAACGTCGTTGTCAATAAAATGTCGCCGAAGGTTCATGTGGGGGACTGGAGAACATTGGCGCGCCGTGCTCTAACGATAAAAGGGGACTCGACGAAGAAGATTGAAAAGCTGCCTGTATAAATACGTGATAGTTGTTATTTATGCCAAGCCAATATATTTATTATCAAGCAGACTTACTTAGGTATATGAGTAACCAAATTATGACTCTTGACATATTCGAAATATCGCTATGGAGCCAACAATCAGTACCTAAAATACGAACTTAGATACATCTGAACCTCTGGATTACATTTCTTCACTGCAACAGACAATGCGACTCTTCTCAAGCTACACTTAAATGGTCTCTATGGATCCTTTCTACACAGGTATCCACCCGTTGTTGACATATCACATTGTTCTTGTAAAGGGGCGCAGTAAGAACCCCTTTCTTATTTCTCGTCGAGGACAAACGTATCTCCGCCCCACCCAAATGCCCTATTAAGCCTCCTCCCATATCTCCTCGCAATCGTGAATGGCATCTTCCCTCGAGGATGCGGTTCGTGGAATTGGATTCTGCTCTGTTCGCCCTCTAATTTCTGGAACTGCCAGACGGAGCCGTATAGCTTCTCAGCCGTGAATAAGCCCGAAGATGTCATGGCGTATAGAAAGTCGTTCCATAAGATCTCGCCAGGCGATGACATTTTAGCCGGGTTAAAAAAGAGTGTCCGAAATACCTTAAGAGAGCGAGCGTTGACGGGGATGGAAATTGGTTCAGGTTTTGGGTCTTCATCTATGACGACAGTTGCTGTCCCCGTGGCGGCGTTAGAAGATGCGTCTCTTGTCTTGGCCTTGGTCTTCGGTGTTAGCGCTTCAGCCTTGTTGCCGGCAGCTCCGGCAACTTCTCCGATATAGATGGTAGAGAGGGGTTTATACAAATCAGCAATGCTTGGGTCCAAGGTTGGTTCTCGGCTTTGCGCTTTTGTTGTAGATGGTGGGGGATCAATCCAGTCTGGTGTACGTTGAAGCATGCGTGGTTGGGATAGAACGCGATGAACAGCCGTACCCTTCAGGCTCCCACACTTTGTATTTACAATCCGATCAATGGCTACCCAAAACTGGTCGAGATGTTGCTCAGCTCGCCGCAGTTCCTCTACGTTCTGCTTAGTCCGGCGCTTCTCATATGGGTAGGCGAATCTTCTATCAGAGGGGTTGCCGATCTGGGCGACCTGGACGAGGTTGATATCTCGAAGCGCTTCCATCATCATGGCCCATGGTTCAGTACGCTTCTTATAATCACTTTCGATATCGTCCGACAGATCGACTAAAGTCGTCTCAAAGGTCCTTGCCCACGGCTGATACAAGTCGAGCTGGCTTATGCAATGCGTAATGATGGCTAGATCACCAATAAAGCCGGTCATCTTCTGCGATACTAGTTCCTGCGCACGTGGTTCGGTTTCAAGCAGCCTTCCCAACTCATCGACGATCAGCGGCAGGCTGACCAAAAAAAGGTCATGGCCGTCCTCCCATAGCGTACGGAGAATCCAGAGGAGCTGGCGCTCAAGAATGCCCATCTTTACGCCGGGCTTCTCGTATACAGAAAGCTTGGTCGAAGTAGAGTTCGGTGGCGGATGGCGGACAAAATACTTACGCCAAGGGGGAGAAGCAACAAGGCCGTCCCGAAGTCCACCTGGGGGGCCTTTAGCTGTTTGGATTAAATAATGACGGAATTTGAGTATAGCGTTCATCAACTCCTCAGGTAAGTCTTCAGTAGGTGATATGACGGCCGCATACTTCATCTGTAGTAACTTTAGTGCTTGGGCCTGTTGGTACAGCTCCGAAAAGACCTCAAGCTGTAAGTAAGACTCGAAAGCAACTGACCCATAGACGCGAGCCCAGAACGTCTTTTGATGAGCTGTCCGAAAGACGGGGTGTTCATCTCCGTAAGTATCCTTTAATAGCTCTTGCCGGTGTTCCTTAGTCTCAATGAGCTGCTCAAGGAAATATGCTGGGTCTTCCCGCATGGCCCATAAATGGTCTTCAGCTGCAGATAGTCTGGCACCAAGAACTGACTCAATTCGGCCGAGATCTAGCCTGGCAGGTAGTCGGTAAGGCGCCTCTGCTGCCATCACGGCCAAAGAATCAAATCCGTTCGTTTCCTTTCCTGTCTTCAAATGTGGTTCAGGTTGAACGGGAAAGGTATCTGCTATGAGGTTATCGGCTGGAATATCGTGCAGTATATACTGGCAGCAAGTAACCAGAAATCTCATAAGCTTCTCCTGAGCCTCGAGAACGAGCAATCCCTCACCGGGGTGGAATTGCTTTTGGGTATGCATCCAGTCGAAGGCGTCGGGGTGCTCGTCCCACTCCCAGAGCTTGCCGTATTCACTAGCATTGTGAGCGCCATTAAGGGCCATAGTATGCTCGTTTAGGAATATAGGCCTTATACTCTTCGTGACTATACCTAGGTGCATTGCTTCAATGTCGGCGCTGGCAAATTCTGGCGGCGAATTACGCCCTCGCGCGTTCAGCAGTAAGAGGAGGGTTTTCGGTTTCAGAAGATCTTCCTGATTGATTTGCGGCAATAAACAGTAGTCCCTGAACTTTCCCCCAGATTTGCCTCCATGAGAATTGCCGGTTCGCCAGATAGCATCAAAATCTGGGCGATGCGTTACCGCCATGTCTGGCCAAGCATCTAACAGAATCTTCTGCTTCTGCTGCTTCGTTTTCTTAATCCAGCGCTTTTGTATTGTTGCTTCATGGCGCATAAGAATCTCGCGTAGGTTGATATAGTTGCTAAAAACATTACTTGATCTTGCCTGAGCCTCTTGACGAACTTGTGTCGGTGATGCGATGATTACTGATGGGTCGAATTCTCTCATGAGGGCATTCGCGTCCATGCTTCCTAGTCCAGATGCCGTCCTCAATCCTGAGGAGGCCGTTGCTAGAATAGAATTCTTAGATCTTATCTTCGGCGATTATACCTGGGCGACTACGAGAGAGTGTTTGCATTGAATCAGTTTTGGGTATCAATTATTATATCACGATAACCCTGTTACCTAGGTACGAAGGTTCCCAATCTTAGCACCGTATTTTGTACGTATTTTGACTTATTAATGTGGGTCCGTCACCACTGGGCACGGACCACTACTCGTATGTAAGGACTCACTGGTCCACGAGTAGGGAATGCATACAAATTGTAAGCATCAGATAGATTCCTCTCCTTTACTTAATCAATTAATCATCAACACTACGAGACCTACCTAGATACGTATTATCCGTCGGAGACATTTTTTACGCTCGAACTTTTGGAAATTATTATGCGAAATTGATAAGGAAATTGATAAGTAATTGATAAGTAATTCATTAATAAATGATAAGAAAATTGATAAGAGATTAGATGTCTCCGACGGATTTTCACGTGCGAGCCTGCGAGCACGTGAAAACGCTTGCGCGAGCTTGCGAGTGCATGCGTTTTCCTAAATTTTCATTACAAGAGGCAACCCCGTTGGATTGCACAATAGCCCTGAGTTTACGACCAGGCCAAGCCACGCAATTGATTTGATTGGTTGAATCCCGCAAGGCCGCAGTGGCCGCCCTGCCTCGCCGCGGGGGGTCACGGGCGCTCGGCACGTGCTTCGCACGCGCCTCGCACCCGTGACCCCCCGCGGCTCGGCGGGCGGCCACACAAGCCATACAACAAGCCCCCTAGCCACACACAACCCAAGATCAGGTCCACGGTTCGAATCCTCGACCTCGCATCCCCTCGCATCTCTTCCTTTCTTTTATACATTACTACGCAGGCAAAAGCGCGGCGCTTTTGCCTGCTCCGTAAGCGGCCAAGAGCTCTAGCCGTGGTTGTGGCCGTAGCTAATCCAATCGCCAGGCCAGGAGCCTGTAGCTAATCCAGTCCTCATTACATAAGCAGCTTTCGTCGAAATCTCGACCAAGTCCACTTTATCGCAGGATGCACCCAATTAAATCTCGACGAAAACCCACTTTATTACAAGATGCACCCAATTAACGCAAGCAAAAATGACCAGGGCACTTCCATTTACAGTAATTTTTTCAAAATAGGAAGGTGGGGCAAACTCCCATAGAAAAAAAACGCGACACAATAACCCTTCGTAAACTCAGGGCAAACTCAGGGCATAAAACTGTATCACGGGTCCTTGTGTTGTGATACTAAGACGCACATTAATACCGTACCAGCCACGCGCTAAGCTGAAGGTCGGATACCTAGCGGCTTGTCCACTAAATTCAGGTGGCTTACCACTATATTTATAGCGACATCAGCCACTATAGCATATGTAGCTTAAATAAGACCGTGCGGTCTCCTTCTTACTCGCACGTGGCTTTAGGTTTCACACGATCATGTACTCGATACTACTTCTGTAATCGCATATAACCAGGTACTATCTACTCGTCAGGATTCGAAACATCCTGACCTTGAGCGGGGCTTCGCCCCTAGGTCAGGGACTTTTAGATGGAAACGTACTTTTAGATGGAATTTTCTGTAGCTACTTCAATTAGTATGGGCCTTGCACCCAAATTTAAGTACCACAGGAATAATGAATATCCCAGTAGTTACAAATTCAAACCCCTCATTATGTAAATTAACGTACTTACGAATGAAGATGCAAACGACGACGAGGATGGCGATTTAGGTAGTAGTAGTAGACGGGGACCTTACTGAGGCAACGGAGATCAGTCTGAATGCGAATTTGATGATAATAAAAGGCGTTGCGAGGTGTATTGTGTGTAAATGAAGCATTCGTGAATATTACGATTACTGAATCAAAAGAGGGGTTTATTACATAATATGATCCTACAGCATTAGACACTTGCATGTAAAATAGACTATTCATTTTTAACGAAATACATAATTTTGTATGGGAAACGCTAGTAAAATTTTGTACTAAAATTTCCATTTAAAAGTACGTTTCCATCTAAAAGTCCCTGACCTAGGGGCGAAGCCCCGCTCAAGGTCAGGATGTTTCGAATCCTGACGAGTATTCATTTACTAAAGCTAAGGTCTTCACTTAAGTCTTAAAAGGCTGATTTTATATAACATCAACCCAGTGGCAACGTAAGCTAATATGATGATGTATCCCCCATCTCCATCCCTCCTATTTTCTTCACTGAAAATCATAGCAGTAACTTTGTCCCTATAACCAATTTCAGGGAGTTCTTTGATTTCTCGAGGCTTTTCTCTATCTCCGAGATGAGGTAGAGGCAATTCGATCAGTAGCATTGTACTGTTACCACTCTTAGACGCTAAAGCAAAGAGCCGCGAGTTCTGCTTGTCCATTAAGAGTTTGCTGATGAAATAGTTCCTGAGGGTTGTATCACTATTAGGTATTGGATTTCCCCCGCCAAAATTTCGGATGCGTAGTTGGTTTTCATAGAGTACGACTGCGAATGTTTGTTCGTCACTTATTGCGGTAATGGTTGTGAGAAGGCGGCCCCAGTTGCCACTATCGACATCCTGCAGCCAGTTAGTTACTTTAACGTCAGGCTTTCGTTTAATATATAGATCAGAACCTACACCCGATGGTGTTTGGGCCGAGTTTTCCACATGCCTAATCTTAACCTGTCTGGTGAGTAGTGATAGGTAGGAAATCTTTATATCATGTCTTTCGGATATATCTGGTTGAGTAATATAATAAAGAGCTGCATCGGAAGGGAACGACAAATGTGTTACGCTTCCCGCCGGGGCGTCCACTTTGAGTCTATCCCATGGTTCTTCCGCAATAATTCTGTACTGGAGTTCGTCGCTGGATGACAACAAACTTTCAGAATCACCCCTGATGTAACGTTAGTAGGAATTTACCAGGGACGATAGATAGTACTACCTCGGGATTCTGCGACTGAGTAGATCGCTTATTTTGGCGTAGTATATCCATGAACTCTCTAAGTCTCGATGTACTACGCAAGCAATGACTTCACCCCCTGGAGATATGGCTATTCGATCAAGACCATTGCGAGTATCTACAGGGAGTTCGATTTTGTAGTTTAGGTCAAAATTCAGCCCTGGCAATCTGCCACCCTTTATATCAAAGAGATAGACCTAGACAGCGCATTAAGTTCTGTTCTATTTGCCATGCAAATAGTACTTACGTAGGAGTGGCGTCCCGTTATTGAAGCAATTAGATATGTCTCATTTAGCTTCACGCTTTTCCACGCGCCCGTTCCCCGTAGTTCGTAATATGGAACCCTCTTATCACCACCTCGTCGCTGGAAATATTGTAAGTCATATAACGAAATACAGGTATCTGTCCAATGGGCGATGACTGGCTCATTAGGGGCTATAGAGCATCCTGTAACAGCTCTTGCATTAGGAATCCACCAGCTTTCTAGCTTCGGTCCGTCAGTTTTCTGACTGATGAAAGCAATGTTAGCTGCAGGAGTACAGTCTTGGAAGCGGATACTCTTGTGTACTTACTATCTTACGGGAAATCGAGAAATTATCCTCGAAAGGATTCCGGGTTGGGTATGACCTTCGTATTGTTCAGGATTCTCGCTTAGCATATGATAAGCCGCTGATGCAGCGAGCAGTTTATCCCTAATGCGCCTAGCAGGCTCCCTCCGTCGAGGATCTAGCTCTAAGACCTTCTGCTCAATATAGTTTAATACCTCTTTCATCACCTTGCCTTCGCCAGAACTCCTTCTATTGGCCTCCTTGATTAGATTCCTGTGGTGCTCTTTGATTGCCGGATGAGGTTTTGGTGGTGTACGATACCGACTGATGAGGAAAAAGTGGTCTTTATCTCCTGCTCTAGAGCTTTTGGATGTAGCTGCTCTCCTGTCCGCGTAGGCGTCAATACCCTCTTGTCCTTTGTTGATATATGTTATAACGACGCTAATAACACATCCCAGAGACCAAATATCACTTTTTTCGTTCATATTCCGTACTGAGATAGTCGACTCGGGTGCGAGGTAGGTACCCTCTAACCGGCGATTTACAGTATCTGATACCGAAGTGTCACCTCTCCTCCTCTCAAAGAGAACGCTGATATCTTGGATATCTTGATCAACTGTGTTAGTGTGGCTATGTGATACTTTCACACGCGACATGCCGAAGTCACTAATTTTCCACACCAATCTTCCATGTTCCTTATCATAAAAGACAAGAACATTTGCTGGCTTCAAATCCATGTGATAACAGACCATCCGATTCCCGCTGGAGTCTCTGATCTCGGAATGAAGAAACTCCAAGCCATCCGCAAGGCCCGATGCACATTCTAGAATGTCAGCTTTTTCTGATTCAAGAATCGGAGGAGCATTGCTGCGCATCCATGCCCTGAGGTCGCATTCCGCAAGCGGCATGAATATGCTGAATATGCTCTCATCAAGCTGAAGGCTACCGAAAGTCTCAACGATGTTCTTAGATTTACGAGGAGTGCATAGAATCTGCTTCATGGTTCCTAACTCTTTCTGAAAGTGGTCATTTTTCTCAAAATCCTTTCGAGCCATTGGCATGGGCTCCGAATTCACCATCGACGTAGACTTATTTACCAAGTGTCCTTTGGCTATGACGACGCGATAAACCACACCATAAGAACCCATCCCGATTTCCTCTTCATCGAACATGTAAGGCAATCTCTGCTTTTTCCCATCGGCCCACTGAACATCCCCGCCATGGAGTACAATAGGGCAAAAGCAGGGTTGCATATCGATGAAGCTGTTAATATCAGGTCCATTATCTACCCCGAATATTTTCTCGAGTTGTTCGCGCTCTGCTGGAAGCTGATCAATCCGAGTCTGACCATCGTAGGATATTGGCCATCTGTCAGCATCAGACGGACAAGTGAGAAGTTTCCTAGTAAAACATCTAACTGACTCTATGCTACAGCGGGAGTAAATTAAAATAGCCAAAAAGCTATGGAGACTCCGCTCTTCGACTCGAGAGGTCAGCAAATCCACAGTTATCCCAGGTCCAAAATACGTTTCTAATGAATCGTTAGGAGATACCAGGCTGCAGAATAAGCGCCTTAAGTTGTAAGGGGCTAGAACTGCTTGGGTGGTACCGACTTTAGCAAAGCGCCGATCGGCAATGTCCCGCCTTTCAAGTTTCTCGTGGATTTGACTATATAAATCCCTAAGTATCTCATTATATGTGGGAGAAGCCATATTTGGAGAATTAGCTGTGGGAGACTGGAGGCTGACGAACACCAACATCAGATTATAAGTAACATATTAAATCTAGTAGTGCGGTAATATAATACCTAGTAACTACGATCAATGAGACTAGGTTACGCGGCTAGCATGGGAGCAGACAATATCGAGATGCTCATTATAAAAGCATACGTAGAGGATAAGCCGCATTTTCCAGACCCCGGCAATTCAACGTAAGAACGCCGTGTGCAACATAGAATATATTCCATAAAGGAGGGCTCCTATCTGGCTGTGACCTCGCGGTTGCCTACACCTTCAGGTGCCGAGGTAGGTACCAGATAAGGAAAATAGGGGCTATTGGATTTTAGTCGATTCAGCTCTGCATGGATTTGGAGGATCTGTCATACATACGGGCTAAAGCCAACTTCTTATATATAGGTACCTTCTATGTACCCTACTCTCGTTTTTTACGCTTGACCCGGGGAGATGTTTTAAAATAACAACCTACCCGGGTCTTAACCTGTTGAACTCGCTGAAGAGATCTCATGAATTTTCAGTCCAGATCTATATATAGGTCCCCAAGGTAAATAGGCTGCAAGCAACTTAGGCCAAGTCTTCAAGAAGCGTCTCATCCGCAGCACACCCTCAAGTAAATTTCCACACACCAACACGTACGACCAATTAAGTTCTTATGGTAGTTGCTGATAAGCATTATGTCGTACAGCAAGGGAAGCCGGCAAAAACAACAAAAATGCTCAGTTAATCATGGATTAGTAATTTGATATATAATTACAACTTAGCGGACTCTTCCTTGATGAACTCAACCTTGTTGGAGACAATTCCGACATTTTCGAGCTCGACTTCGACGATATCGCCGTCCTTTAGCCACAGCTGCGGCTTGCGACCCATTCCAACGCCCGACGGCGTTCCTGTCCAGATAAGATCACCGGGTAACAGCGTATGGCCCCTGCTCAAGAACGCGATAGTTTGCCTGACATTAAAGATCTGATCGGCTGTGTTACTCTCCTAAATCTTATGTCAGCCGCCCATCTAAGTCGCCACATGTCTATGCCCCGCGTTGAGGCTCTATTCATTTGCTTACCTGTACTGTCTGTCCATTCACTCTAGTACTGATCTGAAGTGTTTGTGGGTCTTTGATGATATTGCTGGTGACGATGCCCGGTCCATACGGCGCCCAGCCGTCAAACCCCTTACCCAACGACCACTGGCCACCACCGCGCGCGACTTGCCAGTCACGATGCGAGACATCGTTTCCGACAGCATATCCGAGGACATAGTCGAGCGCTTCAGACTCCGATACGTCCTTAGCCTCCTTACCGATAATGACGACAAGTTCAACTTCATAATCTAGCCCTAGTTCCTCCTGTGCAATTGGGTGGATGGGGATAGGGTCCGTAGGCCCTGACAGAGAAGTGATCGGCTTGAACTGTCCGGCGGGTTTAGTACACGGTACAACCCTACATACCTAGGTATATTTCAGACGAGATAAAAAGAGCCCACTTACGAATAGAACTGGGTATTTCGGTATCGGAAGATTGGCCTAAAAATATCTCAGCATTCTAATTGAGACTTTGTGTAGATTAGATAGGCTAACCTCTTTCGCGTGCAGTGCGTAGTTAAGGCCTAGGCATCGGACGGTCTTGACGTCCTCCAATGCGAGAGGTGCTAGAAGTAGTCGGACGTCCGCAATCTGATCGGTAACTTCATGCTTGCCAAAGATATCCCCTTTGATGACACGTGCTCTCTTCGTCTTAGCAATGTCCGTCACTCCCTCTGGTAGAATAGCATCTCCATAGTATGTTTTGCCATTCTTGGCCAGAAAACGAACAAGTCTCTAAGAAGGGTCAGCTAGATGAGCATATAGATACCTTAGGAGATAGCCAAGCTTAATTGAATAATTGAAGTTACCTCTTAGGTACCTTGTAATAGGATTGGTTGGCTAAAATACTGAGGGGTTAGGTATCACTTACTGAAAACGTCGGCATGGTTTCCTTTTTTTTCCTATGAGAGGATAGGATTTAAATTCCAGTACAACCAAATTTCAAGACAGAAAATTGCTAAATTTTGACAGCGTAATGAATAGTATGGTATTAAAGCTGGTTATATGACTTTATACATGTTGAACTTGGGTGGAGTAGGATATATATTAGTTAATACAATAGGGTAGGGGTAGGCGAATGGTCGGGGTTTCGGTAAAGTCGGGCGGTATTGCGTTTAGCCTGTCTTGTCTATCCTGCCTATCCTGCCTCTCGTAGTGGTAAAAGATAACCCCGAGGCCGGAGCGTCGGATTCCCCACCTACCGGCAGTTCATCAACTCCCCCTCCCCCTTTTTCTTTCGCGCTTTATAATCCCCACTGCATGTCCGACGGGCAATTATTAATATATCATTAATCTCTGCTACCAGCCTGCGCTCATATTCTGTGGGTATGACGCGCAAAGCTACATGTATCCTAACACGTACTTGCTTACAATTTTAATAGGTAATCTATGCGATATCTTATTAAATCAACATGGGTAATGAATGACATTGAATACGGAGAAGTGAAATTCTGCTGGCACAATCCAGTATAATTGCTCCCTCGGCATGTAGTCGTAAACTACAACGAATGAAACTCACCGACAACTTAGTGTGTACTAACCGGACATATCTGAGACAGGAGTTATCATATAATTATTGACATACCGATATCGCCGTATACGAACTTATAAAGTATATGTTTATCTTGTTTGCTTGTCCAAATCTCAAAACCTCAATTTCCAGATCTTTAGCTGGCCTTGAAGTCCATCAAGCTTAAACCAATTACTGGTGAAATAGCATCTCTAATTTCTGGTTCAAGGTGCCAACGAAAAGAATATAGGCATAACCAGTGAATCAATATAGTCAGTCGCTCGTCTTATATTGTAAATTGTTAACCTATTTGGGGTTGCCCCCCATAGACCGACTGCGTAGTATAACTACGCTGTGAGCGGGGGGTCTGAACCTCATATTGAGTCCTCAGGTGAACCCGCTCGGACCCTGCATCGCCAACATATATAGGATCAAAGGTTCGTAATGCAAAGTGGCAGAAGAACCCGAATTCTGCGATAGATAGAACCCATATGAGAGCTCCAAGACCTGCACAGGCTCCCATTACAGATCCGAATGTAGTCCACAGGTCTTTACCACCACTATCTTCGTAACCATTGTTGAACGAAAGGCCATAAGAGGCCCAAGATGCGCTCCAAGCCCAACCCGTTAGCCAAAAGATGGAGTTCAGAGCATAAGCAGCCAATACCACTATGCGATAATAGAATCGAGGCGCCTTGAGCTCAATAACTAGTGGAGCGCCGTATACGACGCACGTAAATATTGTCTAAAGTAATTAGAACTGGATATAAGACATCGAATACAAAAAAAACCGTCTTACTAGGAAGATCAGATACTCTGGAACTCCAGAGTTAAAATAGAGGCCACTATCCTGAATAGATAGTACATAAGAGGCCAACGCGAAGACAATAGCTGAGAGAAGGATAAGAGTAGCTTTGGTATAGAGTAGGAACTTGGGAAATGTAGGTGCCCCGTGGGCAATTAGTCCTGATATTAACATTACAATAAGGATTAAGAGGTAGGTAGTCTTATTTAAGATATCGAGTAGCCAAATTTGTGATAAGCTAGAGTAACTTTATTAGGAGGTAGCTATCATGAGATGGATAGGTAAATTTGGGTGCGTTAACTCCTAAAAGACAATAAAGCACTAAGAAAGTCAACTAGACTATTCCGTATGCGAATCTCATTTATATCTTCCCTTTGCTATGCCCAGTTGTTGCCCATTGTCGGCCAGGTACTATGATATCAGTCTTTGATTAGTTTTAAGGACATTTGGCATTTTCTTTTTTTATCTTCCTGAGGGAAATTTCAGCGTAGGTTTCTTACCAATCTACCTATATCCCCTTGCGTGCGGTATGAGAAGAACTCTCATTTGGCAATTTGTAGCAGTAAAAGAGCCTTATTATTGAATTTACCTAAACTCTTCGTAGAGTACCTAACCTAGGGATCTTAACTGAGGTTATAGGTAATATTGTATGCCAGGTATACGCGAATGGTAAATACAGATTCATATCCTAGAGGTATATATTAGTTGTCTCCGGGGAAGTCGCGAATCCAAAGCGAAGCTTCCTTCTATCGCTGAAGATGTGTCATAATGAGTATCGGCTGTGGCTAAGTACCTGAGTTAGTTCCTGCTCAATATGCCCTTCCTTCCTATTTTATTGTATGTATATGCCAACCTTAAGTACGTCGCTTAATTTCGGGACATTGCGTGATTTATACATTATACATCTAGAATTATTCCATATCATCATTCACTCAATCCATTTCTAATTTCACTCTTATGCAAGGCCGTCCGTAACCGACTTTTCCAGACTGATATTAACGCCATGAATTAAACGAGTACGATTCATGCCAGAAGAACGGAATGGACCTCCAGGAATCTTTGGCAGATGATTCTCATCTGGAACCTGATGAGTATGCGCGGTTGAAAGGGTTATCGGTCGACTCCCAAGTCCAAGTTTCTCTTTTACTTGACCATTTCCAAAGGCAAAGCAATCATCTGCTAGATGATAACGTAGCCGATGACGACTCTCTTACTCAACTACGTATCCCGCGCCTTATTTCTCAAGTCGAACAACTTGATGGTGTATCTAGAGAGTCACTTGAACTATTGAGTCATGCTGCATCGTTGGGACGCGATAATAATCATGCATTTGATTGTCCTCCTCGTGTAGACTTTTCGCAGTTGAAATTGGAATCCCCCTTGCTCCGAAGCGATCCCGAATACGACTGCCGGGAACTTGCTAGGTCTATGCAGCAGCTGCGACGAGCGGATGTAGATCTAACAAGTGTTCCGCTGGAGCCTCTTAACGTTTCAAATGACGAGAGCTTGGATTTTCCAGAGATATCTTACCGATATAAGCAGATGATAATTGAAGAAATTCGGGATGAGAAGATAGATATCACAAAAGAGGCTCTTATCTATCTTTCCCGAATGCTGAAAGATGTCTGGACATCGGAAAGTCATAATGAGTTATTAAACAGACTTTCTAGCCGAAGAGTGAGTAATACACAAGTCCAGATTTTCTTCGGTTAGGTATTTTGCCTAGGTATATTACTAACTTGCATTGTTAGGTTCTTCGAGATTTAGCTCTTACACCTCCTCTTAGTCCGTATCCGCAGAACGAAGGCTATTTCATCCCTGAAGATGTAGCATGCCAAGTCCCGTTGTCTTCAGATAACAGCACGCTGCTCGATGATGATTTGACGAAGGCCGAAGCGGACCTACTACGAGAGGATGATTATCATCCCGACATCCCCTCCCTTGTAGACCTCGAACCACTAACCATACCCCCATCAGACGACTTCAAACTGCCAGGCGCAACACGGCTGAAAATTGACTCAATAAAAGTTGAAGGTCCCCTGAGCCCATTAAATTCCATACCTTCATCGTCCGAATTAGCTGTAGACATGGTAGACCTCGCTAGGTGCGTGGATATCGATCACGTACTCGACAAGCAGCGATCGATTATACCGGATGCTAAAGGCGTAAAGGATCCAAATGGGATATTTAGCGACGATGTTATGACCGCTTTTGTGGAAAAGGCAAAATATATTAAGAGAAGTATCGAGCAGGAAAAATTACAGGCCGCAGATGCGATGGCTAGAATCGAAATTCCTACGATGGATTTCTCGATTCCTGACCCCAACTGGAAAGAAATCGAGCCAAAACCTGCGTCACAACTGGCGTGGATAGAAAGGACATACGAGGCTTTTAATGTACCCCCATGGCCGAAGGACACTCAAGCAGAACGAGCTCTTCGCTGGTTCCCCTTTCCGTCTAAGATGGGCCACGTATCTATGAATGAGATAATCGTAGATGATGGTACTGCAAAGGTCTTGCTCAATTTCTCCGGTCCTCTCGAAGTGCCAACAAGTGGGGAGTATGTCTGGAAACAGCCAGGTCTGGCTATCCTTCGGGAATGGGATGATGATGATGAAGAGGAGCAAGAATTACCTTACGTTTCTGGCGAGGAAAGGAACATTGAGTCATTAGTGAGAAAGAGGCGGCTAGAACTCAATAACTCATCAGATTCAGCTTCGCCAGTCGGAGTAGTTCGTGCCCCTCAAGCCACGGGAACAGAATCATGTCAAACTTCACTTGACGAGCAGGGTCAGCACTCACACCTTCTCCTTGGTTGCAACGATGCTTCCGCTACGTCGACTCTACTTTCTAATTATCTCGACTTTCACATCCCAAAACGGCAAAAGAATATGAAAAGCTCCTTCTTCCCAACCTTTGCTAAAGAAGCAGACGACCTCAAAACAAAGGTAGATTTAAGTACCTCGGCGAAAAGTCTACTAGATGAAACATTAGTATCAAAACCAGAGCTAGAGAGAGAACCGGCGATTCCTGCTCCTTGTCCCCCGTTGCAACCAATCCTTACGCGCACGAAGATAATAAAGGCGCTAACACTTGAACGAGGTGTGCTCTCCCGGCTCGAGAAATCCCACCCAAATATTGAAATAATCGAACGTGACTTCGACCGTTGGAATTCTTCAGCATGGAATCGTAATTCAGTATCTCGGTCCCCGATTACGTCGCCATTGGCTGCCGAAGCGGACGTAATTGTTTCTCCTGCCACCGGAATCGTGATCATTACATTGCTTAGAGCTATACAGAAACCACCTCCGGGTCAGAAGGGCGTTTCAAAGATCCGGGAACGTATACGTAGTGTAGCGCTTCGGTACGAACGTCTCATCATCCTTGTATCAGAAGGAAATCGTGTTGATGAGACAGCCCGGAGCCTTACGCCTGCGGAGTGTGCTGGCTATGCCGATTTTGTCGGCTTCACTACTGGACTGGACACGAATGTGCAGGTTTACTATGTGGGAGGCGGCGATGATACACTTGTAAAATGGCTAGTCTTTTTTCTAGTCCGCCATGCACCAGACGCAGAAGCATTGGAAGACATAATTATCCAAGAGGAGTCGCTATGGGAGCTGTTCTTACGGCGGGCCGGTATGAATGCGTATGCTGCACAGGCTATACTCGGACAGCTCAAGGCGCCTGATGATATTCCTGAAGAGCGGGCGGGCAAATACGGGCTTCCAGCGTTTATTAGGATGGCGCCAAAGGAGAGGGTCCAAGCGTTCCAAAGTCTGATGGGTGGAGAAAGAGTGTTGAATAGAGTCAATGAAACTCTGGAGACTCAATGGGGTTGATGGAAGGATTGCTTAATCTGTGCTTGATATATTGGCTCTTATGCTCAGCAATATTCAACCTGATATGGTGATCGCGAGAATAGGGGGAGATATGGCTAAGAATTAGAAGATGTTGGCTACTTGCCTGAACTTGGCTTATCAACTGCTTTCAACAGCTTCGTTGTTAAGCGGGAACGAAGTAATCCGATTTCAAAAAGCTCCGTAAAGGCTCGTGTTAGCGAATAGTTCCGGGTGTGAAAAGCGATGATATCCTGAAATGAGTATACACGATTCACCTATGGGTATCATTGCCATCTAGCCCACCATACGTCTTCCTAAGGCCCTGTTTCCTCAGAGTTATTTGATATACTCCATATCTTCAAGCTACTTTCTTTATTTCGTCTGCGCATCCAAGGCGACGCGGACCTTGAAATATCGCTGCTGCCATCGCTTTCCTCGCTTTCCTCACTTTCCTCACTTTCCTCGCTATCGCTGCTGTCTTGCGAGGATGGCTCGTTATCTCCATCGTCATCCGGAAATTCCCAGGATCCAGAACAAGTAGCGACTACAGTACCGCTTTGATGAACGCATGTACTTCCCACAGTCGACTGACGGGCAGCATCCCAACTCCAAGCTGGTTCGTGTGCACCTTCGCGAGTCCCGACACCTTCCCACATCTTAACAGCGCCGTTAGTCGTCCCGGACCAAACCTCGAAGCCCCCTTCTTCACTCCCGCCTTGTCCGGGAAACACATCGCAGCTGATACGCTGGTTACCGAGCGCCTCGCGGCCAGCTAGCCACCCGAGTAATTTCCCCGTTACGCGTACGTCGTATACCAGGACGCCCGTCGACTTGCGCTCGCCGAGCAGTAAGTACCGACCGCAGGGACTCCAAATCGCCTGAGTAATGCCGTCGCCACCAATGCATGCCTCCTCGTTGGCCGCGCTCGCGACGCTCCACGTGGCGGCCCAGGATCCGCCAGCCTGTGCGAAGTCATATAGACCAACCCAGCGGGTCCAGGTGCCAGCGGCAACAAGGCTGGCGAAGTTCGCGTCGGGGGGTTGGGCGGCGAGCGAGGAGATGGTACCGCGCATACCGACGCCGCCGCCTTTGGATATATGCCGCTCCGAAGGGATGGTCTTGACGCGGAGGACGGGCTCCTCGCCCGTGCGAGTCACGTCGAAACGCGCCAGGAGGTTGCGGCTACCGGCGATGAAGTGCGTGCCTGGGGAGGGCCAGACGAGGGCGGTGGCGGTGAGGAAGGTTTCGGAGCGGGCTTGGGTTAAAGGGTAACTGGATGCTGGAGACGGGGATGAAGATGGGGATGGGGATGGGGAGGCTAGGTAGAAAAGCTGGATGGGATGGTCTCGGCTTGAGACGAGGAGTTGCTGCGTCCAGGGCTCCGCGAGGCGGAAATACGGCGCTCCGGCTAGGACATTGCTTGGTTCCGGGAGTTGGATGCTGGCTTGGGGCGTGAGCTCGAGGGGCCGGCTAGCTGTGGGGGAGAGCAGGTCTTCGGGTATGATGTAGCCCGAGATTAGGTTTGATGAGGACGATGTTAAAAGGGCGGTGCCGTCCGCAGTCCATTGAGCCGTCTCGAAGTAACCTTGAAGTGCATCGTCTGTATCGTCAAGACGTTGTATTATATCCCCAGTCGAGGCAACAAGTTCTACCTTGTTGCTATGAGGAGGCGTCTCTTTGTGATCCATGCCGGAGAGGGAGAGCTTCTAGTTTTTTATAGCTTCTCATTTCTACGAAATGCGAACTATTAATGCATAGGTAGGTTCCCTATGTTAGGTAGGTAGACTTTCAAGACGAATTGTGTCGAACTAACCGCTATACCACTAAAAGGTTATTTGGTAATAGATTTTATTCTATTATGCTTTATATTCTCTATCGGACAGATAGTCATATCTGACAAATTGTCAAAAATGATATGAGTGGAACTAACTACGTTGGGAAGTAAAGTAAAATCGACGATACGCCATCAATAACGGTGACGGCAGGACGGAACTGAAGTTGGTGGATCTTCATGTACAAGGTTTCACTAAGAAATAGTAGGTGTGTTAGCGGAGTACTACTATTGCTTGTATTGTGTTTAATAAGCGTTTTTACACTATAATCTACCTAACGCACGCTAGCTCGCCCTACTATCAAGCTTCCGATGCAGGGGCTAGCCTAACTCTGGCTGTCTGGGTCCCGCCACACAGCTTTCCGCCTGCATCCTATCACATGCCCCAGATTCTAGGCAGGTGCTGATAGGTCGCCTATCATACTAGGAACTCGTTCCTGATTTCTGACCTGAAGTTCGCCGTAAAATCGAAGCATCCATCTTCAACCCTTGGACTTTGAAAACAAAAAAAATAATCGCAACTGCAGCAACTGCATAAAGGGTTCCGTCCTTATCCGCCATGTTATAGCAAGTAGGCTATCTATTTCTGGCGTGACGGACGCATTCCATTTCGATCGCCTTGAGGATATCCTTGACGATCGTCAATTAACCTACCTTAGGTAGTCAGCTTAGGTCGACCTATTCCTTAGCCATCTCAGCAACCATCCGGTTTTAGGACCCCTAAATTACTTCTAGAATTCCCCAGCTTTGTTCATACCCTTCGATATCGAAATTTCAACGTAGAGGATTGCCATGATGGACAGTCTCTTCGTTAAGGATCGCTGTGACGCGCTCCGCGAGGGCGGCTTCACCAACTTCTTTATCTCCATGTTAGTGGATTTAATCCGGCAATCATATTTATAGTACCTAAGATCAAGCAATACTAACCACCCACCATCTACGTCTAGTCTAATCGTGATCGGTATCATGCTATCGTATGTCACACAACACTATCGAATCATTTCCCGCGGAACCTCCGAAGGAATATCTCCGTACTTCGTGTTACTCGGTGTCACCTCAGCGAACTCGCAGTTTGGGAACATCCTCACCCTGCCTCAATCGCGAGCCGATGTTGCCTGCTGCAAAGTAGTTAGCCCCTTCGAATGTATTGCTGGATTACTCGGAATTGTGCAGATTGGAACACAATGGGTTTGTTTTGCTATCATGTTGGTTCTCACCCAAGCAATCTTATACGAAGTTGTTACTGACCTGATATAGACTTGTTCTATTCCTTGTCTTCTTCCGTAGGGAGGACGCTGACCTGTCGGACGATGAATGCGAGCGAGACCCCGACCAACCGACCTGGAGGACCGCTGTTACCGTAGCAGCTTTATGCTTGGTTCACGGTCTACTCGTCGTTATCATATCAGCTGCATTTGCGTTTGGTGCTCCCTCGTACCTAGGTGCGTGGGCGAATTTCTTGGGAATCATGGCTGCTGCACTCGCAGCCGTTCAATATATCCCTCAGATCTGGACTACATACCGCCTCAAGCACGCTGGTAGTCTTAGTATTTTGATGATGTGCATACAAACCCCCGGTGGGCTTCTCTTTGCTGGTAGTTTAGCAGCACGTCTTGGTTGGGCAGGTTGGAGCTCTTGGGGAGTATACGTCTTGACAGCCATCATGCAAGGTATCTTATTGTTTATGGCCATCTCGTACGAGTGGCCGTCGCAGGAGGAGCGCCGTCTGTCTACTCCGCAACCGCAACGTCCTCCGTATAACCGACGTACAACACCCAGGGTCCTACCTTCGCCAGGTCCATACTCTGCCCATTTACAGGCCTACGGCGAAACGCAAGAAGAAATCGAACGTGCATTAGACCGTGAGAGCGTCCAAGGTGTAGGAGAAAACCAACCTCTCCTGGCACCTGGTGGAATAGGCAGCTCAGGTGTTCGTTAGCTTGCCAGCCTTGAAGAGTAAGATATCTGCTCTATCTCTCGTTTCTCCAAACATCTGTCTATTGACCACGAGAATGTCTATGTCCATTTGCTTTAAAGTTGGCTGAAATTGTGTGTTACTTGTTTTATGAAAGGATAACTACCTAGGTACCTAACCTATAACCTACCTCTAAATATGAACTACAAACAAGTAAATATGATATGTCCACATGTGCAAATTTAATACCCGGACCAGCTTCGTACGTGAGACTAAATTGAGTGAAGCATGATGCTTTCATTTCATTCTTGATAGTCCTATTTAAGTAGTATTTAAGTAGTATAGGAGTAAAGTAGGGGCACACGAGCTAAGCTACCTTGCTACCCGGTAATACGACCCGGAGTAGTCGCACCGCGGCTGCATCCACTGAAGATTCCCTTAGGTAAGATATGGGGTACATGCCTTATCAGTGGGGCCAACCAGTAATGCGCGTGTTTGCGCTGCGGTCTTGATTGGCCAGAGCTTATATGTATCTCTCACTCACTGGATCGAATGTTGAGTCAAGGTCCGATGTGTCATGAATCGTTCCTCTTATTCTTATCCTCTTGTTCTCAGATATAAAAGGGGGCTTGACTACTATTGCCGGTCACGCCGCCAACGTTGACTTATTTACTCAAAAATTTTTTATTCTTGGGCATTATTTTCTACTTGGCTCCCTACTCCTTTCTCAACCCATTCTTTGATTTAAAGCACAGTTCGTTATCACAATAATGGCTATCTATAGCGCTGTCCCGCCCCCTCCGGAGCTGATCAACACAGCGAACAATTCCAGCAATTTTAACCAGGAACAGAATCAGTCACCGAACTCGAATCCGATAACAGCAAGTTCAGCATCTAATGGACTTGATATCGAAGCATGGACGATATCTGCACTCGAAGCCCTTAGTGTATCTTCGGTCGCTCGCGGTGTCGGTGTCCCGCTATCAATCCCGTTGGATGAGCATGAGTCTACAAGGAAAACATCAGTCACCATTCAAGATCCTCGCTCTAAATCTACTGCAATAAGACCCCCACCGCGTCCTCTATCTCGTGACAGTCTGCGCAGACGTGAGGCGCTCTTAAAGGGCAAGGAGGGTAGCCGACAGCGGCGGCGTTGGGAAAATGGTACTTGCAACCTATTAGCCCCTCCCTATTCACTCGACTCCATTTTTCTCGGGTGACTGGGTACAATGGCAAGACTAATACGATATCTCACTCTTTCCCCAGACCGCCTTATGCATGTACCCAATGTACAGCCTCCAGAGCCTTTTGACTGGGAGCCACGCCCACTACACCCCGTAAACCATGTCCCTTATCAGATCGCAGTCGTCTGGGACAAACGTGTCCGCGCCGAAGTCGAGATAAAAACGGACATAGCGGCTCGTCGTAAGCAAAAGCAGACTAGAACATTGGGTGATGCCCACGTCCCTGGACGAGTGCCCCGCGAATTGTTCCAGCGTGCCAAGAAAATCCCCGCCGTTAAGACTTGGGTTCGTTCGCTCGAGGAACCTGTCCGCCGATACCTCGTCGAACAGGAGCTTGTCAAAGAACCTCTGTCCTCAGAAAGCGAGGATACTGAAGATGAGGAAATTGTCTTCGTTGGTCGGGACGGTAATACGCGGGATGGCTGGAAGAAAGCAAAGCGAGAAAATAAGGGTAAGACGGAGGAAGAGGGGATGATTTTTGATGCCTTGGGTGATGATGCCGATAGTGCATTCAGGTATGAACCTTTGAAACATGAGTATGCTAATTTAGTTTATATGAACGACACTGACGATTCTAGACGATGGATTACGCATTCCATTTCTGATTATTACGGCCTCAACTCTCGCTCGGTCTTCATAGGCAACCCAAAGCGCAAGGTAGTATATGTACAAATGAAGACCGGACACTCCCCACTACTGCGACCAGACCTTCCGCGACCCCTCTGGGAGCTATGCTGATGAAGCTCTGCTGCTTCGGAACCTGCGTCCACTCCTTTCTTTCGTTCTCGTTTGTGGGGTTGCAGGCAGCATGAGTACTGTAGGGTCGTACTCAGCTGAGACAGATACGGACTTGGACAGGCAGACATCCAATATATAGCTGCAAGACCAAGTCCAGCTCAAATATTACTTCTAGGAGCGTTTCTATTCCATCCGTCTTATATAATCAGCAATGGTAGTGATATTCGCCCAATCGTAGCTCAGCCAATCATATAGTTAGGATTCAGAGGATCCCAAACTGCTGCCTTACGTAGGTACCTATATAAAGCACTCTTACCTCGCCTTTCTCCAACCCATCTTTTTTCATCTTTTAGCTACCCCTTCTCTTTTAGTCACTATTATAACTAACCCCTGTCAACTGTGATATATACCTAATCCTAGGTATCCAACCCACTCAAACATAGAAGCATGTCTCTCTCAAGCCTACCCCCCGAGACCCTGTCTTTAATCCTAGAGTTCCTCGCGGATGAAGACTTAACCTCTCTCATACTTGCCCAACGTGTGTGTAAGCGCTTCCAAGCAACCATAGAACGCATCCTATTCCAGTCACCCCCGAGGAGGGCATGGAACAGAACCAACCTCATCGGTGTCTGTCCTCTTCTCTTGGGCAAATTCAGCCACCTCTTCGTGAATGGGAATCGCAAACTCGGTCCCGACGAGGGCCGTAACACTGGAATACCATTCCGTCGTTTACCCTGGGCTGCTAAGCGCCAAGAGGATGGAACAACAGTGAAAGCGGTTGCGATGCAGGACTCGCCGTACTTGCGCCCCGAGGCAAGCTGGCGTCGTCTAAGTGTAACGTTCGGCGCGGGGCCAGTCGTTAGGTCGGTGGATGTAGTAAAAGTGCTGACCGTGTACGGCGGCACGAGCATGGACTACAAGCAGCTTGATATCCCGCCCCTGTTGTCCAAGGTATCCGGGGACGCCGATGAGAGTGTGGAGGAGGGCGAAGAGGGTATCCTAACTATGGGCCTGCTCTACGATCTGCTCGCGTCCGGCGCAGGCCACATGGGCTACGTAACGACGAGTTGGCAATTCTTACCCGGCAGCCGGCTGAGCAGCTACAACGACTGGCAGAAGCTGCGTATCAACAACCGGTATCCAGGCGGCGAGCGGATCAAAGAGCTGTTCGTCAAGGACGACCAGAGCGCAGTGTTGTTTGTTACGGGGCACAGGGGATGTACGATGAACGGTTGTATGAGAAGGAAGAGTTGCAGTGAGGAGGATGAGGTGTGGGAACCCGAGGCTATTGGCGGCATTCCGATTAGAATGCGACCATGGCAGGGACCATCTCCAGATCGCTTCTCAAGGACATGAGAATAGAGCTAGGAGAGAGGAGAGAAGGACACAAGTATAAGTCAAAGTAGTGTATTAGGCAACTTACCTTAAGTACTACCTTTTTTAATCCTCGAAGGTCAAATAGGGGTATTGTAGTTCATATAAGCTAATAAGGACCACTTTTTCGTTTTTGCCGTGTAAGCCTGAAGGCATGGCCAATTTTACCGCTCAGCCTTAGTTAAGCTTGCTTCGGCCGGCCTCCGGAGACGAGACGGGCTTTATTCCCGTTAGCGGGTCCGGGGCGAACCGGTCCCTTGAACTTTAAACGGACACGGCGGTCTCATCTAAGAAGTTTAAATAGGCCGAATTGCCCAAATGCCATGCGCTCGCTGGCTGCTTTATCAGCGTAACAACACGATCGATCGCTTTGGTGGTAATAACGGTGTCTTTCCCCAATGGCGAGCACCGAAATAACGAAGCAGCGTAGATTGGGCTTAACAATCAATTGAGCTGGGATTCGATTGATCCGGAACTCCTTTCGTGCACTGGCAGGATCAATAAGCTTCGCGAAGGCTCTGATGGTAGGTATTGTTTTCCTTTTCCAGTAACGAACCTGCTTAGACCCCAATTCTCGCTAGCCGAAGGGGAGCCGAAATACTACATCGTGTGGTAGTATTTTCGAGTGATCATATCCGCATTATGAATTCGTGCATCGAGAAGTCATCGAGGCCTTAGACTATTGGTTAGTTGGGCGTATCAAGCATGTCATATCCCATCAGCCCCATCCGCACTTATCTTCGTGCGGCGCGGTGAGGTTTGAATCAAGTAAGATTTTCAGGGGCGCTTAGGGTATTCTCAATAATGAGAATATTCTACGCAACTTTGAGTCTTATATATGTGCCAAGGGGTAAGCAATTCTGACCCGTGTTGCAGAAAATATAGGGGTGTTGAGTATTACCTATCTGCCAAATGTTAGTAGTCTATTAAGACAATGATATCATATCTTGCATGCAATACTTTCTCCTGAAATGGCGGGTTCATCTTGAAGTAACTTATCAGCTTAAGCCCCTTACGTTTTTTTTTATACAGGTAGTTAAACTTACGTGCAAGCATCTCATCCCAACGAAGAGATGTATATAATAAGAAGAAGCAGGCCACGTGCCCTCGATATCTCGGAGAATATAATCATAGAAGGTAATATAATTGGTAGAAACTGTTGAGTCGCCATTGAGGGCAACGTTAAAGTACCTAATCTAAACTAACTGCCGATAGTTTCGGAGATAAAGGTCCCATAGTCTTGACTCTTCGGTCCCGACATTATTGCACATCCTACGAAATTGCTTATTAGAGACGTGCGGAATAGGACTATTTGATGGCTCACGATCCGGAGCGTGGCATACTAACCTATATAGAGCAAAATGCAGGATCTGATCTCGTACCACGCCTGTCATTCCAGAATATGTTCCACGACACATAGTTAAATCTTGATTCGGAGAGCAGTTCGGGTGACATTTGCATCATTTCCCTCCTCTTCCCCGAATTTGTTTTCCCGGTATGTAGGTAATTACCATTGATACTTGGCGCCAGGCCTTGGCTGATACATCGTTTTCTTTCCCGCACATGGCTTTTTACTTGTTATCCCGTGTGGCTGGAAGCATGTCTTAAGATTCGCCCGCCATGCCCCCGCTCCCCCCCATCCCAACGCCCCGTCTACTAGTACACACAGAGCTACTAAACTTCAGCTCAAGCCTCTAGTCCTTTGTTGAATTTGGACCGACATGGGACACCTAATAATAGCAATGTGTGAACGCACATAGCAACCATTGTCAGATTCCAGCTACGCCCAATATGAACCTAATATACGCTGGTTGTATCGAACCCTCCTATATGTATCTATAGTCCGCTTGTAATCCTTCTACCGGGACCGAAAGGTGGTATAGGTGCGTTCTTATTGCTCTTACCCGTCTATACTTACCCAGAGGTTAGTAGTTCGCGACTTCACGCGGGTCCGAAGTAATATATGCCAAGTGGTCATGTTACATATTTAGATATATTCAAAGGCCCAGTTAGACGGCCCAACTTACTAAGCGCCTTCGGACTTCGATATAATTCAATAATGTACGGTGCTCCGGACCTCGCGCTCGCGTGTCGATGGATGCCGATGCAAACAGCACGAACCTAAAATGGACCGTCAACATATTCCCCCTTTTGGTACTACGATGTCCGGTACATTTCGGTCTCTCTCCAACATGGTCCGAAACCTGCCCTTGGGGTTGGAGCTGTGTGCGCCCACAGAAGGGATACAGACAGACGCCTCCCATATATAGCAAACGCCCACCCTTTGGAAGTTGTCTGGACTTGTCTTCATTACTCCATCATCATCTGAACTTCCAACATCTTATCTTCACAAGCCCTTCTAGAAGCCTACCTTTAAACCGTCTTTAACGACTATACCCTCAACTTTATATCGAATAACCCTAATATCCAACATGCCTAGCGCTACCAACCAGACGAGCAAGTACGATGCTATCCCGGGCCCTCTTGGCCTTGCATCTGCCTCTCTTGAGGGCAAGGTAGCTCTTGTCACCGGTGCTGGTACGTAGATAACGCCCCCTTTCCCTTTCTGTTCCTCAACACCCGCGCCTCAATTCTCAACCGGAGTTTTGAATCCTACGCGGAAGTCACGAAAATAGCATTCAACGGCTAGGCGCAACCGAGATTAGGGCGGGGTGTTGCAGCACAACGCCCCGGAAACCCCAACCGATGTCCGGTGGCTGAACCGTTAATCGGCGGGATGGCCCTTGATGAAAATGTTCCCAAATAGGAGATAGAATGCGTAGGATCGGAGCTGACCATGACACACACATATAGGGCGCGGTATTGGTCGGGAGATGGCTCTCGAACTTGGACGCCGCGGCGCCAAGGTCATCGTGAACTACGCCAACAGCACGCAGTCAGCTGAGGAGGTCGTACAAGCCATCAAGAAGGGTGGCTCCGACGCGGTATCGATCAAGGCTAACGTGTCGGACGTGGACCAAATCGTGCAACTTTTCGACCAAGCCGTCAAGGTCTGGGGCAAGCTCAACATCGTATGCTCCAACAGCGGCGTCGTGTCATTCGGTCACGTCAAGGATGTCACTCCGGAAGAGTTCGACCGCGTATTCACCGTCAACACTCGAGGACAGTTCTTCGTCGCGCGCGAAGCCCACAAGCACCTCGAGGTCGGCGGTCGCCTCATCCTGATGGGCAGCATCACGGGTCAGGCAAAGGGCGTCCCGAAGCACGCGGTTTACTCGGGCAGCAAGGGCGCCATCGAGACCTTCGTCCGCTGCATGGCCGTCGACTTTGGCGACAAGAAGATCACCGTAAACGCCATCGCGCCTGGTGGTATCAAGACCGATATGTATCAAGCTGTATGCCGAGAGTACATCCCCGGTGGTGACAAGCTGAGCGACGAGGACGTTGACGAGGTAAGCTTACTCCTTTTTACAATCCTTCAATCATCACCTCCTTATGCGTTGAGAGATGACTAATTCAACTCTTCAACTCCGCAGTACGCCGCCACGTGGTCGCCTCTCGGCCGTGTTGGCCTCCCCATCGATATCGCCCGCGTAGTCTGCTTCTTGGCATCCCAAGACGGCGAGTGGGTAAACGGCAAGGTCATCGGTATCGACGGCCATGCCATGATGTAAATAAGATGTTGTTGCGGTATTATTTTCCACGGAGGGTTCGATAGATGGGAGGTCGCTTTGTTGTTGCGTCGCATGTTACATATTACATATCTCCTTATAACCGGCACTCAACCGCAGGCATAGGCATATACGGCCTAGCATAACACTACTAACCATGGAAGAAGCTACTGCACATTTAATTCTCGGTGCATGTCTTCACCGAAAAGGCTGGCAGCGGTAAGGCACGGCATGTCTTGTCAGGTGGTTGGCTATTACATACATACGGTCGGATGTGAGCTAAAGGGATTTCTTAGAGCTACCGTACAGAGTGAAAAATATATATTACAACTTGACTTGACTAGGTTACCAATGTACAGTTTGATTTTGGTGTTGCTTGTTAAAGTCCTAGTCACCGTTCTTTACGTGTAGACCTACGGCCTAAAGCTTCAATAAGACTACATACGTGATGCGGGTGGCACAGCACTAAACGTGGGATGATTGCGTCTACAGTAGGTAGGTATGTATTGGGTTGCATGGGGAAATACATACATAGATGAGCAACGGAAGACGCATGCCAAAAAAAGATGATCATAGTGTGCATGTACCCTGGTGGGCAAGGGTTGTCGTATATAGATGTAGATCCATCCCAAGCCACTGCTTGTCCGGACGATCTACACGACTGTACTTAGTGTAATTCATCTTGCGCAGAACCAGGGACCCCCAGATGCTTCCTATTTCTAGGGATACTGTCTTGGCTACCTACCCCCCTGCCCCCTCTCCCCGGATGGCGGGGCGAAACCACTTTGCAGGGAAGAGTCTCATTCGTCAGAGTAAAGATATGCCGAATAGCTGCAGCACGCTCCGGTAGGGATTATACCGACGCATAGTATGAGGTAGATATTCATTGACTGAGCGCGCTTGTTGGATCTATTATCATCCCTCTGTCTAGGACTCAACTTTCTACCTACTCAGCTACTATATATTTGTCTTTTTGTAGTTGGTGAAGCGTTTCTCACCGCACGTGTACCTAATGTATACGAGATCGCGAACACATAGTACAGGTAGGTAGGTAGGTAGCAAAGTAGCTCCAAGGAAGTAGGTATGGTTATGTAGAATATTAATTAACTAGAAATAATTACAAGTAATAAGATGCGAACTGCACTGATGAACATGTTCTACATGCGGCATTGGGAGCCCTACTGAAAAATCCTTAGAGATTCTTAGCCAACCAAATAGATTCGAACTATCTACGTGGTCGGACAGTTACATGACGCGCGAGTTCAAATTCACTACTCTAGTGAATCCCGAGCGAAACATACGAGATGATTGCATATATACCTTGTATAGAAGAGAGCCGCATCATGCATCATAGCCGATGATACAAGTAAAATGTACGTATACGTATGCGGTTGTTCTTAAACTCCCCTGTCCTCTAAGGCGAATCCTGTGGACGTGCAGCAAAATAGCAAGCAGATGATCATGGTACCTACATCGTGGGACCAATCAGCTTTCATAAATAAATTCTTAGTACCTACTGTGTACCTTAGTCGCACGCAGACCCCTGCGATGACTGACCATGCAGCCCTGGTAGGTAATATACATCTACATACTTGGGACTCCTTGTTGTAGCGCGAGCGGAACAACTTCATTACTATACAGTACTTTCTAAGGCAGCTAAGAGGCAGGCTGGCGAAATACACATTGTAAAACTCAGACGAAATACACTTACTCACGATTTGATGTAGCCTGCTTATCGTTACCCTACACCAATGGAGCCTGGCCAGTCATCTTGCTATCAGTGTAGCATGTGTCATATAGTGCGTGGAGGTATGCGTGGCTTTCGGCAAAACATTGGTTTGAGGGTTGAATATAAATACCCCTTCAACGAACGAGTGTTCATCCTGATTGATCGTGCTACTCGAAAACCTCATCAAAGAAAACCTAGATTCTACACATACCTCTCTTGAGAGTAGCATATTATTCTCAATAATCTATTCTTGCAAACTCCAGAAACTACTTCTACCCACTCTCTACAAGATGACTTCCGACCAAGTTGATGTAGAAAAGACCAAGGCGAACGACACACGTACAAACATAACCATCGGCGAAAAGTGCGAGTTCAAGGCCTACAATGAGACTATCAAACACGGCCAGAATAAGACGGAGCCTGCCCCGGACCCCTTCGATGGGGACAACTCTCGTGATGAAGATCGCGCTTATGCCTTAGTTATCCGAAGGAAATATGAGGAGCACACGCCCAGCAAGACTACCTTGCAGGTTAACTCTCCGTATATCCAGAAAGCTTTCCGTGACGTGATCAAGTCATACATCGCTGTTGCGTCGGACTTCAACTCTTCCGTGGAGCTCCATGGACCATTCGAAATGCTCGCCCACTACTATGACGAGCTAGACGAATACCGCAGGTCTACAACTGACGCAATTACGCGGGAGCATTTGGATCTCCTTTTTGAGTTCATGGAACACGAAGTCAAGCCCAATCGTGACCGCGCCCTCAAAATGATCCAGAAACAGCAAATCACCTACGACAATGCGTGGTTTATATATCGCCCTGGAGATATCCTATACACTGAAGTAAGCGGCCACCCTTGGCTCCTGGTATGCAAGAAGACGGCATACGAAGATAGTAATGATACCGGTCCTTACCTCGAAGTTCATTGTACCTGCACAGATGACGACGGCGTGGTAGCGGGCCAAATATTACATGTTGCGACTTTGATGCAGAGAGCTGCATTCCCAGCAGGAAACCCTGTCTCCATTACGGAACTAGAGATCTTCCCACGCAGGTTCGTTAAGGAGGGCGACAGTCTTGAACATCGCCTTAGGGTACGTGGGGAGAAATACTTATCTCTGAAAGGCCTCTCTACTATGGCTTACGGTACGTATGAAGACATTCTTTACTCTCTCCTGCAATAGAACAGTATTTATATTCTAGAATATTATACATACTAACAGTTAAATACTTACAGATGGCGCTGCTGAATGGCTCAAGGAGCCTCCTTTCGAGTACTACGATCCTTCCCGATGCAAGTTTCGCGGTGTATGGTTGCCATATACTGAAACGGGAAGGATTGTCTTGGATCGGAAGACATACGGCGAGGAGCATCCTCTGGGTAAGCCTCATGTTAAGAAGATGGTTCCAGAGCCGATGTACTGCCCACCATACACTCTGGGCTACTCGCTTGGGCGAAAACAGTGGTGTCGGTTCTACATTGACTTTATCCGTGATGTCCAATGGGATGCGAATGCGTGGGACTCCCTAATTCTTCCCGACAAAGAGAAGCATCTACTCAGAGCTCTGATATCGTCTCACGCATATTCTAAAAAACCCCGCGACACTATGCAGCAAAAAGGCAAAGGTCTTGTTATCTTGCTTCATGGGACGCCTGGATCGGGAAAGACCCTTACGGCCGAGACGGCTGCAGAAGGGAGTAAGAAAGCGCTTGTGTCGACTTCAGTTGGGGAGCTGAACAAGGGATCAAAGTAAGTCTTACTCTATACATGCTGGGCTCCTTTTCTAACTTACATCAGTGCAATCTACGGGTCTGCCCCATTCGAGAAACAGCTCAAGAAAGTATTGCAATACGCAACGATCTGGCAAGCTGTGGTCCTTATCGACGAGGCCGACGTGTTCCTAGAAGCTAGGAAAGATACCGGGAGTTCCGAACGCAACACCTTGGTTGCTGGTGAGCGATTTCTTTTTTCCTTATTCAAATAACTTTGACATATATCTAACATCGGCGCTACAGTATTCCTCAGGGAACTCGAATATTTCGGCGGCGTCGTCTTCCTGACCACGAACCGTGTAGGCTCATTCGACATTGCGATGAAATCCAGAATCCACCTCTCCCTCAGCTATACGCCACCCGAGATTGAAGTGCGCAGACGTATCTGGTCGCATTGCCTTAAGATGGTGCCGGCGGATGCCAAGGAGACAGATATCCAAAAAGGAGTCGACTCCTTGGTGACTGCCAAGCTGAACGGGAGGGAGATCGCCAACGTCGTCAATACCGCGAGGACATTAGCAAGGTTCAATGGCGTCCCTCTCAATCGCGGCCACCTTGACACTGTGATAGAGATCCAGCAAGGATTTAATGAGAGCGTGAAGAATGAGGAGCTTCGTTGAATAAATTCAACTGCTCAGCTAGGCAACCATTATGCCTGGCCTAGCTAAACCATGCACTCACTTTATTATATTATTTATATAGCGAGATTTCGATATCGTAACAGGTAGCTACCCAATATATGGTTAACCCTCTTTAAGCTTTACTATTATATATGATATACTCAGAGCAGGAGGAAGAGATGCTAAATTAAGTGTGCCAATATTTGCCTTCCCCCTTTTTATTTTCCCCAGAGTCGCATCGGAATCCCTGTGTGATTAGTACTGCGAAGCTGTGATTGGGTTCAAGTGAACCCCTCGTCTTACCCAGGAGACATCCCAAGTAAGCAGGAAATAATGGAAAGGCATAGGTACGAAATGGTGAATAATATTCTTCTCTTCCCCTCAGTTTATTACAACAAAATCGATCAGTATTACGCACGGTAGGCAACATGAACTTAAACGTAAACTTCACGATGGACCATGTCAAGGCAATAATATCGTGGTCCAATATCCCTGTCCTACTGGGCCTGTGGATCATATACTATGCGGCCGTTGCTATATACAATATATCACCGCTACATCCTCTCTACCGATTCCCCGGTCCTAAAGTTGCTGCGATGAGCTATTTATACGAGGCCTATTTCGACTGGTGGCTGGTGGGAAGGTATGGCAGAAGAATCCGTCTGATGCATGAGAAGTATGGTAAGCTCCTGTTCTCGTATATCTACCTATTTACGCGGACCAAAGACATAGCTCATCAACAGCAGGGCCAATCGTCAGAATAAACCCCGACGAGCTTCACTGCAATGATCCGTATTTCTCAGACGATATCTACGCCGGTGGAAATCGCATCAGAGATAAGTGGCAGCATCAACTCAATACTGGTGCAGCTGGCCCCGTGTCGGTTACTGGCTTTTCCACTGTTCCGCATGAGTTGCACCGAATCCGAAAAGCGCCATTTGCAAGGTTTTTCTCGCGGCAGCAAGTGTTAAAGCTCGAAGGAGAAGTTCATGACTTTACGCAGCGCACTGTAGATAAGATGCTGCGCTTCGCTAATAAGGGACCATTTGATGTTAAGGAAGCATATAACTGCTTCACAGCCGATAGTACGTATTATATGGCCTCGCATTACCCCTTTTCTCCTGATGCCACTGTGTCAAAGTTCTTGATTAGGAGTAGCGCACCTAAATATAAATTTATTTACAGTATAAATGGTTAAGGAGATTGTATTAACTCTAGGATGTTCTAGTCATATCTCAGTACGCCTTCGGCGAGCCTATGGGCTTTGTCGATCAAGATGGTTGGGAACCCAACTTCGCGACGTGGGTCAAGTACTTCTTCAAAAGCGCATATTTGATAAGATACAATACTCCTATTAGGATGCTCGCTAGGTTTTCTCCCCTAGTAGGGAATTTCATGGGTGAGAATGTTAGGAAGATGTTGGAGTGGATGAATGTGGTCATCCCTAAATATGTCAAGGCGGCTATCGACAATCCTGAAAATGGTAGGGTGTTTGCAGACCTGATCGAATCGGATATACTGCCGGAGCACGAAAAGAGCATGTATCGTCTGTCTGGGGAAGGGTTCAATTTATTAACTGCTGGAACGGAGACTACAGCGGTCAGTTGCTCTCACAGTCTCCATCTACCATTCAACTAATCGAGTTTACAGGCAACACTCACGTATATCACGTATTACCTCCTCGCACAACCTGAGCTTTATGCCCGCTTGATGGGAGCCTTGCAGGATATCGACCCTTTCAATCTCAAGTGGATCGACTTGGAGCAACGCCCGTACCTATGGGCCGTGGTTCACGAGGCGTTGCGTCTGACACCTGGCGTTTCGCACAGATCGGCTAGAATCGCGCGGACCGAAGATTTAGTCTACAATAGCAAAGACGGCAACATACGATGGGTTATTCCCAAGGGTACGCCTATCAGTATGACTTCGGTTATCAACCATAGCAACGAAGAACTATTCCCGAATCCCGACGAGTTCATCCCCGAACGCTGGCTCGTGGACGGGCAACCGAACTATGCTTTGGAGAAGATGTTGATTTCCTTTGGAAAAGGCACCCGGTTATGTCTCGGCATTTAGTATGTCTACACCTTTAACTTTCAAGGTTGTCTAAATATTTGAACCATGATTGATACCTTACAGTTTAGCATATTGCGAGCTGTTCCTCATGACGGCTGCTTTGGCGTTTCGTGTCTTGCCTAGGGCACAGCTACACGAAACCACTATCGAGGATATAAGATACGACCATGATCTCATAGTACTCCAAACAGTTAAAGGTTCCGTTGCGGTACGCATTGTGATATCTTAACGATATACTATGGTTACTATATATGGCTAATTTTACCCATATTTTAAGTTGTTACCCTGTATCTTGCTATTTACACTCGCTCCACCAAATATTCCTTTATAGAACTTATCGGACGGTCATGAGTGCTATTAGTATCATGATAATGGTTGCATCTCCGCAGACCAAACTTGACAGAAATTAACCGCGATAGTTTAATAATATATACCTGTTATTAGATACTGATGAATGCGAATGATCTAGTGCTTATCAAATTTTACAAATTTCGATTCTACCATACAGCTTTTTGGATGACAACATAGGTACTGTTAAATTTCCAAGAGTTGAAATCTACCGGGGCAAATTTCCCTGCGCACAGTCTGGTTAGTTGAATATGACCAGTAATATAATACAACACCGTTCGGATCCACGAATCAGCTTGATATTTGGAACCACCTTTGCAGCTCGCCTACTTGGAGCTGAGGGGTAGTTTTTGTTTTCACGATTATATTGGTAAATACTACAAGCACTTCCATAGCCCGATATATTTATAATCACACCTAAGTAGACTACCTAGGTAAGTATGGGCATGCTCTAAAAGAAATGCTACCCCCCATATACTGTGTAGTAACTCATGCTTATGTTTGAGTAGGTATTCCTCTGCGTTAGGTATGTTGGATCCTAACAGCTATGCCGTTGGATGGATATGCGCTGTCGGAAAAGAGCTTGTCGCAGCACAAGCATTTCTTGATGAAAAATATGATGCTCCGGATGACGTGCCTGTCAATGACAACAACACTTATACGTTGGGCCGAATGGGAAAACATAAGGTTGTCATTGCGGCGATGCCACATCGGCAACAGGGACTCGTTAGTGCTGCGATCGTTGCCAGAGATATGGTACGCAGTTTTCCTAGCATCCGCCTCGGCCTGATGGTAGGCGTTGGCGGGGGCGCACCGAGTTCTAAGCGCGATATTCGTCTGGGAGATGTCGTTGTAAGCTCTCCCGGCGCTGGGAATGGCGGTGTATTTCAGTACGACTATGGGAAAACAATTCGGTACGTATAAAAAGAAATTCAAGTTGCCGTCTCAAAACTCCTCTTTCTAGGTAGTAGTTCCTAAAATGGCTAACGCTGAGTAGTAAGTGCTATAGCCCTATCGTTCTCACCCAGTCCGGGCATGGCGCTCTGCTTATATGCCTAATAGTAAGGTTGCAAAGCTAACATGGGATATTCCAATATACTAGAGGGGCAAAGGTTCACGGTTACAGGTCATCTGAACCAACCGCCGCTATTTATGCTAACGGCAATAGCTGCACTCCAAGCTGATTATACGATTGAAGGCCATACCATCCAAAAGAGGATTAATAGTATCATCCAGGAACAGCCTCAATTACGGGAGGCATACAAACGGCCGAGTATAACCACCGATAGACTATACAAATCAAACTTCAAGCATCAAGACGGAGACGAGGCAACCTGCGAAATGGTCTGTGGTAATGATGAATCAAACTTGGTACCACGAATCGAGCGAACGGAGGATCAAGACAGTCCTGCAATCCACTACGGTCTCATCGCTTCCGCGAATCAATTAATGAAAAACGCATTGGTTCGGGACGAGCTCTCAAAAGAGAAGGGGGTGCTATGCTTTGAGACGGCAGCCGCAGGGCTCATGAATCACTTTCCCTGCGTGGTCATTCGTGGTATATGTGACTACGCAGACACGCATAACAATTCGGCATGGCAAGGCTACTCAGCGATGACGGCAGCTGCATACGCGAAGGATCTCCTGAGTAAAGTTGCACCGAATAAAGTAGAAGCTGAGAGGAGGCTAGGTGAGGTTTTGCCTGAGGGTTACCTAGTGGCTTTATTTAATGATGCCGTGTCTTCCTATATGCAAAAGATAAGTTAGGTAGTAACAATTTCATAGTTGAGGATACATTAGCGAGTAAATAGATAAATGCTTCTCACAAGAAAGACGGTCATCAATATTACTATGAAACACATTTTACACAACTCCTTCGCAGCATACCGTTCTTAACTATAATATATCTCGTCAAAACTCCCCTTATTTCTTCTACACCTCGCATCCGCTTCCACACTTCACTTCCCCGTATCCTGCGGCCACTCATCCAACACAACCGGCTCGCCCTCCAGCGTAAAATTCCAAGCCGCCTGCGTCGGCACATCCACCAGTAAGCTATACTCCCCAGGGTACAGCACCAAATTCCCATCCTCATCGCGGCGCGCCAGGCTTCCGAGCGTTAGTGTTAGATTTGCGGTCTGCTTCTCGCCAGCCGCGATATCGTGCAGCCGTTTGTACGCTACGAGGCGCTTGATAGGATACGGCTCGGGCCCGTGCGTGCCGGAAATGAAGCCCAGAACGACGAAGTCAGATGTCGTGGCGCCGGTGTTGGACACCGTTACGGGGATGGTCTGGAATGGGGCTTGGTCTTTGTGCGCTGTGGTGGCGAGGGTGCTTGTTAGGCCTGCGATGGCCCACGCATCATCCTCGTCTTCGGGCGCGGTTATAGAGGCAGTGAAGTTCGTGTAGTGAAGGCCAAAGCCGAATGGTACGGTTGCTTTATCATACCACATATATGTGCGCCCGGGATTGCCAGTCTCTGGATTGGGTCGAAGATTCATGTCTGTCATGGGTACGTCGTCGACGTAATGCGCCGGGTACTGCGTTACGGGTAACCGGCCGGCGGGAGCAACTTTGCCTGTCAACACGTTTAAGATAGCGTCGCCGCCGGATTGGCCTGGGTAACCGCCCCAGAGAATTGCGGAGACGTTGGGATGGTTGATGAAGGGTGCATCGTCGCGCTGGCCACCCATCTGCACGAGGACAAATGGCTTGCCTAGACTGGCTAGTTGCGTCATGATATCGATCTTCTCGCCAGACCAGCGGATAAGTGTGCGGTCTTTACTTTCAGCCTCGCTCGCTGTTGTTGGCCCATCCGTGTAGATGATGACATCTGCATCTGCTGCAGCCTCTAGAGCTCGCGGATAGCCATCAGTTGTTGGGTCACCCGGAATGCCTGCGTATACGGCATTGATGTTCGGCGCTTGGCTAGCTGCGTAATATGGCGAGTGTAGATATTTGGCAATACCTTGATAATTGCCTTGCATATCTGTCGTCGCATTCGCCCAGTCTCCGATAAAAACAGCAGTGAGATTACTCTCAGTAGATATCTGGAGGGGAAGGATCCCGTCATTCTTGATCAGCACAATACCCTCTTCTGCGGCTTTCCGAGCAAGGTTTTCGGCTTCAGGGGTAAACACATCAGAGAAGCCAAGAGAACGATATTCGTTAGAGTCCTCCGGATCGAAGTAACCTAGTTTGATAAGCGACGCGTATAGTCGCGTAATAGATAGGTCAAGGACGGTATCATTAATAAGACCTTGTTCGTAAGCCGTGGGTAAATGTATTTGATAATAGGTGCCGCAGTTGAGATCAGTCCCCGCTAAGAGGGAGCTGGCAGCAGATGCCTCACGAGTATCCCGCCAATTGTGTGGCTTGTAAACATTTTGAAGAGCATCGCAGTCCGAGACGACGTATTGGTAGTCGCGTGTCCAGTTCCAGTGATCCCTAAGGATGTCTTGGAGAATATACGAACTCGAACAAGTTGGAACGCCATTCAGAGCATTATACGAGCACATGATAGAACCGACATTTACGCGAGTACAAGCCTCAAACGGAGGCATGTAATACTCGGCTAATTCTTGGGGAGTGACAATTGCGTCAAATTCATAGCGCTCATTCCCCAGCCAGTCTTCAATATCATATGCGGAGAAATGCTATTACATGGTACGAATTAGAGTCATTCTGATAACCTCTCCGAGGGATTTTAATCCGTGAGAACCTACCTTGCAAGTTGCTATCACTTTGAGAGTGTCGGGATCCTCTCCGCCTTGGAGACCTTTTACTAGAGCGGTCACGTAAGAGCTCAGATGATAGGGGTCCTCGCCGGGCGTCTCTTGGCCACGTCCCCATCGAGGGTCACGATATGGGTTGATATTGGGAGTCTGTGTCCTGTAAGTTAGCATGTACTATTTTGAAAGGACCTGCACGGGGATTATTGGTGACGGATTTCACTCTCGACTTAATACGCTCACAATTGGTGAAACGAGTTGGTCAGTGCGCGGAATAGGGGTAAAGGGGTAAGAAGCTGTGAAAGTATCCATACCCAGTAGTCCAATCCTGACCGATTGAAGTTGTTGAATGCCCGGGCTTCGGTACTGACGACAGTTGCCACGGCTTCGATAAGCTCATCATCAAATGCAGCACCCATGAGAATTGGCTGCGGGAAGGATGTTGCATAGGAAAAGTCACCGGAATCTGAGAATTTAACTCCTGGCGAGGACGCCACCCCATGGAGAGCCTCCTCTAGAATAGTGTTAGTAAGTATTTTCGTGATAGAAACTTGTACTGAAGGGAATAATACGTACGCCACCATTCATAGCTGGGTAGTCCTAGTCTCTCAACTCCGGGCGATGTGCTGACTAATAGATCATACTTCTCCTCGGTTTTGAGGGCCGCAACCAGAGCTTTGGCTCGTTCTCCAACGGAGAGTGCCTTGTTGCAAACATCATTGGAAGCTAGGGGTCCGTTTCCACAGTCTGGGAAGATGTGCCCGACAGCTAAAACCCCCGAGCTCATAAGCCATATGGCTGACCCTAATAAATGTGCCATATTTAATTCTTGAAGGACTTCAAGACACTTTGGAAACTCATATAATAGCTTATAATAGTTACCATGCTAGCTTTTATAGCTTCAGATCCCCCAACCTGCGGAGTAGTGTAGCAGCTCGTCTCCTCCCGTTCCCCGCATCAATGATGCATCGATGCTGCAGAATAGCCTGGGTAACTCCAACTCGTACCCACGCACGTTCCAATTGAGCGATGGAAAAATCCTGGAGGTGTTCATTACGGAGGCGCATCGGATCAACGGTAGACGACGTGAGTGCCTTGGTTGAGCCGGGAGACGACATGCCGGGATGGATCCGCAGATTAAGTATTTCCCCGATCTCCAGGTCCAAGCACATATCCTACTCTAGAGTCGTCGTTTGGGAGTAGATACGGATGCAATATTACGTCACCCATTAAGACGGGTTTCCTTTAATGGTGATGCCGGCTGCGATTGCGTACCGAAAAGCTTGGAAAAGAGAACGACGATAGTTCCAGTTAAGCAAATTTTACGAAATCAGATTTTAACTGATCAACGTAATATCTTTACTTGGCGAAATGATCAGGACGAAGAAACACACCCTGCAATGGAAATGGTGGTAGCTCATGTCACACTGGGCAGCTACCGAGAGAAGATCCCGAGTAACCGAGGATACCTGTCATACTGAAATACCTCAAGCATTGTCGTGCTAGCAGGTACCGAGCCTTGGTATGACTTTTCCCGCAAGTTAAGACCCACGACGAAGACAACATAATGTTGAAATATTCCTACCGATATTTAGATACTATAAGATCGTAACGTTACTCTGGTGGCCGTAGAGTTCGACAATCCCGCAGGTGCAAGCCACGCTACAGTCCCCGATATGCTTCCGTATGCGTTTCCGAATATCCTTGGGAACGCCGACAAACGGCCTCGAGGTAGAGAAAGCCCATATTGATGGCCAGGGTAGATCCCCAAGAGTGGGGAGCTGTTCAAGGTCTTTCTCTAGTTGCTTAATGAAAACTGAGTTGCAGGTCAGCGTGGTGAGACCGCTTGCCCAGCCGTAGGAAAAGACGGATCTTCCAGGGTTTAACACGCCATCAAGCTTCTTCTTTATCAATTCAGTGAAGCGGGCCTGGCAGTCATTCTCATTCATATCGACGATATCAATGGGGAACTGCAAACTCGATGGGACTTCGTGAATCGACAGCGACTGTAACTCTTTGACCCGCTGTACTTGGGATTTCTCAGCGTCAGGACCAAGTATCAAATAGGCGCGTGCCTTTTCAGACTCGGTAGCTAACGTGTTCACAATATGGAAGAAGGTTTCGGCTGCTTCCCGTGTGCACACAAGCTTATGATTACCTATCATGGGATATACCAATGAAAGCATCGACTGCTCGCTTTCTAAGTCAGCATGATCGTTGTGTGAATGACTAAACCATGGCTGTTTGGTGACTCTGGTATGAGAAAAGTCGGACGCGAGAGCGACAAGGAGGGAGGTATCAATGTTCAAGACTTCGGTAAAATTGGCTTTTGGGCTCGGAGCCATTATGTGAAGGAGACTATCTGAGAGAGGTGGAGCTGGCGGTAAGGCATCACTACAGAGTGTATTGACGCCCAGCTGCCGACAAGCCTCGAGGACTTTATCAACTTCAGGACTTTCGCCTTCTTTTATGCGTGGTAGAATGAGGAAAGTACTTGGATTCTTCGTTTGAATGCGATGTCCCTTGGCTGTATCAGCTAGATTCCTAGCTAGCTTCACGAGCGGGATATCCGTGTAGTCCTGAACTACACCAGTATTACTATCCTCGTCATCGTCGCTATCTCCACAGAATATTGCTTCCTTTGCTAGATCAAACAGTAATCTTTTATTAGTCATTGACGAAACTTTATACCACGAATGGCCGCCATCTGCGATTACATCAATGATAAAACTGCCTGACCGGAAGGGCTGTGATTCGCCTTGGGTTCGAACAATACGTGTTCCAGGAGCCAAAATAGGTTTCTTAAATGGACCAGTAGATACAGCACATCGCAGCCTCACCACATCTCGGGATCTTTTGGCGGTATCCCAGACGGGCTCGAGGAAGGGGAGATTGGTAGATTGCGCGCGGTGTGATGCCAGAGGATCCGATGATTTGACATCGCGGAAGGCCCTCTCCAAGCTCTCAACCTCGGCCCGGAGCTCGCTGGTAAATGATGTATGCACATATGTTGGCATATGTTGGAAGTAATCGCTGTATACTTCTGCGAGGTGATCCGCAAAATGTTGAAGCTCGGACTGCAGTAACTCGGCGCGTTTGAGCAAACCCTCACTAAGGGATAGCTTAGCGGCAGCGTCCCGTGCGACATCATCGGAAGGATGATGAACTACCGAAGGGGACATGATTGTAAGTTTCGTCCGGTGAAGAATAAGTAACGCAAGACAGAAAATTATTTTGACCCAATCACGAAGTTAACAATTTGTCAAAGAACATGACTGAATATGGTTAGACAAATAATATATTGTACATAACTACCGGTTCTAAAGTTGGTCTTTTCTAAATCTCGTTAGCTCGTTAGTTAGGTGCAATGCCATTCTATTATCACCACGTGACCTAATTATGATGACCCTATCTCGAAAGGGTAGCTGCGGTGTTAAGAAGCATCATCGTGGTTTAGCCACTAATAATAATCACCATAAATAAAGTGACATTGGTAACAATACTGTATGCCATACACTAGTGTAGTTGTACTATGTAGGTGATCCAAAGGAAGCTCGTCTTGATGCAGCAAGATGAATTGTCAACGCAGACAACACGGTTACCCTCTCAAATCGTAGCCGTGGAGAGGCGGTGTGAAGATCACGCAGATCTTGGACGATCTGTCTCGATTCAATATGACCATAAAACAGTAACTAATATATACCAAACATCTTTATAGGCTATCTATTGACATAGGTACTAAATGATCATATAGTTATAAGGTGGAGGCCATTAGAAAGTTGTTTGGAATGTGAGTTGATGAATATCGATTTCATGTAGCTGATGGGAATCATCTCTTGGCAGGACCAACAGGGGGGGATTGAGGGGGAGTGGGGTGACGTGCATTAGGCGCGTTATGAGGGGCATTATATATATAGGAGGGGCATTGGAGCATTTAATTCTCTTTTTGCGTGCTTCATTAAGGTCCCTTAGTCAGCTATACTACCCTATCAGCTCGAAGGATCTACATCTAGGGTAAGTTCAGGGGTCCTTCTTTACTAGTCGAATGGGAATTAAGGGGGGTGATTTACCGGCGACAGGCACGTCCACGTACGTAATGGAGGGTAAATGGTAGGACATAATTTAGATATCCTGACTTTATATGACACATTTACCACATTTACTTCTCCTTGCCAAATAAGTTCAAATTTCTTCGTCTCCCCTCAAAAAGAAAAAAAAAACTTCTATGTATTAGGGAGCCTCAGTCAACTACCTCTTTACTTTTTACCTCGTCAATTGGACTTAGACTTTCAACGGTCAAAGCCAATTCTGACTAGAATAAGTCGATATTGAAATACTACCTAATATCGATCCATCATCAAATCATCTACTCCTCCATAGCTATCAATCATGGCGAGTAAAGAGATGTATGAGGCCACATCAAGTCTTGCCTACGTGTAATAACTGGGATGTGCTAATGAATTACTACAAGTGATGTCGATGTTCTCGTCATCGGCGCAGGTCCTACAGGTTTGGGTGCTGCGAAGCGTCTCCAGCAAACCGTAAAGTCACTTATACCATCATATCGGACAGACTCATCCTAACGGGTTAATTGCAGAATCAGGCGTCATGGCTGATTGTTGATTCCAATGAGACCCCGGGTGGTCTCGCATCTACGGACGTGACCCCCGAGGGATTCGTGAGTGCTTGTTATCTTCGCTGTTAATTGATAGACTGCTCATGAAGTGACTTCCTATGTAGTTATTCGATGTCGGTGGCCACGTTATCTTCTCGCATTACAAGTACTTCGACGACTGCATCGATGAGGCTCTACCTAAAGAATCTGATTGGTATACTCACCAGGTCAGTGCCCAGCCTCATTGACCCTTACTTCTCCCAAAGACACGATAAGTTACCAATCCCTTATCCACTTAAGAGATAGACCAACCACGCACCAAATCAAGACTTGCCAAGTAGATCAACTTCTAAAGATTAAGTGTGAATCATAGAGAGTCAGTTATGTCCGCTTCCGAGGAGGTTGGGTGCCTTACCCATTCCAGAACAATATCGCTGTCTTAGATCAGGAGGAGAAAGTGAGATGTCTAGAAGACCTTATCGATGCTGCCCTCGAATCCCGAGTTCGGTCCCCATCCGACAAGCCCAAAAACTTCGATGAGTGGAATATTAGAAATGTAGGAAATCGTCTAAACGAGATCTTCAGTAAGTAGTAGCATGGAGTTATTCTACCCCTTTTACTCTACGCCGGGACTTATTTTGAGTTACCCGATGTCGTTGGACTAAGGCGTGGTTCTGAACTATAAAGCTCCTGCCACCCGATACTTGATGAAGGATTGCTGACTTTGGATATTTAAGTGCGTCCATACAACTTCAGAGTTTGGGCTGTGCCTACCACTAAGGTATGCATATATGTTGGTATCATTAGGTTCTCTACTAATCGTGCTTGTCTTATTCAGATGAACGCAACATGGGTTGGAGAACGTGTCGCGGCTCCTGATGTGAAATTACTCACCCGTAATGTTGTTCTCAACAAGGTAGCTGGAAATTGGGGCCCGAATGCTACATTCCGCTTCCCAGCCAATGGTGGTACAGGCGGCATTTGGATTGCGGTAGCAAAGACCCTCGACGAAAAGAACACACGATTTGGTGCTCACGGTACTGTGACTAAAGTAGATGCTGACGCGAAGAAGGTTCACTTAAAAGATGGTCAGCTCTTTACCCTGTTCGGGATTGTGTTGGAAACAAATGGCTAATACATTAAGGACCACAGGCACGGTAGTCAACTACAGCTCGCTTATCTCCACTATGGCTGTCGATCATCTTGCCGAGTCTTTGGGTGACGTAAAACTCCAGCAGACTCTCAAGCCGCTATTCTACTCGTCTACCAACGTGATTGGCGTCGGTATCCGTGGAGAACGTCCTCCACGCATTGGTGACAAATGCTGGGTGCGTCTTATGTAACCTCATATTCCATAAAGCTTCATGGCAACTAACTACGAGACATCAAAATAGTTATATTTCGTTGAGGATAATTGCCCTTTCTACCGCGCTACCATTTTCTCCAATTACTCACCCTTCAACCAGCCGGGTAAGGATGTTAAGCTTCCAACCAAGCAGCTCGCCAATGGGAAGAAGCCTGCGTCGTCAGATGCACAGCCTGGACCTTACTGGTCTATCATGCTTGAAGTCTCCGAGTCTTCATACAAGCCAGTCAACCACGAGACGCTACTCGAGGACTCTATTCAGGGGCTCATTAACACCAACCTGTTAGAGCCGGAAGACGAGATTGTTAGTACGTATGTGCGTCGCTTCGACCACGGGTACCCCACCCCTAGTTTAGAGCGCAATGGCGTCTTAGCAGAAGCTCTTCCGTACCTCCAAGGAAAGGATATCCTTTCCAGAGGCCGGTTTGGAGCCTGGAAGTACGAGGTTGGCAACCAAGATCACAGGTGAGTCCACCGGTATATTCCGAGCCCACTGTCGTGTACTAACTTTTCAATACAGTTTCATGCAAGGTGTTGAAGCAGTTGACCACATTCTCTCGGGAGGTGTTGAACTGACATTGAATAATCCCGACTTTGTCAACTCCCGTGCTAACACGGAGCGTCGCCTTACTAGCCGAAAGTAAGGGATGGCTAGTTGAGATACTTACCTCGTAAGGTAGTCCAGGAAAAGAGGCAATCCCTAAAACGATGCGATAAAAGAGACGCTTTTCGTTCGATTCGATTCGATCATATTTTCCTATCTAGATATGTCTAGACTAGACCGCTAGAAGACCGGCACCCTCTATATCGCTTAATGTATCGCTGGCGACTAGATGAGTACATTTCCAAGACCTGTTCAGAAGATCTTCTGAAATAGAAAATAAACCATTTGTAACCAATATTATGTTCCCGTACGTTGATACTAACGCCTGTTTGGGAGAAAAAAGGCCGAAGCCTGTTAGCAAGCCCATAGCCCTAATGAAAATGACGTACAGTTCGTAGCCCGCTTGGGTTGGTTTGTCGGCGCGTGAGTACACGACGATAATTTAATTCAATGTCGGAAAATCCTTGCTATAGATGAGTCTAGCGGGCTCGTGCGTTTAGACGATCAGAGTTAAAGCATCAACCCGCAACCAAATTCCCCGTGGCATCATGGGCACTTGCAGAGAACTAGGACTCTAGAGAAGAATATTGATGTAACTCAGAAGTCCAGAAGCTTAGGTACCTAACATATTCCATAAGTCATAACGATTCTGTATTGATACCGAGTATGATAGTACTAAGTCTGTAGGTGTAAGACAATACTATTGAATTTATAGGGGTGCGTACCTTTCTGACCTCGACAAATCAGGAACCGGTCACTAGATGATACACACGTACTCCTTAATGTGTGTAGTTTACTTGAAACCATCATTCAATACAACATGAAAATTGTGAGTCTTGATAGTTATTATTACGTTAATAATCATCTCATCTAACCCTACCAAGGCTGTTTGCTACTTAAGGCTAATGCTACCTCAAATATGTGAATATTCATGTAAGTCACCGCATACAACTTACTATTCAATGATGTAGGTAGGTACCTATATATACCTGCTCTTTACCACCCATCCTAGATACACAACTATGATGCAAGTTACCCGCAAAAGAGGATATCAATTTTTATTTAATTAATTACTATCAGTACATCCACCAAATCCTATCCGTTCACCCCGGCTATCAACTCAACAAACTGTCCGGAATAGTCGGGAACATGCCGCTGAAGATCATCATCTGCGGTAGCGGCATCGGAGGGCTTTCAGCTGCCGGATACCTCCGCGCCAAGCATCACGTCACGATCCTCGAGCGCGGCACGCTCGACTTCACAGTAAACGACTATGGAATGTCAATTGTCTCCAATGCCTTCAATCTCCTGCAAAGAGCTGGTATCAATCCACAGAATCTTGACATGGTCGTCCCGACCCACGTCTGGAGGAGAACCCCTAATAATGAAGAGGGGAAGACAAGCCACTTCGATACGAGGGCGAGATTTAAAGGGGCTCCCTCCGTCCTGGTTAAGCGAGCCAAGCTCCAAGGAGAGTTGATGCGATTCGCAACTAGTCCCGAGTTTGCCGGTGCGCCAGCTGAAGTTATTCAGAATGCGAAGGTAACTAAAGTCGATACCGCCGCCGGGAAAGTATGGACCGAAGATGGAAGGCTCTTCGAGGGCGATTTGATTATCGGCGCCGACGGTATCAACTCGGTCGTTCGCGCCGCCATCCTCGGAGATCAAGACATCTCGGCGTCCGTCAAAACTTACGATTCTTTAGCGTTTATGACACAGCTATCCATCGAAGATATCCGGTCGGACCCTAGCTTTGATTACCTGTCTGACCCCGCAACCCAAGCTGGCCTCGCCAGCGCGCAGGCGAGCTCGGGTCCTCAAGTGAACAAGCACATCATCGCTTATCACACCTCGCTAAATTCCCTACAAGTCTTCGGCTACACCTCTGAGAAGGAATTCTCCGAGCAGTTCGACTCCGCCAAGACAGCCATCATCAAAGACGTCCCCGCATCCAGGGTAATCGAGGAATTCGCACCGGAGTTCGGTGAAGGATTCATCAACCTCTTCCGGCATAATACCAAAATTGACGCGTGGAGAATCCGCGACGTAGCCGCCATGGACAACTGGTTTTCCGGCAAGGCGTTGCTGATTGGAGACGCCGCGCACGCGGTAACTCCGCTCGCCGGGCAAGGATCCAATATGACCATCGAAGACGCCGAAGCGTTAGGTTACCTTCTCCGGGACGTGGACTCGCCCGATGCCATTCCAGATATCTTGCGGAAATTCATGTCGTTGCGCAAGGATCGTGTCGATCTCGTTAGACGCCGCTCACATGAGATAGGAGGCATCCAGGAGGAAGGGCACGAAGGCAGGAAGCGAATCAGCCCGGAGGAATTTGCGCGCAAGATTGATACGTATCAGGGGGTTGAGCAAGCGTTGAACGGACCGAAGCACCCAGGTAGGGGCAGACACCCTAAATAACTTTGATGCGCGGAAGTTAAGACAGGTATCGGATACCTCTTATATAGCATAGGCACCGGTGGGCCTTATTCCACCCCTCATAATTTATGCTATATCGTCTACTATAAGTATTTCAAAATGCTTGTTAAAGAATAAGGCTACCATCCATCCCCAAATGTACGCCCATACCGTGAAGCCAAAACGCAGCAGACCGCCAGAACAAACAATACCTCCTATACTGTAGACTTGAATGCCCGCTTCAATACATCGGGAACGAAGCTTTCCGACTCTTCCCGTCGCTGAGCCTATTTTGAGCTTTTTGTAAACCGTTTAGGCCAGACATAGACCGTGTGGTCAATATCTTAAGCTACATCCCCTAAGGATCTTTAGTGTCCTCGTAAGTTTTATGGCTCCGTATTGTCCTGATATTGCACCGACTTAGATAAATACGCTGAAGTGTACGAATGATATGGTGCGGCACGTTTCGCAATCCGTTTTTCCCCTTAGAAGGATGAAGATTCTATCGTGGAATACTTACTTTTTCCCAATCTACTATTTTCTACTTTCGTATGCAGTACCTCCCCAGTATCCGTCGTGCTTTGCATAGAAACAGGGTGTATCGTCCGAGCTTTGTTGAAGTACCATGGTGGATTGGTGAATAGGGGTTAAAGGGGTGAGCTGATCCGTATCCCTCCGAGTAGAAGATGGAAGGTGTAAATGTTTCAAGTGTTTATAGTAGTATTTATTGCCGGAATAATATATCAAGGGTACTTCCCGAAGGTTTTTAAACTCTCTTGGCGATGAAACCGTTTCAATTGTATCTGATTTTTCTCGCCTAGATTGAAATTCAGAACGTTGCCGCTTCTTATCGGACAAAGCAAGCCAGAATGAGCGTAGGCCCGGTGCGCAGCCGACGATAGCTGTGCCGAAAATCTCCGTATATCTATGGGCGTTTCAAGATTAATACAACCTATAACTAGCCGAAATAAAGGTAGTTTTGCGGACTCACGATGTGATCGCGATATTTCCATCGTTCCATAAGGGGTCATCACCGTATCGTACGATGATTCTATACGCCAGTCCGGTAACGCTAGTAGCAACCACGCTTTTATGGCGTTAGCAGATATACCAGAATTGGCGTGAAGAGTACATGAAATAGTCCTACAGAAAACCAATGAGGAATACAATTATCAAGTTCCTCTTCTTATCTCGGTCGATAATAAGCCTGGAGGTGATACAGATTGGTATTATGACCACAGTTATGTCGAATATTACCGCAAATACGCCTAAGGTGATGGTCTGAGGTCCAGCAGATGTGGCACACGTAGCGACGAAGGCAGCATTCCAGTGCTCGTTAGGAATCGGCAGGCAAACAACCAACATGGATATGAGAGGGGAAATGGAGAAAATAACGACAGCTACTATGAGCACATAGGAGGTGTGGCGAAGCCATTTTAGAGAACCGAATACCCGAATAAAAAACGCCGGGATGGAAAGTTTCACGAAGGCGTGTGCGATCATGTTCAGGATCTCACCGGCGAAATGAAGCTAAATAATGTTAGACGAGATATTCGAATAATAATAAGGACTCCTGTTTGATCTCACTTCGAAGACTCGAAAGGTGATGGCGCTGACGGGTACGTCCCATGTGTGTTTAAACAGCCCTGTCTTCGCTTGAACTACGTTTTACTGGTCAGACTATTGCGATTAGAACGATACGATATCGACAGGAGGCGTACACTTATATAGTATAACCCAGTAGGCGATTCCAAAGGCTTCTCCTAGTACACATAAAACTTAATAGGATCATCTCAATGTTAGCGGCGGCCTGTATTCTAATTATTCGGTAAGTTGAAGGGGGGGTATGAGATACTCACAGTCGTCAAGATGCAGCTTTCTGCTGTGTTTAAGCGACATTCCCAGACGTATAATGATTAGAATCGTGCTAATTGGTATAAACACGAATCCCGTCGCCAGGACTACCCACTGAAGTGTAGCCCCTCCTTCGAAGTTAGGAGGGTCTCCATTTGGATTGCCGGCGAGGGGGATACTTGATGGGTCTGATCCTGGTAAAGCCTGAAGAAGACTCATCGCGCCGAGATGTTCACATAGTTAGGTAGTTGATTAAGATATGAACTTCGAGAGTCCTAGAGGCAGGAAATATGCTTAGGTATGTATATGAGGGAAGAAAACATTTACCTACAGATGCGATAAGGGGAAACTCATCTATGGCAACCTCCCACAAGGGTCTGTATAAACGAAACAGACTAGGAGAGCATACGTAGGAGTGTGATAACACCACCAAGGCTTAAAATAGACATGTAGGTCGTGCTAATGTTGGTGAGTATTCAGCTGCTGCAAGTTATTAGGGCTTCTTATCTCCGAGGCGTTGAATCCTCACCTTTTTGGGAAATTTTCCTCGAGTACGACATGGCGTTGCACTGCGCTTCTGCGGCGAAGAATGAAACTCTACCTTAAACAGTCGGAAATGTAGCATTCTATTGGACCAAAGATCTCGAAACAGCGATTTTACTACGTAGCAAATTTTAAATAATCGACGTTAGGCTTTCTTATACCGAATATGCAGCCCTAGGGGCAGAGCGGATGACGGAGCATACCGAAGTTCACAGCGCAAACGGATCTTCGTAACCCCACGGGTGTAGATACCGAGAATCGGGACGTGCGCCTAAAGGGGCGTGAAGGATTGACAATTCACGAGACCGTTAAGCTTCTTGTCTAAACGTGTATATTGGAGAAATATATAAACCGAAGTGAAATGTTCTCTAATTAACCCCCTATCCTGCTAAACGGAATCCAGCAATCCAGTCCAAAGCTATCACACAAGCAACCATGAACCAACCCATCAAGAAGACGATACGACATCCTGGAACCAATCAAGAATCACCTGATCACTCAACACAGCCGCTCCCAACGAGCAATGCTCCCCCGCCCCATCCACCGACTCAAACAGATGATACGTAGCAAGATCTCCCAGCTTATCCGCAAGTATCTTCGCCTGCCCCGTAAAGAACATATCGTGCTGCGCCTCGGCAACAAACACAGGCGCAGTAATATTCTGCACAACCCCGTCTAGCGTATACTTATCGACCTTGCTCGCCCACGCGAACGGGCTCGTCTCCTTGAACGCCCAGAGGCCCTGCTCGATGCCCCAGCGCGCGGACGTCGGCACGCCCGTGGGCCGCGCCAGCAGCGCGAAGATGTTCGCGTCGAACGCGGTCGCGTTGCCCGCGCGGAACAGCGCTTCCATCTTGGGCCCGAACTGGTCGAACATAGCCCGCGCGAAGGAGTACAGGCCGTCGAAGGCGATGACGGCCGCGAGACGGTGCTCGAAGGCTGCGGCGCGGGGCGCCAGGTAGCCGCCGAAGGAGAGGCCCAGCAGGCCGATTTTCTCGCCGTCGACGTCGCTGCGCGAAATCGCGTAGTCGACTACGGGCGACACGACCTCCTCCCACTCCGGGATGAAGCCGATGTTCTGCTCGCGGCGCACGGTAGGCTGTCCGGGCCCCTCGAACGAGATCACGTTGATGCCGCGCTGGAGGGCCGCCTCCCCGATCGAGTGGTACATTTCCTCCTGCGAGCCGTCGTAGCCGCTGCACATGAGAAGCGTCGGGCGGGGGCCCGGCTGGCCGCTGCCGAAGAAGATAGCCGGGATCTGGAAGCCCTTGCCCTGCAGCGTGACGCGCTCGCCGGGAACCGGAAGTAGCGAAATCGCCTTGTCGAAAGCTGCGAGCTGTTTGGTCCAGAGCGTGTTGATCCGGGAGTCGTTCCAGTTGCCGTGGAGGAAGAAGTCGGCTGAGCGGTAGTAGGTCGCTTCTCGGAAGAGTGCGTTCCTCGCCGAAACAGGATACCGATTTGAGTCGATTGCACTCGCTTGGTTGTGAACCCTATCAGCGAGGCTGTGGAAGGCGTTGTAGTAGCTTTCGAAATCTCCCGCTACAATATGGTTTGCAGCAACTAAGACTTCGCCCACATCTGAGCCCTGGTAAGGTGCAAGAGCTAAAGCCCGGAGAATCTCAAAGTGGAAGTCCTCATCAGAACTTAGCTGAAGCATAGAACCTGGATCCGAGTTGTTGCTTCGCTTGGCTGGCTGAGATATGTGAACTTTCTTTCCCACGTGTGGAAGCCCCTAGTGTCCGTATGTTAGTTTCAAGAAGACGGCTTCAGGGTTCCGTCGGGGGTTGTTTATGTACTTACAAAGACAAAACTTGAGCAAGCGAGAAATAACAACGGTATGCTTACGGATTTCATGGTGAAAACTCGTGTGGAAGTAGATACCGAATAGAAGGCTTGATAAATTGCCTTGCCTGTAGCAGTCAGAAGCAGTTGTTGGTTTCGAGAACTTGTTCCCTTCGTAGGACAAGCTCGTTGCTATATATACTACATTTTGATTATTATTGATATTTTTGTCAACCATTCAGCCCTAACTATAGCCTTTTGATGCTCGTCATAGTTGGAGGCGCAGGCATACAATGCCCATGGAACGAACATTCAGATTGTTTGGTAGATCTAAGTATTGATTGACGACGACGAGGTTTTAGTGGAGTGAGCGAAAGCGAGAACGAGGACGAGAACGATGCGCTAAAATTGCTTGGTGATGGTCCCACGTAATACGGATCCGTATGTACTGCGCCATTAGCAACTTGGCGACATTACATCACCCCCAGGTTGTTAAAGGATTCAATCTGTAAGCTTAAATTAATGAGGACGCCCATGAATACTAGATTTCTTTGTTTTCTATAGCTTCCAGTGGCCAGGCGAGTAGACCTTGCCATACGTCAGGCAGTACGCCAGCGATCGCGCGGAGCTCATCAGCTCCTACATTGGCAACCCACCAGATGTTCTCAAACCTCGTGAGCAGCGCGAAGTAGTGAGCGAGTATGACTAAAGACCTTGGAGATCCTTCCTGGACTAGTTCGACGAATCGTCGTCCCACCAGCATAGGAAACATGATTAACATTCTTAAGACGGTACATGACAGTCCTTGCTCGTCTATTAGGTCAAGGATAGTGCACATGTAAGTGAGTGTACGCTGATAGGTAACTTGGATTTCTTCATCCCAAGGTTCGATAGCTCGAATCTCCTCGGGGCGGTCCATCAAATGTTGCCATCTGTGGTAATCCCCTACGACAAATAATTTTCCGTCATTGTGTATACTGCGAGTATCCTTAATTAATTGAAAGATTGGCGACTGAGGATCTGGTCCCATTCGCTTGAATACCTCGACGAATGTTGACGTAGAAGCCTGTATTAAAGCGAGCCATTGCCATGGCGGCGTGTAAGGTTGATAACTTCGACCTTCGAGCTGGAGGAGTGCGACAGCCCTTATCAAACAAGATGTTAAGCAGACCGCATCCGCCGTTTGTTTGTTAACATTTGATAGCTCTCTATGGTGTTCCCGAACGGCCATGGAGTAGTATATATTGGCAGCGTTCTCGGCGCCGCCCGCAATTTCTTCGCTTCTACCAAGCTTTGCCAAGTGTAGGGCTGAGACGGCGTACATGGAATATAATAAGCCATCGGACTCTAGGGCGAATTTCGGAACCACCCGAGATAATAAACCTCTAGTGTGGTGGTCAATTGCAAGTGTTTCTCCCGTTTCAACAACATATTGATGCATCAACCTCGTCTCTATCATTCGCCGCGTGCGGCTTTCAGGCGGGTCGCTTTCCTCGGGCCTATGGGGAGGTAACTGAGCTAAGGTCGGCTTCCCGGAGGCTGCTTTTACGGATGCATCGCGATCGTAGATGCAAGGTAAGCCGTGCCGCTTGCAGTTATGGCATATCGGCTTTTCCTCATTGCACTGAAAAATACCAAAAAGTCTTATTAGTTATGTTCGCAGTTAAGGCGATCAGCTTAGGTACTACAACCTTTACTCTTCTAGTTCGGCAACGCTGGCATCCTATAGAGTGTGAGTCTGATAATACCTAGGTATGCATAAAATGGTTTCATCAAGCTGCATACCGAACATGGATTTTTTATGGCCAAGTTTCGGTACTCTGTGGGGAAGCGGAAGACTAGAGCCGGACGCCATAATTGAATATCTATTGTCGTAAATCTTAGCTAGTAAATCTAACGAAGTACCGTGATGGAGAGCAGGTAGAGTAGGGGAGGTTAGTTAGGCTAACAAGGACGCGAGAACGAGCGCGATCTTTAACCGAGAACGACTTCGCTTCGATATCATTCGCTAGAGCTGAGCGGTCGGGGGTCCCTGAAAGGAAGATCGTATGGGATTGGGGTGGCTCAGCTAGGTCCACCAGCATTACCATCCATTACGACTTCGGGAATAACGTCCAATCTTGTAATCTAAAACCCGTTAGCCTAATTCATCCGCGAACAACATGACATCCGGGTTCAACCAATCGCGTTTCGGCGCTTTTGGAGCTGAAAAGGGGGCATAGAGTTTAAAGCTGAAATAGTATCAATTTTGGTGTTCTGATCCATAACGACGACGACATAAAAGACTTTTAACGGCGCGTATCTATCATTAACTAGACAATTTCGTAGCAGCTTTCTCACTCATAGTTAGGTATTAGTACAGTTCGATGGATTAAAAAATTGAAGAAAAACGATATACATCCATGCCAAACGAATCTGTGTCGTGCTTCTTGCAAGGTAGCGGACAACAGCTTTCTATCCACAAAGCAAAGCAAATATTCCATAGTCTCACCATAGACACTACATTGATCATGCATGGCTGTAACTATCAATAGACCATCCCTTAACCTTCATTCAAACTCAACAATTCGTGACAATTATCAAGTCTGGTTGGCAATCTATTGGAAAGAAACTGTCTTGCCAAATACCATGAAACAATGTAAAAACACGGATGCATATAGACCATCGGGAAGCATCGAATCAAGCCCTATGTCGGGTGTTGCTTGACATCGAAAATGCGATCGAGGGCGGTGCCCGATTAAGTTGGCGAATTTGTTTGGATAGCAATTCACCAGATATCCCTCGTGGGCTTAGGTGGATGATTTCGCAAATTCTCCGCTAAATCAGACGTCCATCCCGGAGTATACTGAGAGACAGACTCCGACGGTGTTGGGGAGCCTCTAACTTCAATAGTATCTTTCCACTTCATAAAGGAAGTTTTCTTCTCTTCACTTCCCGGGCCCCAGTAGAAGACTGAATCGGACTTCTGAGTATCCCTACGGCGACGACGCCGAGGAGGGGTACGAATGCCTCCCTGGCTCTCGAGTTGGGGATCGCCTTTGCTGTTTTGTGTTGACTGATTTGCTCCAGTAGGGGCTCCTCCGCCACGACGCGGACCTCGGCGTCGGGAAGCATAGCCCGGGTTTCCCGGTTGATAGCTGCCCCAATGGTTATAGTCGGCGGCATTACCTTGGTTCGCATTAGGGGGTTCGTCAACCCACGAAGCCTCTGTATTGTTCTTGGTAAGCTGCTGAACAAAACCCTTCACGATATCATTGTCGGATTGGGCCCCGGAACTTCCACAGACGCGGAGCTGTGCCCCGGTGGCCCCAATAGTATGCAATTCCTGAGTGCCTTGCAACTTTTCAAGAGGAATGGGCTCCCGCCATTCGTGGGGTAACATCATCCGCTGTAAAGTTCGCAAGTTAGTTAGTAGTCGACACTTAACCAAGGAAGAGAAAATTAAACATACATTTGACCCCTTGTATTCCCCGTTGCGGACAAGAAGTCCTGAGTCGTCAGCTACGACGGAAAAAGGGGATGCCGCTCGATCAGACACTTTCTTAGCGTGGAGGTGGATAGGGTTGACAGGTTTAAGAGAAGTGTGGTCGGGGTTCTCCAACTCTGTATGCTGGGTACGGCGAGTCACTGTGTTGTCTGCAAATCTCGTAAAAGTACGATTAATTGCAGTATCGAAGATTCCATCAGATGCCAGTCGTTCACTGCTGGTAGCTGACGACGATGAATGAGGTTGGTCGGAGTTATTACCATCCTGGTAGATGGAATCCTTCAAGCCGTATTCCTTCTGGGTTCCGACAACTCGACTCACGGAAGAAGTTCCACGACTGGAAGAAGACCCACGAACAAGACAGGTAGCTTCATCATGGCCAGATGTAGGAGTGGTGGAAACCTTAGTATTCATGGGCTTTGAAGCATGATGGGTCGGAGTCGGCTGCTTCTCCTGGGTACGGGTAGCCTCGCTCTGGAGGAGATAGATTAGGTTTTGAATAACGTCTCGATGAAGATCGGTAATAGCCGGGTTCGATTCGAGAGACGAAAGGACCTTGACAAGTCAGAACATATTGGACTAATGTGCCACGCGAAACTATGCAAATACTTACAACTTCTAAAGCTTGCGCTGCTAACTTATTTTCATTGACATGCTCAGCATGCTTCTGAAAGTAGCTAGAAAGCATACTTTTCTCCGAATCTCCAAGTTGGATAGCGCTCAACAGGACGTCAACAAACTTGAGGGCGAGAGAAGCCATCTTGGCGGTCTGTGATTTAAATATATCAGCGATTAGTTCTTTGTAATTAGCTGTAGAGATATGAGAATGGAAATATTGAATCACGAAGTATAAGCGGGGTGGGCATCCATGGATGATAGATGTACCTTTGACAGGCGAATTTGTTAGGATGTACCTGTTAAAGAAAGAAGTAAAAGAAGTGGTTGTATTTACAGACCTGTGTAAGTTCGGTGCTTAGGTAAAGACCTATAGGTATGAGGCAACGATGACTAAGAAAGACGCCACTGAGGAGGTGCGTGTTGACAATCCCAAGTAAGAACGATCAATGTAAATGTTAAGATGCAATAAAACGGGGTGGTTGAAGTTTAATCCTGAGACAAGGTTGTGAAACAAATAATATAAAGCAGGAAGGAGAAATCTGGTTGTTGGGGATATTTGAGATGTTATTAGGTAGACAGGTGGTGTTCGACTGCCATTAAATAAAGATTATCTCGTGCAGTCAAAATATGTTGTACTTCAATATAGTGAGGTAGGTTGCATGCACACAAATGTGTTTGCGTGGAGATGATGATGAAAATGATAATGTTTACGTCTATTGGTCTGCTATATACTACCTATGTGTTTGCGTGGAGAAGTGATTAGAGAGGGTGCCTCGGGGCATGCAGTCCGGAGGCGAGCGGCACGGAGGTAAGCGGCGCGGAGGTGAGTAGCCCGGAAAGCAAAATTACCGGTCCTACCCTGTACCGAATGCCAACTACCTCAATACATAATTCATGTGAGCACACAATATGAGGCAGCCACCTGCATGTTGATCCTTGAGTAATATACCTTTGAGCATGTACCTAGGTATGTTAAGGTAAAGCTACCTAGAATAAAAGAACAACGGATAACTTAGCTACTTCACCCCCTGGGAAACAATCTTCAACGAACCCATTTCTAGCTAATGACCCAAAGAAAATTCAGTTACATCTACGAGTTTTTAATATTTCGCTGTACAAGTTCACCCAGTTCCTAATTATAGCTCATTGAGGCATCCGAACACCACCAGAATAAAGCAGTGTCTGGTTAATATTACCATTAAGCTATCATTCGGGAGGATGGCGATAGTTCATGTAGTGCTACGGCTGAAGGGCCATATTTTGAGAAGAATTCGGTTCTACGTGCATGTGGGCTTTTCCAGACTATTCCACCCTTTTTTCAGGGGATAAAGGGATCAAGGTAGATTCAAGGGTAGATCTACTAGTATTGGGTATTTAAGAGAAGCGTTGCATTCTCTTTCGAAGGTAAAGAGCCACATTTGTTCTATGTATGATACCAGGCAAATGTATCACTATTCCGATCTATGATTGCCTACAAAGTCAACTATGTAGCTAAAATATACCTCGTCTACTAATTGTAATATGCATGGTCATCTAGCATGAGGATAATTCGAGACTAGCATACCAGGTAGGTACCTAATATACTAGGGCGACTTCTATACTCCGTATTAGTTATTCTAAAAGCTTGACCATCTATCGTTCCCGTTTATAGAGAATTAATCTGCGACAAATATAGCTAAGTACGGAGAAAATGATAAATATACACAACCTTGGTGGTTTGCCAGTCGTTGCTACCCAGGCCTAGTCATAGCAATCTCAACCTTATGTTTAGGTAAGCATAACTAAAGGTGAGCTACCGGGCACTTTAGGTACCTAGATATATCCAGGCCAAATAAGATGCCTACCTATTTAAAAGTACTAAGATAAATACCTCATAGTTTTATTAGGCGTTTAGTCTTAGCTACGTGGTTTCGTGCCGCATCAGAATTATATTTCTATCTCTTAATACCGACACTATTAAAGCCCACGAAGAAAGGGCTCTGAGACATAAACTACCCACCCAGCTAAGCGTAGGTATTAGCGTAAGTAATTATAGCCTCTCCATCGTAAGATATTACGTGTCTCGTACATTCACCGAGTATGGATCTATCGTGAATAGAATCATTAGGTAATCAGCGGATGTGGCCTGCTGCAACGCAGGCGGTTCCAGCCCTAGTAAAGTGGCCCAAGTCGCAGAAGCCGCAACACTCGGTAAGTTGGCACGATGCATAGAATTTAGGGAGCTCGCGGCTCATACGGAAACTGTAGGTGTTTGCAATCGCGCACGGGCTAGAGACACATGTCTTCGACATGCTGGCGGAGCAGCCGGAGCGGGCAGCGCGCTTCGCCAACGCCATGGTCTACTTCAATTCCAATGCGGACCTTGCACCGCACCACATATACGATACCTTTGACTGGGAGTCCGTCTCGCAGGTCGTCGATATTGGCGGATCGGCGGGTTCCACCGCGGTAGCTCTCGCGACACGTCTGCCGCAAGTTAGCATCGTCATCCAGGACCAGGCGCGACAGTCGATCCCGCCCGCGCTGGCAGACCGCGTCTCCTTCATCGCACACGACTTCTTCCATAACAAGCCAGTGCGCGACGTAGACGTCTACCACTTCCGCTGGATCTTCCACGACTGGTCGGACCGGTACTGCCTGAAGCTCCTGCGGGCGCTGAAGCCGGGTGCCAGGGTCATTGTGTCAGATTTTGTCGTGCCCGAGTCCGGGACAACGTTACGGTACAAGGGAGGACTCGTACGGGGCTTTGACCTGGCCATGATGGAACTATTCAACGCCCGTGAGAGGGAGCAGCGGGACTGGCAGAGGTTGTTTGAGGAAGCGGATTCCCGGTTCAGGTTCGAAGGCGTCAAGGCCATGCCTGGCGCCGATCCGGCTTTCATTTCAGCCACTTGGCAACCGTGAAATAGCTTCGTAAATTAACGGATTTTATATAATGAAATTGAAAACTATTCCCTTTTTTTACATTATGAAATGTTTGTAAATAAACCGGCTAAGCCATCTCACATGGTTCGTTTAATAGCTTCAGCATATGTGACGTTATGGCATAGCGGTTACAGCGCTGTTACAGGTAGACCGTCAGGTGGTGCGCTCGCAGAAAGGCGTCAAAAAAGCTGGCGCACCACTATCAGCACATACAAAAGCAGTATATTTTACAAAGTTATTCTACATCTAAATACTTCTTTAAAAATTTAAAGAAATTTCTATAATGGAATATAGCCATTAAGTATTAATTAAGTAGATTTCGTTTAATTCTTTAAATTTAAATGGTTGCGTAAATATAAGTAATATTATTAATGTAAAGTATTAAATGTTAAAGAAAAACCATATCTGTTTAAACGACCATATATTAACCTTATCTCAAATAAAATATAGGGTTAAATACCTAGGTTATGCTTAAGACTTTTGGACAATGTACTTTTTTAATTTCCTAATGTTAATTGTATGAGATGATAACTGTTGGAAGTTAGGGTGTTTTCAGACTTTTTTTGACGCCTTTCTGGCTCGGTCCATTCCGAGGTGGTCTTAGGTACCTAACTTCGTGTTACACAGAAGGGCAGCACCGTATAGCAAGTTCAGTTGGAAACGAAACTTTTGACTTAGGTACCTACCTGCCTAACTTCCATTACTTTAAATTCTTACCGTTTTCTCCCCAAGCATGTAGGTACTTGCCATCTCCCCAACTACACCAAAATCATCATGACTGCTGTGTCGCTGCTAGCGTTGCTGGCTTCTTCTGTCGCCGCTTTTGCTGCTTATCGCCTGTATCTAACCTACACACTGCGACTCACGGCCCAGCAACATGGATGCCAGCCCGCAGCCCGCTATAAGCATAAGGACCCCGTATTCGGTTTGGATATCTTCCTGCGAACCGGAGATGCTATCTCCAAGAACCAATTCCTGGTCGAGCACCAGCGGCGATACGATACATATGGCCATACGTTCGAAAGCTTGAACTTCGGTTCGCATGGCATATCCTCTATCCACCCAGAAAATCTACGGGCAGTCTTCTCTAAAAATGCTGCAGATTGGGGAGTTCAGCCTCTGCGACTACACAGCATGAGCCCATTCTGCGGCACGGGATTTATTACGACTGACGGTTCTGACTGGAAGGTCTCCCACGACCTACTCAAGCCCGGCTTCCACAGGTCCAATATTTCTAATTTTGGTCCCCTTGAAGAGCACCTCCAGATCCTACTAGGACAGATCCCAAAGGACGGCTCTAAGTTTGATTTACAGCCATATCTCTTAAGACTAGTTTGTCTTGCAAATCCCTGCCCACGCTTCTGGCGCACTAATGTATGCGCACTAGTATCTTGACTTAAATACGCTCTTTTTGTTCGGAGAGCCTATCGGAATGCTTTCCGGCACGCCTCCATCGCATGCAGAAGGCTTTCTGGATGCATTTCAGGCTGGCTTCAATGGCTGCGGAATACGCATCGCCCTGGGACCTCTGAGCTTCTTGATGCCAAAGGGTTCCTGGCTCGAGGCATGCGACAAGGTTCATAAATTCGCCGATATATATGTCGATAGAGCTATCGAGTACAGTAACAAAATCGACTCGGTCGAACATAGCCAAGACAAAACAAAGCGACACACTCTGCTTTTCAACATGGCACAAGCGACGACTGATAGGACTGTTCTGCGGAACCAAATAGTGCAGGCCATGATGGCAGCAACCGAAACAACCGCTTCTTTGATTAGCCACGTCATCCGGAACTTGGCCAGCAACCCTATTATAGCTACCCAAGTGCGAGCTGAAGTTATGGCCGTAGGTGACAAGCCGCTGGATTTCGACCAGTTACCGCGGATCAAGTCCCTACAACATGTCATCACTGAGAGTATGCCTGCTACTATTTGGCTCTATATTGAAAGTTATCGCTAACGTGATGACCAGCTCTTCGTCTGTACCCTGTATTTCCGCAGATGAATCGCGTTGCTTTAAAAGATACAATTTTACCTACCGGAGGAGGCTTAGATGGCACTGCTCCAGTGTTCGCGCCAGCCGGCACTCTATTCGATACTTGCTTCGCTACGCTCCACCGCGATCCGAAAGTTTGGGGTCCCGATGCCAATGAGTTTTGTCCCTCCCGCTGGGAAAATGATTATAGCCCTCCCCCATTTACATTCGTACCATTTGGAGCTGGACCTCGACAGTGCTTGGGACAGCAAAAGGCGACCATGGAGGCCTCGTATATAGTATCACGGATATTGCAAGAGTTTAGCACAATCAAGAGCGAAGACGAGAAACCCTATCAGGCACAGGTAGCTCTAACGGCAAAGAGCGCTCACGGATGTCTTGTATCGCTCACCCCAGCGACAGGATAAATTATAGGGAGTATACGGAGGTTCATTTAAGCTTCATTTCAAAAGTCTGTCACATACTGTCAACGGGATTCCCCCACAAATTAAGCACCTTGCAACTACATAGTATCTCCACACTGACCTTTCCACCCATGTTCGATTCCGCATCTGATTCCAGGCGGTGATCTTCTCGATCAGACCAATGTTTTGCTGGGAGGTTCACCCAATTTCTGTTCTCATACTGAAGGCACCCTTATAACACCAGTCTTTCCCTCAGGGGCCTAGGAGATAGCCCAGATACACAGCGATCTTAGAATGTCCTTTTGCAGCACACACACCTAGGTTAGTTAATGCATTACTGTGACCCACTTTGCTGTTGATAACTTACTTACACTAGATCAACAGCTTTAGTCCTATTGGCCAACCAGGTGCGATCCATCCCGTTGCATGCATGGCGACCCTTTCTCGACTACCTCATAACCGAACTTGGGGTCAGCCCAGTCGGTCAGATCCTTCGCATCCTTCATGCACGTCAGTTCCAACAAATGCCCCAACGTCCAGTAAAGCCGGGTTCCGAGAAGTTGGTCCAGTCAAATATCTAATCCATGTAACATGTTGGTTCCTCTATCAATAAATGTCGTGCGTGGTGACACAACAGCTACTTGACGGGCATGTTGACGACTGATGCCTGGCGCCTATGTATTGTACGTGTACCTACTCATACATGAGAAGTACTGCAAAGCAATTCGCGTTTGATGCGCGCATCTGCATTCCTTTGCCTTATTGCTTACTTCGATGAGACGCACTGCGGTCCGTACAGTATGGTATCGCCGAATATGATGGCCCTCGCGGCAGTGAGATGGCCGTGTACGGACGGGCGGTTATGTTTTCCTCCTAATCACATTGTGTGACTTCTGTAGATTGTGCTTTTCTTACTTCTGGTGATTGCGCCTGGTTTCGTTTCTTCGTCTTCTTCGTCTTCGTCGTCGTTGCCGCCACCGCTATCAGTCGATTTGAGTGGCTCTGTTTCCGCACATACAGACTCGATACCTAGATAGCCATGTACTCGTCGTACTCCGTTGCGGCTGCGGTGTGCAGTTGCGTGTTCCCGGCCTTGGCTATTGTTGCCGTGGGGTTTACATAGGCTGAGAGCGCACCTGGTGCAACAATCGAAGCTGGGACTGGATGACTGGCTTACACTCGTTGCGCTGGTAAGCATTGTATCCTATTTCGATTATACAAGATGTGATACTGATCGTTTTTGTTGTTCGGTAGGCACTTTCCTTTTCATCAGTCAGTCTAGTAAAGGCGACCAGAAGGACACATGGTACCCGCTTTCGGAAAACCATGGCAATTCAACCCTTGTCGAGAACAGTAGTGAACTTAGATTAACTTAAGACCATGAGAGCTATGGTTCTGAGTGAAGCGTTAATTCTAGGCGTCATGGTAGGGTTGAGATCATGCGATAAAGTACGCGGTTTCGTGAGTGGTAGTTAAATTAAGAGCGTTGATAGATCTACTGTATCAAACCTAGCGGTGACATGTTCACATGTCCCGTACATTGACTAAATACGAACTTCTTGTGGATAGAACTAACGAGTAGCAGCTGGCAAGTACCTAAAATTATAGCCTGCAGGTGTATTCAATGTTGAAATAGCGTCCTATATTTGCTTAAGATATCCAGCGCGCTATTCCTGTGACCTTTCAATATAGAACTAACCACCAATTTGCTTTCTGGCGGAATCCCAGTTCTTTAAGATACTTCCAAGCAAATACTACAATGAAATGATTTCTATATCAATCTCGCTAAATAAGCATGTCCTCGCCCTTAAATCCATCTCTTACACACCTTATGCTATTGATATGTTCAGATCCCTAACACCATATTTTATACGTATTTCTACTTACTAATACTGTATCAGCCACGCGCTCGCCAAAATTCGTATAGCGGTCCGTCTGCCAAATATAGATGGCTTACCGCCATATTATACCTAGCGATGCTTATCAGCCACCAGAAAACCGGATTATTTTATCATTCGACCATGAATTCACGAATAAGAGCGTTCCGCGTTGCGCAACCCAGAGTTTTTCAAGGTAAAAAGAAAGAGGGAGTCTCATGCGGGGGTTACCGACGCCCGACGTTTTTGCTCCTTCTACCCTTCTTAATGGAAATCATTTATTCGGTCCGTATATAAATCCTATGATATTCTCTCATTGAATTCATTCACAGGTTAAATCTTACTTTAGGTACCTGTTACTCGTAATCCATAATGGAACCCACGAAGAACGAACAAAATTGGCTTAAGCGTAATGCTAAAAAGGCCAAATATCGTGCCAAGAATTATTTCAGGAGAAAAGAAAGGCCTGAACACTCCAAAGTAGGTGTCTATGAGTAGGCATATGTCTTTGGTTATGTTTACCTAACTATAGTGATCACGAAGACATCATCTCGAACAGAAAACCCGTGTAGCGTAATGGACCCGACAAACCCCGATAACGGCAACCCATCGAACATGTCACAGTCCAGTCCTGCCGTTCACATAGAGGACAGTGAAGTCGGGATAGAAGCGCCTACTGGCAACATCAGTGGAAGTATTTCTGAAGAGCTTCTAGGCCCGGACAAGCTTTGGACAAAAGCGTACGAAATGGTAGGCCAAGAGGACCCAAAACTCTTGGAGGCCTACAACCAACTTTTACTGGGGGAGGGTTATTTAGGACAAACAGGTGAGTTGATATTGCTACGCAAAGATATATTATATATTAACTTACGGTAGACAGTAACGAGCCACGGCCTGCTGATAGAGACTGGCAAGAACAGGTCCAAAGGCTCGCCCGAGAAAAGTTAGAGGCGACCCAAAAGCAGAGACTCAGCTTCCAGGTACGAGGGGAGGATGTCGTTATTCGCGATCAACTTCAGAAGATTATAGGGTTCATTATTTCTACCAAAGATGTCGTGGCAACCGCCATCTCATCAGAACCCTTTGCCGCACTAGGATGGGCTGGTGTTATGTTCGTTTTTCCTGTAAGTCAAGGCCGACATATAAGTTCCCCACTCAATTATTTGAGCTAAACTAAATGGTCCAGTTCTTGAATACGATGCTGCAACAAGATAAAGATGCCATAGAAGGGTTTGAATGTATATTACCCCTTCTGGTCCGCTGCAAACTCATAGCAGACGACTTTTTGCAGCCAACTTCCGCAGACTTAAAGTATGGACATCTTTCTATCGAGCTTCTAATATATTCTAACGCTTTCACCTAGCCCCCCTAAAAGCTATCATAATGCTGTCCTTTCTCTCCAGTCGAAGATTGTAGAACTTTACTACAATGTCTACAAATATCAGATTTCAATTCTCGTACACTATAACCTCTCCGCTCTCGGAAGGTATTGGGGAGATCTTAAAGTCAAAGATGACTGGAAAGGAACTGCCAACCGGTTTAAGGCCACAGAGGAAGAAATCAGGGGAGATACACAAGCCTTATCTTCCCATAAAACTACTATGATAGATAGGAGGCTTGAGTGTTTTCTGTCTAAGAGTAAACAGCTCTTAGAGGCTTTCAACAGGGCTATAGAGAGCATAAAAGTAAGGCCAAATCTCCACTGATATCTTCTTGTTGTATATTAATTCGCACATGTTAGGAAATTGAACAAGCTTCACATCTCGGTCATCTACGCGTTGCTCATTCCGCAGCGTTCGAATCCTCAGATGCAGGACGGCAACCCTGCACGCCAGGTACTCAGTCAGAGATCTTGAGCCGCCTACAAAACTGGATAGAGAACTCTACAAAGCCAATTTTGTGGCTTCATGGCATGGCTGGCACGGGCAAATCCACTATTGCTCAAACGGTTGCTGCATCTTTGAGTAAGAAAACCTCCTTTAGCGGCGATTCACAGCTACTCGGTAACATATATCTCGGCGCTACTTTCTTCTTCAAACAGGACGACAACAATAGGAACCATGCGGGGGTGTTATTTACAACCCTTGCACACCAATTAGCTCACAAGCCGCTCGGTCTGGAAAATGAGATAGCCAATGCTATCAAGCAACATGCAAGTCCTGATATAAGTTCGCGAGACTTAAAAACACAATGGGAAGAGTTAATCCTGAAACCCCTAAAAACGATTGAAGATTCATCTCCGCAAATACGCCTCATATTAATCATTGACGCCTTAGATGAGTGCTGGCATAAAGAACCCGGAATTATGAAAAGGAATGTTCGAGATATTGTCCATTCGTTAACACGAGTTGGAGAACTATCTGGAATTCAAGTCCGGGTTCTTATAACTAGTAGGAACCAAAGTCACATTCATGCAGCCTTCGAATCAATACAGGAATCTCATGAAGAACTCGAGCTCCCGAAAATTATACTCGATAAATCCAGCAATGACATAACAACTTTCTTCAAGAGCAATCTTCACAATAACTGGGAATATAACGGGGTCAGTTCGGACCGGCTTAGTCCAGAAGATTTCCGCCAGCTTGTTGAAAAAACTGGTGGACTATTCATTTACGCGGCGACTGCTTGTAAATTCCTAAATATCGCTAATACAGATATAGCAAACAAGCGGTTGCGCAAGCTTCTTGAAGGAACCTACAACACGAAGTCCCTAGAGTCCAACTTGGACAACATATACCGTGCAGTCTTGGATTTTAATACCCAGGACTTGGACGAAGTTGAAAAGCAAGAAGAATTCTTGCTGAAAGAAATCCTGCGGTTAATCGTGGTACTATTCAGGCCCCTACCAATCGATTCCCTGGCCGAGTTTACGATACCGAAAAAACCAGTATCTAGTGTGGAAAAATGCCTTCGAGATATAGGGTCCATCGTCGACGTCCCAAAGGAACGTAAATCACCAATCAGCCTAGTACACCTCTCATTCCGCGAGTTTCTCTTGGATAAACACAGATGTGGGAGAACAGGCTTTTTTGTTGAGCCATCCATGGTGCATTTCCACTTACTCGAAAGGTGTCTCGACATTATGTCGCAACACCTCCATATGGATATGTGTGACATTCGAAAGCCGGGCGTTCTTTCTATAGAAATTCCACCGGATTTAGTACAGCGATCCATCGAACCACATCTGCAATATGCCTGCAAGTACTGGGTTAATCATCTCCTACAAATTGAGGAGACTCAGCTACCCAAGGATATCTTAGTTGACGATGGAATAATTCATAAATTCTTGCAGAAGCACATTCTGAACTGGGTTGAAACACTCAGCTTGATCGGGGAGGCTGGAAGCGCTATTCACACAATCAATCATCTAAAGACGTTGGTCAATGTGAGTACCTACCTAAACAACCTCGGACTCCTATTCATTATAATCTTCATAGGTACTAATTATTTCAGACATCTGAAAGTCGAGAATTATCTAATTTCCTCTACGACATATACCGATTTATTATGTCTAATATACACATTATTCGGGAAGCTCCTCTTCAGGTGTATTATTCCCCAGTTTTGTTCAGTCCCTCTACTAGCATCATACGACGTCTATTTTTGAAGCCACTCACCGAGTGGGTTACAAAGCTTCCCACTGTAGATGATACCTGGGGTGCTGAATTGCTGGCTATTAAGCACGCCAGTTCTGTTTGGTCGGTTATGATCTCCCAGAATGGCAAAACAATGGTCACGCGGTCGGGTAGCATGGCCCAACTTTGGGATGCTACTACAGGCACTGAAATTGCCAAGATTGGGTATTCATTAAGTGAAATTATTCTATCAGTTTCGATATCATCAGATGGACAAACCATTGCCTTAGGCCTAACGTCTGGTATAATTCGATTATACGACGTGCGGACGAGCGAAACCTTAGATATGTTAGGCCACGAGGGCAATGTTTTTAGTGTGGCTTTTTCTCTATGGCCTAATAGCAAATTATTGGCCTCGGTATCAGATGACGGAGCGTGTTTTGTGTGGGATGTATCGACACAGAAACACGCCTTTGCGAACAAGGTTCCCGAATCTTATCGACAAAAAATTGCGATTTCGCCTGATGGTAACCTCGTGGCAGTAGGGAGTTGTGACTATTACCATAATGACAAAGGAGTCATAAAAGTGTGGAATATAAGTACAGGGGAGTTAGCAGCCAACTTTAATTACGCGGCAATGATCGAATCAATTGCATTCTCCTCCGATGGTGTTACAATGGCGTTGGCAATGGGGAACGGATCAGTTGAGATACACAATACTAAATCATGGTTTACGCCTATCGACATATTCCACGAGGGGTACGCAAAATCAGTTGTATTCTCGCCCGATGGGAACATCCTTGCGATCGGCTACGATATCGGGGTAATATACCTTCACAATTCGGTTTCTGGGGAAGAAATACGTAAACTAACCTACGGCAAAGGTTTATGTGATATGGCGTTCTTTCCTAGCGGAGAAACCTTAGCGATCGCATCATATGACCGCACCGTTCGGTTATTGGACATTACTATTAAAGACGATACTAAACGCAAGGCTAGAGCCCCCCAATTGAGATACTATTATGAGATTGCAGTTATTCATGTTAGTAACACTGCTATGGTGGCTTCCAATGGACAGACCATAGTTTGGGACATGGAGAAGTGCAAAATCAAAATAGAAATTCCCCATCAGTTGCAATGTTCTCCCAACGACAAATTTGCTGTCTCTTCTCCCTACTCATCGTATCAAGCACTATGGGATATTGCAACAGGCGAGCTGCTTAGGCATTTCAAAGACGCCAAATCTATTCATTTTTCACCCTATGGCGACATTTTAGCCTTGTCTTTATATGATGCAATACAAATTTTAGAAATTGGGACCTGGCAAGAGCGCGCACATTTCAAATTTGAAAATAATCATTCTCCGAAAGTTATTCAATTTTCGGCAGATAGCAAGGTTATCTTATGGACAACGCACGGTGACCCGTCTGAGGTCCCGTACTTACACTTACGTATCCTGGAAATGCCCGACTTTTCCTATTCCACAGAATATGATGCTGGTGCGAAGCCCAGATTGTCGCCCGACGGTGCATTGGTAGCCTTCCGTCCAAAGGGAGCATCTTGTGTCTATCTGCTCCAGATAAACACGCAGGAAGTAAGAGCAAGTCTACCGTTCGACGACAAATATATACACATATTATTCTCGCCAGACAGTACTCGCATAATTACATTCGAGAAATATGGGTTTGAATGTGCCATCTGGGATACAGCTAAAGGTAATCTGATACATACTTTACGGATGACCGATAAGATTCGCCCAATTTCGATAGCACTAGATGGAAAGGTTCTTCTCGGAACCTCTGCTGGAGCTTCTATATGGGACCCTAGAACAGATGAAGTGACAAAACTGCCTATTAATCAATACGACTTCGCTTTATCTTTCGCCGAAGATAACAAATACTTAGTTAGTAGCCGCGGTCGCCTTCCAGTCCCATCTACTGCTAGAGATTTTAGTTGTCTTTATGTCAACGATGAATGGGTTTTGCAAGGGGGCGAGAGACTTTTGTGGCTTCCTGCTGCGTATCGTGCGGGATCTGCAGCGACGTCGGTACGGGGAGGGACTATCATTCTAGCGCCTAGAGTTGACTCTGTCAAGGTTATCGAAATTGATCTTGAAAATACCCCTATAGCGAAGCAGCACAAGGGATCTTTACAGGTTGAACAAGGGGACATCAGAGTCACAGAAGTAGAGTAGCGGTATGGTACATGTGCTTCCTTTACCATATTTGTTAGAAAGGGGTAAACATGGAAAAGACCATTTTCGTCTATTTAGAGAGGATATTTCGTGTGCAGAGACTAATATGCCTATATGAGCTAGACTTCCCAATTGTCACACTTAATTACTATTATTAAGAGCATAAATGATCTATGAAATTAACGTAAAATGGTACTAAAGGGGCTTCAAAAGAGAGTGTTGGGGTGTAACTCAAAGCTGTATTACCTTGCATCATAGAGTACCTAGGTACCTGGGTATATTAGCATATGAGCTTAAATTAAACCCCTTTTCCTAGAAGAAGATCGTTTAGGCCAATATAAAAGGGGCGTGGCTAGCGATACAGAAAATATCGACCAAAGACTTGTTCTCATAGAAGCACCAGAAATGATCCACAGAAATAGAAATAGATTTTAATTCTTGACCAACCCAAGGTAATATAACTCCCATACGCCGCGCAATGCACAAAGGATATCGTTTTGAACTTAGAAAGCAATCCGTCTCTTTCGTCCCGTGTACTTGGATGTAGCCTTGACAACTTTTCCTTTTCGTTCCATCTGTTCCTTCTTCTTGATAATCCACGCCTTGCTCCCCTTTTTAATCTCACCCTTACCATTGCGGCTACCGTGTCTTGAGTCCAACACATCAACGCCCTCCATGCCCTTGATTACCCCAGTGATGTCGCCTCCATTCCCGTCGAGATTACCACCGCCTACTGTAAGTACCAAGTAGACCTTGACATTCTTGGTCTCCGGGTCATCTTCTAATAAACCAGCACCGAAGCCAGCCCTTACCGCCGCGCTCGTGATCATCTTTTTCTGCTCGTCGTTCTTCGGGTAGAACTGACACACAGCTCGCCCACCCCTCTTCAAGCTTGCGTATAGACCATTGAAAAACCTTGACAGGCGTCCCGCGGGGGATACGTCGCTGCTTTCGGCATTGCATAGCCATTGTATCGCGCTGATACTGATAGCCGCGTCGAACGTGCCGGCTCGGAAGGGAACCCCTTGCCCAATATCGGCTAGTAGTAGATCGCCTTCCACATCCCGCTGTAGCGCAACATCCAACATAGAAGCTGACACATCCATGCCTACCCATACGTGTGGACCGCCTTCTTCGGGGGGTATCGAGGAGAGGATCTCGCCCGATAGGCCGCTTCCACAGCCGACATCGAGGATGAAAGAGGGTGAGGATAGGTCGAGAAGCTCGAGAGCTCGATGTGTCATAGATGCCTGGATATTCTGTATTCGGGAAGACGTTGTGTATTTGCGCGCTTCGGAATCATTGTAGTGGACGTCGGCGGACCTTGATATTCGGGTCAGAGTGACGATATTCTTGTTTGGTGGGGGAGGGGCTGTTTTACGTACAGTGTGTCCTCTGGCCGCGACATGTTGGTCTTGGTTTATTGTAATAATTAATCGCAAAGGATTACCATACGTTAGGTATCTAGATAGAGAAGTACTGTGACTTAATAATTGGGTTGTGTTGGTTCAAAGTTCGGTATCGCGCTACTTTGTATCTGATCTAATGTAGGAACAGGATATTGATAATGGGTCGCATTTTACCAATTGCTTGTGATGCGCCGACGTCGAACTTTTCTGTGGGGCAGACTCGATTCTTATCGTTATCTTTTATCTTTTATCTCTTATCAGACGAGATATGAGATATTATAGCCCGAAGTGCAATAATAAGGAAAATCGAATTGCCGTTTCCGCTATGAAAAAACCTTGGAAGGCCACGCTTTCAATTCCTCAAGCTTTGGTCGCGTCGGTTCATCCGGACCAATCCCACAAAGGCCGAGATAATGTAGCCTTTCGTAAATGTCATCATGTTTGTCCTTACATAAGTAGTAACCAACTTCATTTCCCTCTTTACCAAATAGTTATACTATGATACTCTCATAGCTGCTACTACGAAAAAATGTGGATTCTACCTCTCGTTGGGTATCTCGGCTCCATCGTGGGCTTTTGCTTTCTGACGCTGGCTATAGGTAGGTATGCTCTTGGCATCATATTCTTCATCACAAACAAAGATATATCAGATATATTAGGTATATCAGATATATCCTAGTCTAACTTCCCAAGATATGATATCTATATGTTGTTTTCAAATCCCCGTTTTAACACAAGACCTTTTTCTATAGCTTCCGGCCTCTACTACCTCTCTGAACTAGTCGAGGAACATACCGTCATCGCGAAACGACTTCTAACTAAACTCATCTACTCTATCATCGGACTTCAGCTTATACTCTGGCTTGTCGATGGCTTCCCTTTATGGTTGAGCCTAATGGGGATCGTATCGCATATTGTATACCTCGGGAATATGCGACGCTTCCCATTCGTCAAGTTAACGGACCCTTTGTTCATCGCCTCGTGTGGTATGTTAATGCTGTTGTGGTTTCATTCGAGGCTAGGTCTATTAGATCTAAGGGTTGCTAACTGTGCGGCAGTGCTGGTACTGGTCAATCATTACTTTTGGTTCCAACATTTCTCCGAGGCGCAGCAACGGTCATACTCGCGCCTATCGTCAATGTACGACCAGCCGGATGTACCCAGTTTCACCGAGATCGCCTCGTACTTTGGCTTGTGCGTGTGGCTTATCCCATTCGCCTTATTTGTTAGTCTCTCTGCCAGCGATAACGTTTTGCCCACAATCGGTACCGAACAACCCTCGCGCGACGTTGACGGGAAGAGTAAGCGGCAGGGCATGGTAAAAGTTATTGTTGATAACGTGCTATCGGCTATCGGAGAAGTTACCCGTTTAGCAGGGTGGAAGAAGCCAGAGGACCGATTCTAAGACCACAGTAGGGTGAAGAATCAAGGAGGTAATAATGTGTACGTAAATTCCTGATCCGTCGAACAAGCAGTAATGGTAAGTGATCTACCAATACCCGTACCTATCTATCAGAAATTAACGGTATCAAAGCATCCCCAACCGCAAATATGCATACATCCAATGTAGACATCTCTACCTTCTCCAATTGAAGGTGTGAACGTGTCTCCGGTCCGACTCCTTTTGAGTCAGAGTATGCTCCAAAACCCGAGGGATATTGATCAACTAGTAAGTTAATGGCTTATTTCCTCGAGAATATGAGAAAATTATTTTCATGATGACATCTCCAATTTATTATGCTAGATTGTATTTGAGTCGCTCGACCTTGATGTGAACGATTGGGTTTACCTGAACAAAATAATTCTAATCATATTTTCGAAACCTCAATATTCTTTCGTATTTGGTTGCTAACTTGAATTTCAGGTATATCAAGCCTCGTGATGTAAGTAAACGTCCCAAGTCGAGGATCAGTCAATGCGCCGTTACTATTTGTAACATACATACGAGGATATCGTTGACGTGAGGTTATTGGGCACTTCAGCAGACGATCGTCGTCTACGTTCTATATTTCTCAGTCCATAGGCTATAACATTGAACTCTTGGTCGAGTGGGGAGAACACATTCAAATACACTGTTAATGCTAATGCATAGTGCCAACAAAGGTGATGATATTACCCACAGACACGACCGTATTCAAGATACTAAACATTTTAAGGGGATTGTTGTTTATAGATTTATCCAATATTACTATAAGCCATGGAAATTTAATAGTATTAAGAATGTGACAAAAAGTCTCCAACGCAGGTGAATGTTTCGAATCTGCTATATGTGTGTAATACAACATATCCAAGTTGGGTTGCTTTTTGCGAATAAATCGCGTAAGTGATATTTAACAGCGAGGATTGATCGGCACTGCTCAGCCATTGGCTCTCTACATTTTTACCAAGAGCGGGAAGCAGGATGATGGGTAATTGGGCTGATTCGCAACGAATCCTGGTCCGTTCTGTATTACCTATAGCGGGATCCTCCAGGTTCCCACGAGTTGTTGTTCCCAGTCCCAGTGAAAAGAATCCTGCTGCCTGGGATTTCAGAATACGAAGTCACCCAACCGCGACTTGCTCATGCTAGGATACACTCCTAAATATTACAGAATCAGAGCGAAGCGATGTCAACTTCATATATCCACGCTCTCTCATTCGCTGCGTATCGGAATGTGTCGAATAATAGGGATAATTTGCTTCTCGAATGCGTAAAAGAATATCATATTTTTGGCAGGGAATCCAACGAGGCTCATTTTACTATTCGGTATGTAACACCAGAGGTAGCATGCAATCTTTGATCTGTAACTACAAATGCTGCCGCAGAAATGCCGTGTAATAATAAACACTCAAATGGTATACTGCCGTAGGGGCTTGGCCAATGCCAATCTTAATTCGGAGCTGAGCCGTATCATGTGTATTATATGATTTATATCCGCCCCCGATTTGAACACTCAATGATACATAGTTGACAACTCGGTCGGTTGTTCTATAGCGTCAACCTACTCAATGACGCGTATGGGATAAAATCTATTACTAGCTCTCGTCGTCGTCTCTATAAAGATGAATTTACAATCGCTGGGGCGCCAGACGTGGGCGTTGACGAGGAAGAACCTCCTCATCGCCGTTCTTCGAAAGTGGCGCTCGACTTTCTTCCGATCTCTCCTCTTCCCGATAGTTGTTCTGGTCCTCTTGCTCGAAGTTCAGAACTTCTCCAAGGATACCAACAGATATGGAATCGCCGACCCTCGTTCCGTCAGCAGCCTTGCCGATAGCATGGCGAGTAATTCGAAATCGCTTGTCTTGGTTCAAGAGCCTGGCCTTGGGTCCGACTTTCAGCCTGTTCTTGAGAAGATTACAGACCCCCTAGATTCGAATCGACTTATTCATCTGGATGGCTCTAGCAAGATCGACGCCACCTGTCCGGTGGATTATCATGGAAACTCGCCATGCCATGCGGTAGTAATCTTCAAGGACTCGCCTCTCAGCGGACATGTCAACGCAACATGGAACTATACTATCAGAACAGACCCCAGCCTCCACTACTGGTCTTTCAACGTCTTCGACACGAACAGCGCCGTCGACAAGGTCTATCTACCCCTGCAACTAGCTATCGAGAATGCGATGCTCAACTTAACCGAGAGCCCGGACTTCATGCCTTATACGTCTGAAACACAAGAGGAAGTGGATGAGCAGTCAAGGAGGGGTTTTATCATCCTGGCATTATACCTTTTGTCTTTTGTCTACTACATCACCTTTATCCCGGTTGGCCACCACGTTGCGGGTATGATAGCGTCCGAGAGGGAATCTGGAATGTCGGACCTAATCGACGCAATGGGCGGAGGAGGTGCTTGGCCGAGGGTTCTGAGCTATGTCTTCACATTTGATATTCTATACCTTCCTCTATGGATTATCATGGGAGCCTGTAAGTGACCTGCTATTAGCTTTAGCTTCTAATGTCGCCTCTAACGTTGATTAGTATACTGGGCTCTCCTTGACCCCGGCCAAAACGCGGCTATTACGATATTCTGGCAGATATTCACAGGATGGGCAATCACAAGTGCATCTGTGTTTGGGGCCGCATTCTTCAAGCGATTTGCTTTTGCTAGTCTTTGGGTTTCGTTGATCCCTTGGTTACTAGCTATCTGCGCTGCCTTCGCGGAAAACCTAGCAGAACCTGCTCCTCTTGGCCAGGTCGTTGCGCTGTCGTTCTTCTTTCCTAGCATGAACTACATCTACTTCTTCAATTTTATAGCTAAGGCCGAAATTGTTGGAATCCGCCTCAACATGCAGCAACCAATACCAGACTCGAGCTTAGATATGGGACTAGTCAGCGGTCAGGGGCACGGCGTCAATTGGGTTAGTCTCGCCGGCCCTTATTTCCTCTGGATTATCTTGGTTGTCCAAATCATTGGTTACGCGTTGTTAGCCATTCTGGTTGAGACGTTTCTTCACGGGAACAATCACCGTCGTCGAACGTTTCACGACACTCCGGAAGCAGCCAATTCCCATGTCGCCATCGAGACTATCGACTTGGAGAAACAGTATCGGCCATCGTGGTTCAAGAAATTCTTCTGTTGTGCCCGCACTCCGAAAACGAAAGCCGTCGATGGGTTGAACCTCGTCAGTCAGAAACGCCAGATCCTTTGCCTGTTGGGTCCTAATGGCTCTGGGAAAACATCAACTTTAGACATGCTAGCTGGATTCCAAGTGCCTACAGGGGGCCAAGTGAACATCAATGCTTCGCCATCGCAATTGGGTAAGTTACATCATTGCATTGGAACTAGGGTCCTTTACTAATTTATACAGGTATTTGTCCGCAGCGTAATGTGTTGTGGGACAACCTGACTGTCTATGAGCATCTAGTCATCTGGAATTCTCTCAAAGGCAATACCGAGGATCCAGCGGCCCTCGAAAAACTGATCGAAAAATGTGACCTTGCGCTCAAGAAGAACAGCTTCGCGAGGAACTTGAGCGGCGGCATGAAGAGAAAACTCCAATTAGCTTGTATGCTGGTCGGCGGATCCTCTGTTTGTCTAATGGACGAAGTTACTTCCGGTCTTGACCCCCTATCTCGTCGCGCCATTTGGAACGTGGTTCTTAGCGAGAGATCCCAGAGAACTATGGTCCTTACTACACATTTCCTTGACGAATGTGAAGTACTATCGGACCACATAGTAATCATTACACTGGGGAAACTTAAGTGCCAAGGAACACCCACTGAGCTGAAGAACCAATATGGCGGAGGCTATCGCGTCCATATTCCAAGGACCGAAGATATATCGAGCATACCATACCCAGTGACACAACAACATGATAGGTACATTTGCAGGACGCCAGACTCGACGTCCGCTGCGGGACTTCTAGCCTTCTTAAAGAACTCAAGTGATTCAGAGTTGTATATCACCGGACCCACCATTGAGGATGTGTTCCTAAAGGTCTCCGAGGAGCCTCATACACTCATCGGTGAGACACCAGAGGAGATTTCCATCGCAGACTCTCAGCCAAGCAGGGTGAAAAGCCCACATGTCGAACCACCTCTATGGATTACATACTCGCAGCAATTCCGGGCTCTCTTCCTAAAGAGGATCCAGGTCCTGCGCTCAAACTGGTGGGCCTACCTCTTCACCCTCGCCATTCCTATCATCGCAACTTATGCCATCGGGACTTTCCTCAAGGACTACGAGATTCCCGACTGCAATCGCCTAATTTCGTTCTCGCCATACGATAGCCGTATGAGTTACACATCTACATACGCATTAGCACTCGGGCCTCCATCCGCAAACAGTACGGTCGAGGACATAATTAATTCCACGAGCAGGTACCGCTACAGCGGCTACGGCGGCGGGCCCTACCTTGTAGATAGCCGGGACGATCTCGAGGACTTCGTTCGTACCAACACCGCGAATATCTCGTACGGCGGCGCGGCATGGATGGGTAATAACACCAAGCCGCTTGTCGCCTACTCCGCGACGTCTGGATCTTCGGGCGCTTCCGGCCTTTTGAATCTCGTTAACCAAGTCCGCAGTGGGGAGCGCGTAGCAGGCTACCTGTCTACCCTTCGCTCCTATCACCAGGCCGAAGGGGGGCAGAGCATGTTCTACGTTACTATTTTCTGCCTCCTTCAGGCGCTCTACCCGGCTTTCTTCTCCCTGTACCCGACATACGAGCGCAGATCTCAAGTACGGGCGCTTCAATATTCAAACGGTGTCCGGCCGTTCCCTTTGCTATTTTCGTATTGGATGTTCGATTTCGTATTCGTCCTGGTGATCACCGCAGTCTGTACCGCCTTAATCGCTCCTATCGCACCATGGTTCGGTATAGGCTACATCTGGTTCATACAAGCGCTTTACGGGCTTGCGGCTATCCTTTTCGCGTACTTGATTTCTCTCATGTCCCGCTCGCAGCCAGCGGCGTTTGCTTACTCTATCTTGTTCATGGCTATCATGTACGCCATCTCGATCATTGCACTATTGGTAAGATGCCCCTTCTCGAGCCTAACGTCAAGGCTGGATCTACGCTAACCCTAGATCAAGGTGATTCAAATGACGGACGGTGCCAATCAGATGGCCAACGACGGAACCGCCTACGGACTCGGTCTTATCTTCCCTATACAGAACCTTATGCGAGGCATGGCTGTGAGTTTGAACATGTATATTGTCCGTTGCCGAGGCCAGGACATGGTTACAGACCCGGGCTCATTCTACGCTTTTGGAGGGCCTATCATGCTGCTTATCATCCAAATAATTGGCCTCTTCAGCTTGCTCTTATGGCTTGAAGGCGGTAGCTTCGCGTGTATCTCGAAGCCTAAGCCCCTGCCACCAGTCATCGACGATACAGAGAAAAGCGGCTCCTCGTCAGGAAGGCCGGATGTTGACGCTGAGACCGCTCGTGTGGCTGCATCGGAGATGGATCTCCTTCGCGCGCTTCACGTATCAAAGAAGTTTGGACCTAATGTTGCGGTTGACGATGTGTCACTTGGCCTCCAAGAAGGCGAGATTCTCGCTCTACTAGGTCCCAACGGCGCCGGAAAGACTACTATGATTAACATGATCCGCGGTGACCTAACACCAAGTAGTGGTCGGATCTATCTTGAGGGCGTCGACGTGCTCAGAAACAAGCGACTAGCTCAAAAGCACCTTGGTGGTAAGTTACCCCTATTCCATCCCCCCTGTCTTTTTTTACTGGTACTAGTACTAATGATATGAATATCACAGTCTGTCCTCAATTCGACGCTCTAGATCTCCTCACAGTCCGCGAACACCTCACATTCTACGCGCGATGCAAAGGCGTCGAAGACATAAAGGGCGCCGTATCCTACGTGATGGCCCGCGTCGGCATCACAATACACGCAAGCAAGATGGCGGCCAAGCTCTCAGGCGGTAACAAGCGTAAACTAAGTCTTGCCATCGCGTTACTCGGTGACCCACCAGTACTTCTCCTCGACGAGCCCAGCTCGGCCATGGACGCAGCGTCGAAGCGCGTACTATGGCGTACGTTAGCCGCCGTGGCGCCCGGTCGCTCCGTCTTATTAACAACACACTCGATGGAAGAGGCCGATGCGCTTGCCACACGTGCGGCAATCGTGGCGCGCCGTGTCCTGGCCGTTGGTACAACGGAGGCGCTACGTAAGACGCATAGTAATGAGTATCACATACACTTGATCCTGCGCAGCGCCCCGCTATCAACAGCAGAGGAGATGCGTGGCGTAGAGGAATGGGTGCGCCGCACGTTTAAAAACGCACTGCGCTTCGAAGGCGAGAGCCTTGGTGGCCAGGTTAGGTTCGTGGTCCCGGCCGATAGCAGGGTTCCCGAATCGACAAGCGCTTCGCCTACCGACGATGCGATTACAAAGGGGCGGCATGCAACGCGCAGCTTCACAAGATACCTAATCGAGACCTTGGAGGCGCGCAAGGAGGAGCTAGGTATCGACTGTTATTCTATCTCCGCTGCGACGATGGAGTCGGTGTTTATGAAGGTGGTTAAGGAGAGCGATGCTGCTGAGGATGAAGGACGGCAGCAAAAGCGCTGGTGGCGGTGGTGAGAATCAGGGGCCAGCTGCTAATTAGCGACCGCTTAAAGGTTCAAGGAGCGGGATACGGGGTTTAATAAAGGGGTATTCCGAATTAGAAAGCCGGCTGGGATTTAAATAGGGGTAGATATTGGGTTAGGGTAACAGAAGCGATTAATAAAAGATAAAGGTAATATATTGTTCCTTCAATAATAAGTGTGCGATCGAGAAACCTTATAATGGTCCCTAAAGTAACATAGAAACGAAAACTTTTAATAACATAGTCCACGTTATAGGTAAAATGCTCAGAGCTACACAGCCAAGCATTAATTCAGTAAAGGGTAGTCTGGACAAAATATACATCACGAATCAAAAATTGTGCAATACAATACCAGCTATGAGCATTATTCCTTACCCAAACGCCACGTATGCTAGAAATTCTTTCCATCGCGCCCTGCTCCTCCAAAAACGCATATCCGCTAAACGTATGCAACATGCTTTCGATATCCTTTGATTTCCTTCGCCTCGCTCAAGGTGATTTAGTCCGTGTCTGAGTATAGAAGTACATGCGTATAAACCTAATAGGTGTCATGTAAAATGCTAATGGCTTCTTGGTTTATTGTTACTAATGCTTGGACGAGCCTCCTCAGTGGTCGTAGCCAGCTCCACGCTGCCACGGACTAGTTTACAATTGTAAGTTAATGATTCAAAGTAGCAGTTATAACAGTTTCTTACCTTGGGCTAGCAGGTGGCTTGAAACCAGCCGGGCTGGAACTATTCTGCGAACGCGATATTGAAGACACCGATCCGTTATACGGACTGGCAGTTCTGTTGATCGGGTCGATAGGCGAGTTAGGCGAGTGAGGCGCGGCGATATGCGAAGGAGCGTGGTGGGAATTATTAGCTGTCGAATTAGCTATCGGGCTTTGCCCCCGAAATAATGAATCGCGAGGGTTGGAGTCTCCGTCGTCATCCAGGTCAAGACCAGATGAATATCCAGGCTTCTCGCCTCGGGCGGTCACAGCTAGAGCATCGAGCTCAGTCGAAGTAGCGAGTTGACTCTGGGACTTCATAAAAGAAGTACGATCGTCAGACATAAATTTGTAGCGGCTGTCTGGGTTGCTCTTGAAGATGACAATGCCAGTAGTGATGATTAGCATGAGCAGGAGAATCAGCGTGCAAACCGCGTTCAGGATCCAGAGCACAACACCAACGACACCGGTAACAAGTCCGGGCTGGTCAAACACATCAGTGAAGATGAGGAGGAAGACGGCGTTTATGAAGTTAACAACCGCAATAGCAATGTTGAAGGAATTGGTCTTCTTATCCATCCAAGGTCGCAATACCGCAGATGCAATGAGAGCAGCAGCCTCAATGAGGAGGAATGCGATAGCCTGAACAATGCCAGAGTTCTGCGCAAACGCAATAAATATAGACTTCACAACGGTGTATCCGAGGACAGGAATGATGAAGTAGTAGGCGGAGGCGCGGAATTGAATGTAAAGGAAACCTATAGCACATCCAGTTAGTAGTGAAGGTAGGATATATTTATCTTATATAACGACAACCGCATTTATAGAAATCTAGAAGAAGAGAATGACTCACCCCACTTATTAAGTGTCTGAGGATCCGAAAACAAAATATAAGCCGGGTTCCTGTGAAGCGCGACTGAACGATGCGCAATTCGGACGACCTTATAAGCTGCCCAAGCTAGTACGGCATTGACAAGGAGGAGGAAGAATACGGCTATAACCATCAAGGCAGGAGAGTCATTCTGAGTAAATTCCCAGAGGCAAAGGATTGTTACTGGTGGATGTCCGATGAGAGCCATTCGGAAGAGGATGCCTTTGAGTACGGTCCCTATGAGCATACGGCAATTAGTATTAATACGTTGTTCGCATAGGAAGCTATACCGCAGTATAAACTTGAGGAATACTCACGCCAACCATTGCGGAACTCTAGAAAAGTGTCGTTCTTTATCCACTTCTGCTTCGCGGCAAGTTCGCATATTCCTTTGAAAGCAACCACGCACAGGGTAGTTGCCACCATGACAAGGTAGAAAAATACAATTGCTGTCAAGAATAGATTCGTGGTTTCAATGTCTGCTTTAAAAGCCACACGTTGGATGCCGTACACGATGTAACTCCCATATGAGGTCATGACATTTGCTCGCTTCATGAGCTTGGAACCGTGCTCCACCATGCTACGAGGAATCATTGCTGTCCCGCGGTCGAAGAGATCAATTGCGCGCTTTTGTACCTCTACGGATACAGTTGAATAGTAATCAGCCTGCGTGATCAATGTAGAGACTGTACCTCCTGTTGAGCGCTGATACCAGGTGAATATGCGTTGCACTAAGATTAAATGTTAACAGATACTTCTTGGATAATTGAAACTTCTGCATAAGAGCAAAACTACGTTCGCCGGTATTATATAGAGAATGATGATGAGTTGACGTACTGAAAGCGACATCGATAATACCCATACTCCACTGGAAATCTTGAGTCCACGCCTGCACAACAGGAGGCAGAGGAATTCCCACGAGGCCAATCATAGCCTGTGACTGAAAGTATCCCATCAACGATAAGGCATTTGCAGCGACGTGCGAAGCAGCGTTGGTATGTCCTAACCCGGAGAGGAATCCAGACGACGCAAGAGCCAAACCAGCCACTATAGCCGAGGCCCATTTAACCCCGATTAAATTGACCGTTTGTCCATTCGAAACCAGTGCCTCGACGCAAGCAACACTTTGACCAGCTTGAGCACCATCAGTTGCGTTGATTAAAATCCTAACCTTAGCATCGAGATCAGGAAAGTCGTAAGCGATAGACGGGATGTTAGATGCAGCGCCTGGGACATCAATATCAAAGGGATCGGACGTTTTTCCTGCACTCATAGGACAAAATCCGGCTAAACCAAGATCGCAAGGCTTAATTGTGGTGCGCATAAACGAGTAGCCATATATTGTAATTTCAACATCGAATACAACCTTGGCTTCGATAGTAGAGATGGCCGAGATATTCACAGAAGCCTTGTTGGTAGCCGGGTTGTAAATAACGCTAAACAAACTAGCCGTGAATCCAGAGTTTTCCTGGCAGATATTAAGAGAGGTAGATTGGAGAAGTCGCGCTGCCATCACGGGGAGGATGATCGATGCGAATGAGATGACCGCCAAAAGCGGTGATCCTATAGAAAACCTCATCGTCCTGGCTATTAAATAGTCGAATTCATGAATCCAAGTAAGCTGTCATTGGTTTTCTTCGTCCAAAATCTGATAATTCGATCAAGTCTAGCTAATGCGACCACGGAAACAGAAAATGCAAATCGTGCAATCAACGCCTAAATTCGATGCGCTTCGGTTCGGTCGGATGGTAGTCAACAGGTCGGATCGCACGACGTCACGGTAAGGGTTAGTAGAAAAGCGAGTGAAATGCACCACCAAAATACGGGGCGACGGGGCGGCGGAAGGCGGAGGTGGAGGTGGAGAGGCGGTTGAGGAAAAAGCAGAAAGAAGCCGAAGAAAGAATCAATCACCTAAAACGAGTGAACGGTGATGGAAAACGTGGTGTGGAAGAAATCGCTGGTAAGCAATAAGCAACTAGCCGGGGGGTGGTTTCCCTCGATAAGGTCTACATAGGAAGAGGGTAGGTAGCAGTTGAAATGCAATGTGTGGTTTCCCTACTGCCTACTGCCTACCGCCTAACAACCTTGTGGCGTGTCAGCGTGTAACGGCACCGTCGGTTCGTACCTAGATCCAATGTCCCTTGAAGAGGCAGTGCAGACTGGTCGCCAACAAAGGTGGGTCACACAGCCCCGCGACCTTGTCAGGTACAAATAAGAGCTGCCCATTTGAATACGAGACCTACCTGTTCCAGCTGTTCGTACTTCGTACAAATCCGTAAACACCATCAAGCGTATGTACATGCATCTACCTTAGGTAGGTAGTTAAGGTTAGGTATCTGACAAACTTATATAAGAGATAATCGGTCAAGACTAAATAAATATCGACAAGTTGTTTTGACAGGCTAGGCCAAACACATATTACTATTTAGACATTATTTAATATGTTCTTCCAACCGTTGTACAATGCTTAAGAGGTAGTCTACGATTTTCGCTTATGAATTGATGTGCATATTGACATAACGCTCTATCCCTGGCTACCGTGGTGGGGGTAGTAAGCAGTACGTACCTGGAGTAATTTCGACAGCGATCCTCCTACGCATCAGCCAATTGTTTCGAAATCAGCAACTATTTACGAATGAAAGCAGTTACTTTTAAAGACTTTAACTATACTTAACCAGATACCTCTATAACAGGTACCTAATATAAGCCGGTACATGTAGGTATGTTTTAAATTAAAGTCTTGTTGATATAAGTCGAAAAGAAGTTACTCCGTCCCAAGAGACGCAGGAACAAAAGTTAAATTTATGGGTCAGGTTAGGTAAGTTCTAAAATACGGGGCCGTATCCCCAGTTTCCGCCATTGGCAGATTGGATTGACAAGAACTGTGGAGTTCCCCCGATGAAGAGAGATTTAAAACAACCCTTTGTTATTCCGTATAAGTCCGAACACTATCTCAACCTCCGTCAACCTCTTTACACAGCCTACTAACAGTAGAAACAGACTAAAATCTCTCGAACTATAATGGTAACCCGTCACATTACTTTGGTGGATCCCTAATATGATCAGGATATGTAGAATGTGCCGTCTTCATACCCAAAGCCTGGAATTTTAAGCTCAGAACAGACTTGTAAAATATTAGACCGATCTGCAGATTATTCCAGGCAGGGATCTTTTTCCAAGTTTCAGCAAAAAGAAGTTACTAATAATTCGAACCGAAATCTCTTAAGAGTGGACATGATTTAGTTGTGAGGCTGTGATTAAGAAATGAGAACTTGCCTACCTAGGTAATTATATTGAAACACGAAGAGCCGCAAACCTAACTTGAACTAAACCACTGATATAGCTGGTAGTTATTATCTAAATGTCTTGATGATCCAAGGATATACGTAACGTTAGGTGTATGCAACAACACGAATATCCTTCAAATAACGGATTGGCGGTCCGAAGTTAGTAACCTCCAGTTAAGAGTTAATTCATTGCAGTCAGCTAATATTTCTTAATTTTGGAGGGGTTCATTGTAAGGTTCTATGCCGTCTTTATCTTTAGATAACTCCCCCTGTAATGAATATCTTCAACTACTCAAGTACCTATTACTCACCCATGAAAAGGGGTGGCAGCCCCTTAAAGAACGATTACCAAACCGGAATAAATGAAAAGAGGGCCATTCGTATTGTGGAGAGTTCCTAGAAGATTATTGTGCCTTTCCCTTCGATTTACTTTAGAGAGACTGTAAGTCTAACAGGCAGACCAATACATCAACAGCCAACAACTAGCCCCAGCGCTTAGGCATTGCCTAAGACTCCCTCGGCGGATTAAGAAAGATATGGACGAAAAAGTAAGAAAGGCGTACATTCACATGGCAAGCCCATTCGACTATCCTTTCGTGTGTTGATATTACCTAGTTAGTAATATTAACTAGAGGTTACCCTCCGGGCAACACAAAAGCCTAAGGTTTACACCGCACCATGTTTCTATGCTATTTTTATTATTATTACATATTAGCGACCTACCCCCATTAAACTGGAGGGTACCCCTACGATAGCCTGGATTTACTGCTATTACACGGCTGGACACTACTTTCAGTACCTTCGAGACCTGAGTAATAAAGAAGTCTTAAACATGCATATGCAGACCTGTTCATCTTTTACTGTTTTCTATAAGGCAAGAAAATCATCTGTAAGGTAGCAAGGCATGTGTCCCAGATAGGAAATTTTTACTCGCATTCAACACAACATCCTAAGGTAAACCTTAGGCATACTGGCCAACTAAAAGCTAATAAAAAATCACCGCTAACTCATATAGTGTGGAGATGGCCTTCATCGGCACCTCGTTAGCCCCTAAAGCACTAAGGCATACTAGAGCGTAATATCCAGCAATGTTACTTACTGGGCTCTTTCCTTCCCACGTCGCTTGTCTTCTTTACGCTCCTTTTCTTGCTCCCTACGGCGCTGATTTGGGTTTTCGGAAATGATCACCCGATTCCGAAATTCCTCACGCATCCGTCTCTCGTTCAAGACAACATTGGGGCCCGTGTCATAGAGGCTCGCGGGATTAGAAGGGTTATACGAGCGGCTAGATTGTCTGCTCGCTCCGTCGCTTTTGTTGTAGTGGCTCGCGACGTCGCTTGGGGCCATCGTGTTCGGGTCTGTAGGCCACGCGGCTGTGGTACTGGGTCCTGCGACAAACCCAGAGGTGGCACTCGAGGGAGATGCATACTGCTGCTGCCCCGTAGGAGGAGCCGAATCCGGAAAGCTACCGATTTATTAGTTCCCAGTACTTAGTAAGTAGGGTTTTGCTTTTCCCTTTACCTTGGTGTTTGCATCCAACCCGTTACTCGATCGTGAAGGTCACGTCTCTCAGGGGATACTTCGTCTGCAGGTCGCAGGAGGCTTGCGTTGTATGCCGCTTGGCTGCTGCCGTATGGACCAGGGTCTCGAGTGTGCCGTGGGGCTGAGCAGGCTTGGGTATCTCCACAAGAGCACCGGGCTCTATTTTCTGCTAGAGTTCTTTCCATGTATCTGGGATCGTACGGATCGACTTGTCTGCCTACTGATCGGCCCTCCCTATCTTGACGGTTATCCCGCTCTTTGGATTTACCTTTGCTACTGTCCCCCATTGTGATCAGAAGTATGATATAGGGTTAATAAACCGTGGGTGTAGATGTCTGGCGTATTGGCTACGATAGTGTTGCGTGAGATGAGAGATACAGGTCGAAGGGGATAAAGTTGGGAAGTTGGCACCTGTTTATATATATTCTAAAGGCAACACAACCTAATAGCTGGTCTCATATATGATGTTTCAACTTCATTGAATCATTAGTGATTAAGCGTGCGTAATATATATCAGAGGTTCTGACTAGACACCTACATGACAGATGAGATATCACGACATCCTCGCGCATCATAGTTTCACAGTTGCGTACCTATGCAACGAAGCCATTATTTTATTTGATCTACACTCGTGATTGCGTGGGTATGTCTGATTTACTCCTTAATCATTGCGAAGGGAGTGAATGCTTAGGGCATACGAGTGAATGTTAATGGACAGGTACTTTATTCGACATCCCTTTTAATCTGAAAATACTATATAGAACTTTTAATACTTTAGGTACCTAGCCTATGGCGAAAGTCACCAGGTAGGGAAGCAGAATCAGAAGGAATACGCTTCAGGCTTGTTGTACTAATATTCTACCTCGTCAGGTTTAAATCTTTCTATGGATATCTGATCAATATACATTGTCGAGCAGTCATAGGTAGAATTGCCACGCGCGTGAATCGTCCGTGATGAGATGATATCTTCTACGTGACAACTTTCGTAGTCACCTAGCAAATCATAGGTGGATAATTTGTACTAACTAGCCCAAGCATGTATATTTGAGTAACATCTTTATATTATACCTACTGTAACTTATCACAAACCAAATCTGAATGCATATAAGCCCAATTGCTTCATGCCATTTATTGGGATTTTATGTTTACATTTCTGTTTCTTTCTAACGTTTAGACTTCTAGGCTATAAAAATATGTGTCGTTAATTATAATTAATTATGACCGTATATATCCTGTATTGATATTTCAAAATTCATATGCCTATGTAGGTCATTAAAGTTTCCTCAACCTTGCTAAGCAAATCAACCAAGCTAACCAGCATTTTAATAGGTATATGGAAGGGGAGGCGTATATTAGGTACCCTATGCTTATCTGAATTAACGTATGTTGGTGTCAGGGAGAACCCTTGATGCGTGTTATACGTAGAGTGAATGTTAGAAGCAACAGCGAAGCTGCTGTATAGTAGCCGCATAGTGGTATGAATCTATTTACGCTTGACCTTCTATCCTCTTCCGAAGACGCTCTATACTATGTGGATCTATGCCTATTTCAAGCCAGTTCCCCTTTTATCCTGATAGTTAGTCCCTACAAACGGTTGTAGTTACGCGTCTATGAACTCGGTATTTGCATGCCCGTTCTGCTGTTAACGGGCTTAGTACTACTACTATCTTTCAGCTGCTCAGTGGCAAGACCGATTTGCATTGTTGTTAGTATCAGGACGGTAAACACGATACCGGCGGTTATCTAGGAAAAATTGATGTGAAAGAAGGTCAAAGTCTATACGTTCCGATACAGAAATATCTCGATCCATATCTTTATAAGAGTGATATGTACGTACAAGGCTGGCAAGATATCTATCTCCTTGATTGGCAGAAAAGAGAGAATGGCTCGTGCGGTATTACGTTAGCCAATCATTTGCTATTCGTAGCTTTAAAGTCTGATTTCGCGAAATGACGTTAGGCCTCGCGTATTATATATACCAGTCTGTATATATACAGATGTTGGTCCATAACGTTTGAAGTTGTTGAACCAGGCTTTAAAAGGGCGATATAAATGTTGACATAATAAATAGTAGAGACCTCAATTGATCTATGATACCCCAAGCTCCGCATTACTTAACACTGGAAATTCAATCAATTGAAGGGCCGATAAAGGACCGGTGAGATGCCGGGTTGGTTTATATTCGTCAATGTATGCATCACAGCCTGCTTCTTGCATGAGAGATTATTTGATATTATTTGATGTTTTTCGTCATTTGAGACTTAACAATGCACTGTGCGCATGTTGGTATGCATGACATATGTACCTTCTTATTACGACGAGGATCTTTCCTTACCTCATTTAATAGAAGATAGAAGGTACTAAGCTAGTAAAGAAAGTGCGAAGTAAGTGGTAAACTCTATATTAAGATGTGTTACACTGTCGAAGGCACTTTCAATTTTATGTGATAAGCTTACCTAAGAATATATTCCTCTTTTCTACCTGTTTTTAATCTCTCAACTATTATCAAATGTCAACTGTCAACCGTCAACCGTCAACCGTCAAAATTTGTCATTTGCCAAGGCGGGCCCTAGCTGTATGTATTAATCTTAGATGCGTGAAAAGTGCGGGGAAGAAAGCATTCTGGCAGACTGGCTTAGCCTTTATTGGTGACATTTATCTTAGTGGACCAGAGTACCTAAGGTATGGACAGATGGACCATAGGTAGTTGGGTCTCTTGACGCTCAGGCCCACACGATCTGACAGTACACGAGTCGCGGAATCGGAACTCGGGGACTCTGGGTATAGTAAAAACGGTAAAGATAAGCCGTCCGATCACCCAAAGCTACCGGGCGTCCCTCTCACCCCCAAGTTCTTACTTGTTGAACACGGACAAACAAGCCCTCTAAAATGCGTTTATTGATGGAAACAAGAAACATACTATCTAAAACCCAAGATGCCTAGTTCCAACTCCTCGAAATCCTCGAAATCCTCGCAATCCCCTCCTTCGACGACTCGAACCCCCCGAACTCGAACAGGCTGTTGGGCTTGCCGAGATCGAAGCGTCAAATGCGATGGTACGTCCCCTAAACTAACCCACTTGAGAAACTATGCCTGTTCTTGTAAGAGCTAAGCCGTTGCCGAGTACAGAAGCTAGACCACGTTGCCGGAGATGCCAAAAGACAAATCTAACTTGCCACTATGGCATTCGCCTCCAGTGGCTCGAGGATTCGGTGGCTCGTGGCATTCGTCATGGTCGTCAGGGAGTGTGGCGGCCAAAACAGAAAGATGCTACCCGAGACGCATGCACGCCTACAGTACTTTTAGAGGGACGTTTTCAAGAATCTCCAAGCTCAGCAAAGTATCGCGCTAGATCTAAAGGCGTTGTGTACTTCTTGAATACCTTCTCGAGGGATATCCAATTGTACTGGAATTCGCAAGGTTTCAGAGATGTTCTTACTAATATAGCTCTACTTGAGGATGGCCATGCAGAGGAAGACGATAGTATCGACCAATCGTTAGTAACTCAAGCTGGCGTCGAAGAACGCTATGAGTCTCATTTAGCTCATTATCAATATTGCGGCGGGTCTCGCACGTTCCCTTGGAAGCTGGCAACACCCGTCGGAAGAAACATCAGTTTCACGCATCAACTAGCCAGGTCCGATGAGTTTATACCCCGGTATTATACTGAAGTCGTCTGCGCTAATGCTTCCTTGGTTGATGGCCGGCACCATAACCCATTTCGTTATCATATTGTTCCAATGGCATCGCATTCCAGTACTGTGTTTTCTGCTATGTTAGCAGTGAGTGCCATCAAAATGGCGGCAAAAGATCCTAAATTTCACCGTAGAGCTTTGGTGCATCGTCACCGGGTGCTGGTGGACGTTAAACGTCTCCTGGAAAGCAATCACATCGATACGGCCAAATGTCTTGAGGCCCTCGTATCTGTTGTTATGCTATGTTGGTATGATGTGAGTCACCTTCCTATTCTGACTTTCTGGCTGTATTAGCTCACCAATAATAATAATCGCCAGATTAGCGACAATTGCAAATCAACTTGGATTAGTCACCTTGTAGGCATATTCGGACTCCTGGATGTCTGTCTGGAACAGGATATCCATTCCGCCGATTACGAAGGGATACTACACTTCAGCCAGCAGTACCTAATGTATCACCTAATTATGGCCAAAAGCACCCTCCACGTTGATGATGTGATACCGTCATATAAGCATATCCTATCGAAGCTCCTAGGAAGTCCAGCAACCACACATAAGTGGCGCAACAACACGAATCGCGTGGATGTGGACGCGTCCCATAACGTAGCGTCACAAACTACACCGTCCAATTATGGAAATGGGGACTCCACGACACAGCTAGGTTTCCGTCTCGTAGGTCCTAGCTTTAACGATGAGCTGGACAAAATTGATACCCACCAAGGGTTTAGTAACCGTCTGCTTCTTATCATTAATGACATATGCGACCTGCGTGATGCTCAAAACTCCGATGGGTCAAACCACCAAGATGCCGATACGGAAGCCTTGGAACACAGGGTTGCTGAAATTCAGTCCAAGCTTGATAACCTTAGACAGGTACCGCCAGGAAATATCCACCAAGTTTTGGAAGCTGGTATGGGTCGTGATGCTCGGCTCGAACCCGAAAAACTTCGACTCAAGTTAGAGTTTATTATGATGACAGCAGACTCGAACAGGCTGGCTGCACTTCTTTTCCTCGACGAAACCTGCGCCACCCATCTCCCTCATATTGTTCCAGAGTGCCGAAAGAGACGCTGTGCCATCATTCAGGAAATTCTTTCCTATGTCAAAACAATCTGCGAGACAGGACCTATCACTGCCGCCCTCCCTATTTGGCCAGTATTCGTTGCTGGATGTATGGCCTCTACGGATGATGACCGCCTGCAAGTGATGGAGATATTCGACAAGTTTCTAAGCGAAGATAAGTTCGGAGTAAGTTGATATACTGCCTAACCGCGGCCCGCTATCCTCTTAAGTACCAACGAGGTTGTCTGTTAACATTCATTTAGAGCCTACCACCAGCGCTTACAGTCATTCAGATGGTCTGGCGCCAACGTGATCTAGGATGCGACGAAAACCCGCGAAAGATACTTTTCGTATCATCCGGTGATTCTGTTGGGAGTCGTGATGGCAAGGATCGTGGTCCCACGTCGCCTACGAGTCGTAGGCAGCGAACACGATATCCTTGGGAGCGTGCGATTTCTATGCTGGGAGGCTCATCATTACTGAGCCTTACATAAATCTGTGATTTATACTGAAATTCGAGGAGTTTATGTCGCCGTTGAAATGGTGGAATGATTTGGAGTTTCGCCGTACGACATCGGCATGGGATGGGCCCATACTGGCTTCTTTTTGCTCTGGTAACCCTTGACCCTCCAACTTGTCCATTAATTTTTGCGACCTAAAAATTCCGGTTAGCTAACGTGAGGCAGGGCGACGTAATTATCTTGCTAAGGATTAAGGGCGATCCACTTAGCTCGACAAAACCCATTACGGGTAGAAAATTATTTGTATTTCGGGAGGAAAACTAAATTTAAGTTACCTGTTAACCACGGTGATGTTAACTGTATGATGTATCTACCCTGGGTGTTCTTCGAATCCATGTTTTCACTACTCATCGAGCCTAGGTAGGTTAGAATGCGGTGTCCTGATTCCTTCGCGACATATCTAAAGTCTAGATACGATGAGCGAACCTGCGAAAACCGACAAAATTAGGAATCCTAGTATGTGTAAATATCGGTTCGAGAGCGAGCCTAAGCTGATCCTTGGTGATAGCAAATCCAGTAGCGAGCCGAAGCTCGCTGATGACGGACTGATCACCAATCGAAGTACGTGGGCTGTTTGGGATTGCTAGGTCGGAAACTAGAAGAACTGAAGTTTTTTGCTCTTGAAGTCCAACCCTGGTGTTGTGTTTCCATGCATGGCATTGGGATAGCCGCACCCCCGAAGACGGCCCCGTGCTAGGCGCTCTTAAAGGTAGTCAAATTCATATCTGTCATGAAAAGCTGAGACCGACCGCACACCTGGGAGTAACAGCTTCAAGACAAGAACAGAAATTGAAGAGCGAAAGCATTATAAATATGAGTTTAGGTATCTACCTCCTAAGAGTATAAATATGGGGGTTTATGTTGATCACTAAGACCCACCAGGTATCGGATTTAGGAGCCTTTTGTCGACCAAGTTGGATGCCACATCACATATCACCTCATGAAAATCAGAAGATCCAAAAATGCCGATACGAACTAGCACCGTTTAACTTTGTTCCGGGAATAAGAAACTGAAGGTCAACCCGATAAATCATGAGAGCGGAGTTGTTCCTAACTGCTCCATCACATCGTGGGGTCCACATAGCCACATTTAATTGTACAGCAATTGAAGGTCGAAGCGAGCTCATAGTGTGGGACAAACCCCACTACTTTAGTTCGAGATAATAGCCTAAGGAGCCCAAGAGACTACAAGATTCTTGGGCAACTTGAGAAGTAGCTTAGGTAGGTAGGTAAATATTGTCGACAATGACAATATAGTGGCCTAGGTTACTAACTAAACCAGCGAATCAAAAGGCTCGCTCTACATTATTATTCCTTATTCAATTATAAGTCGGCACTTGCAATTATCTCATCAGACCTACCGCCAAGAGTTACTCTAAAGAAAACATACCATGACTCCATGAGATCCATCGGATAGGGATTCCGTCTTGATTCTACGGCTTCCGAAGAATTGTCTGTATCGCCGATAAAACAGCCCACTAAAAGGTCCTAACATCCCATTTTCTGGTACGTAAAGCCTGTCCGGACCCACCCCGTGAGGATCTCTGATACACTTCCGGCACTGTCGCGCGGCTTCTGGACTACCTATGTAGACGACGACGAATCCCTCCCTTCCTGGATATTAGCTCAGCAACCCCGGAACCCCGGATGTTGCCGCGGGCACGCAGAGAAAGACCATCCTATCCAAAACCGGCTGTCGTTGCTCTACTGGTGGCTTCCTCTCCGACTCAAGAATACTGGTGGGTATTTAGGCCATCGCTGTGGAATTACATACCAAGGAGGTACATAGCACATATATTAAAGGTAGATAATAATTATGTAACCTCCTCAGTACGTCGCATAACTCTCCCGACATTTGATAATAGAAGTTAGTCCAAGCATAGGAAGATGTATCTCACCGCTAATCGAAGCCTGGTCAGTAAGTATACCTGAAATTGAGCTTCTCCTTGTCCGTCATATCAGAAAAGGCTTCTCGTGATTTCTCTTCTTCTGTCTGGGGTACCGGGGCCCCTCCTTGCAGCTTGTCACGCTTAGCGTTGTCCCAATAGCAAGTAAAACCGTAAGCTGCAATAGTCACGGCACTAACTATAAGCGATATTAGGAGTCCAATATACCCTTTGTGATATTCTGGAGCGTCGTCGGCGCGGAATACTTGGGGACCTAGGATGTTCCCTACACAGTAGCCTAAGAAAAACATGGCATTCAGCGTGACCTTCTTAGTGTGTCCTGACGTGTTGGCCATGGGAAGAGAAGTGCACATAGTGTAAGGCGCCCAGTACGAATAGAAGGCATAGTAGGCACCCAGGAGACTAAGCTTGTTATCCGAAGGGAGTTTCCACATCAATATTGCTGTAGTCATGGGAAACAATATGGCGAGTACGATGAGGACGCACCGCCAACCAGGTAGACGGCTTGCGGTAACGTTCATGATTATGGACCAAGCCGTGGCGATGACGCCGGTTGGTATTCCTAAGAGGGTGGTGTCTAGGGGACTGAAACCCAATCCATTGACGATTATGGCCGCAAACGTGACCAGGCCGCCTGCAGAAAGATCCATGTCAGTATGGCCATCCAGTGGATTAGGGGCGGGTTTCTTTTTTACCATTTGGGATATTGATAGCACACGCGAATATGGAGATCAGCCAAGCTCTGGGTTCCATCAAGCACTCCTTGACCTGATACCATTTGATCTTCTTGTCCTCTATGCCTGTATTGCTTTTACGGACCCGTTCCAGACAAACGTACTTCTGTCGATCCGTCAACCACCAGGCCTCGACTGGCGAGCTCGGGAGGAACGCGTAGAGGATCACTGCCCAGACGGTAGTGACACCCCCGAGAATATAGAACAGCAGTCGCCACGGGGCAACACTAGAGTTGGTATGGCCGACGCCGTACGAGAATAGCCCTGTGACGACGGACGACAAGGTATTGTACCAAATGGCGATCCTAATTGGTTGTTCGTCGATGGTCCACCACATGGCCGAAACTAAGGTACAGACGGGGAAGACCACAGCCTCAAAGATGCCCACTGGTACCATCGTTAGCTTTGGATACTTATCCGCGGTTTCATTAAGGATCATGGGACGACTGACTCAGGAAGCGGACGGATGCTAGACTCGCGAAGTTGTTCGTTCCACCGGTAGCAAAAGTAAGACCCGCCCAAGCAAGGACCGTTACGGCGTAGAACGATCGAATTGGAAGTCTTTGGATCAGGACATTACCGGGCCATTCTGCGATCAAGAATCCAAAGTAGAAGATGGACCCGACCCAGGAGAATTGGTCACCGACCAAATGGGTATCCTCGCGCATGCCATAGATCGCCGCATTGGAGATTATAACTTTGTCTACCGCCGATATGATTACTGAAAGAGCAAGTAGGGGCAGAATGATCAGATCGACTTTCCAAAGTACGCGTCGAGCTTCTTCTTTGGTGATGGGCTCGTTGACGATGGATGGGTCCAGGGAGGCGAGAAACTGAGCGGCGACGTCGGCGTCGCGTCCTAGTCCCAGTCCCAGTCCCGCCAAGTCGCTGACTCCATGGCTTCCAGTCTTAGTTTCAGTAAGTACAGTCTCCTTCTGGTCCGTATTGCTCGCGTTAGAATGATGCATGATATGCGTTTTGTAAACCGCGGGCTCTAGCCGTGGATTCTACTGCTGGAGGTTTGGTTTAATGACGCGTCGAGACAGTCTGCTACAGATCCTACAAGACCTTGGGGGGCAGCAACTGTCAGACTTATGACTTGCAATACGAATCGGAATGATAGCGGTAGTTAGTTGCAATTGTAACTATTACCTTTTTCCCCATGGCAATCCCTTCTTAACCCATGATATCCAAGACGCCATTACCTGCCAATATTTTTACACGCGCTAGAACGATCACAGAGTTCCAACATCACATATCTAGAAATCTTCCCGTGGTCCGAGCTTCCCAGGGTCAGCCGAAATAGTAAGGACGGTCCGGTTCTGAGAGAAGCTCGAGGCGACGAATGGGTGGCAGCGCCTAGATTCGGCATGTAACGTCTGATAACGAGAACCCGGTCTTAGGGCCGTGCAATGCCTCATTCTCATTTGCCCGAGCCAGGGGTGTTGACAGTATTGGCTGCGTACTGTGGAGAAAACTCCGTCTAAAAGGAGTCGACGTAGCGGGGAGCTCTGGACAGCTCCGATGTATTCTTGCTTAGTACTTAACAGTTCGAGATACAATCTCGACCAATAGAAAGGCCAGGAGGGCTTTGTGGGAGAGCGAAGCGGCCGCATGCTAGGATCTGATGTAAGTAATTATCTAGTAGTCCATCTGCAGATCTAAGCGACATGTGTATGCCGTCGAGCACGATATCATTTTGATGAACCCCGGTCTTTCACATATGCCATGGCTGTTACCGGCTCTCTGGGTCTTGTTGCTGCGGCTGCGTCGCCTTGTAAGCGCTCATTGGCTGGTTGTTTTGATGTGATGTGGTCAGCTTCAGTATTAGTGTGCCTTCTGGCTGGACAACATGGCGCTATCATCAATTATATGCTATTCAAGTAGTTTAGCTATCCGACCAGCAAAGAATATAGAGTTTTATGCTCGTACAATAAGAGTCTTGTCCTATGAACCAATGCTACAATGCTTTTTAATCGCACATGGTACAGAGGCCGGCTTCAAAACTACAATCTAAACACCAGGACGGAAGCATCGCGATATAAATATCACGATATGCCACTAACGGGTAAGCAAGCTTTCAATAAGGCCAGCCGTTTTTGAAAAAGTAAGTAAGAATTAGGGAAACAAATAGTTATACTATTACACGAAGAACTACGGGCCCATTCGAAACTATTAAACCACTAACGTGGCTCCTTGGTCCTGAACGTTTCAGTGGCCAAGGGGTGGCTAAGGGATCCTAATAGTTGCATATCTAACTATCATCACCTCCAGATAGGCTCGGACAAGCTCGGGAGCGTCGGGATCTGAGTTTCTTAGGTATTATCCATGGTCCTAGCTACTTTGGAGGACTGTATAGGTATGTATATTATCCTAATTAATAACTACTAAGTCTAGTTATCTAATTAGGAAAGGGGGTTAACATAATCATGTACCCTTTCTCATCATACGTATTGTTGCGTAGCTATGCACGTGGTATTTCTGACAATTCTTGCGTGGCCGTGTCACCACGCCACGTCCCTGTCGATTTGAGTTTGGTATCATCTTTCCACTGCCACTTCGCAATATCCTGCGACCCACGTTCCAAAATATCCTTCACGAACTCTCCAAAGATTGGAAGCATCTTGAACCCATGACCCGAGTCCCCAGAGAGGACAACAAGCGAGGAATTAGTGTCAGGGACGAAATCAATAATGTAGTCAGAGTCTATCGTATCCGCAAACCAGCACAGGTGTTTGTCGATTAGTGGGCGGTTTGCAAATTGGGGAAACACCTCCTGTAGCAGTTTACGAATGTAGGC